CCTTTGTATAACGACCTCACTAATGCCTAGTGTCCGTACTCGTCGAGCACGCAGGTCTATATATGATACTGGAAAGCTATCGCCCAGAAACCAATCCATGCTCTTCCCCGTCTGGTACGATAAGCCCCTGGCTTTTCCTGTTATAATCTCCAGTCTAACCCTCGTCGTAAGCACTTTCCGATTTTGTTTAATTCCTACTTCGGTACCTTATCCATGAAGATCTCATAGCGCCGCAACGAGAGGGTCTCCGCGCGGCCAAACAGAGATGGAAGGTTGTCGTAATTTGGTTGCCTGGAAGAGCGTAGTCGGTTTCCAGATTAGAATGCTAGGTATTGGCTGCGCAACAGATAAGAAATCGGAATCGGTTTCTGCATGAGGATACCGGACCTAGTAGTTCGTTGGTATGACGCGAAATTACACAATTGGATCCTCAATACCGGTAAAGCTTCGAAATAGATTATAACCCCCTCTGTCGATAGTTCGTGTACGGGTGAGACAGTAGAGGCGCTGCGATGAGTGGTTATATGAGGGATTATCTGTCCACTCTTTATCGGCTGACAGTCGGCCGATGTCGTGATATAATATATAGTACCCGTCTTTCTCTGCATGCTTTGTTGGCTTTATGGAATTTCTGAATAATCACTTGCCTTATCTTTATACCCACGGCATTAGGCCTTTCTCTATTGCAGCAGTCCTTCTCGTCCTTCTAGTGGCGTCCTTGCATGCGCGTACTATGTTTGGTACGCTGGTCTCGCTCGACTTGGACTAACAAGATACCCTGGAGTACATTGAGAACACGGACCCTGTTTCCGCCGTTAGTCGAAATCTCTATACCAAGATACATATTGCTTGCATGTCTTGTCGCTCTAGAAAAGTCTGTGCTCACCACCAGGGAGCTTGGGAAAGCTGTCGCCCCCCTCTTCCACTGCTGCACTGGGTCTCTAACGTTGTCAAATTACAGGTGGGCTGCTCTGGAAGACAGGCGGGATGCCAAAGATGCGTCTCGATGGGCATTGAGTGTGTGTATCCGAAGAATCAAGAACGCAGCAAGCGACGAGACGAAAGAACAAGCCTGTCCCTTTCCCCAACCCGTCCTAAATAGAAATTGTTTCACTATCCTGCCCTGCAACCTTCGACCAGCCGATTGAGCGAGCGAGGCCGTCTCACGCAGGTGAACACCACTCTATCGAGCTTCTATTTATAGAGCATCGGAATTTGACTGATTGAGAACTATCTCTGGAAGACTGTCGGTTTGTCTCTCGAGCACTGTGTGGCCTTGGCGACGCTGCGAGAGGGATAAAGCACTCTTTGCCACGCTCGTTTCGCGGGCCACTCGTGCTAATGCCGATGTAGGACTCATATAGTCGCCTCTCGCCTTCTATCTCGAGTGGAACCCTTGGGCTTGATTCGGAGGATTCAGAAGCGTGATTACCGACCACGACACACGAGATCATATAAAAACTCAGGGAAAGACTGTTGTTGACGTTACTTAACTTTTAGTCTTGGCGAGAAGTGCGCATAACGTGACGACGTCTTAGATTATGTGTCAAGTCTTAATTTAAAGCTGTCAGCCAAGGCGGCTCTCCAAAGCGGCCCTCCCTATCATGAGGCAAGGGGTCAAGGCAAGGACTGTTCTAATACACTAACAATCTCTGGAGCTGCCTGAAGCTGGTCCGTTTCGTTGCCAGTTAGGTGACATAACGGTAGGGTGGGGAAGAATGCCTGGGACTTGAACCTCCAAAAACGGAGGTTGGGGATGCCAATTCTGGATGCACGACCTCCGATTTTAGACGTCTCTGTCCCAACAGCAAAGAGTCCCGAGGGGCTGATTAGTAGTTGGGTCGGTGACGACCAGCGAATACCGGCTGTTGTATGTCTTTTTGGTTCTTGCCTCGTGGGTAAAGGTATGCCTATAATATCTAGCAACCGCCGTAACTGTTATATACGACCATACCTAGTGGAAAATACGGGATCCCGTCCGCTCTCCCATAGTCAAGCCGCTAAGGGGCTGATTAGTAGTTGGGTCGGTGACGACCAGCGAATACCGGCTGTTGTATGTTCTTTTTTGTCTTTCAATTCGTGAACAAGTGGAATGGATATAGTCTCTAGCAACCGCTGCATCTGTCACATGCGTCCATACATAACTGTTAGTGGAAACAGGCCTAAGCTGGAACAACATCGCCCACTAGAACGAGATCCTTGGGGATCTTGACACCAACCGTCGAATTGATGCCCATCACTTTGCTCCCCGGCAGCAGCAGGTTTGTGGTGCGCAAGAATCCAATACCGAAAGAAGCCACCGACACTTCCGGCGCCTGCTGCCAGAGTTTCTCCATACCCTCATGCCACGCGTCCCAGCTGATACCGTTGGGCTCCTTTTGGTCCATGCGAAAGTCCTTGGTCTGCAGGTTCAGGTCGAACTTGAAATCATCGTCCGTCACTTTGACCGTGGAGTTGAGCTTCCGAGGCAGCGCGTGGTTGTCCGTATCGCAGAGTTGGTACGTCGCGTTAATGGTGCCGCTGGCACCTTCGTAGTTGGGGCCAATGTAGGCAAAATCCCATTTCGCCGTCCAATTGATACTGCGCTCGATCTTCCACAGCGCGCGGACCGAAGGCGGTCCATTCACGTCGTCCTGGTTGATGCTCAGCTCCAGGGGACAGTCCTTGAGGTTGACATTGGAGCCGTCCACGTGGAAGACGCTTGTCTGGTGGTATTTGATGTTTTGCTCGGCGACGTTCCATTTTTCGGAACTCAGGCATGTGACCTTATTGACTGCTTCGTTTGGCGTTGGCGAATCCTTAAGCGACCAGCCTGAATTTTTGAATCCGTGCTGGAGGATTGTCGTCTTGAAGAGAGAAGAGGACAGCAGGAGACTAGCCGAGAAGCCCGCTGGGATGGGCATGATGCCGTTGTCGTACCACTGCGTGGTCCACCGCTGCTGGAGGTTCACCGAGTCGGGCTTGCTGACTCCGCCCACGACCTGGATGAAGATGGACAAGATCGTGACGTTCTCCCAATGGCCGCTGCCACAATACGTAGCGAACTGGAACTTCTCGGGCCGCAGCTCCACCCCCTGGCTGTTGGTCTGGTTGTTGACACTGGCGATAGCGTAGCTGAACGCCCGGGGAACGCCGTCAACGAGCTGCCCGATCCCGCCCTTGGTGCCCGTGAAGTAGGCCTTGAATCTGTCTTGGAACTGGCTGTCGGTGACTGAATGGGAATCGTCCTTGTTCCAGTCCTCTGGCGGGATGGCCGTGACTGTGATGGAGTTTGGGTCCATCTCGAATGCCAGCACAACGTGCTGCTGCTTGACGACATCGAAGTCGAAATGGATCGGCTTTGTCCCCGGAATGATGGACGTGTTCTCCTCCGGTTGAATCTTTCCCTCGACTAGTTCCCCCATCGCGCTGGCAAGGGGGACATTGTTCAAGCTCACGAACCAGCCGGGCTCAAACGATTCCACCGGCGCCTCGCTACCCCACTGAACACTCCCGCCAATGACCTCCATCTTGAGGGAGCAGCACGGTGTTTTCACGGACCTGGCGTTGAATTCAATGACGGGCGGGCCAAATTTGACGTGCCAGAAGGACTTGTACTTCTGATGGGTGCGGTTGTCGACCTCGTCATTCTCGAAGCGCAGCTCCTGAAGCATGCCACTCTGCTTTTGGGTGAAGGACCTGTGACGCTCGGCCAGCAGGCTGTTTATCTGCGTTTCCGAGTAGTTGGCGACGACGTCCCAGCCCATCGTGAAGGACATGTCCGGTGGGGCGCTTTTGGGATGATTCATGCCCCTGATCATGGACTCGACGCCCTGTTTCTGAGCATCGCTGAGTGGTGCTGTCATTACGGCAGATGTTTGCGTTATGAGGAGAGGCTTAGCAGAAGCGATAATGAAAAAAGTTGAAGGGGGAAAAGGGAGGATAAGTTGCGGATTTGGTGTTGGCTTGAGGGGAGGTGGTGGTTAGTCGTTAATGGCTGGTCTGTGTTGCATCACATCGGGCAATCGAGCTTTATCTATAGAAACTTCCGGTCCCAGATGAGACCATTCGCCAAGTTCAAAGGAGAGACCATGTTGGGCCTAGTTGCGCAAGTCCTCGTAGTCGTATTAGGGGCGTGTATGGCCAGAGAGTTCACCGGGGCCAGAACTGTTACTACTTCTGATCTAGATGCATCCAAATTAGGGCCAGCTCGACCTTGGACAATCTAGACCTGGCTCCCCTGTCTAGCTGAAAGCTCAAGCTGGTCAGCTCGACCTTGGATAATCTAGACCTGGCTCCCCTGTCTGGCTGAAAGCTCGAGCTGGTCAGCGCGACCTTGAACAATCTAGACCTGGCTCCCCCGTCTGGCTGAGAGCTCAAGCTGGTCAGCTCGCTGTGCATGTCAAGTGGCTGCATGCCGGACACCCCATGGCTTTCATTCTGAGGGCACTGGGAATGCGGAGACTCTGGGTTAGAAGAAGTGATCACAAGGTTGATGATTTTTCTCCAGGAGGCCTCTAGTCCGGTTAGTCGTCAACACTGAGGCAACGTCCCTGTGGAGACAGGAACTTTGTTGTCGTTGTTCAAGGCGGATGGCACACAGTATCCAAGTTACAAACCATTCAATTTGATGTTCACAGAAGAAGACTCATCGGGAAGAGTCAGACATACTGAGGCGTCAATAAAAACAGCATCCTATCAAGCTTTGCGATGGAAAGTTCCAGATAATACACTCCCAGAAACCCAGAACGGCAGTGCAAACAAGACATGACGATATACACACAACATACAGCCATATTACGATCGCGCTGGAACAATAAGCTCGCTCCTCTTGGCCCAGATGATACCAAACTGGGTGAAGGCATTCGTATCCTTATTGTGGTAACCCCAGAATCCAGCAAGAGACCAGGTGCTGTCCGGGCGAGAGAGCTTGGCCGTCTCGTGGGGTTTGGTCCCAGGTGCCTGGAACACAAACTTGCCCTCGGCCTGCCGATCGTCTGCAACGACGCACGTCAGGACCTGACCCTTCTGCTCGGCCAGGTAGGTCGTGTCGAGCGTGACGTTGGTAAAGTGCTGCGGCTGGCTCTCCAACGGGGCGCCCAGAGTCCCCGGAGCACATTTACCGCGCCGGATGGAGCCGCCGTCTGTGTATCGAATGATGTATCCGGTGATGCGGTGCGAGTCCTCCTGGTAGAACTTGATGGACGAGATGCGCCACTTGTCGTCCTTGATGTCGTGCAAGTCGTTGAAGTAGACGGACCTGTCCTTGTCGATGTTGCTGTCGCCGATGAACTGCGACATGCAGTACGCGCCCGCCTTGGCCTTGTAGGCCACGGCAGACTTCAACGCATCGTCGGGTAGCGGTCTTCCCATCACCATCTGGTAATCAGGTCCGGATGGCTGCTGCTGCTGCGATGGCGTTGTCGACGACGCCTGAGACGGCGGCACCGTCTTGGTGTCATCAAGTCCCCAGACTACTCCAAGAGCAAGGAAGCCCCCCTTGAAAGGGGCAAACGAGCCCCAGAAGCCTCGAAAGGTCCAAAGACCATTTGTTGGCTGCTCCAGAGTGGTGATCTCAGGCGTCGCATGCGTCGTCACGGCACGGCCAAGCGGAGGGTACTCCTGCGTTTTGATAGTGTCCAGCGTCAGCTGCAACCCTCGGACGCGGCCCGTGGAGTTCTGCGGGCGCGCCAGCTCAACGGCCAGCTGAATGACAGAAGTGGCCTTGCCATCTTGGATGAGCAGAGTCTTTTGGGCTGCGCCCTCGCAGTCGCCGTGTGCGGCTTCGGCCCCGTTGGTGTACACGACCCTCAGCCCAGTGAGAATCTCATCAGTGACCCAAATGTCAATAGATCTGGGCTCCCACGAGTCGTCGATCTTGTCGAGGCAGTTGAAGAAGGTGGCCGCCTTGCCAGGATCATCCACCCCCGCCCAGGCGTTGCCCATGTCGAATCTCTTGGATTTGCCTTTGTGGTGGTCGAGCGACTGCTCCATCTTGGGGTACGGCTCGCGCGACTTTTCGCTGCCGGAGCGGTTGAACAGCCACTGCTGCAGCCGGGGCGCTTCATCCGTCTCGCCGAGGATGACGAGATTCTTGGGGTTGAGCTTGGAGTCTGGATCGTCCGTTTCTACAGCACGCAAGGTGACAACCTATATATAGAGAGAAAAAACACACTTGGTTAGCTCGGGTAATGTATATATATGGGAAATACGAGAATGCGGAATTACATACCGGAAGAAGTTGCGTGAAGATCCGTGGGCTGACAAAACGATCTTCCCTCGATGGATCGAGCGCATAATCCGGATGGGTGGTCACAAGGTCGACCTATTTGTCCAGAGTCAGTCTGGGCGAATTCAAGCTGAATTGACAATTCAAAGGCTGCAACCAACCTCGGTGACAATCTTAATCATCTCATTGCGACAGTGTCGCCGCGCCTTATCCAGCCCAAGGATGGTGGGACTGTAAGGGGTGAAGTCGATCAGGTCGGGTACCTGGAACTCGGGGGTTTTGTTGCTATCCGAAGCATTGCTGCTCGACGGAACCCGAGCCACGGTGTTGCTTTTTGGAGCATCCTTATCCGACTCTGCCACTCGAGTAGCTATGCCCCGGCTGCTGTCCTTTGGAGCCTCCGGGATCTGCTCTGGTGTCGAGGATGCCGCTGCCGCCGCCGCCGCCGCCGCCTTCGCTTCAGCCAGCGCCTGCACCTCCTTTGGGACTTTGGCTATCCTCATATCGGCGCGGCGATTCTTGTGCTCAAAGTTGGCGATTTGGATCTGCTTCCATATGGACTTGTAGTCCATGTAGATATCCAGCAGGGCCGAAGTGTACACGCCCGCATTCTCGTACGTGAGCACCGACTGTGGCTGGTACAGCTTGAGAAAGCTCTTCAGAGAGGTATACTTGCTGAGAATGGCGTATGTGCGTTGAGGTGTCCTGGAAACGTTCTCGGGGAAGTTGGCAGCAGCCAGCGTGAGGGAGTTGACGTCCCAGATGGCGTTGGTGGGTTTGATCTGTCCGCCGCCGCTCCAGTTGACCGTGACGGTGGTCTCGGTGGAGGAATTGATCTCCGACTTGTTCATGTCCACTCCGCCGGTGACTTTGCCCGACAGCGCCGGGGTGCCCAGCGTGGCTTCGAGCTCGGCCTTGATGGCAAAGGTCTTGCTCTTGTCCGAGACCTTGACCGAGATCAAGGCGTTGAGCTCGCCTCCCTCCTCGAACCCAGAGATGAAGGTGTCCTACGGCGATGAGTGAAGGATTAGATTAGATTCCAAGCATCCACTCATCCGAGGGGATTGAGAGAGGTGAGGCTTGGCTTACCCCGTAAACGTCATTGAAGCGGCCACCGGCAGATGCGGTCAGGATGTCCTGAAACTCGGTGTAGTCTTCCGCGCTGACCACCTGATTGACCACCTTGACCTGGACAAAGAAGTTCATGTCGCTCTCTTTGAACTTGTCACTGTCGATGAAGGATCCACTGGCCGCTCCACCGATTGTAGCGGTCTTGATCGACAACGAAGCCGAGATGTTCATTGCATCTACGTACTCACCCGTCAGTTAGTTCACCAGATCTCAAAGCTGAAGGCTCGCTGTTCAACTTGCCTGTAATGTCACTCAACTTGTCGACGAACCGCGAAGAGTACGAAACAATCTGACTGACCCCCTTGGCGGGCTCATTGCTCCTGGGCCTCCCGAGTGTCTTGTCTGTGTCGGGTTCGGGCTCCGGGTCCGACTCAGCAGAATCCTCATGCGGTATTACATCGGCTTCGACTTTCTTCTCGAGCATAGCGGCCGGTTCGAGCTGTTTCTTTTTCGCCTTGGGCACCTTGGCCACCTTGGATGGCTTCATGACAGCATCATTGAGGCAGATCTGCTGCGTGTAGCTGTTGAAGCCCTGGCCAAGGCGCATGGCATTGTTGTAGGGGGCAAGCTGGACGCCCATCTTGACACACGTTTCGTCAGGGTATGATTGATGGGTGTGATGATCCAGAGGGGAGAGACCGATTTTACATGTAGTTTGCAATGGCAGAAACGGTTATGGACTACGGAGGAGGGATAGAAGCTCCAATCAAATCATAACCACGCCATCGAGTCGCAGGCTGAGTGAGCATGGCCCAATCCTCATTTGTGGCGCCCGGGTTCTGGTCTCTCTCACAGCAGGACTCCATGTTCAGGTTGCGCGCCCTCAGCTGGCGCCCGGTTCAGGGGGCTGTCGTCTACAATCTGGTGATGGCATCTCGATGGAATCATTTGATTCATGGCAGGCCTCGGCTGGACACGAGCCTGGGCCCTGGGGCCTGGGCACCTCTAGCGTCGCATCCGCATTCGTTGCTAGCGGTGGAGTGCAGTGCGGATGGCTTGGCAATAGTCGCAGGTAGTCGCATGTAGTCGCATGTAGTCCCAGGGGCCAGGTAGTCCCCGGTAGTCCCACTTTGTTCTAGATGACTGTTCTTCAGCGGGCGCGAGCGCGACCCGTGCCGTTCGCAGTGCCGATCCTCCAAGAACTTGAAGGCTCTGTCCACTCTGGACCCGGCACGGCACGGCACGGCACGGGATAGCCCTCTGGTCCTGAATCAATCAAATCCGGAGGCGTGAAGGCGTGAATGCTGAAGCCCACATGGTGCTTGCTCTGGATCTGTTCGGTTGTGTCAGCTGCCTGCCATCTGATGTCCATCGAGCGAGCATATCCGCATGTCCTCTCCAAGAAATCAAAGTACATGGAATTATGGATGACCCAGCACAATGCACCATACGGCGATTAGGCGCCTCATCTCTGCCCATTTTCCTGCCGTGGCACCGGGAACACAAGCGCATCCTCGCCTGCTTCGATTCCTCTGCTGCCGAGCTGCAGAATGGTCCTTGGAAACGAGCGTCGCCTTTCCATCTCGGCGCCGCCTCATCTCGCATCTGCCAGGCGAGGCTGGAGGTTGGCGTCGGACGCGCCGTAGAAGGCCGCAGCGACTCGAACAGCCTGACGTCGGAGCATTTCAGCGGGACCCTTGGTCTTTCGGTCGGAAACTCGCTTCTCAGTGCCGGAGTAAGCGCCAGCTACGACCAGCAGATGCAGGAAGCAACAAATGTAGGTCTCAAGACATTGAGCATGGATGAACAGCCATTAACAGGGAGCCAAACAGGCGTCTCGAGCTTCGCACAACAGTCGACTCCGCTGCGGTCGCGTTGCGCTGGCATCAGATCCGCCTCTGTCTTCGGCAGCGAAGTCGCTGCTCCGTCGTGAGAATGGACAGCAATTATTCAAGGAACTGTACGGCGACTACTACGTCGCTGGCTATGTTCTCGGCGCAGACGCCGGGGGCTGTCTATCAGCCACCAGCAGCGCTCGGCAGCAAGTGAAGACCATGTCCACCACGGTACGGGTCAAGGCTCTGTGGGAGTCGTACACCAGCTCGACATGCTCGACTGAGAGCCACCAGACGTACAGCATGGATCTGGCCTTTGACGCGTACGATACCTTGGCCGGAACAAACGTGTCACTCCGCGCAAAGGCCGGAGAAAAAACAGACGAAATCAGAGAAGCCGCCCTCCTCTACGCTCAGAGATGGCAGGCTCTACACGAGAGGCTTGAGAGACGCATTCACGAGATGGGCTTGGAAGACTGCAGCTTGGGGCAGGTGAGCGAACATTTGGACATGATCAAGGCAGGATTGGTAGTGGAACTCATCCTGACTCCGTTCCGAGCGCTTGGAGAATACTCGCGATGTATGTTGGAAGGACAGCAGAGTCTACTGGAACCAACTTGTAGTGAAGTAGTTGCAGCATCGATTGATGTATGAGAATTAGAGCCGGAAAAAAAGAAATTGCATGAGGGCCACGCTTGACGTAGACTTGACTTCAATCACACACTCCCACATTATGAAGCTTATAAGGATGTGCGTGCAGATGCTGTGGCCGGCGCTGCGGTCGTCCCCCGCGTGGTATTCCACGCGTGAGTATCCCCCCGATTGCTATTTGAGTACCAAATCAATTTTTACGGAAATAGCAGGGTCCAGTCCAGAACCTGCATCGTACATTGACCAGCTGAAAGGCAACCGTCGAGGCCTCCGAGTGATCTGGAAGCGGCTCCAAATACGGCGCAGGCCCGTGGAGGATCCAGCCCATTCTAGACCAACAACTCGGACCAACTCAGATGCAGCTAGAGTCTGCTAGACGAACTGGTCGACTTCAGCCTCAAGCTTGGAACAACAAGGGTCCCCCCCCCCCCCCCCCCCTGGCGCATCCAGACCTGGCCCTCTGGGATTCGGTTCGAGATGACGATCGCATGGTTGCGCATAGTTCTTACAACAAGTGGAAGCTGAATGAACAGGCTTCAAGTTCCAGTCCCTTGGAAAGGCCCAATTCACACAAGTGCACGCCCAACGCCAATCTCCAGTCATCACAGCCGTCTGATCCCAGCATTCATCCATACTTCAACAACTCTCATTCTAGGTTGCACTACAGAGAGAACATATGCAACCATCTGTCTCAGCATGGCTTCGAAAGTTGTAGATCACACGACCCCTGTTGGAACCGCACTGCTTCTCACTGACGAGGAGCTTGCGGTGCTGTCATTGAACGACCTGCAGGAGTACAGAGCCAGCGAGGCTATTGCCCTCCAGAGATTCAATTCGAGATGGATCCGTATCGACATTGACTGGCCATACCATGACGAGAAAGAAAGGCTGGAGAAACTGCCGGATACGGACCCCAAGAAGAAGCCGGCACTCGAGAAACTGCAGAAGAAATACAATGAGCAAATCACCGCGCACAACAACAAGAAAGCAGCAGCCTGGACAGACGTACTGGAGGTGCTCAAGCGCCGCAAGAATATCTATGTCCAGACAGCCAAGGCCGTGGAGCGAACAGCCGCGGAGATGGAGGCCGATTATCGCATCCCCCAAGCTGGACGATGGATCTCCTTTCCTATATGGAACATGGAGGAGGCCAACGATAGATTCAACGGCAAGCCTGTGCCTATCACATGGACGGCCTCCAATACGACATTTACGGCGACGTACTACAAGACAACTTGCTGGTTTGGCAAGATGGTCTACGACCGGGTGCCTGGCGATGCGCTGGCTGGAGACTCGACCGAGGCTGCTGAGGAACAACGACCGATTGCTGAGGACGAGGCAATTGCTGAGGAAAAGTCTGCCGAGGATAAGTCTGATGAGCTGAAGCCCAAGAAGCCACCGGGCGGGAAATCGACGACCGGGCCTGCTCGGGCCAACGTAAAGTTTCCCGCTCGATCTGCGGCCCCAACAAAGACGTCCCCCAAAAAGGCGCCTTCAAGTGAAGCACAGAACTGGAAGGCCTCAGCCCGTCTTGAACCTTTTGGTTAGTCCACTCTGCCTTCTTCCTCGTCGCACCTGGAACGGTCGTGTTTGAACCGTACTAATAGACTGACTGACGACAGGCGAGACTGACCTCTTCATCGCCGCCGAGTTCATCGAGCAGCGGTACCAAGGAGCTCCGCACCTGCGAGGCTTCCACTTGAAGGACAACTCCCCCGCCGGAACCAAGTGGGCTTACCTGCTCATCGACCATGCCCTCCACTACGGACAGGACGCCGAGCCTCCCACGCACCGCTATCTCGTCTATCACCCCTTCATCCGGCCGCGCAACATCCCGCAAAAGTCGTTTGCCGACAATCTCAACGTGGCCAAGCTTCACAAGGCAACTACTGCTCTCGTTTCCAGTAAATCTGCCCCCGTGTCAGTCGGAGCTGCGGTCGCAGATGCCCTCGTTAGTATAATCGAGGCTCGGAACGCCCATCCGCTGAGGAGATTTCCAAAGTTCGAGGGAGATCAGAGACTGTACAACGTCCCCGCACAGATGGCAGACTGGGAAGTGCAGTGGAACAAGCAGGAGACGGCCCTGGCGCCCCAGATCAGTTCACTCCGGAAGCAGCTCCAGCTGGATCGGGACCTAGACAATACGCTGCTGGCCGATGTGCTCGTTGACGCTGCGGCTTTGGAGAGCGAGGAGCAGGCCGAAAAGACCGCGCAGGACATCGCCGATGTCCTTGAGGGCCTGGCCAGACCTGTCAAGAAGAAGGACTTTATCATCAAGACGAATGGCCGCAGCAGGGTCATTGCTGCTGACATTAATGCAAGGCTAGAGGCAGAAAATCTGGTAAGTTCATCTGCCCCAGTACATGCTCCAGACATGCATGTATATCTATCTAACCCACGTTTTATTAGCGTGCTCAGCAGCAGCAGCAACAGCAGGTCGCGCCCAATCATGGACAGCAGTCCATATCAGACATGCTCAAAGATGGATCGCGGAACGCACAGAAGGCCATCGGCGCGCCAGAGAACAAGGAGCTTGGTACAGGTAAATAAGAAGCGAGTGAGTGAGAGCACATGGAACGACTCGCGGCTCGTTCAAGGGCTTCGGGGCAGACAGTCGTGGACTAATACGGCGGTACACGTTGGGTCACATCGGGATAAACTAGTTGTAACTCCAAGCATATTTTTGAAGAGCTAATCATCTTTTTTTTTCTTTGCAAAGACTTCGTCGCAGGCATGCAAGAACTTTACCGTCAGTGCTCGAATGTGAACGTCCTCTCGAGAACATCATCTGTGATTTCGCGACCGTTCGCATCGACAAACTGCAGCACGTTCTTGCGCATGACTTGATTCCGGACATGTCCGATCCCTGGGTTTCACCAAAGTCAGGCCTGGTTCACCCTCTTAGTTGGAGATTCGAGCTTGAAAATGGTGACTATCTCGTGGCGAGGTCCGTTCGAGCAGACCAAGAGATGTATGGACCGGAGGCCGTGGTTGACTCAGCTTATGAGATATTTATTACGGTCTCTAGACAACTTGAGGGCAAACGCGTGGCTTTGGTGTTGTCGAGCTTGTTACTGTTTATTAGCGAAGAATGAGACCGGCCCTGTTTGAGCGAGCGTTTGTTTTCAAATTCTTATAGAATTTATTCATATCTCTTAGTTCTATATACAGTACGTCAGGGTATGTTTCTTTTGCTCTCCTTGTTTTTAGATGAGTTTTCGCAGCCACTGTAAATATAATCAGCACGGTACTACGTCAAAGAAAGGCTCGCGTACCTCTAAGGGCCTCTTTTTATTTTCAACTTGTCCATTGTCCCCAAAACGACGGTTGAGCAGGACTTCTGCAAGATCTCTCTTAGACTTCTGCAGCTCCACGACTCTCTGATCGACCATGTTAGTGCGAAGAGCCGGCACATTGGAATTCACTGTCTTACCTCTTCGAAGGAATTTTCGACAATGAACCGAACAGTGGTCACGCTGCGTTTCTGTCCAATGCGATGGATTCGGGCCAGGGCTTGATCCTCCACCGTCGGGTTCCTAGAACGTCAGCTGAAACTCTAGCCTTTGTGGCCCTTGGCCACCTACCAGTTTGGCTCCATTAAATAGGCTCGGGAGGCTATAGTCAGAGTCAGACTGTCGGAATTACACATTAGTCTACTCATGGTATAACGGAAGGGTTATATGTCGGATCCCTACCCAACAGCCCCGCAGGACAACGTCAAGAGCAACACCTTGGCAGAGGGATCGTTCCGGAATTTGTCGATGATTCCTGGTCTGTCCTTTTGTCGTACTTTGCCGTCAAATCTTAGTCAAGGAATCCCCGCCTGTCTGAGTCCAACATCTACTACATCCTGCGTCATTCTCCACGCGGAGAAGACCACGCTGGTATAAGTCAGCCATCAATCGTATATTATTGCTGATCTTGTTCGACAAACCATTTCACATCGTCTGGCTGTCTCTGTAGATCCTCCAGAAGCGCTATAACTTTGGTAGGAAGCCCTGTCGTGAGTCCCAGTTCCAACCGAACCGCGGGTATAGTTGACGACTCCTCTAGCATGGAAGGATCTGTAGAAATCGGAGCCATCGGGCACGGCGGGTCGTGCCCACATGAAAAGCCTCGATCCTTAGTCAAGCCCTGAGAGCATGTGGAGCAAGTGAACACAAGACATGAGAAAAAAGAGAAGCGAGGTGCTGCGTTGAATCCACCTCTAGGTTTTCTTCGATGCCGAGTTCATGTAAACAATGTTGGCATTGTACTCGGCCAGCCCCACGCTGCAGATTGAAAACTCGCTGCGCCGTGCAGTGCCAGTCCCCTTCTAGAGTTTCTCTGTGTTTGGGGAGCTCGTGTCGGTCAGGATAGAGAGTTCCGATGTTGCAGATCATGCGCATGGCTTCGATCTTCTGGAGGATGTTGACATAAGGGGTAGGAGGTGAGTCGCCACGGTGGTGTAACGCTAAGTCGATATGATCAATCACGTGGTGCCTGACAGCCTCATAGAGTTGTCTCTCCGCCGGGTTGAGTCGAATGGCACACTGAGTATCGTGCCTCGGTGGCAATAGAAGAATTCCCTTCGGTCGACGGAGGAGCAGGCAGACCGAGAGTCGTTTCAGTCGCTTAACGGCCTCGTCGACGTGTCCGGACTTCCACAAGTCGGAGATGTCGGCGTCAAAAGCTCTCTTCTCTGAATAAGGATATACATTCAAGAATCTAAGAAGTGTGGCCAGATCTCCCAACTTGTTCTGGATCGGTGTGCCGGTCACGGCCCACCTCGAGACGGAGTTGAGAGCGCAGATTGCACGGGCCATCTGGGACTCACTGTTGCGTATAAAGTGCGCTGGGATTCTGCTTTAGACCTTTGTAGTTCAATAGGGCTAATGGGCATACCTTCATCTAAAACGACTCGCTTCCAGACGGTACTGAAGATGATCGATTCTTTGGCACTCCGCCACTCTGTAGTGACTGTCTGATATGTTGTGAGGACCATCAAAGTGTCCTCCAGGTCCGATTTGTTAGCTAAGCGAGCTTTGTGATGGTGAAGTCGCCATGGAAGGCTATTGGGGACTGAGTGCTCTTCCAATTGTTCCACCCACGAGATAAGCACTGTAGCCAAAGTCAATCAATTTGTCAGTCGATCGGGGCAACGATTGGGCGTACATGGAGGGGGAACAATAACGAGAGTCCTTCCTGAAGAGTCCGCAGAGTCAACTGCGGACATGGACTCCGGGTCGCCGAAATCTAGGTGCATGTCGCATCCTATCAAGGCGATCACGGACAGCGTCTTGCCCAGTCCCATGGCATCCGCTACAATGCCTCCATAGAACTGAGGCGGCTGCTCAGTTTGATGTGCCCCAGACACTCTGTTTATATAACTAGCAAAGACTGTTAGAGGATGGAAATGACATGAGTCGTCTGGGGACCTCACAACTGTTTCTGTCCGAGCTCGTCCGCCTCCCATATGTCAGGGCGACTTCCGTCCCAGGCCCAACCTTGCTCCCTCTGAAGCATGAAAGTTAATGCTTGCTTCTGGTGACTTAATAAGTGTTAGTGTAAGCAAATTACGATGATGTTCTCTGAACTTCCCTTTCTAGAGGAGTACGTATGGAGCGTGGCTGCTCTGTCTCAGCCAGGCTTTGCTGGGAGCTCAGAACGTCGAGCAACTCCGGGCGTTTGTTTTTTTCATCAATAAAAACTGGGAAAAGTGATGGTTTAAGAAGATCCGCAGTCATCATAAGGGACTCATCTACCAATGGAAGTCTATGGGGATTGTGGTACGGTACGTTCTTGTTGCAGCCAACCGGATCCTGGAGGTAGATGTCGTTATCGTTGCAGAAGCTGTTGATATCCTGGAGCAAATCCATCGGTCCGTAAATGACAATTTCAAGAGAACATGGTCTCGAGAAGCTGGGGGAGCAACGCGCCTGAGGCTTGCCTGCTGCCTTGATTGAATCCGTTGTGGTGGTGGCACTCGCCTCCAGCTCTAGCGACGTTTCGTCGACGAGAGAATTTATCAGCCATGCATCATCAGGACTCACTTCGCCGTGGAAACCAGATTGATCGGTTCCTGTGAATTTGACGGCATCTTGGAGATGAATTGGGTAGATGGTCTGAGTGGAGGAGGCCGACTGATAGCAGCGGGCTGCTATTTGTGTCACCTGCTCATGTAAGCCACAGTCGTATAGAAGACACTCTTAGGGCGTCAAACCATTCCGAAACAAACTTGAACATCCTGTATCTCGTCTCGCTGATCATAGCCATGTTCTTGGCAGCGGTCGTGGAGTTGATGGTGCTGCGTCACAGGAGTAGACGCCGGTAGATTGGAAGAGGCTGCGGGATCTCGTCATATGCGCCCTGTCGTAGCACCACGACGGTTAACCGCTGTCGACACGGCACGTTCCTTTGCGTTTCCTCCACATCCAGGTTTTCTCCAATTAGTGTTTTATACAGCTGCCTCACCCACTAGGCTCACTTCAGTGAGCCGCAGCCTTTGGTTGGTACCAACCATGCCTACGATATCAAGTTCCTCTTACATTACGAGCCAACCCCCTTTTCTAGCTATTTGGGCGACCCACATACGATCCAGGGATCCTGTCGAAACACGGTTAGCAGACCAAAGCCCACAAGAGGGTACTGGATGAAGAAAGAGGAACTAGAAAGCCTACGCCGATTAAGAGACCGGGCATGAGCAGGAGCGGGCGTTTACTCGAGAGTCAACACATATCGCCTCCATGACCTCAGAAGAACCCTCCCGTATGGTCAAATAGCTAGTCTAGACCGTCCTTCAAATCGAAAATCGGGCCTCGCTATTCGATTCGTGTATAGTACGTCTCCTATAGATCCGATTTCGAATTAAGCACCTGTCATTCGATTTGATGTCACGATTCGCGCTGTTCAAAAATAACTAGATTGATATCAGCAAGGTGGGGTGGACTCGAGGACTAAATGACACGACATAGGGTATATGTTCCTGGGTCTCAACAGCCCAACCATGCTAGGGAAGGATAGTGGCAATACAGAAATGGTTAAAAAAACGGCACGGTAGCGCACAGCGCCAGAGTCGGTCATTGACTGAGAAATGGCCGTAGCCTGGGTCGTCTCCGTCTGGGAAGTCTCCGTCTCCTTCCTTGGTGCTGACCAGGCGTTCCCAGGTCTTTGTGACGGGCTCAAAGACATTTAAGTAGCCTTTGCCACCGCAAATCTCGTCCTTGTTGCCGCTGCACGGCATATCGCATTTGGTCTCGTTCCTTGTCGACTCACCACCCACAAAGATGCTGCACCAGCACTGGTTCCCCTGCTTCACCCCTGGCGAAAAGGACAGTGCCGTTGATGGAGACTTCCCAACACATATGCTCGCAGCCAGAGATGTCCAAGGAAGGATTGCCTTTTTGACCTGTCATCATAGTCTCGAGCAGGGGGTAGACTGGATCGTCAGGATAGCAGCCTCTGGCCTCCCAAGCCGTTGGGGATGGCACGTGGGAGCTTGAGGTAGTAGAGGTTACCATACTCGACGTGGTGGTCGTAGTAGTAGTGTCGCCTGGAGGGGGCCCCTCTGTCGCTAGTAGACCCACAATAGGGTAGCGGGTAGAGCCATAGCTCGCAGTCAAGACTGACGGATGGATTCCACTTGGAGAACTGCTCGGGAGTTAGGGCGAACAGATCCCGGATGTCCTTGGAAGTTGGGTTCTGCTCTGCATTATTATACCCGTCGATGCAGGTGTCGACAGTAGCGAGATCCGTTGAGAAGATTGGCTTGGGAGTGCTAGCAGCGCAAAGGGGGAGAAGGGCCAACGCCGCCGCGGCCAAGAGCGTTGCGCGGCCGTGTACGGTGCGAGAGGACGATCTTGGGACTTGGGCCATATTTATCCTGCGGCTTCTTGAGGGGACGAGGGACTAAGAGGACTTGTGAGGAGGTCGAGATGACAGGGAGAAGATGGCAGAGCAAGGGAGCCCCCGACTATGTGGGGGAAGGTAGAAGATTCTTCAGATCGAGCCAGACACAGACCATGTGGCAGTCATTAACTTGAAGTCCGACTGGTCGTGGGCGGCAGCGATGATTGCGGCATAACCGACGCCAAGAGCTACAGCAGGGGCAGGAAGGAGCCAGCCGATGACGGTCGCCGGGCCCCGATGCAGGAACAACAAGGATGTGGGGAACAAGAACAGATCGTTAGGTTCTGGGCCTCCGAAGCGAAGCCAACAGAAAACTCGCGAGCAGAGCGTCGGCAGTCCTGCCTCTTTGAGGTTCGTGGCCGCAATGAGTTAACTGGTGCGGTTCAGAATTGTAGTGATTTGGTACGCGCTTGGTGATAGTGTTGGTTGTTGTGCTCAAAATGGGTTGATACAGTACGGATACGGGCCCGCGTGCTCGGCCGTTAAGGAAGGATAGAGTCTGGTCCCTGGCCGAGGCTAGGCTGCGGCTGCAGCAGGGTCAGGGACAGCGTTGCTGGTCAATCAATCAATCAGGCCAGATCCAGGGGGTAGGACTATGCACCCTTCCGCCCTGTTTGATTGGGTTGATCAACCACTCAAACGAGTGGTAACCTAATTGGTGGGTCGAAGGCCTCAGAATGCATCTTCTTCTGGCTGTTGTTTGCGAACGAGGAACTTAGGAAGATGGTCTGATTGACCCGCAGCCCTACTCAGGGACTGAGCATCGGCGCCGCCAAATGGGCGTCTGAGGCTGCCGGCTCGCAGCCCTTGACAGCTTGACCGTCTTGGTCATTTGGAACCAACATAAAATGCTTTGTTGCTCCATGCGGACAGTCACATTTGCTGTGTTGGCAACCGACACGAAAGAACCTGGGATCTCAACGCCCGCTCAAAGACAACCGCCCGCTGCGTCCGGGCTCTGCGCGCTCATGAGCCATTCCACCATGGCCTTTTCACGACTCCCATTCGAGATTCGCAACTACATTTGGAGTCTGACAGCCATCGAGACCCGTCGCATCACCAACGTACACATGATTATGAGCATCTTACCTTTCAAGCCGAAGCAACGCAGAAAGGGCCTTCGGTATCCTCTACGAGACTGCATCCGCCCCGGTGCCCGCCGTTGTTCAGGTCTGCCGCGAGGCTCGCCAGTATGCGCCGTATACGCGTGGTTTTACCGCCGGCACTGAGCCGCGCTGGACGTGGGTGAACTTTGCGCTCGGTCCTTTTTGCGTATGGAGTATAGAGTCGATCAACGATATCAAGTCTCATCGGAGTGAGGCCGCACGGGGTGCAGGGCTTCATCGATGTGTTCAAGGATGCCGCGGTGCATCATGAGGACTATAGAATCCCATCGACATGGTGAGGCACCAAAGCATAAACTAACGATGTTTTATAAAAATGCAATATTCAGCGATTTATTCTATTTACCTGCGTTTCCGGATGCAGGGCTTAAAATAGCTGGGGAAGGGCTAGAGAGCCCACCACCATTCGATAATATCTCCCTACTTGAATTTGCAGAGTGGACCAACTCAACCTCCCTGACAGAGCCCATATCCAGACTATGCCTTCTTCTTTTCGTCGATTTGTGACTCAGCTGAGTATTGCCTGGTCCTTGTGCCCAAGAGTTGTCCATGGCGATGCTGAATGGGAGGAGGCGGTTCATGTTATGCCTGCTCAACTTATCTAGGGCCGTCTTGAAGTCATCGAGAATGATACTGTCGGTGAAACACTTGAAGACAAAAGCAAACTTCCAAAAGGGGTTGATGGAACCGATGGGAATCACCTGTGTCACCGACAACAGGTCTATAACAATAAATATGACACTCAGGACCATGCAGAAGAGTAGAGTCGTGAAGCGGGGAGATAATTTCATGATATCGACAAAGCCGAGTTCGTACCGGAACTTGATGTTCCAGAAGAGGTTGACAATGGTGAAAATCCACCAAGGATCGCTATCATACGCACAGTCAGGGCAGGTTCCCACGTGGATCGTTGTCTGGTCTAGATTGCATACCGGAAGAGCGCCTCATACGGTCGCGTGGCAATAAACAGACGGTGATTGATGCCATTAAAGTAGGCAAAGTTGGCATAGATTTCGAGGACCCAGTAAGGCTGGACAAGAAGAACGCTGCCAATGTAGATCCGGCTGCCGCGACGGTCCAGGAATGGTTTATTCTTCATCCACGCGACAATATTGTGCAGCGTCCACGAGGTGATGAGCGGGACGACAGTGGAAGAGAGGTACCAGCCCCAGACCGGGGGGTCGAAGAAGATGAAAAAGCCATTTGGTACGGCGAGAAGGAGCTGCATTCATTGTCAGCAGGCTTCTGTAAGGGTTTGATGAGTATGAGCATCACCAACCTCGATCAAGATGAGTTTATGAAGAAGGACTCCTCCACGCATATTGGCCACCGTGATCCCACACATGATCACAAGGGCGCCGACCATGAAACCCTGCGACCATGCCTCCAGCGTTAATTTGAGAGAATCCTCGGGCTTAGAAGTGGAGTTGGACATGTTGGCCGTCCAGAATTGTCAAGGCGACAATTCGAGATGCGCGCGCTGATCATTGATCACTGCAGTGATTACAGCTTGGGAGTTGCATGGGGAGTGGACTCGGGGAATCGGGGGGTTTAGTACCTGATGTACTCCGCATCTCAGCCGCACCAGGCCCTCCTGCTGGAGAATCAACCTGACCTATAGGACGTTAATTTCCCCATCCTCGTCCCCATTCTTCAAACTATCAGACTCCATCAACTCCACACGGTGCGAACGAGAGTCCGGGGAAGCGGGGGGAGACCGGGGAGAATGCTCTTGACCCCCCTCACGAGGATGGTGGCTGGACGTGCTAAACGTGATTTGATTACTAGCTCCGTTTACGTGTCACTTGGCATCCATGCTGCTCATTAAGGTAAGCACAGAGAAGAAAGTTGGATTCCGGGACAATATTCTATATTACTGCAGCTCTAGCACCAGCTAGAACCCAAAGGAGTGAGCGACGTATCTTTCAAAATGACCTCTCCGTCTTCGGCGGCGATGCTGATGCCGGTCGATTCTTGGTAGCGGGGGAATACAGTGGCGGAGAAGACAGTCCCATCCCCAGCAAAGATCTCCAGCATGGATCGATCGAGAAAGATATCCAACGTGAGCTTGTTGTCCGCCTCGGGAGCAATTTCAGCTTCCCACATGCCAGGTTGACCGTAACCAGCATTGGTCGTGTCCAGGGTCAGCGTCTTGTTCTCGATGTTGTAGGTGAGAAGTGTAGCCTCGGCCTTGGACTCGAGCAATGACAGCGTGAAGGACGACGCCGTTGTTGCGCCAAGGTCCACAGTCAGCTTCAGCCTCGCCACGTTCTCGCTTCCAAGGCGGTGTGTCTTGGCCTTGATCTTCCTGCGCCCAAGGTCCTCTGTCTTTCCGATCGCCAGGCTGTCCAGCTCGGCAATGGGGCGGTGGCCAAGCCCGCCGTCCTCGCGCAAGAACAGCTCGCGCGTAATGGACTGCTGCCCAGCCCAGCCGTTGGGGCGGCTGGGCCACTTGGGTGTCGGCCAGTTGCCCATCCAGGTGATGGCCAGGTCGCGACCGGATTCGTCCTTGTACCACTGCATCGCGTAGCTCGCGGGGCCGGCGTTCAGAAGACCGCGCTTCTCGCTGGTAAACGTCGTCCCGTCAAAGGAACCGACCTCGTACCACCCAAGGGAAAGCCCGCCATAGAAGAGAACCCACTTGTCACCAAGCGGTAGGAGATTCGGGCACTCCCATATCGCGCCCGTGCTGCCATCCGTCCCTTCGTACACGAGGCCGACTTCGGACCAGGAGAAGGTATCGGAAGCACGATACAGCCGCACTTGTCCGTCCACATTGTTTGTCGCGCCAATGACCATTTTCAAGGTGTCGTCTGTCGGGTCGTGAAAGGTCTTGGGATCACGGAAGAAGGCAGGGGCTCCCTTTGGTGGACCGGCAACAACAGGGTTACCGCCGTAGAGGTCAAAATTGATTCCATGTGTGCTGCTGGCCATGATGACAGTCTCTTGCACGGCATCAGGATGAGCGTTGGTGTCCGTGAAGTTGGTGTAGATGAGGTGCATTCCCTTGCTGTCACTGAATGCGCTGCCGGTAAACGCGCCGGATTCATCATTCTCGTTCTCCGTCTCTGATGGGTAGAGGGCGACAGGCAGCTCACGCCAATGGACGGCATCGGTGCTCACTGCGTGCGCCCAGTGCATTGGACCCCATACGACGCCATCCGGGTTGTACTGGCTGAACAGGTGGTGCTTTCCGTTCCACTCAATGAGGCCAGCTGGGTCATTGATCCATCCCGTATACTGAGTGTAGTGATACTGAGGGCGAAGCTGGTCTTTTTCAAAGAGCGTGCAAGCCGGTTCTTCGCCAGCTGACTGCTGATTGACTTGTTGGCCCAGGACATTGAATGTCAACCCCGGGCCGTCACTCTTTGCGCGGGCACCGACACGGAGGTCGTCAAAGTTGATATGGCCCCAGCTTTCGTTGGTGTTGCTGTCATGGATGACAATGTGAACCGATTCGCCCCGCCAGTCGCTCGTGTCCCAGGTAATGCGGAGGAATGCCTCATCGTTGATTCCGGTCTGCTTCAGGAGAATCTTCCCATCGCTCTCCCTGACGAGACCCACGTAAAGATGATCGGGGTCATACCCGCCACTAACGAGGAAGCTCATGACGGAGCCGGCCCTGAAAGAGCCGGACTTGAGCTCCCCGACGGCAGTCTCTCCGGCCTGTGCAGTGCCCAGGACGAAGAAGTCCTCGTCTTGGTGGAAAGGGCCGTCCCAGTAGGTCTGGACATTGACAACAGATTTGCTCCCAAAAGCATCTCCGCTGACAACCTCCCAACCTTCGAGGGTTCCTGACTCAAAACCTGCGTTGGTAGGTCCGGCGCATGGTCGTGAATGTGGGGCACCAGCGGACACAGAGGTCGCCAGAGCGATCAAGCCGAGCTTCAAGAGAGGAGTGTGAGGAGAAGTAGAAGACATGATGAAGACGGGCTTTGATAGCAATGATAGACAAGTGGGTTGATCTCTGAGATGGTAGAGAGTTGTCTGGAAACTTCATGAGACGTGGAAAGTGGTTTATTTTATACATGTAAGCTTTGGTCAACAGTTGAAGCCCTCTCCCCACCCTCTTCCGATGACCTCTGAGCTCTTCAAAATGTGTTTCCTCATGAAGAGTTCTCCGAGCGCTGAGTATAGGAGGCCCGCCCTTCGGCTCCAGACAAGAGACCGCCAAGTCCTGCGATGATGGTTTGTCTACAGGTGTGTTTTTGCCATCTTGAACGTCTCGGAATCGCCGATCCCACAGTCCGAAGCTCGAAGCGTGGCTCATCCCTGCCTGTATGCAGACTGAACGACCTCGGTATCTTGCACGTTACACCAAGGTACTGGAAGAAGCAGTCCGCCCGTGGGGAGGCTACTAATAAACGTGGCTGACGCTAATGCACAGCTCATATTCGGCCGGTCAACGTCTGGTTCTAGAAGGCGCAATCGAAGGACGCTAGAAGGACGCTAGAAGGATCACTCCGCTTTCTCCAGAGTGGGTGTGACATCATCTTGGCCAGTGAAATCATCTCCTCCAACCTCCTGACCAGGGACACGACAGTGCGAACAACGATCGACAGTAGATTGGTCCACATTCCCCGCACCAGCTCCTAGCTTTCTCCTTTGCCTGGGGGCCAAGAGGCCCAAGCTCCAGCGCCCGCTCGATGATGCCACTCAGCACGCCTGCTCACCTGGGGATCTGGGGTTTATTCGCTGCGGCTCCAAAAACGAAAAGAACTGGGTCCTGAAAATGCCGCAGTTCCGTTATCCAATCCAATTCTCCGTAGCCCTTGTTCCGCGCGCGGAGTGATTAACAAAGAGGGGAGAGCCGGTTCGTCTGGAGTGCTCGGTTCCTGCTCAGTTCAAGGCCCTTTCATGATGGAAGATTTTTGTTTGCTGCCAAAGAAGTCTCCTATGGACGTCATTGTACACTTTTGGGCGTTTGAAAATAGAATCATAAGATACTCAAAGCGTCTAATTTGCAGAGATACGCAAGGCTCCTCCGTGCCCACGAGCCCATGTTACTTGGCCAAATATCGTATGTTCCACATGCAACGACGGGATCTAATGACAAATGTAGGCGAGAGCCAAGGCGTTGCCGTCGCAGTTGACAAACCAGCTCGAGATCACAAGCTAGTACTCCTCCATCTTACCGTGGCGAATACACTGAGGCTCGAGTCAACCAAGACGCGTCTTGTTCGTCACTAGTTCACGACCACCCTGCATCTACCAATAGAAACAAGTCAGTGTAGCTCAAGCCCCTGCCAATCCCGGGATTGCGGGGTCAGACAGACATGCATGCATACTCCGTACCACCCCATGGAATCGTTTGAGAAGAGGTGGGGTCGGGTATGGAGATAAAATGGAAACATCCGAAGCTGCATGACCTGTTGAACATCGCGGTTTTCCGTTTTAGGGTGTGATTTGCAGGCTTCTGTACCCTTGTTCCGAACTCCGCAACCGGAAGCTTCCCTTTTCAGGTTATGGTACATGGACGTCTGTGCTCGAAGCTGACCTTGAAGCTGCGTGACCTCTTCGAATCTCGGGGATTCATCTCCCAGGTCATGGTTTACAGATGTCTGTGCTCTCAGATCCGACTTGTGACTGCAGAGCTGAGTCGGCGACGCCGAAGAGCCCCATGTGAGGTGCCATGTTTGTCACCTCGGAGGTGGCAGGAGAAACACATGTAAATACATAAATGGAACAGACAATCACTCTTTCTTCTGAATTTCGTTCCAATTCAAGCCACACATCTGACCTTGACCTGAATCATCGCTCTTCTTGTCGTTTTTTGGCAAACTCCTTTTGACTCTCCAACCCAAGCATCGCCACCATGAAGCCTCGCAGCCGCTTCGCCTTGGCCAGGCCGGACTCTGAAGAGGGCAAGGCATGGCCAGCTATCGCGATCGGCATGTTTGTTGCCTTTGGTGGTGTTCTCTTTGGGTATGTCCCCCCTTTCTTTGCGCATGTCTAAAGGAAACCAAGAGCCTTGCTAACAGAGTATCTCCATAGTTACGATACCGGCACCATCAGCGGAATCCTGGCTATGCCCTACTGGCAACGAACTTTCAGTACGGGCTACATCGATGTCGAAGGCAATCCCAACGTCAATGCCTCCCAGGAGTCTGCCATTGTGTCCATTCTCTCGGCTGGCACATTTTTCGGTGCCCTTAGCTCTCCACTCTTGTCTGACTACTTTGGTCGTCGACTCGGGCTGGTCATTTCGACCTGGGTCTTCAATCTCGGTGTCGTACTTCACACTGTCGCTACCTCTATTCCACTCTTTCTCGCCGGGCGCTTCTTCGCTGGATACGGTGTCGGTCTGATCTCTGCCATGGGTAAGTCTACGTACCGTGCAGTCCTATGTAATGGATACTAACCGAGACCTAGTTCCGCTCTATCAGTCCGAGACGGCTCCCAAGTGGGTTCGTGGCGTCATTGTCGGCGCGTACCAGTGGGCTATTACCATCGGATTGCTCCTCGCGGCTATTGTGAACAACGCGACTGCGGATCGAAACGATTCAGGGTCCTATCGCATCCCGATCGCTACCCAGCTCCTGTGGTCCCTCATCCTCTGCATCGGGATGCTCATCCTTCCCGAGACCCCCCGCTTTCTGATCAAAAAGGACAGCGTCGAGAAGGCCGCCCAGGCTCTCAGCCGTCTTCGACGCTTGCCAGCCGATCACGATGCCATCAAGTCAGAATTGACCGAGATCAAAGCAAACCACGATTACGAGACCACCTTAGGGAACGGCACCTACCTCGACTGTTTCCGTCCTCCCATCTTGAAGAGGCAGCTCACGGGCATGGCACTGCAGGCGCTCCAGCAGCTCACAGGTGTGTAACTTCTCTATGTATGCAACATGCGCTTTTCAGGGCTGACCATTGTGCAAGGCATCAACTTTATCTTCTACTACGGAACCAAGTACTTTCAAAACTCCGGCGTGTCGAGTGGTTTTGTCATCTCGATGATCACCTCGGCCATCAATGTCACATCCACCATTCCCGGCATGTATGCCATTGACAAATGGGGTCGTCGGCCACTCTTGTTCTGGGGTGCCATTGGCATGTGCGTCTCCCAGCTCATTGTGGCCGTCTGCGGTACCGTGTCCACTGGCCAGTATGACAACGGCGAGATCTTCGTCAAGAGCCTTGCTGGACAAAAGGCAGCCGTGTCCTTTGTCTGCATCTACATCTTCTTCTTTGCCTCGACGTGGGGACCCTTGGCTTGGGTTGTGACGGGCGAGATCTTCCCGCTCAAGACCCGTGCCAAGTCTCTCAGTATTACCACGGCCACCAACTGGCTGTTGAACTGGGCCATTGCGTACGCAACGCCGTACCTGGTCAACTACGGAGATGGATATGCCAATATGCAATCCAAAATCTTCTTTGTGTGGTTTGGCGCTTGCTTCATCTGCATTGCCTTCGTCTGGTTCTTCATTTACGAGACAAAGGGACTCAGTCTGGAGCAAGTCGATCAGCTCTACGAAGAAGTGAGCAGCGCACGCAAGTCCACAAAGTGGAAGCCCTCGCTTTCTCCAGGGTATGGAAAGGACGCCAAGTCTGGTGGTGTAGAGGCTGAGCCCGTTGAGGGATCGGTCGACCACAAGGCCTAAACCAGATTGGTAGAGAAGGCCTGTATTGCATGGCAGGCATTTGATTGATCCTTGCGGTCGTCCTTCGCGGGCCGACAAGTATGGAATATCGGACCGGCATGCATGTCAGCATCGTACGAGACGTCAGCCCGCAGCTGACTGGTTCTGGGGTTCTGCGGATCAGTCTTCGTTCTTTTGGTGCTTTACCAGTCTTTACCTAGCTACTCCGTAATTAAAGCATAGACAAATTGGTGGATATCCTTTATAATTTTCAGTCATTGAATAAGGTACTCATACATTGCACTTTCTTCGGCAAAATGCGTGGTTTACGTACGCGCAGTCCTTATTTAGACGCTACACAATTACTTAAGCATAACCTGCGCTTAAGGGCTTAGCTGTGACGAAAGCAGCTAGCGCAAAGGCCACCGGAGCAAAAGAACCAGCACTAGTATAGCCGCGATTCCCGGCGCGAAGTATACAAGATTGAAGAAACCCCGGGTCGCTGAGACGGTGACGACCAGCGAATACCGCCGGCTGTTGTATTGTTTCTACACTTCATACCTCTTGTCCTTTGCTCGTGAGCCACGCAGGGCTACGGGTTGATTAGACCATCTTCCTCGTTCGCAAACAACGGTCAGAAGCTTAGGCATCTTGAGACCTGCAATCAATTCATCCATCTACGTACAGGATCACCTTCCTCATAACCACATAGCTGCTAACCTTTTACCACCACAACCCTCATTTAATCTATATGGACCGAAGAGGGCTCTTTATTATCTACTGCTCGGTCATTGAGCTACGCACGAATTCTATCAAATCTGATCTATGTTTGTTAGCATCAGTCCAAACAGTCAGATACTGTGCAGAATTCGTCTCAATCAGTCAGATGAACCCCCTGGATCTGGCCTGGTTGATTGACCCGCAGCCCTGGAGCCATGCATTTGCCTATAGGGACTAGTAATGGCCATTCCTCTCGCATATAGCTATACCCAGTGGAAAAATACAGGTTCCAGTCCGCTCTTCCAGAGCCAAGCCGCTGAATGGCTGCTCAGTACTTACCTTACCTGGTACTATCGAGAAATGATAAGGAGTCCTACCCTCACCGCGGCTTTCTGAATGAATTGCACTATGGCTTGCACGCAGGGACTGTGCGAATGGCAGGGGGGGCTTCATAGTCCAGTGCCTTTGGATCTTCAAGACATTGATGACTATCGTGAGCACAACAGCCCTAGCTTGGAACGTAGACATTTGAGAGCATTGACCATGAATATATCATACTACTCCAAATAGAATTTGTGCATGTCTTTTCCTCTCATAGCTTCATGTGTGCGCGCCCCATGTAGTGCATTCATAGTTTACTCGACTGCTGTGATAATCCCCGTGTGGTCCGGATTTCTAACCCTAACTTGGCCTCAGAGTCTGCCCGCTGCTGGCACACCCAGGCTTCAATTTCCTTGCACAGGTCTCGCACTTGTTCAAATGTGTTTCCAGCATGGAGGCATAGCCTCACTCTGTCTTGCCCCGCAGGCACTGTCGGAGGCACGACGGGCCGCACCATGAATCCTTTCCGCTGGCAGTGCTGCGCAAGGCTTCGCGCATGCAACGTGAATAGGGGAACGATGGGGGATTGGGGGGACTCCTCTCTCACATGCAAGAGACTTTTAGGCGGACGAAGCGAACGTAAGAAACGAGCAAGGAGGCGATGAGTATATTGCATCAGGGAGCGGAGGTGATGGAGGCGAGTCTCTACTTGGGCACCTGCCAAGTACTCGTAGGCAGTCCCGATGGCGGCGAGAAGCGGATACGCCATGGCCGTTGTGTAGATGAGGCTGCGGGCATAATTGATGAGATACTCCCGGACGGTCGGTGAGCAAAGAACGATGGCTGACAGTTGAGATTAGTCGATGTGCATTTATGCAACAGCCCACATGTGATCGGACAGTCTCACCTCCATTGCATCCCATAGCCTTGCCAAATGTGTGCACCCTTGCCCACACGCGATCTTCCAAGCCCAGATCAGAGACAAGCCCTCGTCCGCGGTCCCCTAGCCAGCCTGTGGCATGGGCTTCATCGACTATAATGTGCCCATTCCGGTTGGGAAACCTCCCCTCGACGCACTCGACAATTTCCGCGAGTGGGGCAAGATCCCCATCCATGCTGTACACGCTCTCGACGGCCACAAACACGTTGGCCTGTCCGTTTCTGAAGTTTTCGCCATCCTCACCGCGGACAAGCTCCGCAAGCACATCATCCAGGCCCTTGATCATCTTGGCGGGGCCTGTATCTGGAATATCGTCTTTCACACAGTTATGCACAAACGGCATCCTTCGGCCCTTGCTCAGTCTCATCCCGTCGTGCACGCTCGCATGGATGAGCTCATCGTACACAAGGACATCGCCCGGCTGGGCTGCACAACTAAAGAGCCCCGTGTTGGTCTCGTAGCCAGAGTTAAAGAGCAACCCCGCCGGCGCGCGGTGAAAAGCCGCAATGGCACGTTCCAGCGACTCGGCAGCGACGCTGTTCCCATCCAGCAGCCGTGAGCCGCCGGGCCCCAAGGCGAGTTCTCCCTCGGTCGTCGATTCGATCTTGTCAAGGTAGGCACATTTTATGTCTGCGTTTGTCGAAAGTGACAGGTAGCTGTTGGAGGAAAAGTCAACAGTGCCCGGTGGTGTGATGGTGAGACGACGCAGACGCCCCTGATCGCCACGACGAGCGAGTACCGACGCGTACAGTTTGTCTAGAGAACTTGTTCCGTGGACCATGGTGGAAGATTTCGGCCTCTATCTCGGATTGACTGGTGAAAGAGTTAACATGGAAATATTGAGGCGTTTTGATACTGGGCCTCGGCATCGAACCAGGGGCTCGCCCACCACGCTGGGGACTGCCGTGCTCACAGCTCAACAGAATTTCGGCTAGGAAAGGCATGCACGACGTTCATAGCTTATTTTAGTAGTGATTATCCCACGGCCAGCATCGGCGGGCCAAAATTGCCTCAACTCGCAGGGGGTCGTCGGCCTAATGTCTGTTCGGCACGTGATGCTGTCACAGCAGTACTCAATGTAACCCAGTCCCAACAACAAAAGTCCGGTTCCCGCTTGCAATATTCGATACTCATGGTGGGCAGCAACTTGTTTTGTTGTGTTCTTGTTTGTCGGCCATTAACACCACCATGGACGCGCCTGTTGCTTCGCTGCTTTGGCGCTCGCTCAGGGTGCACCAGGTATTTGGGGCGAACACGGAGGTTGGCAAGACTGTCTGCACGAGCCTGCTCTGCAAGGTGGCCAAGAATCTCTGGAGGGATGAGCAAGTCTCGTTCCTCAAGCCCGTTTCCACCGGTCCGCTGAACGAGGCCGACGACTAGTGTAAGATGATTCAGACCTGTTCGATTCATAGGAGGAAACGGGGGTTGACAACAGCAGAAGTTTCTTCTGGACAGGAGAACGGCTCTTGCATCATCTGACTCTCGATTGCAAGTCACATCCGCCGTTTTGCTGCCGGTGTCGCGCACAAAACACTGTTCCAGTACGACATACCCGCCAGCCCTCATATCGCCGCCCCTGCATCAGGCAAGGTGAGTCAATGCCCGTCCAGGATCAAGGCGACGGCAGCCGTCTCAACAGTCACAGCCTGTCCCTTTGGACAACGACATCCTCCTCCAATGCCGAGACTATGCCGCGGAGCGAGCCGCCCAGGGCAAGGGCTGGTTGTTCCTGGAAACAGCCGGCGGTGTCCACTCCCCGAGTCCTTCTGGAAGTACGCAGGGTAACATGTACATCCCTCTCCGTGCCCCTGCCGTGCTGGTGGGCGACTCTCGCCTTGGTGGTATCTCCCAGACCATTGCGGCCTTTGAGTCGCTTCACATCCGAGGCTATGATGTCGAGGCGGTACTGCTCTTCAGGGACACAAAGTACCAAAACTACCTCTTCCTCATGGACTACTTTGAAAAGCACCATGGTGTCCCCGTGACGAGCATTCCAGAGCCTCCTGCGCGCGCAGACGACGCGGAAAGGGATGCCGACGCCATGGCGGCGTACTATGGAGGGGAGGAATGCGAAGCTGCTGCGGCGCAGGTACTTGACCTGCTGGACCGCCATCACGCGGAACGGATGGATTCGATGGAGTCTCTGGCCACCCAAGCGCAACAGCACATCTGGTATCCATTCACGCAGCAGGCATGTCTCAAGCCGGAGGACATTATCACGCTGGACTCGGCCCATGGAGACTACTTCCAGACCTTGGCACGTCCTTCGGCGCGCACAGAGCCAGACACGGCCATGCTGAGGTCCTCGTTTGATGGTTCGGCTTCGTGGTGGACACAAGGTCTTGGCCACGCCAATCCGCGACTCACCCTCGCCGCCGCCTATGCGGCTGGCCGCTATGGACATGTCATGTTTGCCGGCTGCATCCACAAGCCGGCCATGGCGCTCGCCTCGTCACTCCTCGACGCCATGGACAACCCCCGCCTCCACCGCGTTTTCTACTCGGACAATGGCAGCACGGGCACCGAGGTCGCTGTCAAAATGGGCCTCCGTGCAGCCCGTATGCGCTACGGCTGGGATGCCCAGCAGAAGCTCGGCATACTGGGGCTCAAGGGCGGATACCACGGAGATACCATTGGCGCCATGGACATGGCGGAGCCGTGTGCGTTCAATGAGAAGACGGAATGGTACGAGGGCAAGGGGTACTGGTTCGACTACCCGACAGTGCTCTGCCGGGACGGAGATTGGTGCATTGTCGTGAATGACAATCTGGGCGAGGTCATGACCAAGGGTCGAACGTACGGGTCTCTGGGCGACATTTTCGACGTCCAAGCCAGAGAAAGACGCGGCGAGCACCGTCAGTACGAAGAGTACATCGCACAGACGCTGGCTGCTCTCCAAAAAAAGGGTCTCAAGTTTGGGTCCGTCATTATCGAGCCAATCGTTGTTGGTGCTGGAGGCATGGAGCTCGTGTAAGTTCAGTCCCCATCCCGTATACTCAGCTGACCCGGGGAGTGACCCCTTGTTCCAACGCGCGCTCGTCCATACCGTACGCAAATCGCCGCATCTCTTCACCTCCTCCGCCTCGCCACTCCCCAAAGACGCGCGCGACTGGAGCGGCTTGCCCATCATATTTGACGAGGTGTTCACGGGCCTTTACCGTCTTGGTCGATTCACGTCGTCCTCGTACCTCGGCGTTCATCCAGACATTTCGGTGCACGCCAAGCTGCTCACCGGAGGACTCCTCCCGCTCTGTGCGACATTGTCTTCCGAACACATCTTCAACGTCTTTGGCGGCCAGGACAAGTCGGACGCGCTCCTTCATGGCCACAGCTACACCGCCCATCCCGTCGGGTGTCAAGTCGCGCTCGAGTCAGTGCGGCAGTTGCGATCCATGGAGAAAAACGGGGCCTGGGACTGGGCAAAGTCGCGAGGCTGGCAGACATCGGACATGGAGGAGGAGGCTGGCCGTGCCAATGAACTGGTTTGGGCGTCCTGGCCGCTGGACTTTGTCGAGCGACTATCTCGCCAGACGCATCGTATCGCTGGCGTCTGGGCTTTGGGAAGCGTTCTCGCCATCCATGTGAGAGATGACACCATTGCCGGCTACAAGAGCAACGCGGCTCAGCATCTCCGGGATGCCGTTGCGCAGGGGAGAAGCGGCGGTGCAGGAGGGCCATGGAACGTCCACTGCCGGGTCCTAGGCAATGTTTTGTACGTCATGACCAGCCAGATGACAACGGGAGAGACCGTGCAGCAAATTGTACGCTTGGTGGAGGAAAGCTTGACATAGAGTAAAGTATCCTTTGACGATGAGAACAATATCAAGGGCTATATATTCGACCAGTTCTTACTTCTCTTTCACATACGACTATACCTAGTGGAAAAATATCGTAATTATTCAGAAGTTTAAGTATCATATATTGAGGACGAAGTTTATTAGTAAAGTCTACATAAATCTTTAAAATATTCTTTACTTTATTACGATATATAAACTTAATATATAATGAATATAACATATGAAGTCCTTAACTAATTATAATACTAAGTTTGCTTACTAAAAAGGATCGGAAAATAATAAAATAAATATACTTAGTTATCAATCAAATTACGATATGAAAATATTAAAATATTAAAAACTAGAGGCTAGATATTTTCATAGAATAATAAAGAAACTGTATATTAATATTACTTGATTTCCTTATATGTAGAATCAAAGTGTTTCATTTAGCTCACCCTTGTTATAGAAAGAAATATCTACTAAATTATTATAACTATAACTATACTATTCTAGGTAAAGAACTTATTGTGTGGGAGTTTGGGGTGGCCCTTGGTTTTTTTTCGCGTTACAGTGTGCGCATATGGCTATCAGTCGTTTACAGTCATCGTGCTATAGTCCTTTATAAGGAGCCTTACGCTCTATTACCTTAGTTAAACAACCTTTTCCCTCTTTACTTGAATTCTATTACCTTTATACCTCGACCTTACAACTACCACCCAGGCTACGGGCCTGGCGCCCCTGCAGAACCGTCGAATTGCTCAGGACCTCTGCCACATCCTTCAATCGATCTCGAGAGCGTAGATGCGCTACGTTGTTGTTGTTCGTGATGCCATGGCGGCAGCCTTTGTGATAACCTCCACGCCCGGTGATGCGGTTGTCGTTGGCAATCGACGTTACACAAGGCAGCCACACCCGTCGGCATCACCTATCTTCCTACCGGGTAGGCAGAGCCTAGCAGCTCTGATCCGTTCCTGCTGCGTTGTCGTTCCCCACAACACATTATACTTAAAGCTGCTTTAAGAGAGACACGGTCGATATTGTGTTAAGAAAATATCTACTAAACTATTGACTTATATAAATTTATATACTATTCTAGGTAAGGAGCTTATACTTAAAGCCGTTTTTAGGGAAACACGCTCGATATTGTCTCAAGAGAACACGGCGCCACCTTGCGGCGGCGAACAGGAGGGCTGTGAATGCAGCCAAGCTCAATAAGAAAATAGTGAATGGCTCCGGCCTACGTCCACGAGACGGAGCCCTAGTAAGGGGAATCAACGTCTTCTCGTATCGGGACACGGGGTTAGAGTGGGCCAGGACGTTGCCGTTCCTGTCCATAGCCAGGACACGGACGTACATTTCTGCCTCGTCTGGAACCTGGATCTTTGTTTCGAACTTGACCTTTGGAACGTCGTCGTGGTCCTTGATGTCGCTGCTATTGAAGTCGACGCTGCTCTGCAAAACCCAGCGTGCCACTTCCGTGGCACCATTCCAGCTCGCAAAGAGCGCATTCTGACGGGGTCTCATGGCCACAGAAGGCACGGTTTTGGGTTTCCCTACCCACGGGAACTTGAACGACCTGTACGTCTTTGTCCAGGAGAAATTGGCAAACCAAATAGGTCCAAAGTGTGTGTCGCAGAGGACCTCCCCGTCCCTGGTGAATTCCGTAAAGGCAGGAGTATGACCCCAGCCGACGAAGACATTGCCATTGGGCAGTACCTGGACCGAGCCTTGCGACGGGGTCAGACTGTGCTGAGGCGCGACGTAGGCGTGTCGTACCTTGGCAGTCCAATTCTCCAGATCAAGGTCAATGATGAGGCCGCGGGACCGATCCGAGGACCAGTGATGGCCGTTGTACGCATTGTCGAAGAGGGTGAGCGACGAGTTGCCATACCATGATGCGTGGTGGTTCCAGGCCATATCTGTTGCTGCGCCGTCGGAGAGATCCTCGAAATAGTTCGCTTGACCACCGAGGTTCCACAAGAGGCTGCCGTCGGTGCCGTTGATGCAGGCGACACCCCACACGTTGCGAGACGAGACAAGATAGTTGCCGTTGGCGTCCTTGTCTATGCTGTTGATGTGGAAGAAGTCGTATGCATTGTCGAAAGAGCCGCCGGTGCCATCGAGTGGTTGCTTGCTGTTCGTGGCAGAGATATGATCAGAGGCGTGCCACTCAAATACGAGTTCCCCCGTTGCAATGTCGACCTCTTGAAAGTAGCCATCGTATATCCAGAGCTTGTCCGTCCCCTCCCCATCTGCAGCGACCTGCACACGGTGATAGATGGTCATAAGCGCGGTTCCCTCTTCCGTGATGCGAAACTCGTGTAGATCACCCGTCAATCCCTCGCCGACTGGCTCGATCTCCTTGAATAATTCGTAGGTCTCGTCAAGCTACCGACTGTCAGTAACAGTTCGCCAGAGTGCGCAATATAAAGTTGCACGACAACCACGAACCATAATGTAGGAGCCGGAGCCAAAAGTTCCGCTATCACTTCCTCGCCAAAAGGTAATGTAGTCCTTGTCCTTGTATTTCTGCACCTTGAGGTCCATCGCCTGCCCCCATTCTGTCGCCATCCATATGAGGTTGCCGTCCTTGTCGGTGACTACCGGACCAGGCGTCTCGACGTAGACGCCACGGGGCTCGATGAAGATGAGGCCATCATAGCAGCGTTCATCGGTTTGCAAAAGGCTGAACAAGGGCGACTCGGCGCCAAAGGATTCGTAGCTGGTGAGAGGGGCCGCGCCGAAAAACCCCCAGTCATACCATTTGGAGGCTTCGACAACACTCACGGTCTCGCCCGCCAAAGCCCCTATCGCAAGCCACAATATCGAGACTGCGGACAACGAGCGGGGCCATGGAGACGCTGAGGCTGGCGGCCTGCCACTGTTGCGACTAGAGTATGGGAAGGATGGGCGCATGAGGGGCTGTCGAATCTCCAGCGTCGACGTTGGTAAATGCGCCTCGTGCTGTTCTCGGGATGCGACCAACTGATCTCGCACCGGTTCGTTCGCATGTGCTGCTACGCGATGTTGGCAGACGTGACGGTCTCAGTGTCGAGCTTCGCGGTGGCCTGGCACGTGCCCAGTACAGTCTAGGGTTGGGCTCGCAATGCGAGCGGGCTTCGTTACGAGGAAGAGGAAATTAGAGTCTTTGAGATGCTAGAAATGGACGCTGCCAACAGCGACATCTTAATAACCACCAGGAAGGGCACGCGAGGAAAAGCACTCGGAGGGATTATGGATTATCCCCTGCCAGGAGTCGGCGCGCATCTTTCAACGTCCCGCGCCAGTCCCATGAAACCCCACAGCGTCGAAGCGACTCAGCCTGAATGGACGCTTAATTGACGTCTTGACGTCACTCGCTCGCCGCTCAGGCCTGCTTTCGGTCCACGTACACAGCGGACTGCGGAGATGGACATGCGTATCTACATGCAGGACATCGACATTTGGGAAACCCTCTTATGGAAGCCTAGACACGGTGCGCTCTAGAATGCATCTTGCCCCTCACTAAAACACCCAGCCTTGATCCCCCGTCCGCTGGCGCAGACGACGCAGCCCGTGGATGTTCTTCGCGTCTTAGCCATCAAACAGCCCGACGATATCGGCCACGTTGTCTAGCTGCCCGAGTCGCGGAATGCTCTGCGCCGGGAAGACTCGTCCTAGAACCTCCGGACGGCCTCGGTGTCCGTTAGCCTGGTCGTACCCGCGTTAGCCGTAGTGCCCACTATGAAGGCGTACCTCCCGTCCCTGCCGCTAAGAGATTTTGCCTACGTTTAGAAACGAGACTCGCTAGCCGACTTACCGGCCGCGAATGTAAGCTAGTCGCTCTGCGGCTAGCGGAACCGGATAAACGAGATGTAGATAATGCGGCTGTCGGGCTAGAAGATGCGCCCGCGGACAAGTTCCTCGACGATCAGGACGGGTATCTAGACTATGCCTGGAAGATTATAAAAGACCTCGCCAGGCCTTATATCGCCGATAACGCCTAGCATCGGGTCGCAGGCCGTGTTAACGACAATATCTACCCGACCGTAGAAGGACGCTCGAACCTCGTCGGCGACGATTGTGTATTTCCCCCCACCAGCTTGGGGAAATTGCTCCTCATCGGGGCATCGTTCGTGCCATTCAGTATCGTCTGGGGGCTTTCCGGCTTTAGATCAGGAAATAGCACCCCCACGCAAGGAGGCTTCATGATGTCCTGGCAGGTGATTGGCACAGTGTTTTGAATCCGGACGGAGCTCGCCAAGTATCATATTGATGATGAATCTGCGCTTGTTCTTTGGGCTGCACTAAGTCTAGTTCAGGTGATTGTTGTTGGCACCCCAGCCGTTGGTGGCATGGTCATGGTTGGACAGATGTTTCGCGAGTATGGAGTGTGTACAGGATTGACGTGTAGGTACACTCAGCCTCCCAAGTACATTAGCTTTCCTCTTCATACTGCAATCGGTGTCACTGCATGGCCGATGTGGACTTTCGAGACTAACTGATGGCAAGATGATACCCGACGCCCAGTGGAGATAACACCAAGCCCCAACAGTGTTCCACATCATCCATGATGCAAATGTCACAAGAACAAACATGGCACGTGTTGAATGAATACCACCCCATTTGTATTGCATACACCATTATCCATAGAAACCTCAGCGAGGTCACCAGCAACGCTGGAGAGAGCATGTCCCGAAACGCCAGTATAGGTATATGCCAAAGCCCAGCATGTACAAGCCCTATGTGATTGTGCTAATAGAAGATTCCCTCTCTTCACCTCTGCCAACCTCCTTGCTGCCCGCCAGCGTTCATATCGGGAAAGAAGCCATTTGGAAAGTTGGGCATGCCACTGGGCAAGCTGCCCATGCCAAAGGGAAACGGAATGTTGCCGCCTTGCTGCTGTTGTTGTGGCTGCTGCTGCTGTTGCTGTTGGCTCCTATCATCGTCTCGTCGGTTGTTGTTGTTGTTGTTGTTGTCCCTGCGAGGCCACCCACTGTCCGACTCGCGATGGCGCGTGGACTTGGGCCCGGTGGCGCCGCCCTTGTCCGTCTGCATGCGCCGGCTGATAGCCTTAGAAGATACACCCGCGCCAATCTCGATATCAGGCTCCTCGACCACGAGACCCGTCTTGATCTCGCGACCGCCACTGCCACCGTAGGGAGCCGTGAGCATCCACTTGACATCGGCTTCCGTCAGGCGGTGGACGGGAATGATCGAGACGCCGCTGGAGTAGTCGCTGCAGTCGCGGGGACCGAAGCCGACGCCCCACCTCGTCCGGAGGGGCATGTCGGTATCGCGGGAGTCCTGCGTCGCATTCTTCGCAGCGACGGCATCCTTGCGCGAGATCATCTTGACAAAGGCATGGCGCTTGTCCTTGTTAACGATACACGTTTGCACCGTACCGTACTTGCTGAACATGGAGCGTAGCTCGTGCTCTGGGCAACTGGTCGTTGTTAGTCTGGTGGCATTTGAACGTTGAAATCAAGTACTCACGTAACGCCTCCGACAAAGAGTGTTCTGCTAAAGACCTTGATGTGGTCTTTGGGCAGCTCCGGGTCAAAGTCGACCCATTGGTTGTTGGGTGGTGGGAGATCGTTGTCTCCTCGTCTCCTGGGAGGGCTGCGGTCGCGATAGTCGTTGCCTCGGCGGCTCCCTCGAGGGGAGTCTCGCTTGCCATCCTCACGGCCATAGCTATCACGGCCGCCATGCCCGTTGCGTGGGGACCCTCTGTTGCCCCAGCCTCGGTCAGGTGATCGTGATCGAGAACGTTGTCCGTACCCAGGGGACCTCGCTCCATTGCTCTGCCCTCGCCAGCCATCCGGCTTCGCTGCTGGCGTTTGCCAGCTTCCATATGGATTCACAGCGGGGGCCTGCGGCGCGGGAGGCTGTTGCTGGCCCTGTGCGCCACTCATGCTCTGCACAATGGTCGCAATCTGGTCAGCCGGAACACCACGTTCCGATAGAGTCTTGATCACAGCGATGATGCTGGGGTCGATTCCAGCCGTGGCAGCTGCTGGTAGTGGAGGCATAGCTGGTGCTGCTGCGCCAGGGAAGGGCGGCATTGTTTGGTTTCCTGGGAAGCTAGGCATGCCAGCGGGGAGACCCTGCTGACCCGGAATCTGGGGCATGTTGAATGGCAGTGCCCCGGGAAGGGTGCTTGGGGGATACGATGGAGCACCTTGGTGCGTTGATGGCTGTTGCGGAGGTGGTTGTGACCATGGCGACTGAGCTACGGGAGGCGTGGCTTGCGACACACCAGGCTGAGGAATTGAGTAGGCCGGCGCAGGAGCCGGGACATTGGGAGCACTTTGCGAGGAAGAATTTTCTTGCCCAGCCTTCAGTCTGCTGAGAGCGGCCAGGATAGACTGTGCATCGCCAACTGCTGGAGCAGCACTGGCAGCCGGGCCGGCTGGGGCCGGGGCCGACGATGGTGCACGGCCCTGCAGAGATGCCATCAATTCAGCTGGAGGGCTACCTGGAGGCGTTGTCGACACAGCTGCGAATCGCATTAGTATGTCCGTAGGGTTTTCTGCGCGCAGGGGGTGGTGTGGACGTACGTGCCGGTGCGGCAATCTGCTCTCTGAAAGATGCTACCATGGAAGGTGGGAAAGTTTGCCCTTTTTCCCAGATATCAAGCAGTTTCTTGATTTTTTCCTATGCAGTGTGAGCGGATGCTCCTGTTAAATCACGGGCGGGCGTGAGCTCTAGTCCCACGCGAATGTGCATACCTTTTGGGGCTCGGGGCACGACTGAAGAATATCGTTCATAAGCGCGGGCATCAATTCTGTCACTCTGTTCACGCCAGCAGCGTAGGTCCCGTCCGAGGCAGAGCTGTTTATTGCTTGCCCCTGCGACTTTGCCTGCTCAAGCCATTTGCGCGTCACCGAGTCTACGACATAGAGGACACCGAGCTTATGAGTTCCGGGGGCCTTTTTGAAATGGGTGTAGATTTTCTGAATGAGCACTGATTCGGACTGTCGAGATTTTCATGTTAGTCAAGTGGGAATACGACAGGGGCACTGGCTGGATGGGAACTTGCCTCAATGTTGGCGACGCATAACGAAGTCAGGCTAGTGATGCGCGAGCCCGAGACACCGGGAGGCTTCAGGCTGAGCATGGCCTGGAGACCAGCTTCAAGGTCCGCTACAGGAGACGCCATGTTGCCACAGGTTTGCAGACGGGGATATATGTCCAGGACAGAGATCTCCGATACGTGTACAAATCAAGCTCGTACGCAAACAACTACTGCACGTATAATGCCTTGATGTCGTAGATGACCCTCTAGTGTTGTTCTTTACACGTCCACCAAGGTGGAGGACGGACTGTGTGTTTACGAGTCGCGCAGTTGGGGTATACGTATGAATCAGGGCGAATCGTCGCCGTCTCAGGGACTCTAGAGATTGCGAGGGTATCGCAACGCGATTATTTTCAAGGTTATGCCAGTGGCAGCGTTGTGGGGAGGGACCGTCCCGGACACGAAAACAATCCACCAGTTCACCCAAGTAAGAGGGATATTATGGCACCAGAATCGGGTCGCAACGGTCGATCTAGCCAAACGGCGCGGCGCAAAGTTGCCGGCGGTGTAGAGCACGCAGTTGAATCAAGTGCGCGCACAAATGAAGATGAGGAAGATGGACGATGATGAAGTGAGCGCGGTGTCGCGTGTGTCGTGGGTGATGATGGGAAAGGGAAAGAGGAGAAGGTGAAAAGCCTGACATGAGTGGATGGTTTCAACAGCGGCAGGTGCCGACAATCAACCGAGCTGGCCGGATGTTGTCGGTTCTGGGCGGGATATTTAAGAAGTGCCTACCCTAAAGTGTTATCGGCAGGATGCCTCATCGAAGCTACGTTTGCCTATACATGCACACTAATGCAGGAATGCAGCAGCTCTGCTGTCCCAAGTGTGATAATATCCGCGTAAGTACCTTGGCAGATAACAATTATTCCGTGATTGATAGTTCCGCAAGTGAAGACAAACGTTGGTGGATTCATGTTCGCTTGCTCCAATGTGCGTTGACTAGAGACCAAACGTGCCCGACTCACTTGCATCGTGAAATGCACCCATCCAAAACTCAGTTGTCGATGCACGTATACTCTGCTGCAATGCCAATTACCTTGACCAATGTACGCACGAGAGGCCAGTCATCCTTTCTCCTAAACATCTGCTGCTCACCGCCGCTCACCGAGACCTTTGAGCGCGCTAGACAAGCCGCCTGGACTGGGGAGATCTGTTGAGCTTGTCCCACGGAGAACCAACAACTTGCGATGAATGCACAGCTATGGACGGCACCAAAGGCTGCAATGAGGACATGGAGCCCCTGATTGATTTCGTTATGTGTTCAAGTACAGACCGTCTACACTAACTGACAGCTTATCACAAGTCTCCCAAAAGCACGATGACGGCGTTCTCACCTTTAAAGTGATAGCTCCCCCTCGGCGGAAGGTACATGTGAGTGGTGGACACTGCCGCCAAGCGCTCACCAAACGACGCCGAACATCATGTACCTCCGGCACCCGTGCGTCCATGGGCGCCAGCAAAGGCTGGGCGGTGTCCATGTCCCGGTCCGTCCCAGCTGCCAGCCTCCAAGCGACTCCTGTTTTTTTTCTGCGCCTTTTTATTAGTCCCGCCCTTCCCTTCTTTCCGCCCGACCCTATCTCATTCTCTATCCCATTTTGCTTCAAAGGCAACATTCTGCCCTCCATTTACCTCCTCCACCAGTCTTCATCCGCAACAATGGCCTCCGTCCGCGTGAGCAACTCCATGCTGAGGGCTTCCCTCCGTACCCCTGCCTTCACTGGCCGGGCTACTGGCTACAACGCGGTCCGCAGCTATTCTGCGAAGACGCAGGTACGACATTGCCGAGCCAACCCATCATCCATTCAATGGCGCTTCCATCGCTAACTCATGGCCACACAGACACTCAAGGAACGCTTCGCTGAGCTTCTCCCCGAGAAGCAGGAGCAGGTCAAGGCCCTGCGCAAGTCAGTTGAACCGTCCCCATTGCTCGCCGCGCGGCGCGTCGCTGCCGACACTCGATGCTAATACTGTGATAGGGAGCACGGCTCCAAGGTCGTCGACAAGGTCACTCTGGACCAGGTCTACGGTGGCGCCCGTGGCATCAAGTGCCTCGTCTGGGAGGGTTCCGTCCTCGACTCCGAGGAGGGCATCCGCTTCCGCGGCAAGACCATCCCCGAGTGCCAGGAGCTTCTCCCCAAGGCCCCCGGTGGCAAGGAGCCCCTGCCCGAGGGACTCTTCTGGCTTCTCCTGACCGGCGAGGTCCCTACCGAGCAGCAGGTCCGCGCCCTGTCCGCGGAGTGGGCCGCTCGCTCCGACATTCCCAAGTTCGTTGAGGAGCTCATCGACCACTGCCCTACCGACCTCCACCCCATGGCCCAGTTCTCGCTCGCCGTCAACGCCCTCGAGCACACATCGTCGTTCGCCAAGGCCTACGCCAAGGGTATCAACAAGAAGGAGTACTGGAGCTACACCTTTGAGGACTCGATGGACCTCATCGCCAAGCTGCCCAACATTGCCTCGCGTATCTACCAGAACGTCTTCAAGGGCGGCAAGGTGGCCCCTATCCAAAAGGACCAGGACTACTCCTTCAACTTTGCCAACCAGCTTGGCTTTGGCGACAACAAGGACTTTGTCGAGCTCCTCCGTCTCTACCTGACGATCCACACCGACCACGAGGGTGGCAACGTGTCTGCCCACACCACCCACTTGGTCGGCAGCGCCCTTAGCTCCCCCTTCCTGTCCCTGGCCGCCGGTCTGAACGGTCTGGCCGGTCCCCTGCACGGCCTGGCCAACCAGGAGGTGCTCAACTGGCTCGAGGAGATGAAGAAGTCTGTTGGCGATGACCTCAGCGACAAATCCATCACCGACTACCTGTGGTCGACCCTCAACTCGGGCCGCGTCGTCCCCGGCTACGGCCACGCCGTACTCCGCAAGACGGACCCTCGCTACATGGCGCAGCGCAAGTTCGCCCAGGAGAAGATGCCCAACGACCCCATGTTCCAGCTCGTCAGCCAGGTCTACAAGATCGCCCCCGGCGTCCTCACGGAGCACGGCAAGACCAAGAACCCCTTCCCCAACGTCGATGCCCACTCTGGTGTTCTCCTGCAGCACTACGGTCTCACCGAGGCCAACTACTACACCGTCCTCTTTGGTGTCTCGCGGGCCATTGGTGTCCTTCCCCAGCTTATCATTGACCGTGCCCTCGGTGCCCCCATTGAGCGCCCCAAGTCCTTCTCCACCGACAAGTGGGCTGAGCTCGTCAAGAAGCTGTAAGAAGCTTTGCTACGCTATAAATGCAGGTCGCGAAAGGGTGAGAGGCACGGTGCATTGGGTCGCTTGGGAGACGGAGACTCTTATCTGTAACATCATCAAGGTGGCTAGAGGGTCTTGCGGCGCTCTACGGCTTATACCCAAGCAAGTTGCTATCTAGCATGTATAGTAGTTGGGTATGCACGGAGTCCTTCCTAGAATAATGAAAGTCGGGTTCAATACGGCTAGTGTTTCTTTTGTTTAGTATTATTGCATCTGCATGTGATTTTTCCACGCGACCCGATATCGGTTTAACATGATCGGGTGCAAATGCACCGAACAGGGGCCTCTTGAGGTCAATTGGAGATGCTGACTGTGACGTGACATGAGGCAGATCTCGCCGGAGACAACCTTTTGCAGCATTTCAGTGGCAGACGCGCAGCAAAATTGAATGGAGCAGACTGGATGGAGGCTCAACAAGAAAGGCTGAAGGCGCCGAATGGGGTGGATGTTGAGATGAGGACTGGAGCCCCCCCAACTGATGAACCTGGCGCGGCACGGTAACGCGCCGATAGCGCTGCTGCTAGGGGGCTGGCTGGCCGCCGAACGGCCTAAACCTTTGGGGGCGCCAGCCACCCCCCATACCTGGTAAGGTAAGCTTGGGACATGGGCTGGAGCACGAGCGTCAGACAATGGTTAGGGCCAATTGAAGAGTACCTGCTCGATTGAAGGCTGCCATTGTTGTACAAGTAGATGTGATGTGACAATGTGTACAAACAAACACTAAGAAGAAGACTGGACTGGGCTGATGCGGCCTGGATTAACCAGTCGGGTAAGACTGATGCTGAGGTGCATTCAATACCTCTAGCCGAGCAGCGCCAGGCATCCGCTGCCTTGAGCCACCGGCTGGAGCAGCTCCTAAAAAAGCACGTGCAAATGCAGTCGCGCCCGCCGCGAGGCTGGCCTGGCACAGGCAGGGGACCAGCAGGCCGCCAGCTAAAACAGCAGGAGCACCCCGTCCCCTTGTTATTATATTCCCTCTCCCAGTCCGTCTCCGTTCTAGAAAAAGTACCCACGGAAGATCACGGACGCGCAGCCAGCACAGCTTCACTCTATCCTCGGTTCATAGTCTCCAGACCCAATCGCTTGCCCCTCGGAATCCGAAACGACCGAGCTTGCCTCTCGCCTCTACGTAACGTTCCTGTCAATCATCTGACTCAGCAGTCGTACGTCTCGTCGTCGCTCGTCGTCGCCCGTCAAAAGCTCACGACACAGAAAAGACACGCCCTACCGCGAAGAAGCACCCTCCTCCCTTGGTCAGGGCCCCCCTTTTGCAGTCGAACCCAATCACCATGGTCCAAACCGCTACTCTGCCCGGCCCCGCGGGGAACTCCAAGCTGGAGAAGAAGCCCGTCAAGTTCTCCAACTTGCTGCTCGGCGCCGGCCTTAACATGTTCGAGGTGACCACCCTGGGCCAGCCTCTCGAGGTTGTCAAGACCACCATGGCCGCCCACCGTGGTGATGGCTTCGGCTCGGCCCTGGGACGCGTCTGGTCCCGGGGTGGTGTTCTCGGCTTCTACCAGGGCCTCATCCCCTGGGCCTGGATCGAAGCCTCCACCAAGGGCGCCGTCCTCCTCTTCGTCGCCTCCGAGGCCGAGTACTACGCCCGCACCTTTGGCGCCGGCGACTTCACCGCGGGCATCTCTGGCGGCATCACCGGCGGCGTCGCCCAGGCCTACGCCACCATGGGCTTCTGCACCTGCATGAAGACCGTCGAAATCACAAAGCACAAGCAGGCCGCCGCCGGCGTCAAGCCCCAGTCCACCTTTGCCACCTTTATGGACATTTACCGCAAGGAGGGCATCGCCGGCATCAACAAAGGCGTCAACGCCGTCGCCATCCGCCAGATGACCAACTGGGGCTCTCGCTTCGGTCTCTCCCGCCTCGCCGAGGGCTGGATCCGCTCCGCCACCGGCAAGAAGGACGGCGAGAAGCTCAGCGCCGCCGAGAAGATCCTCGCCTCCGGTCTTGGTGGTGGCCTGTCCGCCTGGAACCAGCCCATCGAGGTCATCCGCGTCGAGATGCAGTCCAAGAAGGAGGACCCCAACCGCCCCAAGAAGATGACCGTCGGCAACACCTTCAAGTACATCTACGGCAACAACGGCATCAAGGGTCTCTACCGTGGTGTCGCGCCCCGCATCGGTCTCGGTGTCTGGCAGACCATCTGCATGGTCGCCATTGGTGACATGTAAGCTTATCCTCCTACCCTCGCCCCCGTGCGCGCGTGCTCTATGCTGACAAGTAACACAGTGCCAAGCAGTACGTCGAGGCTCTGACCGGCGACAAGGTCTCTGCCAAGCACTAAGCTAGTTGTACCCGGCGGCAATCTCGAAAGAGAGGACAACCATGGGCGGCGGGAAATGTCTCGCTCCAGTCTGTCGAAGCGCGCATGCGCTTATCACTACCTACCTACTCACTGGGGACACAATCACGCGAAGCTGTGTTACACCACGCAGACTTATCTTTGTTATTTAATTGTTTCGAGACCTATCCATCGAGAATATAGACGGATCTGATCAAAACTATGCCCCTGTGAATATGTCTAGTGCGTCTTGTAGACACCATAGCACATGGCTTCGAAGCGACGACAAGCGCGGCCATCACTATTCAAGTTGAGATTAGACAAAACATGCACAGAGGTGAGGTACGCCTTAAGTTCATATGATAAGTTCATGTAGCAAAAGCTAAATCATAGCTACGTGCTAACCACGCATCCGACACATGTGAATTGACAAAACGCGCTCGCCAGTTATGCTAAGACTCCTCTGATGCACTTTCATACGGCAGGTCATCGTAGTCTTCTACAAACGAGACCTTGAGCTTTGCCAATTCCACCCGGAGTGAAATCTCGAGGCTGTCTTCGTCCAGGTCCTTCTTCTGATTCTGCTCGTGGCGGCGAGCGGCGGCCGGGCTCTCGGGGGGCGGCATGCCACTGAGACGCAGGAGGCTGCGGTTTCGGGAGCTGGGACGGTCCATCTTGTCCAGCTGCTGCTGACGCTGGATCTCTGGGAGCAAGGGCTTCGTGCAATCCCCGTCTAGGTGGGCTTCCTTCTTGAAATAACCCGTGGTTTCGTACGCTGGTCCCTGGACGCAGCCGATGACCGGATTACCCGTATTCGCAATTTGTCGCGCCTTCAGCAGGGCCTGGCCTCTGAGCTGGCCCTCTCCTAGGCCCTCTGAGGTCTCTTCCACACTTGGCGTGTCAATGTCCATCGAACCCGGGCTCTCTGTGCCCGGAGTGGGCTCTGGAGGCGGAGGCTCGGCGTGCGGCCTGAACGGCATGGGCCTGCGAATATTTCTTCCACCGATGGTCGTATAGTGCCTTTCCACCTCGTCGCGTCTATCCGTTGAGTAGAGCCATAATCGTCCGGTAGCGTCTCCTATAGCGAGCTTCTGCTTATCGGGTGAAAAGGCGCCACAGGAGACGGGGGCGGCTGTCTCGAGGAGTTTCCTAACAAAAGGGTTTGAGTCCCGAACGTTCCACACCTTGACAACCCCGTCGCTCGATCCCGTGTACAGACGGTCAAGACTGCCCCAGGCTGTGAACTTGACCCCAGTATCACGGGGATCTTCCTCGAAGAACTCCTTGGAGAGCCCGTGGTACAGCACGTGCTGGATGGTATCAGGGTGCGCTGTGTCCCAAACGTATACTTTTCTGTTCGTGCACGCCGCAGTGACATAGGCGTGTTTGCGCGAATTGGGCTGGAACGTCACCTCGTTGATGTCCGCAGCAGGACAGTCCAGTGACACGAACTCGCAGAACGTAAGCTCGAGGGCCTTGTCGTTCTGAAAGATGTGGAGCTGAGTCTTGACTCCTGTCCTAACGTTCAACCCACATGGAGATGTGGCGCAGACGAACTGGGGTAAATCGGGATGCCAGACGATCTCAAAGACGTTGGCCGTCGTGGCGTTTGTAATGTTCACCCTCCGATGCTGATTGGCATCCCAAATCGTGACCTCGCCCGAGTCGCGCTTGTCCTCTGGAATATCAAGATCCTCGCCGACTGGACTTCGCGGCGAGTATCCGACTGCTAGCAAATGTTGCGTGTAGGGGCTCTTGCCCCACTGCATTGTGGCAGGATAGTATGCCCACTTTTCTGTGTCGTTGGCGTCGGTACGGGTACACGACAGACTCTGGTAGGGGCTGTTGGCCAGGTCGTTCTCGTTGATTGTGTATATGCGCACAGCTTCCGTGGGGACGTCTGCCGCAGAAGCCACGCGGCCTGAACCGTCCTTTGCGGCGACGACAAAGTTGACGTTGCCTTGATGCTGCCAAGTCGCGAGATGCTCCATTCTCGACTCCCAATGTCCACTCGCCTCGTTGTCTACGTCCTGCTCCTGTTCGACCCACGTGTGATGCACCTTCCAGACCTTGACAGTGTGGTCATAGCTCGAGGTGTACAGCAGGTTGCCGATCGGGTCGTAATCTGACGACGCCACGGACGGGTACACCCAAGGATCTTGACTTTGGCGCATAGCTTCGGTATTGTTCTCTTTGTTCCCTGCTGGCCGGGGAATGCGGTGCTCCGGGTACGCTTGCAACGTGCCTTGCTGAGTCGAACACAGCAGCAGATTGCCCTGCTTGTTATATTGCTGGTTGTGACTATCAGAATGGGTTGTGGTGCCACACAGTAGGCTATGCTCCAACGTCCATGAGATAGTCATCACGTCGCCGGCGCAGTTCGTGTACTCGGAGATGAGATCGAGGCCATCTTCGGCGGCCAGCTCAAACTCTTTCTTTAGGTTAATATGTGCACGCATACGACTGAAGCCACGATAGCCCTCCAACTCGCGAGCTAGCAGAAGCGAGGACTGCCGCGCGCACGCCATGTCCTGTGGATGCTCAGGTCCATGTTGACTCAAGGATAACACTCGCGGTGGTTGCGATGGGACGTCATTCCTCTTCAGGTCGGCACAGAAATTATGTATGTCGTCAATGCCTCGTCCTTTTAGACCGTTGCCGATGAAGGTCGGTATGCTGACCGTGTCCTCGGCGCCTTGGATCAAGCCGACGAGTCCTTCCAGCGTCGGCTGGACCCCCCTCGATCCTGATCTAACGTTTGAGCCTCTAAGCCTTCTGTTGAATATCTTCACCAGTTCCGCAATCTCGTCGGCTGAGAAGTCCACGTGGTATATATACGGCTCATTCAAATTCAGCCCGATCAAGTTTCGTTCACGCAAGCGTAGTCCTCGCCTTATGTCCTCCCTCTCGCGTGCTGAGCGATAAGGTCGCTTGCGTAGCCCCCAAGCCAGTGGATGAGACACAGACTGCGGTAGCCTCGGCGGCCTCACGAGTGGTTGAAACGGCTGGGTTTCCTTCCGCACACGACGCGGGGGCAGCTCTAGCGGATCGAGACCGGGCCATCGTAATCTCGTTCGAGGTGGGATATGCCGTGGCGGCTGCTCAATGGGCGGTTCGGAACCTGAAGGCTGCAGACTGTCCTCACTGCTGGTATCGGGGTCTGCCGGCCGCCGTGGCCATTGCGGCAAGCTTCTGGCTTGACGGAGAGGATATTGTCTTAGTTTCTGCGTAAGTAACCCGTTGATTTCGGCCTGGAAATCGAGAACATCTTTGGGCGAGAGCTTGCCGCCAGTCTCGTCGAGCCTCTTGCGGAAATGAGGCAGCCGTGCGACGCCAGTGATGACGCTCTCTGCTAACTCATCCTTGTCACCTTCGGACAGCTCGATCTTGTGGATCTTGAGAACCACAAAGGGCACGATCTGTTGTTCGAGGCAGTCCCTCAACGAAGCTCTCTTGGGTGCCTTGGGTCGTGTAAACCGGTTGACGCGCGGGAGAGTCGACTGTGAGCTTGTCTTAATGCGTTGCGCCGCTGGCGCTGCAAAGCTCGACGTGTTGGCTGGTCGCTTCGCAGGTACCGTGGGTCGCACTATCGGGGGGCCGTCGTCGTCATCGTCGTTCGTCAGGTCAATGTACAGAGCTCTAGACACCGTAAGCGTCAATGCCATGCTAGAAATGGATGCGCATCCCCCAGGCCTGATGTGCCAACGTGAAAATGTGTTAAAAGGGAGAGATGTAGCATCTCTGATAATGATATATCACAGGGCGACGCGCGACGACGCGGGGCGCGTCGGGGGTTGGGGTAATTAATTCAGTTAGTACGCGTTGAAAACTTACGGGGCCATGGTAGGTCAGTCGCGCGGGCATGCCGGACAAGGCGGCGGCCTGAGGTGAGTTGAAGGCTTAATTAATCACATCGGAGAGGGGCCCGCGAGAGGAGGTTACGAGTTAAGGCTTCGCGGTTAGTTCCGAAGGTTGGCCCGCTATAAAAAACCAGACGGATCAAAATTTCTCCGTTTCCCGCCTTAATTTGCCCCATATAATATGTTAGCGTCGAATCTGCCTAAGAGCTAAGGCTATGTAGCTGGGGTATAGCCTTATACAACACACGAACAAACAGCGTATAAAGCACCCATTGACAGAAGACGTGAATTTAACTGGGAATAGTCGGCATTGGCTCGCATGCAGAAGAGTCCATAGCTAATGTATGATATGATATAGGCTCTTCATTTACTACCTCGATATTCACACCAGACAGTCGTAGCGGTAGACCACCTACGTAGCAGACATCCTTATCGTAGCTCCGATACATGTACAAGATACGGCCGCACACACGCTATAAAGCAAATCGAGTGCTGTAGCACACGCTAACAAGCCACCTATAGCTTGGTCTTGGGAGATTCCTGAGCCGCCAGTTCCTCGTACATCTGGGCGATCTCTTTCTGGAACGCCTTGACCACCAGCGGGCGCTTGGTCTTGAGGCTAAGGCTTTGTTAGTAAAGGGTCCAACCACAGGGTGCTAGAAGGGTCAACTTACGTAGGTGTCATCAGGCCGTTGTCGACGGTAAAGGGGTCAATGTCAAGATACACATTGCGCACCTTCTCGAAGCCGTTGAACTTGTGGTGGCGGGCAATCCCATCCAGGACCTTGAGGAGGGCGGCCCTGACCTTCGGGTTCTGCGTAGCCGCCTTGAGAGCGGCCGTGTCAGTCTGGGCAATCTTCTCCCCGGTGACCTTGCTGGCGAAGGGCGCAAAGTTCTCGGGATCAATGCCAAAGATGGCCACCAGGGTGGACTCCTTGGGATCGCCGTGCACGAACGCCGTGGCCACGACAGGGGTGTTGCCCAGGAACACGTTTTCGATGCGCTCCGGGGAGATGTACTCGCCCTGTGCCAGCTTGAGGACGTTCTTCTTGCGGTCGACAATCTTGACCCGGCCCAGCTTGTCGATTTCCGCAATGTCTCCACTGTGGAACCACCCATCAGCCTCAATCGTCTTGCTCGTCTCCTCCTCGTTCTTGTAGTATTCGCTGAAGAGCGCTGGTCCCCTCAGCAGGAGCTCACCGCGGGGGTTCGGCTTGTCGTCAACGCTGTAGTTGAACTCGGGGACGGACTCGAGGCAGATCTCCATGCATGGCATGGGCGCACCAATGTTGCCCGTGGTGAAATCGCCTGTGGACTGGATGGTGCCGACGGCATATGTCTCGGTCATGCCGTAGCCCTGCTTGAAGTCGTTGGCGAAGGCGGCGCGGAGGAACTCCTGCACATCGGGATCCAGCTGCGCACTGCCGCTGATCATGGAGTGGACCCTGTCGAGCCCAACAGCGGCTTTGACCTTGGGCGTCCAGATGCGGTCGTACAGGAAGTGCTTGTTGGAAGCCTTGCCGACGGGCTGCTTCATCTGCGCCTTCTTTGCAGAGATGACGCGGTTCGAGAGCGCACCTCTAAGGCCGGGGGCCTCCACGGTCGCTACACGAATGGCCGAGTTGAACCGGTTGAACAGACGAGGCACCGAGATGAAGCCAGTGGGCTTGAGAATCTTCATGTCGTCGACCAGGCCCAGAACGTCGCCACGGAAGTAGCCAATGGCAGCACCCTCAGCCAATGCAATGCCATCGATCATGCGCCCGTAGATATGCGCCAGGGGCAAGTAGGACATGTGCACGTCCTTGGGGCCCATCTGACCGCCAGTACGGCCTGACGCGAGGGCGGCCACAGCAGCACGGTGCGTCAGGACAACGCCCTTGGGCGCACCCGTCGTTCCGGACGTGTAGTTGATGGTGCAGAAGTCGGAGCTGACTGGAGGACGGAATTCGCGGCCAGACCGCGCGCCAATCTCCTCCACCTCGGGCAGGGACAGAACCTTGATGCCGTGTTCGGAAGCCAGCTGGTTCAGCAGAGCGGCCTTGGAGTTGGCATCCATCTCACCGGCGTCCAGTGAGTCCATGGACACAATCAGTTTGAGGTTCGGCAGGCGAGATGCCATCTTGAGAAGCGTGGGGATGTGCGGCAGCGAGCACACGACGCAAGAAAGCTCGGCGTGGTTAATGATGTACTCCGAAGTCTCGGGCCCCAGAGTCTCATACAGCGATACGGTGTAGAGGCCCTGCGCAGTGAGCGCGAGGTCCGTGAGCTGCCATTCGGCACGATTCTGGGACCAGAGTCCAACACCGTACTTGTCGGTCATGATTCCAGCCGCCTTGTGGATCTCCACGATACCGGCACCCAAGTTCTTCCTCCTCTGCGCCGTCTCAGCGTATGTTGACCATTCGTACTTGTCAGCCCAGGAGCGCGTGGCAGGGTTCCACGGGCGGCTGCCTAGGCACCGATTGTTGGGGTATTGGCGCGCGGCACTTTCGAAGACATCGTGGAGGGTTTGGACTTCGGGCTCGAGAGTGGACATCAATGGTTGGTCGCGGAACTTCCAGTGACGGTAGACAACACTGCGCCCGGGGCGCTCGGTGCCAGGAACAGGCACACCGTAGGGGGAGCCTGGCGGAGGGGGCTGCTTGAGCTCAGCAATGATGCTCTGGGCGTCCTTTGGGGCCATGGTGGGCGTGGTGAGCAGTGGCGATGACGAATGGTAGTCAAATGGTTGGTTTCAGGCGGAGAGACCGAGGGAAGATAGATAGAAAGAAAGAAGGAAGGTTGAGCAGGAGTCGAGGTGATTTGAGGTGCGTGATGAGCCCCTTGAGAGAAGGTTGGAGAGAAGAATCCAGGCTAGATCGTGCGTAAAGGTGCTTCTTACGTGTGGCAGTCCGTCGACTGGGGGGACGGGTCCGGGGAAGGAAGGAGCGCCGACGCCGAGGCCAAGCACCTTCCCATATCCACAGCGCAGGTGAGCCTCGGTTGCTGCCCCAGATTTCAACCTTCACAGCCACGGTCCTCGTCCCTACAGACCTTGCCAATTAATGATTCGGCAACTTCTCGTCATATTAACCCTGTCTTCTTCTTCACTCGTATCCGATATCACCGTGCCGATGGCTTGATGCACATCTATGCCTCGTGGTTGACAATCCCTACGAGCGATCACTGTGCCTAACGGGCACATGACATGAGGGAAGAAGGTTGATCGCCGTAACCTTAATTCCATCCCCAAGTACTAGTGACCACTGCTTCTGTGCACATCGGACTGAACACGTGAAGATGCCGGCCGTCCTGCACGTCTGTGGCACGCATCGATGCTCGCAACATTACCCCAGCTTTGTTCGGATTCGCTGGTCGTAGCCTGTAGGTTAAGCTGTAGCACTCGTATGTGCAGAGTCCCCCCACAGCATGTGATCCTGGCTTCAGTCTACGCGAGTCGAGCCGTTGACCATACATCTACGCACTGAGATAACGTATGGCCCATGCGTTGCGAGCTTAACATAGGCGCGCAATCCGAAGAACCCCTAAACCGAGGCAGATATCAGCAGCAGCAGGTGCACCTGTAGAAACGTCGACATGGGGCCTCGTCGTCGTGCGCCGACTGTCAAAGTGCATCCACCCGACACCTACACGATTGGAATTTGGACGTCCAAAGGTGACTGGCCCCTGACCACATACTTGCAGCGAGCGACGTACGTCCGACCGACGACGATGAAATGCTGATCTAATATAACATCTAACAGCTCCTGATCGTTCACGCGACGACGCTGCCGAATGATGGTTTCCCAGTAGCGGTGCAACGCGAATGTGGTCAGAGTGATTGATGGCCCTGATCGACGTGGCCAATGACGACCTCCCTCTCTTCGGCCGCATTATTCGTGTTTCGATTTGACATCGGCTTCTACCACCGCCGATGCGATGTGCAGCCTGGCACGGAACGGACGGCTGTCTGGCGAGCGCAAGTGCCGATGCAGTCTCTGCATTGTCTGCAATGCCTGTCGAGGCTTGTTTTGTCGATCTTCCTTGGCCCTGGCACTAGCCCAGCCTGGAACATCGGACTCTGGCGACAAGGAAGCGTGTAACGTTAGGATATTCGTGCATAACTACCTTTAATGTTACCCCAGCGCATTCCAGAGGTACATTCATCAAGCTGGCCGTCATGTTTCGCGCAACCCAGCTGACCCAAGGAGGAATGCCACTTGGAGCCAAACCGGACGATGCTCAAGGCCCAACGCCCAGAAGGACGCAACCTCACTCGCGACCTGCATCCGCGACGAAGGACAGCAGCGAAAATGGGGCCCACGCCAGCTATTTATCGACCATCATCTCCCATACGTATGGCAAGGAGGAGCATCTGACCCCCAACCGGCCTTTTCTTCGGCACTGTTGACGGCCGGGTGGACCCGTACCCACCGCACGGCCGGTCGTACTCCTCCCAAGTGCCGCCGGGCGCTGCTGTCATCCACCGTCGAGATTTCACGATGTAACACATTATTCTCTTCCTTCATCGTTTCATCCTTCTCGACGACTTCTTCTCGCCCTAGTCCTTTTCGTTCTCTGTGTGTCGCTGACTGCTCGCCTCGCCGTGCGTCGCCGCAAGGAAGAAACGATAAAAACAAGGGCGCTCTTTGGATCACGTCGTTTCACTTCGTCCTCAAGGTCTCACTCGAATTCGACATCCTCTGACGCCTAGTGAGGTGCTGCGCATTCCCTCCCTCCATGCCATCGATATCCCTATACCGCCACCCTCGAATGGTCCACGAGCCTGCCACTGGCAACAGCTAGCAGATTGTCTCGCGCTGCCCGACCTCTCCCGCCACGGGACGTAACACATGGCGGTCGCCCCTAGCTCTATCCGTACATCACTTCGAAATCGAGTTCGTTTATAGACAGCCACGGCCCTGTTTCCTGCGACAGCCTTGCCTTGGACGGTTCATTCGTTCTTGAAGGAGTAGGCTGTCTGGCACGCCACATTGCCGCCACCGCGCCACGACGAGTCCTGCTTGCTGTTCTGTTGTATTTGTACTTGTCTTTGGGAAAGGGAGAGCCTGCGATTTGCATATTTCCTTACTCAGCATGGCATCCTGGGCCCTGACCGCGTTGCGGACGCTGCAGGGCTTGGCAGCAGTCACCAACATCGTTCTCTCTGGGTTGGGTGAGTTGCCCGTGACAAGAATGGCCAAGCCATGATGTGTAGTCCCCGTTCATATGCTAACGATAGAGCAGTGATCAACTGGTACACGTTGCGGACTTCGATGGATGCGCCGTCGTCTTTCAACTTTCTCATGTTTGCGCCCATCTTCTCCGTGCTCTCCATCGCTTACCTGGTCCTGGGGCCTCGATGCTTACCGGTGCGCTGGACACACCCATACGCATTGCTGGGCGCGGAGGCGATCAACACCATCTTCTACTTTGCGGGGTTCATCGCGCTGGCCGTGTTTCTCAACGCACTGCTCTTCTGCAACGGGGCGGTGTGCGCAGTCGGCCGGGCCATAAGTGTTGTCGCGGCCGCCGAGTTTATCACCTGGATGGGCTCGACACTGATTCGGGCCAAGGAGATGATTATGGCTGGCGATGGCTTACAGACGGAGACGGACGCAGACTGCAGCCAGGGCGAACAGCAGATGAGGCAGGTCTGACATCTGTCTGGTACGACGACACGACACGATACTCATTGCATGGCGGGTGGCATGGATCTTTGGCATGAAAGAAAGTACACCAAACATTGCGCAACGGAACTGGGCTTGGGGCTTGGGGGCGTTTAGCGTTTGATTGAACTCGCTTGGACACGGGCGAAGCATGTTTATGGCATAATAGAGTAGTGGCGTGCATCTGCCGCCGCTCAATACTAAAACTATTACCAGTACTCATTACGAATCGCTCAGCACCATGCTTCTGCCTCCCAATTACCTACCTCAGAGCTGGGGATGGTCCGGCATCGGTCAGGCGTGGTGTCCCGCCGACCGTGGGGCTGGCGTGGAATGGACAGCTAGATTTCGCCATTCCCCTCAATTATGGGCAGCAAAACATATGATGCTTCTGGGTTCATGGGGAATGACGCCAGCCGCGATGGCGTGCTACTCACTTGCTAGTACTAACCTACTCCCGCAGCCGACCAAACCCCACCATTGGCTAACCGTGGCCTCGGACGGACTGGACTGGACCCTGGATTGAATTGGAGGAGAGGTGACGGTGACCCGATATAAGTATAATACCCAGCCCAATGGCACCTTTCTCCTCTTCATCTTGATTGCTCTCAAGGAATACATCCTTTCTTCTCTTGTCTCGTACCATCCAGTCTGGTCGTGAGCCACAATGTCTGAGCTTAGCAAGAACTTTGAGACGCTGCAGCTTCATGCTGGGTACGTCACAGACATCCATCTTTTACATGAAGAAGAAGAACAGAACGACTTACAAGGACACTCAGCCAAGAACCCGACCCCGCGACGAACTCGCGCGCGGTGCCCATTTATGCCACGACCGTGCGTCTCTCCCTTGACACGCTGCCTTGAGGAAACGAAACGTACCTCGTCGCTGACAAAAAAACGCCCAGAGCTACACCTTCAATGACTCGGCCCATGGCGCGCGCCTCTTTGGCCTCAAGGAGTTTGGCAACCTCTACTCCCGCATCATGAACCCCACGGTCGACGTCTTTGAGAAGCGCATCGCCGCACTCGAGGGCGGCGTGGCCGCCCTCGCCGCCTCCTCGGGCCAGGGCGCGCAGTTCATCGCCATCGCCACGCTCGCCCACGCCGGCGACAACATTGTGTCCACCACCAACCTCTACGGCGGCACGTACAACCAGCTCAAGGTCTTCTTCCCGCGCCTAGGCATCAAGACCAAGTTTGTCGACGTGGACAATGTCGAGAACATTCGCAACGCCATTGACGACAAGACCAAGGCCGTCTACGTGGAGAGCATCGGCAACCCGCGCTACAATGTCCCCGACCTCGAGGCCATCGCCAAGGTGGCGCACGAGAAGGGCGTCCCGCTCGTCGTGGACAACACCTTTGGCGCGGGCGGCTACTTTATCCGTCCCATCGAGCACGGCGCCGACATTGTCGTGCACTCGGCCACCAAGTGGATCGGCGGTCACGGCACGACCATTGGCGGTGTGGTCGTCGACAGCGGCAAGTTCCCCTGGGGTGATCACCCCAAGCGGTTCCCGCAATTCGTCGAGCCCTCAGAGGGCTACCACGGTCTCAAGTTCTGGGACACCTTTGGTCTCCAGTCCTTCATCATCCGCGCCCGGGTCGAGATTCTGCGTGACCTTGGCGCGACCCTCAACCCCTTTGCCGCGCAGCAGCTGATCCTCGGTATCGAGACGCTGTCCCTTCGGGCCGAGCGCCACGCCGAGAATGCGTTCAAGCTCGCGCAGTGGCTCGAGAAGAGCGAGTATGTCTCGTGGGTGTCGTATCCGGGCCTTGCGAGCCACCCGTACCACGAGAACGCGAAGCGCTATCTGAAGAGGGGCTTCGGCGGCGTTCTCAGCTTCGGCGTCAAGGGGGGTGGTGCTGCCGGCAGCCAGGTCGTCGACAGCTTCAATCTGATTTCCAACCTGGCAAACGTCGGTGACGCCAAGACGTTGGCCATCCAGTGAGTTCCCCGGCCTGTCCTTCGAGTTGTCTTCGCGGAAAGACGTGGAAAGCTAATGAATCATCAGCCCATGGAACACTACTCACGAGCAACTCTCCGAGGAGGAACGCATCAACTCAGGCGTAACGGAGGATCTAATCCGCATCTCGGTCGGCATCGAACATATTGATGACATTATCGCCGACTTTGCGCAGTCGTTCAAGAAGGCAGCGGCAGCGAAGACCGAGGGCGGAGCAAAGGGCCCGGATGCGACATCTGCCAAGGGGACAGAAGCTCCAACGGCGCCATGAAAAGGATCAGATCTCTAGTAGTCAAAATAAAGCTCACGCACGCATACTGCCTAATTGCTTATCTCTGTGAAACCTCAACGCTGCACTGAAGCTCCTTGAGAGATAGGTCCACTATCTGCACGTGATTGGCTGACATCACTGCACTTCCCACCTCAACATGCTCCCCACGCAACGAGTGGCCGATGTGATTACAAGTAATTAACCACCAGCACCAACCAATCCGCCATCATGCGATTCGAGCTCCTCGCCCTCACTGGGCTTCTATCGACGGCCTTCGCCCATTCTCTCACCCTCTACATGCCCGCGACGCCGAACCCATTCACCCTCCCGGCCTCGACGCACGCCACCCTTTCCTCTCTCCACGCCCACCACTCCTCGCCGTTGTCGAGCCTGAACACCTTCCTCTTCCACAACCTCACGGCCGACTCGTACCTCCTCGATGTCCACTGCCCGACGGATGTCTTCCAGCCACTCCGCATCGACGTCAAGGACGACGGCACCATTGAGGCCTGGGAGACGTACCGCGGCAACGAGTGGGACAATAAGGGCGAGAAGAGGGAGGTCAAGGCCGGCAGCGCGGGGACGGGCGTCGAGCTGAAAGCGCTCGGCGGCAAGATGTATTTTGCAGAGCGACCTAGCTTCTCGGTCATGACGATCCTCAAGAACCCCATGATCCTCATGGGGTTGGTCAGCATGGTCATGTTTGTGGGCATGCCCAAGCTCATGGAGAATAGTGAGTGTCAACGAGAAGATGAATTAATTGTAAGACAAGAAAGCTGACAACATTTTTGTAGTGGACCCCGAGATGAAGGCCGAACTGGAGCAGCAGCAGCGCAATGGACCACTGGCCGCCATGCAGGGCGGCGGCCAGCCGAACCCGCTGGGCAGCTTTGACATGGCTGCCTACCTTTCCGGCGCAAACAAGAAGAAAGACGAAGGAGTGAGGAGATGAGGGCTTAGAGATGTGATGTGTGTGTATATGATGTACTAAATTGAGGAGTTCACCAGAAGAGCAACAAGAGACAAAGAGACTGTCACTCAAGTCGAAGATGGAGACACACGCCAATGACTGAGAAATGTTCATCACCAACGGTTTCTTCAATTTGGTCGCGTAAGTGTCGAGTCACATTATATATTGCAAACGCTGCCCTACTCCTAGTAAGAAAGCTGAGTACGGATACGTAGACACTCATAAAAACTCCAACCCAACACGAGCACCGTATCATGCATATCCCATCACCTCTCCAGGACGCCTCTCTCCGAACAAATATGCTGCCTCCAAGCAGAATCGTCCGTGTCCCCGATCCATCCGCCTCTCACTCCCGTAGCAGATCAGCACCGCGTCCACGATCCCACTGAGGATCCCCTCCATAGCACCGAGGATCGAGTAACCGATGAAACTGGCCATGATGCCCACGACGTAAGCGTACGCTGAGCCTCGGATGCCGGTACCTTCGGGCATCTCGATACGGAGCTGCTTGGCAGTGATGACCCAGCCTGCAAAGCCGAGAGCCGTTGCCATGATCAAGCGGGTTGCGACGAGGAGTAACTTTGCCAGCCGGTACGGCAAGAGCCCGTTTGACCGTCCAATGGCCAGTGCGCGTGGCGTGAGTGTCGTCGTGGGGATGGCGGGAGAGATGACTTCCATCTGTTCGAGGCCACGAGCCGACTTGGACAGGTTATGCGAGTGAATCGCACCATAAGTGACGGTCAACGGATTAGTTAGCGCAATGATGGGCGTAGGTACCCAGAATGAAGCCATGTTCGTGATCAGACCCCCAAGCCTTCTGGGCAGAAAGATCAGTGGCGCGCGGATGAGCAGCGCCAACAGCGTAGACTCGCAGATGCTACCGAAGATGGTTGTCACCGCATGGACCATGGCTGCTCCCACAATCTCCCGCGAAGGCGTAGCCGGACCTGCGTTGCGGTGAAAGTACCACTGAGAAACAGTGGCCGCCGTGACGGCCCGGTGGACAGAATTGATCACCGAGATCGTCCACATGTACATGAAAATAAAGGCTGCGCCCAGCCACCAGCTCGAGAACCGGATCACGAAGCGAACAAGACTCTTGGAAAAATAGCCGCCCATGAAGACTCGCGTGAACATGCCCAGCCACGCCCAAGTCCACAGAACGATGAGGGCCAGACACCCAAAGCCCACCGCGAGGAGTCCAGAGTTTTGGGCCAAGATTTTGCCGGAGAATTGCAGGATCTCTATCGCTTGCTGGATGGCCTGCCGACCCCTCACCACCAGGTATAGCCACAGCACGCAGCCTGCCGCTGGCGCTAGCGACAGCCAGCGCATCAGGAGATCCTGGAAGCTGGCACCATGTGTCCGCCCTTTAAACGAAGATACGAATGAGTATAGGGAGAACGATAACAGAATAACCGGCACCGCAATGATAATCATGTTGACCAGCGGCCGCACAAATGAGCGCAGGGCGGCCAGCCACAAAAAGGATACCATTATCGACACAACTGTATCCACCGCAAGCATGTTGAAAGACCTTTGCAGGGTCGTGTAGATGGTATCGCCGACTGGGCTTTTCGTAGGCGACGTGTTGAGCCAGACCAACACAAACGTCGAAAACATGGAGGCGAGTGCGATCAAGAAGATCCAGGCGAAGAAGGGGTCGTGGTGGAAGACCTCGCCCTCGGGAGTGGCATTTGTCTGCGGGTTCATGGGTTGTTCGTCGTCTGCGGACAGCCTCGATACGGCGCTTCGCTCGTCATCTTCCGTCCTGTGCAAGAATGGCGCGCGTTCCGCATCTCCCTTGAACTTTTGAAAGGCTGGCGGGCTTTCTTCCGTTGGTGCTCCGAACAGCGATTCCGGCGGGTCGTCGTCGACCTCGATTTGAGACTCTAGCCCAACATCGACCATCTTGCCCTTGCTGTCCAGACTGTTCTCTCGGGACTCATCACCATGCGCCCGGAGCTGGTCGACTTCCTCGTCCTCCTCTTCTAAGACAGCATCCTTGCCCATCCCGGGCCTGTGGGTGCTCCTCGTCCCGTTCCAGCTACTCTTGATGCCTCGCCCAGCTCGACTGGAATAGGGATGATCATCCTCTGCACTCGCGTCTAGAGAGCCTCGACTATCCTCGGCCGACTCAACGCTCTGTGCAAGTTGGCTGGCCGCCGCAACTCTCCGGGATCGCTGGAGCGCATACATGTCGGCCGTTTCTCGATCCCGCTCCTGCTCATCGTCCTCGTGGAACTCATCGACTGTGCTGTGAAATAAGGGTGCATCTTGTGCGGCCGATATTCGCGAGGCGAATGCGAGATTGCCGAAACGTGAACCTGTGCCGGTCTGCTGATAAGGGTTCCCTCGGGCGGCAAGGTAGGATCTATTGGAGGCTCGGTCGCGGCGGGATGTCCAGTCGCGTTGGATAGAATTACTGCGGTCGTGTTCACTGGGGTCCGAGGTTTGCTGTTGGCCGGCAAAGTTCGAAAATCTCGACTGGGACTGGGCGAGAAACCGTGATGCATCTGGGACCATGTGAGCTTGACGCAGTAGATAAGTCGAGAAGACGGTGGCGTACATTCAGAAAACATCTTGCCCCTTTTCACCTTCCGCCTCCCCTCAGCAGGTGAGCGTGGTCACTCTCGATGATACCCGTGCGTGCCTTATCTAGGTGACAAATGCGAGTTGAGTCGGTAAGCGCGAGCACGCAGGCCAACCCCGACGTTGGCGATGTTGGAGAAGTGGAAGGACGGGACTAGAGGCGAAGGATGACTTCGAATGATTGTGAAAAGGGACAAAAAGGCAGGTTAGCATGCGCTGGGGAGGACAAGACTCAGAGGCAGTGCGCCGTGTTGCATCAGCCGAAAGGTAAGGTAAGGTAAGGTAAGGTAGATGCAGCCTGCGATACCAACGGATAAGGCGTGAAGGCAGCAGCCATGATCTCAAGGTGACTGACTGACTGACTGACTGACTGGAGCGACTGACTCCAACCAGTCCAGCTGCTTCCGGATGACGCCCACGGGACTTGATGTGGGGCTGCGTGATCCCCGTCTGCAGGTGCAGCCTCCAGAGTCCAGGCGGTCTGCCTTCTGCGCTACGGTGAGCCCCAGCTTTCCTCCACTGACTTTCCTAGGCGGGCAGATGTCCATACATCTCGTGAACCTCCAGTCCAGCTCTCATTGAAGAGGAAATGCATGGATGAATGTGAATCTTGGCAGCCAAAGGCAGATGGATATGTTTTTGCTTGAAAGCGAACCACAGTGAGCTATATGTCGCATCACATCGACTTCGTACATGCCACAAGAAACTGGCGTGGAGACATGTCAAGTACCGCGGATCAACCATTTTGAAAGCCCTGATAAGCCTGAGCTTGAAGTGCCTTACCTTACTCAAGCCCGGAGATTATTCGACCCTTCTCTCTCAGTACCGCAGGCTCAGTATCCCATAATTAGTTCACAATGATATAATCAATATACGGCGGACATTCATCAATGTGCCTATCTGAACAGCAAACCACCCCCTGCTGCAGCGGCACGCGACCGGACCTCGTGCCTGCCCAGCGCCCTAGAGTCTCCCCAAAGTGGAGTTGCGTCACTGCCTCCAGCTCGTTGGAGACGGGGACTGGAGCCGACGACATCCATGACATTCTCATGCACACACACACAACTGCTAACCCCTAGTCCTCGAACACTGATCTAAGCACCCGAGCAGTATCTCTGGCCCGGTGCAAAGTACAACCTGCTGCACCCTCTTACATGAACGAGAAACCACCGCACCTCATCTACGAGAAATTTCTTGAACCGCACGTGCGCCCATCTCTCATCCGAACCATGTCCTCCTGGGACTACATTGCCAAACTCGTCTGCATCGGCGACTCGGGCTGCGGCAAGTCCTCGCTCACCATCCGCCTCTGCGAAGGTCGCTTCTCGCCACACCACGACGTGACCATTGGCGTCGAGTTCGGCTCGCGCATCGTCCCCGTCGGCCCTCCCCACAGCCAGCCAGCCCTCCCGTCCTCAGAGGAGGAGCAAGGCCTTCCCGAGCCGCGGCGCGATGTCGCCCAGAAACACATGAAGCTGAGCCTCTGGGACACGGCCGGGCAGGAGACGTACAAGAGCGTGACGAGGTCGTACTTCAGGGGGGCGAGCGGTGCCTTATTGGTCTTCGACCTCAGTCGGCGGCAGACCTTTCAGCACGTCACCGACTGGCTAAACGACCTGCGCCAGATCGCGGAGCCGGATATTGTCGTCATACTCGTCGGGAACAAGGCCGATCTGACGCAACGGGACGAGGGCAACAAGCGCGAGGTCACGCGGGAAGAAGCTGAGGAGTGGGCACGCAAGAACGGCGTGATGGAATATGTCGAGACCAGTGCCAAAAGCGGGGAGAATGTCGAGAATGCATTCATGAGGGTTGCGGAGAGAATATACCAAAATATCCAGGCCGGCAAATACGACCTCAACGACAGGAGGTCGGGGGTCAAAGGCCCAGGAGCAGGAATCAAAGGCCAGGTGAAACTCTCAACGGACGCGAGCAAATCATCAGGAGGCATGTGTTGCTGATAGAAGCAATGGTCAGAATCAAACTTGTACAATAGACAACAAGAATAATACTAATGCATGGAGGCTCTGCTTTACAGGCAGCGAGACAAGGGTTCTTATCATCATGCATTACGTTTCGAGCATTCAACTGCTGGAGCTCAACCTACATTGCACTACACTTTTCCGCATTTCCCTATATCAATCTCCAGACATGCAAATACCAGGTCGTTAAGTAGATTCCCATGACGTTGCCCATCATCTCGCACTATTCTTACACAAGACGCCCTTCCATCATGTCCATTAGGAATGCGCTTAGGCATCGCTGATCCTCCAGTTGTCGAACCACTTGAGGTAGCTGTACTGCTTGTTGTTGCCCGTCATGCCCCAGCAGATGGGGATGAACAGAATGTACAGGCCGATGATGACGGAGTACAAGATGCCATACGAGACAGCCTGGATGGCAGCGCCGCGGTTACGGAGGAACCAGTCGGCGAGGAAACCAAAGGTGAGGATGGCAAAGTACAGCGCCGGATAGTAGTGGTGTACATAGGTGACACGCGCCATGATCACAAATGGCAGATAGTGCAGGAACCATCCCGCAGCCGGGTATAGACCTGCATAGTGCATGCGATCGACCTCGCTCTCCTGGAGGTCCTTGTAACCTCGCTGCCAGCGGACCAGGTACCAGAAGACCACCAGGGCGATGACGCCCAAGCTGGCAGTCGAGGCCCAGTACACAAAGGGGTTGCCCAGGAGGAAGTACTTGACAATCTTGTCATCCCAGCCGCACATGCGCAGGCCGACGTGCAGAATAGGCCACTGCCACCACTGAGATGCAAGGTCGTCCTGCTTGTCAGGATCGGGCACCAAGGCATTGTTCGACGTCATCATGGCTACGTTCAGGTGAACAAAGTCATGGAAGAAGGGAGACTTGTATACACTAGGGTCGCTGGGAGGAACTGAAGGTTATTAGTCACATGTTGCATCGCTCAAATGGCCTCACTTACGCTTGTCATTCCAGTGCGCCTCCACGTTCCAGTGAGTGTACGTGTCGCGAGGGTTGTTCTGCTTCGTGCAGGTCACCTCAACTTGCTTGAAACCCCACTGGGGCAGGTTGGTGTTGCCGGCGCGCAGGTAGCAGCCTAGTGTAGGGTGCTTCAGACGGAACGCCGTCGTCAGGGTGCGCAGCTTGCTGTGGTCCCAAGAGGCAGCATCGCGGACAACCTCGACCTTCCAGTGGTCCTTGTCATCGCCGACAGTCAAGTTGCCGTAGGCCGAGACCTCGTTGTCCTTCTTGGTCACAGGAGCGGCAATGGAGTGCGAGTGGAGATTGCGGCCGGTCTGAGCGTGAATGAGACGGATTAGGGAGCCATCGCCAATGTGACGAAGCTCATCAGACTCGGCGTCATAGGCAGGCTCGTGGCGGTTAGGGTAGAAGAACCAGTCGTTGTTGGTGTCTTTGTGGTGGTAGCAAGTAACCTGCTGCTGCTGCGAACCTTCGGGATAGGTCTGGACGTGGGAGTGCAGCAGACCACCGCCGTATCCCATGTTCTTGATGGTAGCGCGCGAACCGTACACGACCTCGAGCGGGCTGTTTTTGCCGACGTTGGTACCCTTGAGGTTGGCCTGGAACAGAGAGCTCATCTGGGCATCACCAGGACCGCTGCGGTCGAGGATCGCAAAGTGAAGCGCAAAGGAGAGCATGTAGATCATGAAAGGAATGATGATGAGGCCGATGATACGTGTAAAAAGGTGAGCGGACAGCGTAGACACAGGCATTTTGGTGTCGCCGAACTTGTTCCACAAATCCTCAATCGTGTACAGACCGACAAGCGCGGTGACGAAGAGACCGACGAGCTTCACACTGCACACACAACCGATGCTGATGCCGGTCATGAACAGCCAGATGAACCATTCGGGCTCGAAAGCGTTATGACGCTGATTGTGGAACTTGGACCAGCAGAATACGGTAGCGACCGTCCCGAAAAGCAGCATGGAGTCGAGCAGGATGAAGCGGCTGATGGTGGTGTACGAGTTCTCGCAGAGAACCATCAAAGTCACAAGCCACACGGCAGGACGACGGAGCTTCAGCTCGCGAGCCGTATAGTATGCCAGGGGGATGCAAAGTATACCGAAGAGGGCGTTGAAGGCGCGCATGAAGGCGTAGTTGACCTCTTCAGGGTACTTCTCGCCAGACTTGAACTCGAAGGTGCCGTTGTAGCCCGCCAGGACTCCAGAGAGACCGACGAGCATCTTGCCGAGAGGGGGGTGAACATCGAAGTAGTACTCGTGCTTGATATAGTAGCTACCGAATTTGCCAAAATGCGCCTCGTCCCAGGTCACAATGTCGCTGATGCCAATCTTCCATAGTCGGGTTGCGAATGCGGCAATCGTGAAGAGGATGGGAGCGAAGATGGGCTCCCATTCGGAGAAGTTCTCGACAAACGTTTTCTCCTAGATACCCGGTCAGCATTTTTGCATTCCTCGCTTTTGCAAAACACGAACCTTCTTCATAAACTTCTTGTTGTCGGCTGGTTGGGCGGGGCGTGAGGCGGTCTGTGTCGAGGGGACACGCTGGCGAAGACCGTCGCCAAGGTCAGCGCCAGACGCGAGTGTGGCCTTTTCAGAGGCCATGGCGAGGGCTGAGGAGAGCGAAGATCTGCTTCGGCGTCGCGATGATGCTGGGCCGCGATGATCAAGCAATCGGCAACCGTGGCGCGGCTGAAGGGAGATTTGGAATAGGGGACCAGGGCCTCTTAGGGGTGACTGAGGGGCCGTTGTGGACGTTAAAGGACTGGACGAGCTTCAAACTCAAAGACGGTCCGGCATTGGCAAAGAAGCCGCGATTACGATATGTCTCTGCAGACGCAAAAGTGATGAAAGAAGAAAAAGAAAGGGGATGCTATAAAGAAGCGACCGGTTTGGCGTTGAAGAACAGCAAGGCAAGAGGCCAGCTATTAAGGCTGGGAAGAACAAGCAAGCCCCTGCATCCGCCTGGAGCTCCCGGAGTCCAGGCTGACAGCGCCACACGTTCAATAGAGCCACATCGTATCGACTTGCACCAGCCACAGCCCCCACTCTCTTCTCAATAAGTTTGAGCCACTGCACCGATACCGTACAATTCAAGAGCTCAGCCCATCACATGTGAGACAGGCCAGCCGCCAGCATCCAACAACGATCCTCCCGAATCCAGACCCAGCTGAATGGGCCACACCTCGTTATGTCATCCGCTCCTTGCGGGCACACGCACCGTCTCCTTCAACGACGCATCTGATGACCAAACCGCTCACCGTCCACCTATACCCTATCACTCGCGCAGAGTCTCGTCACCATTGCCGTGCTCCTCGGCCTCCGCTTCGGCAACCTCTAGTCGTCACTGGTCCCCTGCCTCAGCCCGCACTATCACTCCTCCCTCCCCGCTAAAGCGCGTCCTATACGGATACGTACAACATACAAGAGGACACCTCCCCTGCCGGCCCCTCCGAAGGTCGGCTGGTTGTATGCGAGGCCATTTTCGGACCTAGCTCTAATGTCTTATCTGGTCAGCGACTTTCTCATCAATCCTGTTCTCCGACAAGCTCGCCGTTTCTCCGAAGTCTCGCGATCGACCATTTTTGGCAGCGGCGATGAAGCCCCAGGCCCGCAGCCAGAGGCTGTAATCGATAACACCGAATCGGACGTCCATATCAGCAATGCAACACCAGGCCTCATCGCTCCCGTAGCGTGCCCAGACCTCGGCAATTCGACATCCTCAGGCCCCATGTCGGCGCTGGGCCCTTTGGGACGACCCGATGAAGTCTTAGCCAGCCCAATGGCGGCCACTGTAGACGACGGCAGTCCTCGCGACCATCTCGGATTCCCCATCTTACCCAACAGAAGGCGAGGCAGCAAGATACCAGAGGACGACGGGATGGCAGAAATGCGAAGGCGTATACAGGAGATCTATGCCCGAGATGTGTCGCCTGAGGAGAAGGCCAGACTCATGCACAGCTTGCATCTCGAACGATACAATGCGTCCAGGGCAGTGCCCAACCTCCAACACATAGCGATCGGTTCGACAGGCCCCGTCGGCCAAATGAAGGAGGAGCTCAGACCGCAAGGTGCTCTCGACTCCCTGATGTTTTGGTCTTCGACAGGCGACAACGACACCGAAGAGTTCCATCTCACCGAGAGTGATCTCATGCCCTCGTGGGCACCGTCTCGGCCATTCAAGAGTCAATCGGGACTAGCTTCGGGGCAGATCACACCCGGTGCTCCTGCAGAAACAATGTCCGAAATCATCCAGCCGCAGCTGGGATGCCAACATTACGAACGAAATGTGAAGCTACAGTGCAACGCATGCCGCAAGTGGTATCCCTGTCGCTTCTGTCATGACGAAGAAATGGGACACGATCACAAATTACCGCGCTTCGAGACAAGATACATGTTATGCATGCTCTGCAAAACGCCGCAAAAGGCGTCAGAAGCATGTGTCGCTTGCCAAGAACCGTCAGCGTACTACTACTGTGGCATCTGCAAGCTGTGGGAGAACCGTCAAGATAAACCCATTTATCACTGCTACGATTGTGGCATTTGTCGCAAAGGACACGGCATCGGGAAAGACTTTTTCCATTGCCTCACGTGCTGCGCGTGCATCCCGACAAATATTGAGACGACGCACAAATGCATCGAACGCTCTACGGACTGCGACTGCCCCATCTGCGGTGAGTACCTGTTCACGTCGCCCCGACCGGTCGTGTTCATGGTTTGCGGTCACAGTATACACAAGAAATGCTACGACCAACACATGTCGGTCTCGTACAAGTGTCCGATTTGCAACAAGAGTCTGGCGAACATGGAAACACAGTTCCGCAATCTGGACATTGCTATCCAAAGTCAGCCAATGCCTGCTGAATTTCGTGACACAAGGGCCATTGTGCTCTGCAATGACTGCTCCGGCCGGAGTATGGTTCCCTATCATTGGCTCGGAACCAAATGCGGTACTTGTCAATCATACAATACTTTCCAGCTCCAAATTCTAGGAAGCAACAGTCAAGAGCTACAAACTGCTTTGGAAGAGGGTACAAACGCTCAACCAGAACAGTCTGGATTCCAAGGCCAAGCAGTGGAAGCAACAGAGCCCGTCATCCCCGCCAACCGCAGAAGGCACTCGTCACAAGGCATCGAACTGCAACGGCGAGTGTCTGAAGCAATCGTAGGGTCGTATCCACCCCCGAATATGCGTGTTGGAACGAGTCTGGAGAACATCGACTCAGATCCCGACGAGCCGAACGATGGCATCTTTGGGTTCTGGGGGCGCGGCTCGGTAGATGACGACGATGAGTACATGTTTGAAGACGAGAGCGACGAAGATTCAGCGGACGATGAAGAAGATGACGAGATTCTACTCATCGGTCACAGATAGCTCTCGCCGCGAAGATATGATGAAGGTTGTCCGGTATTGGTAAGGCTCGGCGAGATAATAAGAGCCACTATGTATTTATGAGGATCTGCACATTTTGGACAGTCATAGGGAGAGCATTGTCGGCATCGGATTTGGATATAGGAGCAAAGGGCGCATCAAGTACTATTGGAAGCATGAAACCTGGTGGCCTACAGAATGCATTCATAGCGATGCTGACTTTATTGTATTGATTATCATTTTATCAAACGCCTCATGTCGTACAAAGGGATGGAAATCGTGATGGCACGCCAAATCCTCGCAAACCCAAAACGCCACACTAAACAGACGCTTGACGGTGTTTCACGACGGTCGCTGCACTGACTGTGCCTCTTGCCTCAACTCCTTGACAACTTGCTTTTCCTCCCTGTCAGCGATGATTCTAGAGGTTTAGGAGGGATGTGACGAACAGCAAGCGCCTCCGGGTTGACGCCTCTCTCAATCATGGAGATACATATCGACAGCGTCCGGCGGTCAAGGTGGCAGTTCTGCGGGTCAGTTTGCCGACTGGAACCAGCGGAGAGATCAAGAGACTCGTACAAGTATCGTGGATATCTCGTGAAGAATATCGACAGCTTTTTGCGCGGCGGCGTGCTTGTCCTGCTCTGGCATGCTGGCGATGGTGGTTTGGAGGTGGGAGTTTCGCGATGAGCGCGTTGAATGGCGGGGCTGTTCACAACATGATGCCCACGGGGGGTCGCCAAGATGAACAAGGCACAATTGCAAAACAGCTTCTACGGATATGCAGCCATAACACCGGCGTGCAAATTTGGTATCATTTGAGAGAAGCGAATTTTGAGTGAACAAAGTTGCAGATATGAAGGAAGTAGACTCATCCCTGGATCGCTTCCACGAACAATTCTCTCATCCCTTTCAGTAACACGACTAATTCTCTCGACTCATTCACCTTGTCAAGCACCTTTTCCACCTTCTCGCGCTCCAGCTTGGGACGGCAATGCTTGATATCGTAGTCCCTCGATCCTGTCAGTAGCTCGAACCAGGCCTCCCTCTCCCAGTCCTTCTCGTCAATGTGTGTATACACAAACTTGAGCCGCTCCTCGCGCCCGGCGCCGTGAATTGTCAAGCACAGATTCTGGATCCAAAAGTCCAGCTCAGGCACGTTGAAGCGCGACTGTGCCTCCTGCCGTTGCGTATACGCTCTCTGCGCAGCGAGACGCTTGTCAATCTCCGCCTGCGTCTGCTCAATCTGTGCCCTGAGCGCCTCCCTCGTCGCGTTCTGCTCGTCTCTCTGGCGCACTAGCTCTTCGATGGCACTCTCAATCTCCCGTGTCTCCGCCTCCTCCTTCTCGACCGTCTGCGCGTGGGTCGATGTCTTCGCCTGGACAATCTCAATATCGCGCTTCTTCATGCGCTGGTCTTCTTGTAGCTCCGCGACGTTCATGCGGAAGTTGTTGCGTTCTTCCAAGACACGTTTGCGTCCTTGCTCAATAAAGGCATCGAATTTGGCGGTGAACTTGGCCATGCGATCACGTAGCTCATCGAAGCCAAAGTCGGTGCTCGGTAGCGTGTCGGCCATGGAGGGGCCCAGAGAGGACATGGTTTGGCGGTGCTGGCTGCTTGACAGCGACGACTCGAAGGCGGCAGACATGTTGTCGGATGTACAGGATGGAATGAGATCGGCTGTGCTGGCACGATTGTGTTGCCGGGAAAGTTGTCGCTCGACAGCGGGCAGTCGGGATTCGGGTGGGTGTTTACCTCCAAGTGTCACAAAACACTGGCCGCGTTGCCGCGCAAGATGAATGCGCTGCAGATTGTGGCTTGACCGTCTTATCTTAGCGTGCACCGCCACATATAGTTCTTAGCACCTAAAGTTCATGAGGAAAGTTCACTACGCGACTTGAGAAAGCAACAAGCAGCTCAGCATCTCCTCACCGCTAATTACTCTTCACTCGATTCACATGCTTTCCTCTTTACATTGAAAGATGGTTGCCTGAGTCTTCATTCTGCTTCATCCACAACACATCATAAGAAACGAAATGAATTACGCTTGGACCACACGACTGTCGCATTGGAAATCTTTACTTCGGCCAGATGGCTGAAGTTAGGCGGTTCGCCGACCTGAGACATGGTCCGGTGCGTAATTTGATTTATCAAACAGGCGGAGAGAAATCTGGGCCGGGCGAGCCAGGAACACTGCATGTGAACCGACTAGTGTCTGATGGTGAGTCTCTGTGAGAAAGGGGAGTCTACATCCCGGATTTTAACTCCGCAACAGTCCCTTACTTCAAACAAGTCGGCACATCTGCAGAACTATATACTGCCTCTAAGAAGATCCTGCCGCCATTGACTCACTCCCATCTTGGTGCCGAAAGGAACTTGCAGAGGCGATGGCTGCTCAAATCACATGCTGGTGCTTTCATGGGCAGCGCAGGGTCACCCGATCTACTCACCGAAGGGCTGGTTCAATACCGCAAGGCAGATGATCCCTCGTCCATGAGGTCGCTGTTGGCGGTGGGAGAGATAGCTGATCTGAGAGTCCCAAAGAAACCCAGCGTCATTCATGTGCTTGCTGCTCCTGCCGGTGACTCCGGCGAGCTCCTGCGGCTGTCGCGAGTTGAGGATTCACGATGGGCTTGGGATGATGGGGAGCACGCACAGCTCAATCTGTCTGTGGTTGATCCTACCGATCAGGACAGCGAAAACTTCTGGCAAAGCGACGGCCTTCCCATCACTCAGATGAGGTTCATCTCAACCGTGGATCCTCAGGTAGCCACGTTGCGATGGCTCATTGTCCAAAAATCGACGTCGACGACGATCCTCTGTCCTGAGTACAGCCATGTCCCAATAACGCAAACGATCTCGCTTGATTCGGACAGGAAAACGCTCTCATGGATTAAGCCAAATCCTGTCGTTACTGTCGGCTATGTTCAAACCGGTGGAAATGCACATGTGGACTTCGCCTACAATCCTCCAGCCCTCGATCGCAAGCCGCAGTTCTGTGTCATGGACGAGTGCGGGTACTGGACTTTGTGGAATGTTGAAGCTTTCACAAGAACAGGCAAGGCGAACATGCGGTTAACACCGCATCGAAAAGGCCACATCTGGGAGGGCCCCCTGCGCCAAGTTCCTCAACGCAGCCTGTATCCTGCACAGCAGCACGGTGTCCTGTTCGTGGGCGACGAGGACTCGTCGGGCTTTGTAGTTGAGGTTTTGCCAACGAAGAAGCCGTCAAGGCATCTTCTACTGTGGAATAGCCAGCTTCTGAGGACAGTGCACTTGGAGAGCGGTCAACATCTTCCCGACATTCCCGGCTTCACCACAGGTGACCGAGCCTTGGGATCTATACTAGACGTCCAGGCCAATCCAAGCAACCAGAATCACATCTTCGCACTCACCACGAAATATCTCGTCTGGATCAATCTGTTCCCCACCACAGGCACATCAAAGGAGATGCCTCGGCTTCTTTTAAAGTGCCCGCACGACTGCCACAAGCCTGACTTACCGAAGATGGCCATCTGCGGCGTAGCCGAAGGCAGCCATGCCGAAGCGATGATCTCCCTGACTATTCCAAAAAGCAACACATTACGCGTGCTTTGGTTCTTCATGGATGGCGAAAGTGGTCTTCCTTCGTGGCATTCACAGCTCACAATTCTCGCGGTGGGGAGTGGAGATGCCTTTCAAGTGCAGCAACTTGCGCTCACACCATCGAGGATTACGGTCCATCCTCAGGGTAGGATGGGGCTGGGCCACAAATATCTCCAGGCTGGCGTGCAATTCTACCAGGGCATGATGCTAGCTCGGGACCTGAGCGTCCGGTACTGCATGTTTTACATCTGCAACGATCCATCTCTGATTGTTACACTGCCTGTCGAACGGCTAAACTGGAGCCGCACTGATCAAAACAGACGTTGGAGATTTAAACGTCTTCAGATGTTCAAGTACATGGGGGACGCTGTGGTCATACCGGACTCGATGACAGACGAAGCCATGCTTTCGCTCGCACGTATCTCGCAGAACACGCGCCACCGAAAGGGGGTAGAGCCAAAGACCGCACTTCAACCTCGAAAATACGACCGAGACCACGACTGCGTTGCAATGAGGGTCAATCATATTCTGCCCTTCCTTGAAGATGAAATGCGCAGGGGCCTCGGTGGCGGCGGCGCAGGGTTGTCCATGTCGCTGTTGCGCGGGATCGGGGAGGCGCTACAGAGCGGGCTGGCTGACGGCCGCTTGAGTCTGATGACCTGGAAAGAGATATCTGCAAAAGTACCGCCTTCTGACGATGCCCATGAGCTCCCTGCCGAGGAGATGGAAGAGAATATATCTGAGGTGCTTGGCCATGCTGAGGAAAACACCATCATCACCCAACTCGATCGATGTCACCCCGACGAACCCGACAGGCCAGTCGGCAGTTTGCCCTTGCTTCAAAAGCAACTGACGTCTATTTGGGTTGACCCACTCAGGGGTCACATATCCGAAGATGACTTGAGGTTGAAGCAAGACCACGCACTGGAGTTGGCCAAAGACCTGTTCCTCTCTACTCAGGGCATTGCCTTCCAAGATGTCCCCCTGTTTGGGCTGCCATCAGCAGACAATCCAATGGACAGCCAACAAAGCATATCCAGTGCCATTGCCTTTGCTTCCTCTCAGCAGTCGTCCGCAGTCTCGGACTCTTCCGCGTTCAGCAGTGATCCGGTTGCTCCTCCGCCAGCAGATGACGCCTTCAAGCGGCTCGGTTTACTCGCACCAACAATTCAACCAGGCAAATTCGGGGCGGTGAAACCTGCGTCGGTCTTGTCCTTTTGGCCTACCGAACGTGGCAGTGACCTCAAGGACTACACATCGTCTGTGGCACTGGCCACTGAGCGACAGTTTGACCCCGCAAGACAGAGACTGGCCAGCAGAGAGAGGAAGCGCAAAGCTACCGCGGAGAAATACAAGATGCCGCCCCTGAAACGCGGCGGATCGCCGTTGAAATACGCGACACCAGCGGGTGCCTCCAGTCAAGAGGCGCCGAGATCCACGCAGGTGCCGATCAGGCCAGGCATGTCCAGCCAGGTTCCCGAGTCTAGCCAGATGCCTCTGCGCCCAGCGCCGGCGACTTCGCAGGTTCGCAACAGCCGGCTCCTCGAGTCCTCCCAAAGTCAGCCACGGATCGCGATGAGTCAACCTCTGCCTGGAGCGTTTGGTGCAACTGGGAAGAAGCCGAAGAAGGTGGTGAAGAAGAAGAGAAGCGGTTTCCGCTAAGGTTGGGGTGGCGGAGTGTGTCGTTGTCGGGCGAGGAGGTGGATTGGCCTCTGATGGGTGAGGGAATCTGACACGTAGCGCCTACTTGAAACTTTTAAGGCTATCGCCAACCCACGAGCATTTAAGCGTTTTTCGACCACTTACACCTTACAGCAGCGTCTCAGGTATTCGAAACAAAAAGTTAATATCAGTAATAGTGGCCTACGAATGTAATCAAATTCAGCTACAGGACAGGGAGTCTCCACACTACAATGTCTGCCACACTTGACCACAGCAGGTATGCCCAATAACAAATATCGTATGCTTAATAAAATCTTTCTTTTTCGATATATTCCAATCGTAGCATACATTCGTAAACCGTCTCTTTTGTCGCTGTGTCACAATAATTATTACTCAAGGGCTCCACGCAGGCAACCGCGGGGCACCATCACCAGTCGCCGCCTGTAGACGTGGGGCTTGATCAAGGTATTGCGTTCCTTCACACCAAGCTCATCAACGATACTACTTGACGTTTAAGGATTCGATTTTGTAATCAGAGCCTGTATGCCATAAGCAGAATGTCTCATTGTCACGACGAGCACGACCATGGGCATGACCACTCAGACGACATCACACCTGCATTGCAACACTCACTCTACGAACAAGTTCATTTTGACGAGATTGTCACGCTCAATGAAGCAACACGCGACTCAGGCAAGAAGATAGTGAAGAAGACCTGGGCAGAGCGCCTGGAACTTGAGCCCGAGCTAGAGAGCGATGCCGACGAGCAGCTCCTGATGACTGTGCCGTGAGTCTCATGAGAGTCAATGTCACACTGTTATCTCACAAACATCTAGGTTCACCGCACAAGTCAAGCTACACTCCATCTTACTGCGTACGTCGCCATCAGATGACGCCCCAAGAACACTCAAATTGTTCATCAACAACGCCAACCTCGACTTCCAATCAGCCGAGGACACACATCCCACGCAGACCCTGGAGCTCTCGCAGACGTCTGACATTCAGGACATTCCTCTCAAGCGCGCCCTCTTCTCCAAGGTGCAGCGTCTGAGCTTGTTCTTTGAGGACAATTTTGGAGAGGACACTACTAAAATAAGCTACCTCGGTTTCAAGGGCGAGTGGACGAAACTGGGCAAGGCGCCGGAGAACATTATCTACGAAGCCGCGCCCCAGCTAGGGGATCACAGGATCAAGGGGACTGGAATCAACGACGTCGGCAGCGGCATTGGGGGGGACAAATGATGAACAAAGAGATTAGAAGTGATAAACAAAGATTCTGAATTCCTCAGTAGACTGCATCTTACCTTACTTACCTACCTGGGAGCTCAGCAGGGACATGCAAGGCCCACATAACCCAGCCGAAGATCCCCCGTTGGTTCATCCAGCACCTCCAAAATTTCCCATCGCGACGACCAGATCGCGCCTCATTCAACCATCCCTTTCCCACTATACCCTCCGCCATGCCGCCCCGTATCTCTCTGCGGGTGGCGCTCCCGCGCTTCTTAGCCCGAACAACCACATCGCCTCTTTGTCTTCCCTCGACAGCCACCCGAAGCGTCCACAATGGCTGGTCTACGGCACCTCCCCGATCCAAGCACTGGCGCTACAACCAAATCACAGCAGGCATCCCCAAGCCCACCACGGGCCCGGCCGCTGCCCTCAAACGCCGAGAGCGCACCACACCCTTCCGCACTGGTGTTCTGGCCACCAAGAAGGGCATGACGGCCATCTTTGTCGGCAAGGAGCGCATCCCCTGCACCGTCCTCCAGCTCGACCAAGTCCAAGTCGTCGCGAACCGGACACGAGAGAAAAACGGGTACTGGGCCGTACAGATTGGACGCGGCAGCAAGGAGCCAAGAAATGTCACGGCGCCGCAGTTGGGATACTACGAGGCCAAGGGCATCTCCCCCAAGGCGGAGCTCGCCGAGTTCTTTGTGAGGGACAAGGATGGCCTGCTGCCCGTCGGCGCACAGATCCACCCCGACTGGTTCCAGGTCGGACAGTACGTCGATGTCAAGGGTCCCTCGCGAGGTCAGGGGTTCGCCGGTGGTATGAAGCGTCACGGTTTCTCAGGACAGGAGGCATCCCACGGTAACTCCAAGAATCACCGTACCATCGGTTCCACGGGTCCCTCCCAGGGCGGTGGTTCCCGTGTGCACCCTGGCAAGAAGATGCCCGGGCGCATGGGCAACGAGAACGTCACGGTGCAGAACCTCAAGGTGCTCGCGGTCGACAATGAGCTCGGCACCGTGCTGGTCAGCGGGGCGGTCCCGGGCCCCAAGGGGAGGACGTTGAAACTGCAGGATTCGAAGAAGATGAAGGCGCCCGGTCTGCCGTTCAGGGAAGATATACTCAAGACGCTGGTGGAGAGGAATAGTGGCGTGGAGGCCCAGCTCGAGATGGCGCGGTCAGCGCATCTGGAACTAAAGGCACTGAGGAGGGATATCTGATCAAGTAGTGGACGACCGTCGTTGCATGTACTACTACTACAACTAGGGCACAATGGGTCTGGAGTCTCGGCTGTTGTATTATACATGTCATATACATCTACTGTACAATTCATAGCGTAACCATGTCTACCGATTCAATGGTGGCTGCTGCCTGAATCCACGTATCGCGTCCTCGTCTTGCGCAGCTACGGGGATGACGAAGTCGTCGTCGTCGCCCATGAGATTCCTGAAGGGATCGCCCTCCTCCAGGAGATCAATGACTGTGCCATCCGCGCCCTCCAAGCTCCACTCGGTCGTCTCGAAGACGCCCCTCGCCGTCTTGCGGTGGCTGGCGAACCGCATGACGGCGGTGCTCTTGGTGCCCTTGACGGTGAACCAGATGTTGATGCGGCCGTGCAGTTGGTTCATCTCACCATGGATCCAGGGGATCTGGTGCTTGAAGTAAATGTCGTCGCCGAGCAGCGCGCGGGCGCGGGGATTGGTGCGCAGAGCATACAGCGTGCCAGCCGTCACGGGGGAGGACGACTTCTGGTAGTTGAAGATGGCGACGCTCGAGATGGTGACGATGACGAGGAAGATGGGCAGAGTGCGACCCCAGCGGAATGTGACCTGCTCCACGTCTACGAAAAGAAAACAGATCGGTTAGCATACACGGACGTCCGTACACGTGGCTCCAGCCATGCTCATGAGGCGGAGACTCGGAGGGGCAAAGGCAATCATACGAGGCAGTTCGCGATCGGCGCGACGGGACATGAGAGGTCCGTCACCGGGCTTGGGAGCTGGCGTGATCCATCGTCGCTGTGGCTGCTTCACTAGAGTCCTCCTCTTTGCGGCGGAGGCTAGTCGTTGTCGAACGGCGCGCGAGAACATCTTGGCTTGCTTTGGGTCGGATTGGCCCAGTGACGTTTGGCGGGTGATGCGTCGATGGGCGAGAGTTGACGAGCGGCGTCCCGGGGAAATTTTCCAGCGTGCCTGTAGGTAACTAACTGGACCCTGATCCCCGCCGCCACGAATCCCGCTGCTTAGACTTGGACAACAGCTCAGAGCAGCTAGATCACTCATCGCAGAGGAACCATGAAGGATTCTTTCCACGACCAAACGTCGCGCATGCGCAAGACATTTCGGTATCCAGCAGACGATGAGACAGAATCCAACGGCTCCGATCCAGAAGCGCTCGACGAAGAAGGTCCCGGTTCCCCCCTCAGCCACGATAAGCCCAGAACACGCCGCTGATCATGAGCAGAACAGGAGCATCTGATCAATCGTCTCGCCAACGAAAATGCCTCCCGCAACGCTTTATTTGCGCGTGTTCTCCTTTGCCTCCCGATCGCTGCCTGTATCCCCTATCTGCCGACCCTCTTCCACGCTAAGACGAGGATGCTCTCGGTGCTGAGCATCACGTCTCTGCTCTCGACAGCGTTCCTCCTTTGGCGATACCCGACAACGCAGACTGGCATCGAGATGCTAGACAAGCTACACACAAAGGGGAAGCCCAAAGCCAAGGTGCTAGATCGGTCGCCGCTCGAGACCTGGCTGCCATATCTGAATCTAGGCTTGGCGGTCATGCTTGTGCTCATGGGCCTGCTCGTTAAGAGTGACGCTACGAGCTTCGGCTGGATCAGCATGGGTAACCTCCCTGTGATCATATACGCCGTCGCGCTGGCTTCCAAGGTCGTGATGGCGAGCGTCGACCCCGAGTCTGAGCTTTCAAGTCTCAAGTACGAGTACAAGGGTGCTTAATCAAGTTGGCATGGTGGTATTGATTCTCTTTTCTATTATAACTTTGGTCTACATGTCTATTGAGTCGTTGAAACGCAAGACACCGTGACTGCGCAATACCCCATCCACGCCCTGGGGCACAGATCGCCCAGAAGATTCGACTTGAGGATCTAGTTCAGGCGTATCGGCCGACTTGTCCATGACCAGTGCGAGACCATGCGATTTGATGGCATCGACGAGGGCGGGGACCATATCCTGGTTCTGTCAGTATCCATTCGCTTAATCTCCGGCAAGGGAAACATACAAGAAGGCGCGAGTAGCACATCAGGCCCATGAAGTTGTTGCTCTGCGAGATCCGCACCACCTCCTTAAGTGAAGCGCTTCTCCTACCGCTGCTGTGGATGGTACTCGGCGGGTCCATGGTCTCTTCCCGGCCCAGGTCGTTGCAGAGAAAGACTGGGAAGTTGGGCTGCTTCCAGTTGAGAGCCGTGCAGAGTTTTGGGTTGTAGCTGCTGAAGACGATCGATCGAACAACGTCTGGCGACTGTACCCGCTGTGCGCGAGCGTGGTCGAATACAATGGTTAGAACCGAATCGACAAAGACGTTGACATCCAGTGCAGGTCCTAGTGCCAGGCTCTTTTCCTCCTCACTTGTCGGATACAGTATGTGTATGTTGGCGTGTATATTTGCCGGTAGCAACGATAGCGCATCTGACAATGTGGCGCCCGCCGTAGCCATGACCTGGTAGGCAGAGGCGATGTCGATGTACTGCCCGCTGGCTAGTGCAGCAAGTCCTACATGGCCCTGAGATTGAGCGGTTGTGGCAGTGAATTGCTCCAGGGACAGGCGACAAACAGGTATCTCGATGCCACCACACGAGATGGACCATGTAGGCCAGAGAACAGGCACGCCATCGCTGGTGTACTGCACAAAGAGCCTAACATAGTCTCCTGAAAGACTAGATCCAGTCACAATCGGGTTCGTCGGCTGGTTGAACTGGCTCGTCGCCTTCCAGTATGTCTCAAAGTCGGTGATCTCCAGAGGCTGGCCTTGGAATGGCTTGATAACCTGCGTATTGAAGCTTATCTGCCCAATAGCCCTCAAGCGCGGGTCGAACAGGGGAAGAAAACACTTTGTGCTACCTTGCAAGGCATTGAAGGTACTGGGTAGAACCACTGTCTTGGCGATAACCTTTGCGCCGTATGCCGGAAACACATCAAAGTCGAGAGAGAATGAGTCCAGGTGGTCGACCTGGAAGGAAACAATGCGGGTATCTTCTTGGAATGGTAGGATGATGTTCTTGGGGATGAGGTCGGAGACCTTGGAAGAGATGGTAAGCCGAGCAGCCGGGTACTTGCCATCCTGGAAGAAGACAAGAGGCTGTCCATCCGTATCAAAGCTGATTTGAACCACTGTCTTGGTGTCCAGAAAATTGTGCCCGTACCTGCGTAGTGGTATTATGGGAGGGGGCAGTTCGAGAACAGGAATAGCGTCCGGGTCCAGAGCCATGGGCATAGGGGCACTGCTGCTGCTTTGGGATGCAAGTAGAGGCTGCTGAATCAGAGGGCTCGTGCGGCTGCGTGTGTTGAAAGGGGTGAGAAGCTTCATACATGCTAGGTGGCCCTCCCACGCAGCGTAATACATGGCTGGCAGGTCCTTTTCGTCCAGAACATTTGGGTTAACGCCGGCTTCTAGCAGGGCTCGTAAGCAATCGACGTTGCCTTCACTAGCAGCATGCACCAGTGGCGTCCAACCATACAGCTTGTCCACCTGATCAAGATCGGCGCCAAACTGCTGCAGCAGGAGAAGCAGCTCGGAAGTTTGCCCAGACCTGGCTACCAGATGTTGCGGGTACAGGCCTTCAGCATCGGGCAGAATGTTGGCGCCATGCTTGAGCAATAACCGCACTACCGAAACTGATCCATGCTCGCAGGCCAGATTCAATGGCACATGGTCTGCGTCCGTCAGAGGGTCGAGTCGTGCCGACTTGATAAGCAACCTCTCCACGCACTCGAGATGTCCATGAATGATGGCGTGAATCAAGGGTGTGAAGTTGTCGTGGTCGATCATGTCGATTGTGTTGGGATTAGCTCTTAGCAACGCCTCGAGCATATCGATCCGGCCATGTAAACTAGCGTAGTGTAAAGGGACTCGTCCGTAGACGTCTGTCCGGTCCACAGCCACTCCGCCAGCCAAGCCCCATTCGAGAACGTGCTGTTTTCCGTAGATGGCAGCCTGGTGCAAGCAATTTCTCTCGTTGATGTCGTCGTACGAGTGCAAATCAACTAGCTTGGTCTCGAGAAGGACCAGGAGCGTCTCGATCGGGGCGTCGTAAATGGCGGCCAAGAACGTTCGGGTGATTCGCTCCATCAATGAACTGCCGCCGTCCGAGTCTTCGCTTGAGGACGCATTCATCTTGGCGAGCAGGTCTCGCAACGTTGCAATATTACCCGTGACAACGGTGTCAAGCAGGAGAGTGTCTGCATCTCCTTCGTCTGTGCCCAGGAAATGTTGGCTGGTAACAACATGACCAGACGATCGGAAATCAACCTGAATGCCATCTGACCAGGCGCCCAGCTCCTGCAGGCTCGTCGTCGCCTGATCTGACAACTCGCTGATTACTGTTGCGTTGAAGAATGGCTGCACCTCAACAGCGCGAGATAGATATAGCTCTTTGGTCTTTGACTTGCTAGTCTTATCCCACTTCTTCAGGATCTTTGAGAACGCCGTACCATTGATCTCGATGAACTGCTGCAGCTTGTTCAAATCGGTGGCGAACTGCTGGAACCCTTCCTCGAGCGTTGTGAACTTAGCAGATCGTCTCGAGATGCCTTGTCTCGACTGTAGCACCTTCTTTTTGTCGAGCAGCGTCTTCAGGCGAATTTTGAGCTGCACAGGGCCATATCAGACATAATACACCGAATTACAGTAGATATGTACTCACCTCCGCCTCCTTCTGCAGATAAAAAGCATTGACCTTGTCTAATTCGCGTTCCTGCAATTGTCAGACAAGCACCGTCAAAGACCACAAAATGTGCAGCACCTACCAGCTGGAAGAAGAACGTAGCCTTATTTGCTTGGAGCGCCGCCTGTGAGTCGGCTGCAACGGCTGTTCGGTTTGTGCCGTTGAGGGCAGCGAGTGTCGGCGTGGCGGAGAGCTTCTTGATGAGCTATATGACGCAGTGTTAGTTACACAAGATCATCCATCCGAGACGCGCATGGACGCATTGATGAGCGCCCAAAGGAGCTGCAAGCATCCGAGGTTTTTCATGATGTGTTCCCCCAGGACAGGACCAAAATGACACCACGTCAAGGGATAGTTTGGAGGCCTCACCTTCTTCAGCGCCTTGTAGTTGACAAAGCTGGCAGCGTACTCAGGGACCTCCAGCTGGCGCTTCTGGATCTGCTTGCCGAATTTCCTGTAGTATCAAACATCAGCTGTTGCGCAGACCAGTCGAGGACCGCATGCCACTTACATGGCGACAAGTGGAAGAGGCGCAGTCAGGGCCTAGCTGAGGGACAGTATCGGCAAAAGGTTCTCACGGCGCACTGCTTGCGTCTACAAGACAGTCGGTCCCTTGTCGTCTCACGCAGGCGTATGAGCAGACGTTTTGGAGCTACTTATATAACATGACAGTATGACGTGGGCGTACAATGCGTCTGAGTCTAAATAAATGTGAACGTGAACGTGCGAGAGCGAAGGGCAGCTAGCGCGGGGACCTGTGAGTCGCTGCCGCAATGCGCCACAGCAGGAAAAAGCAGGCAGAATCGAGCGTGCAATGCTGAAGGATTGTTGGTCGATTGCACTGGATGAGATGGCGAGATGATGAAGTTCGTGTCGGAAGTATTTCAACTAGCCGTGCCAGTTCAATGACTCGGAAGAACCAAGGCGCGCAGTGCTCGTTGCCTAACCCCAAAAATCAGTACACCACCATCTGACACGCTGCCAACATCACAGTCAAGTATGGCTTGAGCAAGGGCGAAACTAGGCAAGCGCTTACCTGGGAGCCGCGCGAGTCAATCAGATGGTGACAGGACAGAATCTGCGCATGCAGCACAAGCAAGACGATAGTCGTATCGACCTGGATGCAGGCTGGTGAAAGAAGTCGAAGACCGGAAGTAGAGATGGTAAGAAGATGCCCCTCAGCGGGGTGATCAGACTGACAACTCTCTGCGTAACTGCGAAAGAGCTCCTACGTAATGCCCTCACAGGGTGGGAGTTACTCCGAGCGACTATATGCTCGTGAGATGTCACCATCACAGGGGATGGAATCATATGTCTGTTCGCTTTCCAGACATGGGGACCACCCATTTCCCGATATGCTGCACCTACTGGCTGTTGACCCTGCATACTGAGAGAAAACCCCCACCAAATGACCAGATTTGTCCGCCTGGGCGTGGCTGCGGCTGGTAAAACGACAAGTGTACTAATGACACTATGGCAGCGACCGATTCCGTGGAGATCCGTGCCGAACCAATGGGAGGCTGGTCTCGCACCCCGTGCTGGCATGATAGGTCGCAGCAACGGAGAGCACACAGTTGCTGTTTGGAGGGAGGGAGATGCACAGATCGATGCATCGTGTATGGACCAGAAATTGGGTCGTTGGTCAGGTCATGTTGCAGTATGAAAGCGATGCACTTGTCGACGGACACGTAATAATTAGATCCTATCTTCAACAAGACTCGCATCGCAGGGCTCACTCCTTAGAGCTTCCTCCTTCCCTCCCAGGCGCAACCATGTCATCCGCCATGGCTTCTGCAGCTGCCTTTTTCAAACGTTCAGTATCCTCGTCGTTCTCATCCTTTGTCTTGTCTTTAACATTGTCCTTGACATCCTTCTCGTCCTCGCTGTCTCCCAAGCTGAAGGGGTCGTTGTCACCAATCGGGCTCGGCTCAACTGTTGACAATGGCTGCCACTTGCTTGCCTTGGCAGGCGGGTTGTCCTTTGGTGGCACCTTGGGTGACGAGTCGTACATGCTGATCTCCTCTGTCTCTTCTTTGAAACCCACCCTGCGGCCATCATTCGGACGGGGCGACTTGGACGTTGGGCGAGGTGAGTGAGATGGCGGGCGATAGATGCTGCTCTGAGATCGGTTGGCGGGTGCTGCCACGTTAGCTCCTTGTCGCTTCCTGTCTCTACCTGGCGGCTACTTACTGCCATCCTGAGTGAAGCGCATGCCTGCGAAATCATCGCTGAGGACCTGAGGATCCGCGTCATAGTCACCGCTCCTACGGCTTGACTCTCCCGTGCGGTGGCCTGAACGGTGAGGCTGATCGTCAGACTCATCAAATTGCTCTTCCAGACGCTTCTTCATCGTAGTGATCCAGCTGTTGACCTTGGTCTGTGTTTCGAAGAAGCCCTGGCGCAGGTTGTCGCGGATCTGGGGTAGATCGTCCTCCATGAAACTGTACTCCTTGTCCTCCTCGCTCCCGCGTTCCTGTCGCTGTTGCCTGCTGCGATTGGAGGTGCGGTTTTCATAGGCACCAACGTTGTCGAAGTGGTCAGCAAGTTGTCTCGCGTATAGTTCATCGGCCTCCAGCTGCGATATCTGCCGTCCACCCTGGGGACGAGGGGGCTGTGGAGGGGGCGCCGCTGCGGCTTCCACTTGAGGTTCCCTTGTAACTGCATCAGGGTCGGTCATCTCAAGCAAGGCGTTGAAAGCTGGTTCCACGCGCCCACCACTTGCAGACAAGACAGCCTTGATAACACCCATATCAATGCTAGGGAAGGCTTCCTTGAGAGTTTGTTGGTTCTTTTGCGCTTCGGTCATTGGCCTCGGAGGCTTCGCTGGAGCCGGCTCTTCCTCGTCCGTGACGGTCGGCGCTGGAGGAGTTGCGACGGAGGTATTCGCAGCTGTGTTCGTGGCGGTCGCCGCACTGGTGGAGGTAGTGTTGCCGTCAGGGGAGAGCACGCCGGAGTCTTGTACATCGTCGTCATCCATCTCAAAAGGGCGAGCTGTCGTGGGCGACTCGGCGCCGCCACTGTACGACTGTCGTTTGTTCGGCTATGGGCAGTTGTTAGCATCTATGAGCCGTAGGATCGAGCTAGACAGCATCCTTACTGTCTCTGTTGTGCCAGCCATGGTGAGCAGTCCAGGTCTCGATCTACAACATGTGATGGAACCCAAAACTGATCGAACGATTGGATTTGCTTCCGGATAAGAAGACTCGCGATCCTTGGGGTAAGCTTTGGTCTCGTAGCTCACTGATAGCGAGGGGTTGGGCCGGGGCAGCCACGTCCGCGATGACGTTTCTCCACATCCTTTGCTGCCTCAGCCACACCAGGAACTACGTAGTCTAGGCTGCCGCCACATTCTCATCGTCAGTTGGGCGCACTTTGCCGACCTACCCTATTGAGCACGAATCACTCGCATAACACACTTTCCTTGCTGCTCATGGGCTCGGTTCAATGGTGGTCAACGCTGAAGAAACGCTATACATCTTGGATTGAAAGTTCCTAGCTAGCATCTAGCTCACGGACCTGTCGTCGGAGTCTTGCCATATGCTTACATTGATCACACCTAAAAGCAGGGCGCACTATGGCGGATTTTGAACCCGGATCATCGTTTATACCAGCGTTATATAAACCGCCAAGTCTTCTCCCAGTCGCAAACCATCGGGAGAGCCTGCTATATGCCATCGAAAAGTCTTCCGTAACTGTGGTGGTTGGGCAAACCGGATCAGGCAAGACGACGCAAATACCACAATTCTTGGATCAAGCTGGCTGGTGCTCTGATGGCAAGCTCATAGGTGTGACGCAGGTAAGGGACATGAGCAAATTGATGCGCATTCGCTGACGTTGTAGCCTCGCCGCGTCGCGGCCACAACCGTTGCCTTGCGCGTTGCTGAAGAGCTTCGTTGCGAAATTGGTAAAGAAGTTGGGTACTCTATCCGGTTCGAGGACTTGACGTCTCCGTCAACGCGCATCAAATTCCTCACCGATGGACTTCTTATCAGGGAAGCGCTTGTCGACCCTCTGCTGACTCGGTACTCGGTCATTATGGTCGATGAAGCCCACGAGCGGTCTATTAGCACTGATATCCTCCTTGGCCTGCTGAAGAAAATACGCAAAAGGCGGACGGATCTACGGATCATCATCAGCAGCGCTACTCTTCAAGCCGAGGAGTTCCTACGTTTCTTCACACAAAGCGGCGACGACAAAAGCCAGCCTGCCAAAGAGGAAGACAAGGAAGAGACTGGGAATATCATCAGTTTCGAGGGCCGGACATATCCCATCGACATTCTCTACCTTGACTCTCCGGCAGAGAACTACCTCGAAAGAACCATCGAGGTAGTTTGGAGCATACATGAACAAGAAGGCTCTGGTGACATCCTCGTCTTCCTGACTGGCAGGGAAGAAATTGATCAGGCCGTACAAGCAATCTCTGAACGTTCTGCGACGACGAACTCGCAATCGACTGGCTTGCAGCCTTTGCCTCTGTACGCAGGACTGTCGAGCGAGGAGCAGATGCTCGTTTTTGACAAGCCTCCAAAGAACGTCCGCAAAGTCGTGTTCGCGACCAACATTGCGGAAGCATCAGTCACCATAGAGGGCATCGTATTTGTGGTTGACTGCGGGTTTGTCAAGCAGAGAGCATACAACCCTAGGACTGGCATTGAAGCGCTCACAGCGACACCGGTATCCAAGGCCTCCGCATCCCAACGAGCGGGCAGAGCAGGCCGTACTAGGCCTGGAAAGTGTTTTCGCTTGTATACAGAGGACAGCTTCACGAACTTGCCTGAGGCAAATGTACCCGAGATACAGAGGTCGAATCTGGCACCTGTCATACTTCAGCTGAAGGCTCTCGGAATTGACAATGTTGTGCGCTTCGACTTCTTCTCAGCGCCTCCATCGGACCTCGTGGCGAAGGCACTGGAGCTTCTTTATGCTTTAGGAGCGCTGGACGAGTACGGGAAATTGACGCGACCCCTAGGCGCCCGGATGGCAGAACTTGCAGTTGAGCCCATGATGGCAAAGACTCTACTGGTGTCGCACAGCTTTGGATGTACCAATGAGGTCTTAACGATAGCGGCTATGACGAGCCTCGACGGTTCGGTATGGTTCCATCACGATGGCGAGAGGAAGAAAATGGAAACCTCGAGACGCAAATTTGCCGTGGAAGAAGGCGATCACCTCACTCTCCTTAATGCCTACCAGGCATTTGTCACGAAGGGAAAGAAAGAGGCCAAGTTCTGCCACGAGAACCATCTCAACTACAAATCCATGACAAGAGCCGTCAGCATCCGCAATCAACTCAAGCGTTACCTTGAGCGGTTCAATATCCCCGTGGACGATACCATGACATTCGACCCTCAGGATCCAGCACGGCGCACACAGCAGGATCCCGCGCGCGAAGCCGTAAAGATTCGCCGATGTCTCACGTCAGGGTATTTCGCTCATGCTGCACGCATGCAGCCAGACGGCACGTTTCGCAATGTTGCTGGCGGCACCATCCTCCATGCCCATCCAAGTTCATTGATGTTCAATCGAAAAGCAGATTGGGTCATATTCCACGACATCATAGAGACTGGGGACAAGACTTTTATCAAAGACATTACGAAGGTAGAGAGGGACTGGCTGATCGAATACGCGCCCGATTTCTACCAGCTATCTACAAACCAAGTAGAGACCAGACAATAGAAGGATGGGAAAACAGTATGCTACACGTATACTGTAGTCAATTACTTGATCCTATGCATAACGATGCTCTCAATGCTGTTGTTGATCGCCCGACTTCGAATTGACTTTTGTCGTAAGAACGCTGGTTGCTTGAGTCGAATTCATTTTCGAGCGTCCCGCTTCCTGATCTGGCGTTGCATTGCAGTGGCGAGCGTGCAATCTTGGCTGAATGGCGATTCATATGAACATGGATGTTCCACCTTTCATCTCGGCAACGGGGCATGGCCAACGCAGAAGGTTGACGGGTCCATCATCCGAAAACCGAGCTTCAGCCTCCAAGGCCGAGACCTTGGCCGATTTTTCAGTGAGTTTGTTGATGACTCTAATTACCTGAGCTTGTTCTGGCGAAACGGCAAGATCATGAGGCTAGCACGAATCCGGATAAGCGTCAGGGGTAACTACAGTGTTTAATGCAGCTTACAACACTGTATAATTCTGCGAGAGAACGCTGTGTTTGTACCAGCGTTCCATGTCCCTGTCGCTTTCATGCACTGTGCTGCGGCCTCCACCAACTAAAACCGCGTTCCTGCATGAAGCTCCAATCGGTCACAGGTCCATGTCGTCGCGCTCCTCAGTCTCGGCGGCGTATGCAGCGGCTGTTGCCTGGCAGCGCTCTACGCATCTTTAGAAAGGCGTGGCGTAAAGGCAATTTCGAGGCATCAGGGACGTTTAATAATAGTTACTACGGACCTGGTTCAGCCACGGTGCTTTCACCGAGAGATGCCGCGTCCACCGACAGTTTCGACAGTTCAGGCGGAGGTGACAGCACAAGCAGAGTGAGAGCAGTAAGTACTCGGTAGCCCCTGTCAAATTAAACCACAGGACAGAATTCTGGGGGGCGCCCCTGGCAATGTCGTGTGTTTATTGGCTGGTAGATTGCGAGGCCTTCCGCTTGGACTCCCAATGTACTTGCTTTCCTTCCTAGCCAGCTAAGGTCCACAGGTCACGGACCCGGTGCACCGCAAAGCAAAGAGGATTCATTAAATGAGCCTGGACAACCATTTTACTGGTTGGGCCTGGTTGCGCCGCTGCGGGCGGCTGGACTTGGCAGCTTCCCACACAGCTTCACATGGGGGCTCTCCAGCGGCGCGTGAGGTCTGCAGCTTGCTGGAACACGCCTGGGAAGGGGTATACTGAGCTCCCTAGACCCCTGCCCGGCTGGTGTCCACTCCAAAACGACTCCTAGTCGCTCCTTCTTTCTCCCTCTTTCCACCTCCCATCGTGACCTTCACTCCCTCCGGTCTCTCACGTCGCGGGTGCCGTTTGCTGTCGTTTTCTCGCCCTGTCACTCCTTTTGTCGTTACACTAAGGGTTATCTGCCAGCCAGAACCTGCCGCTCCTTTTTTACTGCACCGCCCTTGGTATCAAGACGGTCAGCTCAGTCACTCATTTGATTGCTCCTGCATTCCTCGCATACCGACGACATAATACTGCGATTAACTGGTAGACTGTCCGTTCTTTAATAGGCTACCTAACGGTTCTGCAACCAACCCATTCTATCTACGAAAACGACCTTCCGGACGACCGTTGTGTGCATCCCCTTGAAACGGCGAACTCAACACGATTCGTATCGCTCAGTCAACTCAAGTCTCTCATAGTAGAGCTTCAAGCCAAAGGCCGCTTACGCACACTCGGGCATGAACTGTATACGACTTCCGATCGAAACCGAATCGTCCCGACTGCATTGGCATTGAATCAGCGCGTGGAACACGGACTGGAAGATCACGACTGCTCTCGAACACTTGCACCATCTTCGCCATGGTGCCGACAGACGAGTACGGTACGACTGGGTATCGGATGGCGTCTCGCATCAACTTGCGTAGAAGCGAGGCGCGTCTGATGGCCCGGGACGATGATGACGAGGCCAAGCCGTTCACCGTCAGCAGCATGAAAGTACCTATTATTATTGCGGTAGTGTATGTGAAGCTGGCTGTGTCAACCATGGGATTGTAGCTGACCATTGCAGTGTTCCCATCGTGATTGGCATCTGCATTTTCTTCTACCTACACCGGAAGAACGTCAAGAGACAAAGGGCGGAAGACGCAAATGACCCTACCAGAGGTCTCGACTTTGGCCTAGACGGCGAACCTACTCCTCTTGGGGGGAAGAAAAAGAAGCCTCGCCGGAGTATCCTCCTTGGTGGAGGAGCAGAGAAATCGATGCACAAGACAAACCAACTTTCCATGGATATGAACCTCGACTCACCTTACCTCCTTCCGCCTCAACAGCATGGTTCCCAGGACTCAGTTCACACCTTGACACGGAACTACCCGATCGAATATGATCCCTACCGAATGGTCAACAGCGAGTGCGGCGGCAGTATCAGGTCTTTCAATAAAGAAGGATCCATTCATGGGAGTAAGCGTGCCTCTGTCATCACTGGCCGGTCGGTCAAAGGAGCCACTCGGCAAGGGTCGTTTCCCCGAACTCCATTGTCGCCTGAAGGCGCTTCTGTGGAGAGGGATCCATTCGCAACACCCCCAGCAGCTCCTGAACCTACGCATCAAGCGCGTGCCACACCGCAGCTTCAAGATCCCATTGTGCCCGTCAAGCCAGTTGTGCCCGAAATTGGAACGATTCCCTACCTTGATGAGAAGGAACAGGGAGAATCGCATCGCATCCCCAGCATCCAAATGCCTCCGTCAACTGTTGCGAGGAGTCCCGAGGATCGTATCGCTAGCCCGCCACACAACTCCCTGCAATTCGATCTAGCTGGTCCTGCCCAGCCCGCTGCCATTGGCGCTTCGCATACCGGGGACGGCTCTGTGACTGCAAACCCCGGGCTGGGTCTTGACCTGGACCTACCGCAGCCATTGTCACCCATCAAAAATGAGCTGCATATGTCCGGCGTTGATGGCGGCGCAGCCCCCGGGCAGGCGATGACGCGCGATAGCACAATGTCAAAGAGTGACTATGGAGATCACAACCAGCCCAACATACAGAACGGCGAATACTATGATGACTACGAGGACTTTGGTCGTGGCCGCGCACGCGTCTCTCGCATGGACCTCGAGGATCAGCAGCAACAGCCCGGCCTCGGTGTTCCCCAGCAAGATAGCAAACGCCTGTCCGTTGGGTTCCGACCTCTACCACCCGATGACGCGCTGGAGTCCGAGGACCCTGAGTACAGAGCGAACCGTATTCGTTCATTCTACAGGGAATACTTTGACGACTCTGCTCCTGCGCCCCCTATGCCCAACGTCCCTGCCGAGTATAATGGAGGAGCTGGAGCTGTAGCTGGAGCAGGAGCAGGAGGAGCTCAGTACTATGAGGACTATGACGACCGATACATGGGTGAGGCTGCCTACTACGACCCCGACAGCAATGCCTTTGTGATGCCGTACGCGCAACCCGTGCAACGTCGCGCCATGACGCCGCCCCCAAGCAACCGACGCGGTCCCCCTGGACCTGGACCCCGTGGCCCGCCCGGCCCTGGACGGCATGGTCCCCGACCTCATGGACCTCACGGGTCTGTTGGTGGCATGAGTATGCAAGGTGGTCGTCCGCGGGCAGGCTCTGCTGCTTGGGGCTCTCGCGCTCCATCCTCGCTTGGTCCGCGCCCTGACTCCTCTGCCTCCGCCCGTGGTGGCCGGCCGCCGAAGAAGAACCTGCCGCCTCCATCGGCGCTGAGCACCCTTCCGACCCCGTCGAAATTGAGGGATGACAACTTTGCCATCTTCAACGCCGCTGATTTCGCCCCTCCAGAGTCATTCCAGTCGAGAGCGCGTGGCCGATCCCAGAGCCCGCTAGGCGAGAGGAGAGAGTACTCGCCAAACGTCGCTGCGGCCTCCCCGCTAGTGAGCTCGTACGACGAGCTTGCGGCCATGCCCAGCCCGCACATGCTCCGAAAGTCGACGACGTTCACCAGTCTGGACTTTTTGCCACCCAAGAAGTTCAAGGACAACGACAACCAGAGTGACGCGGGCAGCATCAGGAGCAACCGCAGTGGCATGTCCTCGACGGCCATGTCCGCTATCCGATCTGGCGCTGGTCGTGTGAGCCGACTGCCGGGTGACACGGTGTTCACACAACAAGCACTGGCAGGAGAGCTCAAGCCCCAATGGGGCATGCGCCCGTGATGAGCTCCCAGTCGTCCACAACAACCGACTGTCTTTTTAGCAAAGCATTTGTCTGGCATAGCATGGGGTCTTTGACCGGGAGGCATCTCGTACAGCGGGTCGCCCGGTTCTGTTTTCACTTCAGGAGTAACCACGGTCATGATATTTTGACAAGAACTTTTTATGTTTGTTTTAGAGGGAGTGGAGAATATTTTGCATATAGAACGGCCCGACCTTGGATGGACTCCTGCTACGGAAGAGGGATCTAACAGAGACAAGTCAAGTTGTCTGACAGCAGCGGTTGCTACGATCGCCTAATATGCAGACATACGATACATAGTCGTGGATTGAATTGTGTCCGGAGGTAATCCGACAGACACTTGCTTTACTCGTACTCGTGAGCACAAGTCCTGAGTGGGAACTGGTGACTTCGGAATCTCGCCGGAACCTGGCGCCTGCGCGAAAGTGCCAGTGCCAGTGCCAGTGCCAGCGCCAGTGCAGAATGTGGGCCCCACTGTTGAGGGCGGCCGGAGCCCCGTGTGGCGCGGTGATCCATCGTTGACTTTTGAGTTGCTAAGCTTTGCGTGCACAGCCCCCGAGCGAGCGTCCGATCTGCTGCAACAAGATTTCGGCCTGTTGCTAATCTTGGAAGGCTGGGTGGGACTCTGGGAGGTAATGGTGCTCACGACGCAGTCACGCAACTTGGAATATTCGCTTATGTTTCGGAGCTGCCTGTCGACGAGAGACATTTGTGTAAGATGGACAGCAGCCAATTGATCCAAACGCGACGTGGTATGATGGGAAGAGGAAAATCAAGGCACGGAGGTCATCATACGCAAGTACGTATCCGTACTCCGCGCCTAATCATCCATTGCAGCCCTACCGCTGCAGTGTCAGGGAAGAGACATGCAGGCCAATGGACTCGGACTCACTCGAGGCACCTTTGCGTGTCTGCGTCGCGACGGCCCTTTGCATGCAGGCCGTTTGAGTCCTAGCGTCGAGCCGTCTTCTATTGCCATGAGCCGCCAAACCGCTTCGATGTCGCCGCCTCGTGATACTGTTGATGGCGGAATGGCAATCGACATCATAATCAGTGGGAGCAGTGACGAAGACTCAATAGGTCTGGAGCCTCACTAATAATAGCGGCCCACTGGCTGGCTGAAGGTTCAACTGAAAGCGAAGCAAGTTGAGGCCCCAGTGGAAGCGGCTCCCCATGATCCCGGACAGCCAAAAGGCCTGGCGCCAGACCAAATCTGGGCTGGCCTGCTCCACAGCCTGGCCCTGTTCACCGGCACTGACAGATTGGACTCATGTCGCTCAGCCCAGTCGCTCGCAGTCGCTCGCAGTCGCTCGCAGTCGCTGTTCCTCAATCCACGTCTGTGACAACCTCAAATCCAATCTCGCCAACGTACGACGCGCTCGAACACCTCGACACCCCCCCACAGAACGACTGGTACACACAAATTGACCACGTAGGTTGGCATCGCTGCCGTTTCCTGTCCGCCTCTACCCGCCCCATCGCTGTGAACTCAATTCGCACGCGGCGTCCTTTCCCAAGCCCCAAGCGTCCATCCATCCTTCGAGGCCTTCCGACAAATTCCCATCCTCAGGGGTCACCAGCACAACTCGCCGGCGATTTTATATCGGACATCCACATCTCTGCCTTCATTCTTTGTCCCACCAACGCTTTCTCGCCCACGCAAGACAGACGATCGGCGCGCCAGCTGCTGACATTGCACGCTCAGTCTTCAATCTCCGTCTACGTACTGATCATTGATCGCGTACTGCGACTCATCTTGTCGCCATGTCGACCTCGTCGGTCAACAATCCCGCGCCGCCGCAGACTTCCAACGAGCCAAGCGAGGAGCCTCAACCAGAAACCTCGCAAACGAATGGCAGCCAAGACGGTGGCGATGATGCCCCGACGACGGTATCGGAGCCCCCGCCCGTGGAGACAACAACAGAGCAACCACCGCCAGACCCAAGCACGGCTGTGAGCGAACCACCGCCGCCAGAAACGACGACCGCGGTGGATGAGCCTAGCACCACCACGACTGTCGCGGAGCCCACCACCACTACCACAGAACAACAGCCCACGACGACGACGGAGGAGGAGGCCCCTCCAATCACCACAACCACCACAGAAGAGGACATACCGACCACCAGCGAGCAGCCTGAGCCTACTGTAACGGAGGGGACGACCACCGAAGTGGTCGTGACCACAAACGAGGTGGGCAGCACCGCAACAAGCATCGTCACCAGGACGAGGACTCGCGAGGCCCCTGTAGATGACACGACGACGACCACTGTACCTACCACCAACCCCACGCCCATCAATCCCGGCAGCGGCAGCGGCTCGGGGGGCCTCGACTCGGGCGCCAGAATTGCCATTGGCGTCGTCGTCCCCATCGCCTCCATCGCCATCCTCGCCCTAGTCGCTCTCTTCTTCTGGAAGAAGCGCAAGGCGAGGCGCGCGGCCGCAGAGGAGCGCAGGAAGGAGGTCGAGGACTACTCATACAACCCCAATGCCGACCCTACCATCCCCAACGTCGGCGGCCTGGGCGGCATGGGTGGCGCCGCTGACGGAGGTCACGAGATGAGGGAGGATTCGTCAGGGTATCGCGGCTGGGGGACCACCGTGGCCGGATCATCAACGGGTCGCAAGGCTTCCACGACCATGTCGGGCGGTGGCCTCGCCTACTCCGACCCCGCGTCACCCACGCAGCAGCACGCCTCGCTCGCGCGGGGCGACGAGGTCTACTCCCCCGAGGGCGAGATCCTCGGCGCCATGGGTCCCGCGGCCGCCAACAACCGCGGAAACGGCGTCAACCGGGGGCCATCCAACGCCTCGTCCTCGTACAGCGCCGCCAACCGGTCCGACAACTCGGACGGCAACTTGTCCTACGGACACGGACCAGGGCACTACGACCAGGGGGCACACAACCCGTACGAACTACCTGGTGGAGGCGCCCCCAATGAGCTGTCCGCCGCGCCTGTTATTAAGGATAATCCGGCCCGGCGGAACACGCGCATTGAGAACCCATCACACTTTCCGCAACAGAGTGCTGGTATCTCGCAGAATTTTTGATTGAGCAGAAGAGTGGATTTTTGATCAAATTGCCGCGCATAACCAAGGAGTGGCGTCAAGGGGTTCGGATCTGCTCTTTGCTTGCTTCGCATTGTTCTTGAATTTCGACACGACTGCTCTTTTTTCCAAAGACAAAACAATTTCATTGCTATCTCTTCGCCTTCTCACCCATTGGCCTCTATATACATATACAATATCAATATCACCCTCGCCACGGGGATGAGAAAGGATGAATCTTGAAATACGAGGGAGGATTCGGGGGGAAAGGCACAACAACATACACTGGCTTTGGTCTGGCCACGCTGATATTTTCTTACTTGTCTAGAAATGTGAGGGACGGCATAGCGTTGTCTTCTGGTATTGAATTCAAATATGTAGACTGCTCGTTGTCGCTTCTGCTCCCCAATGTAAAGTGAAAGCGGCTCATGGATCGATGCTACACATCGCCATCAACAATAATGAAAGACGCAATTGACCAACAGAGTACCCCAATTACACTAGCAGCGTCCCGTTGTTGACCAGCCTGGCCGGACATACGTCGTCTGCGCAAAGAATAAACCGCCAGTAATTCCACTTTACGGCGCCTTGTGACACCACGCTCGAAAAACAAATTGACATGTCAAGAAAAAAGATGGGCCCACAACGAATGACAAGGGCTTCCATCATAGGTGAGCCAAGCGCTCCCGTCGAGGCGACTGTCCTTATGCCCTGATAGACAGTCTGGCTTGCTCCTTAGCACGCCTCTTCTCAGCCCATTCACGACTTGCTGCCCTCGAACGCTCCGCAGCCTGTGCCCGAGCGAGTTTTGTCGCCACTTCTCGCTCGTGCTTCTCCCGCTCGCGTTCGTGACGATAGCTGTTGTCTCGAATCCAGATCTCTCGCGCACGAGCGCGTTGAAAGGCGGCATCTTCCTGTGAGACTGAGCTGCGTTTGTCGCTGACGTTAGTCGCAACCGACGTGCCCCGGCTTGTAGCATCAGCGGCAGCGGCAATGGCATCAGACGTACGCCCGCGATAGCCAGGTGTAGTTGTTGCGAAGGTAGTTGCTGACATGCGGCTTAAGGAGACGGACGTCGATAAGCGCTTACCGTGAACGTCCTTCGAGTTCGCATCTGGAGATGGTCTGCTCTCGCGCGCGCGGCTCGCAATGGTAGTATTACGAGGAAGAGTGGTCGATGCCATGCTAAGCCTGACGGGGCGGGCCTTGAACTCGCGTCTTTTCCGTTCCTCTTCCTCTTCGGCGCGAAATCTAGCCTCCCGCTCCTCCCGCTTTCGACGAGAGATGGCTTCTCCTGGAAGCTCAAAGGTGGGCTTGGGAAGCATGCGATTGAGGCGAGGCTTGGGTGGAGTAGCGGCGGCCTTCTCCGCCTCGGCCTGTCGAGCCTTGCGTGCTTCGCGTGCCTCGCGCTGCTCCCGCAAGCGGCGTGAAACAGCCTCGCCTGGCAGCTCAAAATTCGGGACCGTGGCTGGCTTTGAAGGCCTCCCTGTCGCAACTTTCGGCTCACGTAGCCGTGTGAGCGTAGACTTTGACCGTGTAAGCGTGTTTGCACTCGACCCTTTGTGCTGGGCTTCCGTGGAGGTTTCTTGATTTCGCATCGTGAGTGAATTGACTCGTCGAGGTGATGTTCGAGTCTTCTCGCTAGGCTTGACTCGCATCGTGGCAGCCTGACCCGGTGCGATGCTCACACGCTTACTCGCAGCAGGTTCCGCAAGCCTATTCCGGCTTGCTGTATCCTGCTGGTCACCACTCTGATGGCGGGGGCTGGTAGCAAGTCGCATGGCCTCAAGCTGTTCTTCGAGTTGATCAATCTCTTCCAACGAGTCTTCAATGCGTTGGCTGCTCGCCCCACAGTCTGCTGCTAAGGTCATCATGCTGCCCGCTACGCTTTCATCAGGGCACAGTGTCGATGATTCTCCCTCGGTGACTTCCACAATCTTGGGTACGGTGAACATGTCCCTCAATGCAGCTGGCCGGGCAGGCTGCTGCCGGTCCAGGACTGAAAGCACCTGATCTTCCATGCTGAGCTCTTCATTGACATGAGCAAGCTTTTGAGCTTCGTTCAATGGCGCTGCCACAAAGTAGAAGCTGTCTGTCTTTCGACCCACAAAGTTGCACCCATACGCCGTTTGTTCGCTGGCGGGAGTGACGATTACCCAATCGAACCTATCTCCGTGCTGTAATCGGTTCACTTGGCGCTCGATCAATAAACCAGCTGCTGTATCGATGCCAATGTAGCTTCCAATGTCGGTCACTATTTAGAAAAGTTTAGCAGAGTCTGTGAAGGTTCAATGATTACCCACCTGTGGCATTCGTGCAGCTGGTCGACTCGCGCTTGTGGGTTAAGTGAGAGTACTCGGAGGAGGTCTGTTCGTCGTTCCACCTGACGTGATTCCTGTGTTCGTCGTAGCCAAGCAGAAGCTCCAATGCATCGGTGTCGTTGGAGGATCGCTCTCGAGCTAGGCGAGGAGGCTTGCGCTTCAGAAGTTCGTTGGCGCGTCCAGTCGCAATACTCTGGCGACTGTTTGGCTGGGTTTGTAGAGATGCTTGCTCAGCGGTAGGCTCGTGGTTTCTCTTCCCGTCACTCAACGCGGCAGCGTGGCTGTCATCGAGGTATTGACCCTCATCGTCGGGGACCCGAAAGGTGCCGCCGTGTGAGAAGTGGGTGCTCCTGTTGGTGATTGAGCTCTCCATCATTTCAGTGAGACCCCGGGAGCTGGGCTGAGCAAATGAAGCCAATTTCGGGACGTGACAGGGGTGTCGAGCAACAGGCGCGAAGGTTCCCGAGTCCACAGGACCGATACCTGGACTATGGACGCGTTGTGCAGATGGTGTGGAAGGCACCCTGTGAAATGTTGCTGAAAGTGATCAATGTTTAGTGAAGATGATGGGATATCTCACAAGTAAAGCAGAGAGATGAGGTGGTGGACTCGTGTGTTTATATTGTGATTGCTCTGTTTGGGTTTTCCTCACTTGGTCCTGCCTCCGTTGTGCGACCTCATCTCTCGCCCAGCTCGCTCAATGCAGCTGCACGAAGGTGCGTAAGTACCTAAGGGAACAACTAGCATCCTGCGCTCTGCACAGACTGTACAGGGCTACAGGCAGAGTCGACTGGTGCAATCGCGTGGACAGGAGTCAAGCGCGTCGCGTAAGCTGACTAAGCATTCAATTGACCATGAGTTCAATGAACATTGTCAGAAAACACTGTTCTGACGCAGTCAACGAGTCTATCGTGAACCTGTGTGTGTTACTTTGGTGTGCGTTTCAACAATGTTAGGGACGATACGTACTGCTTGATGCTTGGTCTGTGTGCGTGGCTTGTTCTTTCGAGCGTGCGGACCGTTCAGCTTCGAAGCTTCGTTGTCGCATGGGAGAGTCTCCAGCGTCGGGCATGCGCTACCTGCTCATAGTCGAGTCTCCTTCCGCAGCTTCAGCTTCTAATGCTTCGGCCTGCGCCTGCACTACCGGAGCATGTTCGGTTGGGATGCGCACGAGTGTCTGAGGTAGTGCTACCGTGGCATCATCAGTGGTCTCGCCCGATGGCACTTCCGTCTGTCCAGGCATCTTGGTGGCTTTGGCTAAGTAGACTCTATCAGTTTCTGAGTTGCTAGAAAGTTTGAACGTCATTACATGATGCCATGTTGATTGCGCGAAGCACATTGTGCCAGTTACCCATGACGGTGGCAATAGCTGTGTCCGTTAGTGCCTGCTCATTACTAGACGTGGCGCACTGACCTTCTGTGCCATCTGAAAGAGTCGAAAGCTTCTGCTCCAAGTTCTCCATTTGTGTCGCGACTGCTCCGCTGAGTTCCTGGAGTTCCTTCAGGTGCGCGAGCTCAGCTTTCTTCTCCTCAATACGGGCGAGCAGTGCGGGTGATTGAGCTGACGAGCCAGCAGCGCTGGGCGCTCGCATGTGAGAAGACAGCGAGCGTGCCGGGTACGACATTTTGCTTGTCAGCTGTAGTTTGGTTGTACACCATGTTTCACACTCTGAATGTTGAGCTTCAATGCCGGTGGATGCCAGCTGAGAAGCCTGTGGTGGGGTAACACTCGGTGAGCGAGGAGGGGCGTTGCCTGGCCGACGCTCTTGGTGGTTGAGCAGAAATTACGCTAACCGCATCCAGCACCGGTAAATATCTCGCGACATCATACTTTACCTTACCGTACGCCATTGCAACTTCATGTCTGACTGTCTAACTGTAGCATACGACATCACCGACCTTCCTCCTCGCGATTTGCAGCCTCAATCTCGACCCAGTGCTGGCTGACGCGCCGGTTGTGATTGTTCAACCCATCCGCCTGCCTCGAGAATTCTTTCCGTCGACCGACTATGCGCCATGGCCCGTCTCAATGAAGTCGGACCGATGTCCGCAGAGGCTGTTGAGATCCGTAGGTCCATAGCAGCAACCGACGAGGAACCGTGCCAGCTGACTCTTTTTTTAGTTCGAAGGAAAATGATGCGCCAGAACCGCGACTTGGCCCGGTCAAATAATGTCAGAGCGCAACGAGTGCGAGAGCTAGAGATGGAGAACGCGGAGCTTCTACAGAGCAACGACGACCTGCGGCAACGAATCCGAGAACTAGAGCGACAGGCAGAGGACTCCGAAGCGCGACGAGTCACAGATCACACTATGGGGATCAAGGCGAAACTCGAAGCACAGCTCGCCGATCTTGGGAACATGATTTCAGAACTGGGCTCTGACCCGCCACGGAAAAAGCGCTCCCCTGGAGCGACGCTTGCTGTCGGCCGACGAACAAGTTTCAGCTACACTAGGCCAAGTCCTTCGCAACGTCGACTTAGAGAAGTCGCACGCGACGTTGAGGAACTGGGTCACATATCTGAACACAAAATGTCGGGTCGTAGGTCTATGAAGTAGGCATTCATCCGACTGACCATGCTGGAATTTGCTAATCATTCACTAGCCCGGAACAGATTATGGCTCTGAGGACGGAAGCAGACTGTTGCGATCCGTCAGAATCGCCGGAACTGGGCCCGCCACCAACATCTGACTTCATTAGAGCCGAGCCTTTCGGAGACGATATACCCCAGGACACACCGACGAAAGGAATGCCGAGTCCTAGAGGGATACTGCAGCCAATCGTTGCCCGGTCGCCGTCGCCATCGCCGCGGAAAAGGATGGACCCGTCCGCGTTTGAGTCAATCACATCTCCTCCCACGTCGGGGGTGAAACGGAAATTCGCTTCGCAGCTCGAACCCATCGACCTGAAGCCTAAGCCTGTGCCTCAAGCGCGAGAGGGCCAAGAAGAAGATTCTCTGTCCCAAAGCGTCGCCAGCAAGCAGTCCATCAAAGAAAGGACGCAAATTAGACCGTTGAAGGAACTCTCATCGACAGGGAAGGGACCACAACCAGTGTTGTCTTCAGGCAGGAGGCCTCTTGGAGTAAAGAGCACAAACGACGATGTGGCGTCACCCAAGAAGAGGTCGAGGACGACACCAGTCGACGACGTTTCGGCAGCCAAAGCGAACATCAACAAGGCGAGGAAAGGGCCCAGCCGCTCCAAGGCCCAGAAAATCCCACAAGCACCTCCTATTGCGGAAGTCAAAATTGAAGCGCAATCAGACGACGAAATTATCGACGACGAACTACCAAAGGCGGAAGTAGCTCCTCAGCCGATGGGGAAGCCTTGCGATCTAGGAGCTCCTCTCGTGGAGCCAGAGCTACTCGCACCCAATTCTCCGGACTCGGCGCCTGCCGTTGACACCACACGAGGTGATACGCCCCCGCCAGCTGATATCAATTCGCAAGGAGAAGCGTCGCGGCCAAGCAGACGCAGAGGAAGCGTTGTGAGCTACGCAGAGCCAAATCTAAGAGACAAGATGCGTCGTCCAGGAAAGCAACTCGTTGACGCGGTCACCTCGCGCCGGTCAAGCCAACAAGAAATCTTGATAACCCAGGAGCACGTGAAAGTCAAGCGCGAGTCAACGGAGGCTGGAGCACTTCCAGATAACTCCTCGATCAGTGCCAGGGACACGGGAGCACCTGCAAGCCCGACTGTACACGGGACCTCGCCAACAGCCGAACTCCCGAGCTCGGTTGCTACCGAAAGGCGCAAGCGTCCCTCAGCTTCCATGTTCAAGCTCGCACTCAATGACGAGGGTGATGAAGGAACCAAGGGAAGCAGCAATGATAGCAATCCTACATCCGATTCGGATGTGTACGACATGACAATGTCGCCCCAGCCAGCGAGAACCAAGCGGAAAGGGGCAAATCGGGGAACCAAGGGCACACGGCGCTTCTCGAGTGCGACAGGAAGTGACGATGAGGACATCGTATCTCATGAACGCAGCACATCGCGCCGCAGAAGCATGATGGTGTAAGGCTGTAGCGATGTTGGACTCGGCAGACCATGGTTGGAATGGTGGCGTTTTGGATTGGATAAATTGAGTTTCATATACCAAGCGGGCAAAGCACTGATAATTGAATTTGGTCCCATTGACATGGCACATGTTGTTTTCGGGTATCGACGTCTACTCTACCATGAAGACATTTTTATCATGATCCGCCAGAGGGCTCTACCGGCTTTGTGTATGTCACCTTTTCGACGGCCACATTCTCGTTCCCATTGTCGTCTTTACGTAGTTGGTAGACATAAAGAGTGAGGGAAATGCCTTGCACCTGCACAAATTAGCCTCGAACATCATGATTCCCGCCTTTGTTGACAAGACACTTACATCCATCAAACAGAAACTCGGCGTCGGCTCCTCCGCTTCCAGCCCCGCGCCCATATTCTCTGCGCCCGTTGCGCTCCCAGGATTGACAAAAAACTTGTCCATGTACTCAAAGGCATCGAAGCGATGCGTCCCGCCCCAGCAGAGCACGTCGACATCCAGTCTATTTGCTTCAGCCAGGAGCAAATCGGGCTCTGGGCTGACGAGTGTGAAGCCCTCGAGGAAGCCGATACGGAGTGAGCCCTGGGTGACGACCTGGGTGATGGGGAGGGAGGTGGCCTCGACGTCTAGACGGCCCTTGACGATTTTGAGATCGGGGGAGATGGACCGCAGGTAGTCGTAGGTTGTTTTGTCGGTGAGGTTGCCGAGGCAGAGAGTCTGCGAGATCTTTCCTGGCGAGAGGAGTTTTTTGAACTGTGCGTTCCGGTCAGTACAATGGGTCTGAAGGACAGTTGACAAGTGGGCGGTGGTCAATGGGTACAGTACCTTGGCTGGTATGTCGAGGGCTCGGTCTGGGATGTGCATGTCCCCGATGACGAGGATGAGAAAGGCCATTGCGCCTGGAGTAAGCACCCTGGCGAGGGTGGGAGAGGTCGTTGTCAAGAAATTAGACGCCTGTCGCGGTTAGGGCGTATGTAGTAGTTGGGGGTTGGAGCTCGCTCGGTGAGGTGCAGCTGGAGGGGCTGGCGTTACTGGAAGCGTGTCGCATCACGGGCGCAGTAGCGACATCGTCATAGCTTTTTGTACTACCCTGTATCGCATGGAGTGGCCATCGCCGCTCTTCCACCCATGGCCGGGCCTGTGGTTTTGGATGGATACTATAAACTGCTAGATAGTAAATAACCTCCAAGTGAAAATGGGTTACTTCTCACGGACAGAGGTCGATTTCTCAGATTGAGTTCAGCCTGCTATGCTACTTTTAAGGTACCTACCTAATTAGTACCGGGTATGAATGCGTGCACAATTGGTTGCCTAGATTGTACTTCCTACAACAAGACCCCATTCTTCTCTCCTCACTTACCCAGCCAATATCTTCAACCATCTCGCACACAATCATCATGACCACTGAAGGAGTCTGGATGTCGCCTTCGGGCAACAAAGTCTTCATTCCTCTTGAAAACAATCCAGAGGTGTTCACTGGCCTCGTCCATGACCTCGGCGTCTCCCCCGAGCTTGGCTTCTACGACGTTTATTCTCTTGACGAACCTGCGCTTCTCGCCATGGTCCCGCGGCCAGTTCACAGCCTCATTTTCATCACCCCTGCGCCCATGTACTCTGCCGTTCGCAAGGAAGATGGTCTTGTCTGGTGGGCAGCGGAGCGCGAAGCTCAGAGTGACTTCAAGTTGACATACGACAAGTCGGGCGAGGACGAGCCTGTGACATGGTTTCTGCAAACTATTGGAAACACATGCGGACTCATTGCGCTGCTGCATTCCGTAGCCAACGGAGAGGCCAAGAAGTACATCCAAGAAGGCTCGCTGCTCGACCGTCTCATCAAAGAGGGCAACCCCTTGAAACCGAAGGACCGTGCGGACGTACTCTACAATAGCGAGGAGCTGGAAAAGGTATTCATGAAGTCGGCCAAGAAGGGTGACACCAGTGCCCCTCAGGCGGATGAGGCTTGCGGGTACCACTTCCTGGCATTTACAAAGGGCAAAGACGGTCATTTATGGGAGTTGGAGGGCTGCTGTGATGGCCCCATTGATCGAGGTGCGCTGCCTGAGGACGCTGACCTGTTGAGCGACGAGGCTCTGGACAAGGGCGTCAGGAGGTTCTTGAAGCACGCGAACGGAAATCTCGAATTCAGTATTGTAGCACTGGCGACACGAGGAGAAGAGTGACGGTAGGGGTGTGACGACTGAATGTGGTACGAAAACAAACAAACATGCTGCTGATAAAAATATTCATTATGAATTATAGTGTCAACGATCGTCACGGAAGGTGACCGCCCGCCTCAGTCGATTACTGCTGACCCTCATAGACTCGTGGCACAGAGGATCCAAGATCAAACCTCTTGAATGCCTTGCTTCATGCAAGCACTCTAGCTATTTACTGGACAAGGCCAACGGTGAAGGCAATGAGAGGGGTGGCAACAGGGACCAGAACGCCGTCTTTGAGGCCACTGAGGAAGGTGTCCAGGATGTCGACAACGCTGGGGACGAGGTCAGAGGTGATGTCGACCAGGAGGCTGAGGAGGTCGGCCAGCAGGGCGAAAATCTCGTGGAGGAGGGTAACAATCTTGGTGCGGAGACCAAGGGCCTTGACCAGGTTGAGGACGGTAGCCACGATCTCCTCGACGAGAGTCTTGACGACCTCAATAAGATCATCGACCTCGACCTTGACAAGAGGGAAGGCAGCATCGTTGGTGACAACCTTGACAGTGTCGACGAGGACAACCTTGAGCTGGGAAACCTGCTCGTAGATGATTTTGCTGGCGTCGTTGACGTTGGTGGCATCGCTGTCGACCTTCTCGAGGGTGACGTTGATGACCTTGGTGTGCTCCTTGACCTTGACAACAGTCTGCTCGAGGACGGTGACGACGTTGAGCTGCTGGACGTCGCGGCTGGCAACCTTGTTGGCAACAGGCAGAGCCTTGACAATGTCGGCAGCAGGGAGGTGGGCAACAACTTCCTTGACAGGGAGCTGGGCGGCAATGGTCTTGGCAGGGACACGGGAAACGACACCGTTCAGGAGGTCAGCGACAGGGATACGGTCGAGGATGGCCTTGACGAGAGGGAGCTCGACGGGAAGGTCGACGGCGGCGCGCTTGTTGACGTTGACATCGGCCTTGGCGGCTACCTTGAGGTTCGCAACCACATCGTTGACGGGAAGGCGGGCGATGATGTCCTCAGCCGGAAGGCTGTCAATGATGTCCTGAGCGGGCAGGCGCTGGGCAATGCCCTCGACGGGAAGGATTTCGAGGACGCCGTCAAGCAGGTCGGTGACATCGAGCGAGTCGAGGATGCTGCCGACCAGAGGGACGCCTGAGACGGCGTTGCCGACGTAGTCACGCTTGACGGGGAGGATGTCAGCCACGCTGCCGACGCCCGAGTTGACGGTGTCGATGATGTTCTGCAGAGGCAACTGCTGGACAATCTCGCCAATAGGAAGCTGCTGGATAATGTCTTGGGCGGGCAGGCTGTCGACAAGTTGGTCAGCAGGCAGGCGGGCGAAGATGCCGTCGAGGAGGTCCGTGACGGGGACACGGTCGAGGATGTCACCGAGGATGGGGAGACCGCCGACAACGCCCTCGACGGTGTCGAGGACGCTGCCGAGCAGAGGGGCGGCAGAGGCCGCGGTAGCCAAGGTGGCAACCGAGATGATACCGGTGGCCTTCATGATGACGGTTTGGATTAAAGAGTGACTGTGGTGCCGAAGCAGAAAGAGTGACTATGGTCCCTTGGTGTGGTAGAGGGAATGAATGAACGAAGGCTGGTTGAATAGAAGAAGAGGAAGGATCATGGACAGATAGATCTCTTGGTAAGTTATATTCCCGAAGGGATGCTGATCAGGAGGAGCGGCTCCTCTCCTGGGATTCCGTGCAACCATGCGTCCATGACCTCACGATGGGCACGCACTGAGCGACAACAACTGACCTTATCCCGGATTGCGTGCGAGGCTGATGTTTGGTGCAGTTGGACATTGCATTGGACGATCCCAATCACGGATACCTACCGGCATGGGCTGCTCGTGGAGCGTTGTCCAAGCAAGCATACACAATACGTAGCTTTGTTTGGTGCCTGTCGACAATACTATGTCGATTGTCTGCATCTCGGGACACTATGATCTTGGCGGGGCATGAAACGATGGTTTCTGCTCACGTTGAGCCGCCAGTGTGCCCAGAAAGCCTTGAGCCTCCACGTTCGCGAACGAACTGCCGTGCTCGTGGCTCGCCCCATGTCTTTGGGTGACGAAAAGGGCGTTCTCCAGCGGCCCATGCGTCTTGAGATTGGACTATGGATACCCACGCATCCGGGGTATCTCTGTGTCCCATTGGCAGCTGTCGAATGCATCCACAATGCCCATGTACCTGTCGATCATTGCTTGAACGGGAAAGGCTGACAGCTGGCTCTTGCGCAAGTCCAACCAAGCTTAGGTACAAGAGGTGCCTAGGCTTTGATTTCACGCAGCCAGGCTAGTCTATCGTACGGAATCTATGGACTGGCTATCACCGCCGACGTCTCATCATCAAAAACCTGAATGACGAACCACCCCACTTGAGAGGCGCACCACCGACTCACGAATCTCGTGGCTTTCTTGACAGGAGACGAGTTCCATCTTCGCTTGCGCCACAACTGCCGCGACTACGGAGACTTTCTGGCCCAGTCGAAATTGTGAGACAAGGACATGCGCACGCGATACGCATCCCTGTTCAGTGCTGTGCGCCAATCCACGAGAAGAGAGCTCTTCGCCTTTTGTTCTGAGTTCTGACAAGTGACAGGTAGGTTAGTGGGCTCTGTAGGTCCACCTGTCGCGCGGAAAGCTCCTTATACTCCGGTATTAACGCCGGCCGGCCGGATGAGAGGAGGCAGTCCATGACTCCGTATCTCGCTCTTGAATTTCTACACAGGGGAGATTGATATCAATCACCAACAGGCAAGGACAGATCAACAACGCAATGTTCTTGATGAAATTAAGTTCTCGATGCTGAATCCCTGAGCTGATCCTTTCATTTCACCTGAGATGCTCTGTATCTTACACCAGCTCACCGTCCATTGCACACTGGAGGAGCGAGTCAAAGCCATCACATTTGAAGCACCAGGGCAAATAATTGCTTCTCTACGCCGCGACGGACGTGTTGAAATGCCGACTCTCCTAAGCACTGGTGCGGTACGGTTAAGAACATATGGTCTCGTGGTGGGTGGAAGATGATACCAACCTGAGAGGATGTCCTCTGTACGGGTACACCGCTACCTATCTACCCTACATCGCAGATTTACTACATTTTGGTCACGCAAAGCCGACGTCATGTCTCATTTCCAACAACAGACGTACTAACGACGCTTACCACATGGGACCTTACTGTATAAAGTACCAGGTCCAAATGAGCAAACGATTTGGGCACCAGCGGCGATCACAGCTTGGCGCAGCATGGGCTGATAATTATGGCGCTATGCCCGTTGTTGTGCTTCCTGGTAATCATAATTATGTCGGTGGCTACGGAGTACCGCTCTATCCGTCCGGATATTCGTGGGTTCAAACTCCAAATGATTCTACAGAGCTTGCCGAATGCAAGTAAAGTACGACAGGCGTCTACACCATGAGCATTTTCAGCAGCAACTGATACTTGTAGCTTGTGATATCATCCCGTCAGCTTGATTTAGGAACCCTTCGGTAATATCAACAGAGGTAGTCTCTCACGGTCAGCCTGCGATAGACCTAGAGCAAAGATCAGTCAGGAAGAACGATACGGTACGCTCTTCATCCACGACGGCAGAGGCGCCATGCTCCGGTACAAAGCTAGCCACGGTGGTTGAATGTACCCGAGCTTGAGCCCTTGTGTATTCATTGATCGTAGGACAAGGGCCGATCGAAGTCAATAGAACCTACACCGGTTGTGAGTAAAAAAACGTGCCCTCTTTGCCGGGTGTAAGCCCTTCGACCCCTCTTGTGATCGAGCATCTATTGTTTTGGGCCGTAGCTATAGATCGCTACCGTCACCTTTCCTCGAACTGTTGATCTCCTCTGCTTCTTGCGATCAAAACGAGAGGCTGTCCAGCACAGGCAGCAGTTTCTTGGTCCAACTGACCACCAAGTCAGCATGCGATGAGAACCAGCCAAGTCTTTGCGCTGTCTCAATCACCTGCTTTTGGACGTTCTCCAATTCAGCAGCTTGGTGGTCATGTCCAGTGGGATGAGGTACTAAGGTAAGGTGCAGAAAGGAAGAACCTTCCTTACTTGGCAGGCGCTAGGAGTCTATTTGCTATCGATGCCTCTCACACGCGAACTTTGATTCCGAGGTACTGCGTGCTGAACGTGTTAACTTCACTGATCAGCTTTACAAAATGAGAACACACTGCAACCACTTGACACGCACGTACCGACAGAAACCCCAGCCAAAGGGAAGCGGCGAGGTGATACCAGTCGCGATGCAACAGTCTTAGCAACATCAACACTCACTTTCTCCTCCAGATGCAAGGGCTCACACCATTGAACCTGCGCTACACAGAGCTAATATCATCAGAAAAAGTTCAAGCCTAATTGCGCCAGCGCATATTTGGCGACTTGTTGATTACGCATTCCCCCTGAAGTTCTAGGCCCTCTTCTTGAAGGAGAACGCAAGCAAAGCGCCCGATATCCTACAAACGAACGATACATATATCTTCCTCAACACATCTCAGCCTCTCGACACTCTGAAAATGTCAGATCGCGTAGCCACGGAAGCTAATGGCCCGAGGCAAAGCTCTCAGCCAAGTCAACGAGTCACACACGGTCCTGCGGCTCCTCTCGAAAGCAGCTTATTTGGACCTAGAGAGTACCCGACCAGCGGCGAGACCAGCGGCTTGCGGCTTATGCCGCATATGTTCCACGAGGCACGACTTCGTCGAGAAGCACGAGGACCATTCGTCGCAGCAACACACAGGGGTCGGACAACCCGTACCGGTGAAGCTCGTCGGCCAGAAAACATGGCTGGCGGTAGGGCTGGCGACCAAGTCAGGGATCCTACCGGGCGCCCTGTTTACATGATTGATGTGCCTGGCGGAAGATTAGTATATCGTGGACGAGACTGAGGGACATGCGCTCAGGCTGGCATACATCAAGGGCGCAGAACATGGGCGACAGCTGTGTGGGGGATGCAAAGCGAAATAAGAGAGCGACAAATGCAGGCTACATAGAGCACAAGCGAATTCAGGTTTTGGAAAAGTAGTGTGAAGCGATGGGTGTTCCCAATGTCGTAAGAATACTGCGCTGAAGACGTGCCTATTGGTTCCGGTCATGCCCCGGTATGGATGGCGGCGGCGAGACTCACCGACCGTGTCTGTCGTCCTCTTTGCTGTCAGTCAGTGATCCCTGTATGTGAAAGGAGGGAGTGCTACATGAAACCTAATGCTAGACAGTTGCGCCTAATCCAGTTGCCTTCCATCTCCCACTTTACCCCTTTTCTCACAGGCGGGCTTTGTCACGTCAAAGAGACATCGCGTTTGGCCCAACCTAGCAGATGTAGAGTGTATTGTGGCTATCAAAACACCTCTGGGTGTCCAGATGCACCCATCACAGCCCATCACCTATGTTTTTGGATAGAGAAGTGACTTCATCAAATGTTGTCAGGCGTGTTGCAGGACTCAAAAGACGTGAATTCACGGCATGTTGTTTACAGAGGCCTGACTTTAATAGCGTGCAAATAGGGAGGCGCTTAGTACGTCTTCCTAACCGCTTGTTAGTGTCGTCTCTTGGCCGGCCGCTCCACCCTTATCGGACCCCGCCACTAGGCGATAAGGATTTTTGGGCTGGAAATTTTTGGCACAGGTCCAAGACTCCAGCCAGTGTCGTCCTCAATCGCATAATCACACCGATGCTCTCCATCGTCACCAGTTCAGCATAACGACCAGTCAAAATGGCCACCAACCAGGGGCCAACGCTGGAGGAGAAGCTGGACAAGATCAAGTCTCCTGGTCTCCAGAGCCAGTCGACTGTACGAATCACACATATCCATACCCCCGAGGATCCTCCTGCTAACTGACCCCTCCAGAATGTCCTCGCTCTTCAATCCGTAGAATCCACCATCAAAGAGCAGAAGCTGCGTCCCGACTCGAATACATACTTCTCTGCTATCCTTGGCGTCCTGCGCAGTCTGATTGGAAACGGAGAGAATGTCGACACCAAGAAGATCCAGCCCTTCGTCTACCTTCTCGATGTGGTAACGCCATACGCACCCGAGGCACTCCTGCGCTCGCGCTTCACACAGGTCTTTGAGCTGCTCGTCCCCGTCCTCAGTATCCAGGAAGCCGAGGCCAGCTTGCTCAGGGCATCACTGGGATGTCTTGAATCGCTCCTTGTCGTCCAGGATGCGCGGTCCTGGGAGCTTCCGCAAACATCGCCCAGTCCCCGACGAGGTGTCACAGGGCTTCTGACCTTCTCTCTCGACCCCCGACCTAAGATCCGCCGACGGGCCCAAGATGCGATCAAAAAGGTGCTCCGCAACCCGCCGCCAAGCCCATCTCTCGACCACCCTGCTGCCGACCTCATTGCCCACTGGGCTGCCCAGCACCTCGAGGAATTGGTCAAGGAGCGCAAGGGCCGCAAAGGCGACGCTGGCAACGACCCGGCCATGATCCACGGACTACAGCTCGTCAAGACGGTAGCTGTGGCGAGTGGAGGCTGGCCCAGCAAGGAAATTGAGTCCCTGTGCGAGATGCTGCTGGGAATCGCCAAGACCGGAAACGAGTATATGACAATGGCCGTGTTCGAGATCTTTGAGGAGATCTTTGAGGGCATGACGGATGAGGTCTCCTCCGCCAAGCTGCCTCGACTGATGGACATTATCTCGCAGCTGCGACCTGCCGACAACGACACACAGCTTGTGCCCCCGTGGGTGGCCATCCTCTCCCGCGGGTATGAAGTCTCCGCCCGCATTGAGCCCGACGATACTTTCCAGAAGCTACCCGAAATATTCGCCATGGTGTCCCGCTTCCTCGGGTCGCCATCAGAGAACATCCGCATCTCCGCCTCCGAGTGCCTGGCCTCGTTCATGGCCAACTGTGTCCCCGAATCCGTCATTCTCGACGCCTCCATCTACGACGAGAAGACCATTGAGAAGATCGCCAAGACGGCCGAGTCCCTCCTGACCGTGCAGTATCAGGCCGCCTGGCTGCAGACCTTCCACGTGCTCGGCGCCATGTTCGACGCACTGCGGTGGCGATCCGCGCCCAGCCTGCTCAACGTCACCAAGGTTGTTTGCGAGATTCGCGACAGCCCCTCGTTCCGGAGCAAGAAGGAGGCCGACACTGTGCTTGGAAAGGCCATCCGCGCTATGGGCCCCGAGACTGTCCTGACGATTCTGCCGCTCAACCTCGACACCACCTCAGGGGGGCCCACTGCGCGCGCGTGGATGATGCCGGTCCTGCGCGACTACGTGAGCAACACGAACCTCTCCTACTTCAAGAATCAGCTGGTACCCCTGAGCAACCAGCTACACCAGATGGCTCTTGTCCGCGCCAAGGCCGACAAGGGCATGGAGGCCAAGATCTACGAGACTCTCGTACAGCAAGTCTGGGAGACGCTCCCTGGGTTCTGCGACCTTCCCCTCGACTTGCCTGAGGCGTTCGACCAATCATTCGGTGAGACGTTGGGCACCGTTCTGTACGAGCGCGAGGGTCTCCGTCTGGTCGTCTGTCGCGCACTCAAGGTCCTGGTCGAGTCGAACAAGGCCATCGCCACCGACGACGAGGGCGAGGAAAACCTCGTGCTCCAGCACAGAATCACCCGCCAGGCGGCCAAAGAGAATCTCACGATCCTGGGCGGACTAGGCGAGAATGTCCTGCCCGTGCTCTTCAACATCTACACCGAGACCCTCCCGCAGAGCCGCGGGCCCATTCTCCAGACAATCGACGCCTTCCTGAGCATCACCCCCGTCGCCAAGGTCACGTCCACCTTTGACGGCATCTGCCAGATGCTGGCTGGCGAGCTCCAGAAGCAGCCGGCCGAGAAGGACAAGAGTCAGCAGCAAGCCAAGGGCAAGGACCACATGCCCTCCGCTGCGCAGGCCCTCATGGACCTCGTCATTACGATTGCCATCTACCTGCCCAGGGAGAGCTTCGGTGCTCTGTTTGAGATTGCCAGCATTGTCATCAACCGCCAAGCCGAGCCCCAGCTCCAGAAGAAGGCCTACAAGCTCATCCCGCGACTCGTCGAGTCTGAGACCGGTAAGGCCGCCCTAAAGGAGCGCTCCGCCGAGCTGCAGCAGCTCCTCGTCTCGAGCAAGGAGACAGTCTCGTCGCCCGCCCGCCGCGAGCGTCTGGCCGCCATCTCAGCCCTCCTCCTCTTCATCCCCGACGACAGCCTGCACTTTATCCCGACCGTCCTCGAGGAGGTCGTCATGTGCTGCAAGGAGAACAACGAGAGCGCCCGCGAGCGAGCCTACGAGCTCCTCGTGCAGATGGGCCAACGCATGATCGACGCCCACGGCACCACCATTGACCGCACCAAGATCCCCAAGATGGGGCCCGACGCGCCCCCGGCCCAGGCCAGCATTGACGAGTACCTCGTGATGATGAACGCCGGTCTCATGGGCGACAGCGCCACGTCCATCTCCGCCTGCATCACGGCGCTCTCGCGCGTCCTCTTTGCATTCCGCAACGAGCTGCAAAAGGAGTCCATCGCCGAGCTCGTCTCGACCATGGACATCTTTCTAACTCACAAGAACAGAGAGATTGTCAAGTCGTGTCTCGGCTTTGTCAAGACGTGCGTCATCAGCCTGCCCGTCGAAATTGTCATGCCGCGCCTGTCCACGCTCGTGCCTAACCTCATCGTCTGGAGCCACGAGCACAAGGGCCACTTCAAGTCCAAGGTCAAGAACATTCTCGAGCGCATGATCCGCCGCTTTGGCTTTGACAATGTGAACAACCACTGCCCCGAGGCGGACAAGAAGCTGCTCACCAACATCCGCAAAACCAAGGAGCGCGCCAAGCGGAAGAAGGACGCCGCCAAGCAGTCCCGGGACGGCGGCGACAAGGAGGAGCAGGACGACAGCGAGAACGAGGGCAAGGGCGGTCAGTATGACGATGCCTACGACCAGGCACTGTACAGCAGCGACTCAGACTCAGGGTCCGATGACGAGGATGACGACGACAACGACAACGAGGCCGCCGCGCCACGGGCTAGGAAGCCGCAAAAGGGCGGCAAGACCTACATTGTCGAGGATGAGGACGAACCCCTCGATCTCCTCGACAAGACCGCCCTCGCCAACATCTCCTCCGTCAAACCATCCAAGATGCGCCGTCCCACAAAGTCCAAGGTCAAGGTCGACCTGGACGGCAAGCTCATCCTCGGGGGTGGCGACGGCGATGACGCCATGGACGTGGACGGCGAGGCGACGCAGCCCGAGAACTCGGGCGTGGGCGCCTATGTTGCTGCGCTCAAGGGCAAGGACGTCGCGACGCGGGGCCGAGGTGGCAAGCTCAAGTTCTCCAACAAGCGGCGAGGACCCGACGACGACGAGGAGGTCGAGATGGACGAGGCGGACGCCGTCGCCGTCAAGAACAAGATGAGTCCTCGTGGGGGCAGCAAGTTCCGCGGACGAGGAGGGCCTGGGAGTGGTGGTCGTGGAGGACGAGGAGGAGCAGGACACGGAGGTCGGAATGGCAAGGGTGGCATTGCTGCTGGGAGGAGAGGTCTTGGTGTCGAGAAGAAGAAGGGACACTCGCCCGGTGGTGTTGGAAAGCCGAGGGGTAGGAGATGAATGGGGGATTAGGAAAAAAGTACTATCATAGTAGATCACGTAGAGAATACCCGGATTGAGTCTGAGCCAAATGTACCACATTGCCATTGCGCATTTGATGAGCCTGCCTGCTGAATTCCAAAGGGTGGGGTATCTTCCATGTTTTCCGTCCAACGCCGAAATACATACAACCATAAACATATATATATACATATATATATGTGATGCCGGCAACTGTTCATCACGCGTATACGTCCATGCATGGCCGACCAAACGTAATGTGCTCCCTTGAGCAACAGCGAAACCAAGTAATGTGGTAGATCAGTGTCACCAGTGGAATCACTGACGAGGCGGTGGATGAGAGTATGGAGGCAACCTCGGCTCCGGTCGCATGTTGGAGCCGAAGTTTGGGTGACTATTGTGAGACGGAGCGTGTGGAGGGGGTCGTGGGGGTTGATCGTAAGGGAGATGGTATCTACTTGGTGTCAGAGAGTGTCCGGTCGGGCAAAACACTTGCGCAATCGCCAGTCCAAAGCAGGCTTACCCAGGATGAGCTTGGCCCGCTGGATGTTCGAGTCGCGCGAACATGGGCTCGGTATGTCGTGGGCCTGCTTGACTATAGTGAACCATGTGAGGACGAGCCTCAGGAGGGAGAGTCTGGGGGCCTGGAGCAGGAAAAGCTTCCATGTTTCTGTCATGCCAGCTCTCACGCATCATGCGAGGTCCCTCGTCCCAAGGAACGACTCCGTCCAGCGCTCGGCTGAGCGCGTGGCCTGTCGTCCACTGATTCTGCATAGAGTGCACCGGCCCAACTGGATTAGGGCGTGGCGCAGGCTCGCGCACTCTTTCGAAAAAGCCCCCTCGATCCTCCATAAGGATTGGATTGGAACGGTCACCGGGCCGTCCTGTATCTACAGCGACACGCTGGGGTGCGCCAGTGGGAGCACCGACATCGTAGCCACGGGATGGGAACAGTGGTTGTTGCATGGGTGGATGGAGACGAGGCGCGGGCTGCAGACCAAAGGGCTCGCCTGCGTACGCCTGCTCATGTGGCGGACGGTCTGTCACGACACGCCGCTCCACGTAAAAAGGCCTACTCGCAGGGCCCTCCTGGATGGGCGAGGAGATCACAATGGGGTGATGCATAGAGGCCCCCACTGGGGAGGGCTGATGCCTTGGGGGCACGGTCCGCACAAAAGATGGCTGTACGCTGTTGGGCGAGACCGGTTCAATAGACCGGACGAGCATATCCTGCAGACGGTCTGTGACGGGCGTTACGTGGCGCGAGCGACCTGGCGTTGCTCGCTGCGGGTCGTGATATCTTACCTGCTCGCGCACGACGGGACCTGGTGGATGATGGGGATGGGGTCGAGACACGAATCCGTTTGGCTGCGGAACCATGCCGGCAGAAACATGGGTTGCTGTGTGTCCAGGGGAAGCTAGGGGTTGACCAACGGATGGTTCGCGTGGAGGAGGAAGAGGAACGAGCGCGTCGTCATCACCACGACTTCGTTCAATCGCCTCCTCCCAAGCACGGTAGCGCTTGAACCCACGCTGCGCCTGTTTCCTGGCCGGTGGCCGTGCAGTCTGCTGCTGCTGCTGCACCGGAGGCCTAGGCTCGGCCCCTGGCTGAGAAGGGCCGGCCATCGCGGTCTTGCCCTTCGCGTCGTCAGCAGACGAGTCTTCGGTGTCGCCATGTTCCTCGTCGTCGGACTCCTCCGAGTCCGAGTCTGAGATGACGACCACCTCGCGGAGGATCTCGTCAAGCTGGTCACGGCCGGTTTCCTCATCACCTCGCCACTTGACGAGGATGTCGAGGCAGAGAGATTCCACTACCTTGCGAGCAGTCTCCCAGTTCGTTTCACGTAGTAGCTTGTCGTACCTGGTGTGGTTGTGTCGAATGTGCGCTAGGACGGCGAGCTGCACCCTGCGTGACAGCGGAATTTCAGTAACAAGTCCCACGGGTTTCTGGGCCTGGCCTTGAGCCGACTGTGAGGCGTGTCAGCACGGGCGTCACGTCACGCCAGTATATGTGGTCGGACTGACCAAATTGAAGGCATGGATAATGATCGCTTGACGATCTGTGTGTGGTATACGCGGGAATAGGTCGAGCATGACCGAGTTGACCTGCGCAGTATATTCATCCTGAGTCTTGGGGAGCGGCTCCGGGCCGTCGACCGCCTGAAAGGCCGCAGGGTAGTTCTCGAGGGTCGTTCGTGCCTCGTCAGCGATGGCCTGTCGGACGTGGTGGCCAGTTCGGTAGATATGATGGGATAAATTCTTGGGGTCTCTCTCCTTGGCGTCCTGGATCAGGTCAGTGCTCGCTCGCTCGCAAAGGGAACCCAAGCCAAGGGCGCAGGCGGGGTGCGGGCAAGACGTGCCGACACAATGAAGATCATGGCATCCTTCTCGCGCGACAGCTCTTTGCACGCGTTGGTCAGGGCGGGATGACCCAAGGGGACAAACTCGAAGCCTGGGGGCGGCGTTTTCTTGGTCGTGACCTGCACGCCCAGTAAGTACATCCACAGTGCTCGAACAGACGGCCCGCCAGCGGTCTACCTGAAATTCCAGCTTCTTCTTCTTGTCCTCGTTCTCGACAAACTCAAAGTACGAGTGGTGCTTCGAGTTGGCCTTCGGAACGTCTGGTCTTGCAACCAGGTTGGCTGGCAAAGGCGCCTGCGGATCCTGTAGTAGCCTGGCATGGCGTTTGTGCCGGTCCTTGGGACCCGCCGCCGCCTTCTGCGGCCTCTTCTTGCTCCCTTTGCCCATTATTTGGCTATGCAAAGCATCATGTCTGGGTTAGCAAGTCTAGCTGGGCGCATTGGTGCTCTCGTGGATCAGATCTCGTCTGCCAGCAAGTCACGTCTAAAAGGAGAGTGAAGACTGAGGCTGCGCGTCCGATATTCACAGGATGCAAAGTTCAAGTGACGAACAGGGCTGAACAGGGCTGGGCAACGCGACAGGCAACGCTGTCCAGATTCTTCAGGGCCCGATCGTGGTTATGAACTCGTGATGCTCGATGTGCAGAAAGTCTTCGTTGGGCGTCGAAGCCTGACTTGGCGCTGGGCCGCACATTCTACGTATGACGTGTGATTATGTAAGGGTAAAGGGCCAATCAACACATGCCCTCACCCTTGAGTCAGTTTGGACTCTAAAAACCGGGGGGTCTGTTCATACCTGAGCTATTTCCAATTCGACGTCAGCTACAACCGTGATTTTTCTATAATGCTTCTACCTCCCTGCCCGATCCGCGAGCAAACATTGACTTACAGCCAGTACTGATCAGTCACTGAGTCTCCATCGAGACGGATGTCATGGCCGGATAATTGATAGGTGCTGGTGTTGGGAGTCAATTTAGGAAATTAGGGATGGCTGATGAAGCTTCTCCGGCCCAATCCGTGGCAGGAAGATTTCATGATCAACATGTGTTGTCTACTGAGTAGGGAGGTTGCTGAGTTCAAATGTTGTTCCTTTGTTACATCGCCCTTTTCGTCTCCTGCACAACCTCACCCACAGTCGGAAGGGAGCAAATCCGTGGAAGAAGTCCAAGGAAAGTAGTTGATACATGTATCAATTGATCCGTCAGAGTTTTGGTACATGTATTTAAAACTAAAAATAAATCATCATAGAAGACATCATTGCGCCCTCCTCATCCCACAAGCGTGTGGGGATTTAACGTAAAGGTAATCTCAGCAGGCCCCTGGGCTTTCGCCCGTTCACCTGATTGCGTGTCGATAATGTCAGAGCTGCCCAGCAGCTTGCCCTCGGCGTCGAGGCCTGCGAAACGAGCGTACTTGGCCTCGGCGGGTATCGAGAACTTTGTCTCGAATCCGCCGCGGTAGACGATCTTTGCGACCTTTAGATCCTCGCGAGTCTCGCCAGTGTACTGTGTCGTCTTGTCAGTCCATGTTGCTTTCCTCTCCAACTGTCTGTCGATTTGACTTACCATAGCCCAGTACGCCAACTCGGTGGCACCGTTCCAGCTGACGTACAGGTTGCTCTCAAAAAGAGCCACGTCGGGATCCCAGGGCGGATACGCCTCCCAATCGCGGCTGAAGATGCGGTAGACGTGTGCGTCGCCGTCAGCCGTCCACGGTCCAGTCTGCACGTCCAGGAGGATTTCGCCCTCGCGGGAGAATTCGGTGAAACCGGGGACCTTACCCCAGCCGACGAGCAGGTTGCCGTTGGGCTGTCTGTCGACGCCGCCCTCGGCGCGCGCCTGGACGCTCTTGGGGTGCCAGTAGGAGCGGACCACCTCGGCTGTCTTGTTCGCGTGATTCATCCGGATGTGCAGGCCGCGCGAGCACTCGGCCTGGCATCCGGGGCTGGGCTGCGTATTGGCGAGCTGCGCATTGTCAAACATGACAATCTCGGTGTCTTCGTCGTTGTCGAAGCGGGCGTGGTGCTGATAGGCAAAGTTGGTGGCCATGCCGTCGGAGAGGTCGGCGTACTGGTTCCTCTTGCCGCCAATGATCCAGATGGGCGCGCCCGAGGTGCCGTTGATGAGCGTCAGGACCTTGCACCGGCGTCCGCTGACCAGGTAGTTACCGTCGCGCGTCTTCTCGAGGCTGTTGATGTGGAAAAAGTCCCAGCCGTCGCCGTGCGTGGGGTGGCCGTAGTCCTCCACGTCGTTGTAGCCCACCGTCGTGTCCTCGATCGAGAACCAGTCCGAGGCGCGCCACGCGAACCGCGTCTCGCCGGTGACGACGTCGACCTCCTCAAACGCCGAGTCTTGGAGGACACCGTCCTCAGGCCCCCCTACCGGACGCATGTCCCAGTTGCGGACGGTCTCGTAGACGGAGAACATGGCGCCGCCATCGTGGGTCAGCTGAAACTCGTGCGAGTCGGCGCGTGAGCTGAAGGCGTTGATGGAGATGTTGTAGGCAACGTCGTAGTGCTCGTCCAGGAGGATGCCCTGGCCAAGGCCGTGGCCCGTAGCTGGCTGGCCCTGCCAGAAGGAGAGGTACTGCTTGCCGTTGAACTCCTGCGGTCTGAAGTTGTTGGTCGACTTCCACCCGTACTGCGCGTACACCAGTGAGAGGTCCCTTCGCGAGAAGATCTGGACGCCCGACGACTGGTCCTTGACGGACGGGGTCATGAAAATGTACGGGTTGCCATCCACCGCGTGGGGCTTGAAGGTGTTGACCTGGAAGAGCGGAGTCTTGATATCGGACGAGTGGAATGTCTGTTGCGGGCGGAGACCGTACTTTTCGTCGTCATTGTACAGTTTCGAGTCCCAGTGCAGCCGGTTGACAGACTCGGGCTGGCTGACGTCCATGGTGACCAAGGGCTCAGGCTCTGGTTCTGGTTCTGGTTCTGGTTCTGGCTGGGGTTCAGGCGTTTGTTGCGGACTGTGTTGGGGCTCCTGCGAGACCATTGCGGCGGTCTCATCGCCCTGCTTGGACGTGGGGATGATGCTGGGTACGAGGTCTTCGAAGAAAATATAGGCCATGCTATACGCGAGGAAAATAATGGCCAGCAAGCCGGCCACGACGAAGAGGCATGTGCGCGTGAAGGGGCCCCGCCGCTTCTTCTCGCTGCCCGCGGGCCCAGCAAGCCATGCTGGAACGACGACCATGGTGACGATGTCTGGGTCTAATCCGAGGTAAGGACCGTGTGGGGTTGGGAGTGTTCAAATGAGTGTGGTGGGAGTTTGGGTGAATCAGAGTGACAAACACATTGGTACGAGCAGCTGGCAGTGGCGCACGACAGACAAAACAGGACGAGGATGAAGGTAAGGACAAGGTGAGGACAAGGACGACGGTGGCAGCCAAGAAAAGGGGACCTTCATCTGTCCGCCCGCGAGTGTGGGGGGAAAGGGTATAGGGCGGGCGGATGGGCATCTATCATCTTATGTGGAGGAGTCCTGGGTCCTGAGTCCTGTCAAGTGCGAGGCGGCACAAGCCAGCGAGTCCTGTCGTCTTCGGTTTCACAAGGGTCTGGTGTGTAGCCAGTCTCCAGAACAAGCCTTCATTCATGGCCAGGGATCGTGCGTGTGGGTGGGTACCATCCATAGAAAATGATGAGCCATGAGTGCTACATACGTTGTTGCGATGCCTTACGGAGTAAAGAGGACATTGCAGATAATGTGGTTCTGACTCCTGCCTGGTCCGCGGGTCGTCGGCGTGTCCAGTCGGACTGTTGTCGAGGCCACCCGCAACGACGTGGAAGGAAAAAAAAAAGGATGATGAGAGTGAGACTGCCGCTCGACGAATGAACGGTCATGGCGCATGAGCAGTGCGCTCGTACTTCATGCTAGGCCAAACAAGGCAGTATGAAATGCAAGTCAAGAGTCGAAGACTGCTGTTAGCCACTGGCGGGTTGAAGGTTGTGGAGTAACTGGGATATTCCCTGTCGAGGTCGTGGTCGTCCCCTGACTGGCAGTGACTGCTGGCTGCTGGCAACTTCAAGGCAAGCTATCCTTCGTCCTCCCGTTTTGTGCGTTCTCGGCCTGTCGCAGTGTCACGGGACTCACGGACGGCTGGTCGGTCGTTGGCTGGCGGCACTCAGTCAGTCAGTCAGTCAGTCAGTCAGGGAGGCGCTTGCGATTGATGAGGCGCAGATTGGCGGATGGATGGACGATCTCGTCTTTGGACCTCATGAGCCGTCCGCCGCCATCCAATCGTCCACCGGCAGTTGGGACACCGATTGGCCAGCTAATGTTTCGTGACAGAGACAGATTAAGGAAAGGCGATGATGATTATCAATGGCATGCATGGTGCGCAGCGAGTCAGACTCCACGCTGAAACGCGCCACTCCGGGGGCCACGCGTGCACCATTTCATTTATTCCATCAAACCCACACGACTTTTCATTATCCCGTCAGAGTCCCTTGGATGTCACGGGCAATCAATTTACACGTCGCTTGTGCCTCATGCGACGCCTGAGCTTCTTCGCCAGCGATCAGCGTCTGCAGATGCCAGACTCAGAGACATCGAACTCTGATTACTCTAACTTTAGAGTGCAGAGGCTCAAAAATTAGGTTTTAAAGTTATCAATTATTGACGCTCGGCCCGCACCCGAATGACAGCCCGCTATCGAGCGCCTCCAAGCCACGCTGCACACTCACTGCACTATGCTAGCGCTTCACGGTCCACTCGTCATCGCGAAAATGAGCTCAAACATCGAGCAACTATCGCATTCAGGGGCGAGGATGCTTTCCTCAGCGGTTGTCCGTCGAATTGACGCAGCAAGTGGGTGACAAGCGCCTCTTAAGCGTCTTCCCAACGAAAGCTTGCGAAGCCTCAAACCATCAGCTAGCCAAACTTCAAACTGTCTTCGCTATAAACATAATAAACAAGGTATCTAAAGTCCATCCAACATGTCTGGCATGTACATCAAAGGCCACCCAAACCTCGGTTCTTCCCTTTTCAATCCGTCTTGCTCCATGCATCTTCAACCTCAAATACAAATCCGCACAGCGTCAAATCTTCCTGATGCCCGAACAAGAGACAATGGCGCCTCAAAACAACACGAGCGATGACCAGCCGCCACCGGCGTACGGCAGCCTAGGCCCCTCGCTTTACGAGATAGAAGTACTCGAGGCGCGTTAGGATAGAGTTCGACCAGCAAAGTAGTTGAGTCCAGACTCAGGACAGAAGCCAAACATTGTCTTTCATCTCTCCTCCAGGACCAATATCATCGACACCCTGCCAGGCGCATCAAGCAAGCCATCAGCTCAGCCCTTTTGGGGTGCAAAGATGCTCATATGGTCCGAGAATGTCCTACGCCTGATGAGAATGGGATTCCACTGGAGTCCCACCAATATCGTGCCAGGCATCGGGGACGTCAAACTACACCCGCCAAAAGAAATCACGAGCAAGCACTCGAGGTTATATTTCGCCGCAGGCAAGAGATGGATCTGCTACTTGATTGTGTCTGCGCGCGCTCCTCCCAGACGATCATCAACTTTGACCTGCACTGGGCCACACTGGGTGAATGCAATATTGAGCGGGCAGACGCCTGGTCCTGGTCCGGCCTCAAGGTCTACCATGAACGAGTCCAGGTCGAAAACCTGCTTCAACGCGCTCTACGCCGACATGCTCCTAAGCGGCTGGTGGCCCTGGCCGAAAGCACTCCCCGTCGAGACACCCTCGGCCGAGAAGACGCCCGACGATGAGGGACAGGAGCCTTGCCTGTACACGTGTGCTGCGTAGAGAGACGCACAAGTTGATACACAAGCTAAGGGACGTCAGGATGGAGAGAGAAAAGTAGCAAAGTGGCGATTTCCACAAGGTCTGATTGATTGGATCAGGAGCGAGGACGAGCGTGGGCAGTACAGTCTCCACGATGATAATTTGTACCTTGAATCAGTTTATGAATCAAGAGCGCTATCTGTTTCTGCAAGTCGAATTACATGGCGCAAACTGAGAGCACAGTCATCAAACTATTCAAAATCGTCCAAATGCACACACATGAGGCAGTGATTTGGCTCATGACAACCACCAGTGTCCAGCCCTGCCGAGCCATATACGAACAAGCCACGACCTCGAGGAAAGTCTTAGATGTCCCACTTTCAAGTGATGCCATGATCACGGGGACCACACTCGCTGCCCACGTTCTGCAGGTCGTGCTCCTCGCCGCCATAGCTCATCGACGCGCCAGATAGGTTGGTCGAGTCGCTGCTGCAGCCATTACCATTGACAACGACAAAGTTGGCGCTGAGACCGGTCTGGTCGGTGCCAAATGTGGTGGACTCGGCGGCGCAGTCGACTTCCAGAACACCGCTCTGGTCCCAGTCACCCGCGCTGCTGGGGGTGTAGATGCGGATCTGAGGGGGAAGCTGTCAGCTATATGCGTGTACGGGGAAGGATGGCCACTCGAGAATCATGAACTCATCCATGGCTTTCCCGTGTCGGTGTCGCGTATAGAGGTGTAGTGGACGGCAAACTTGCCCGGCGTAGGAGGAAAGGCGTTCTGGTTGTCGTTGCAGTTGAAGAGGGTGGTGGCCGAGCCCGAGAAGAGGGGCATACCAGCAGCCACAGCAGAGGTCTTCAGGATTGTGAAGTGCATTTTGAATGTGATGTCTCAGCAGATTTGGGAAAGTTTGGGGAGTGGTATGTGATGGTGTTGAGGCAGCTGCTGTTGTTGTAGACTGAATGATTCAGTGTTGATGAGAAGGAGGAGAAAAGGGGCTAGGTACGGACGACGATGCCATACATATACCTTTTGGCTTCTCTCTCACCAGGTGCATATCTTCATGAAGCTATCTTTTTGCTTCCCATAACGTCTTCTGGCGTCTCATTAGATCGACATTGCTGTTGTTGATGATGATGTCTCTCGATTACGATGACAGTCGCCTCCACGGGGGACACTTCACAACTTCCCAAACTCGGCATCTCCTTGCGCCGTAAGAGCTCCCAGCTGAGGCACAGGCGATCTACCGTCACACAATTACCAAGCCATAGTGTTGTAAGGCGTGATTTGCCGGTTCGTAAACTCAGGTTCGCTTCGACGCGCACGTCGTGAGGCTGACGCTGAGGCGGGCGTCAAGCGAGGGAAGGTCTTTGGTGTGATGGCTGTTAGAGAATATGCAATAATCGATGCCGAAGCTGTACCTTTCCGCAAGAAACACATGAGCTAACAGAAACATGAATAGTTATAAGCGGCGCTGATGGTCGAGACATGGGGTTGAGAGCGAGCATGCGGCACAGCACTTAATTGCACTGGACTGCTCGTATGCACAAGGTGCACGGACAGCTGCGTGATACATTTTGATGATTAAAGTTATGAAATCATTGCATCGACGGAGCCATTACTTTGTTTTGTAGCATGTTGAGCCCCTTTTTGGTATAACCATACGAGTTGACTGACCTGGTGATCTTTTGGGATCAATGACGGTAGACTCCTTTCGCGGGCGCCCTGTTTTGCAGCATGCTAACGAGCAACTCCTGTTCCTGAAAAGAAGAATGAAAATGCGCGGGTATGCTTTTAGACAAGTCGAGCTTCGTCTGTATCGTAGTGGCTGCCATGAAGCAAGACTCAAGGGGGGACGGACATGTGGCCAATCTCGATGTCGGTCCTCCTTCACATGGCTATTTGATCACGGTCCCAGGAAGCCATGCCTCAATGTTTGTGAGCATATGTTGTCACTTTAACAGTGCCCCGCAGGCCTTCGGCATGCAACAACGTGATGATTCCTCGACTGTCCCACCTCGGCCGCTTGAAGGGGCAACCACTTCGCTGTATACGAGCTGTGATTGGTCCTCGGCACTCACTAAGACAGACAGCACGAGACGCAACGTCGGCTGGAGAATATATTCCCAATGTGAACCAACTACGCACGGCCAAGACCATCACACATCATCTGCCCGGAAGACTACTGGACGCAGTACATCCACAAGATGGCGTGTCCCATCGATTCTGGCGCAGAGATGCGAAAGCGCATCGAGAAACCGCACATCTACGAGCCAGTAGCTGAGCCAAACGAGCTCAAGAGCGTCGTCATCGAAGGCATATACCTCATGGGTGGCCAATTCGCGATCCTGTGCCAGTTCGCTCACCCAGGGCTGGCCGAGGGTTCCTTCAAGCATTCCAACTTTGCCTACCGCATCATGAATCGCCTCAAGACAACGGCGCGGTTCCTGAACGCGGCCGTCTTTGGCACAAGGGCGGAGCAAGAGGCGATCTTTGGCGTGATCCACGCCGCACACAAGAACATCAAGGGCGAAGGGTACTATGCCGACGATCCCGAACTCCACAAGTGGACGGCCGCGACGCTCTTCGTCGCCATCATCGTTGTCCACGAGGCCTTCTTTGGCAAAGTGTCGCGCGAGAGGCAGGAGGTCCTGTATAGGGAGAGCAGCGTGTACGGGACCTCGTTGCGGATGCCGCCCGAGATGTGGCCCGCCACCCTCGACGACTTCTGGGCCTACTGGCACCACAACATCAACACGCTCGAGGTCACTAACTGGGCGCGGAAGCTGGGGACGGATCTCCTGTGGCCAAAGGCCATGCCCCTCTGGGCGCTGCCCAACATACCCATTGCCAGGCTGATGACCATCCACTGGCTCCCCGAGCGACTTCGGGGGGAATATGGCTTCAAGACGACGGCTCTCAGCACAGGCTTGTACTATTGCGTCTCGTATTATATTGCGTTTTGGTATCCGATGCTGCCGAGAGCCGTGCGAGAATATCCTAGCCGATATTACATCCAGGACATGAAGAAGGCTGTGGAGAGGATCGAGCGGACAGGCACGTGGTACGAGAGAGGTAAGATGTGAGGGATGGCGGGCGAGGGCGGTGTTGCTGGGGCCTGGATTCTGCGGCGAAGTTCTGACCGTATCGTACTTTATCCAATCCTGACCTGCTTGATGGCGAGTGGCAAGTGTCAGTACATGTGCGAATTCCCAGTTGTGGACCACGCATGGTCCTCTTGTGTTGTATAGGCGGACTATTTCTTCATGCCATTTTGCACGCCTAGTTCTTTCAGCTTTGTTGCTGGTCATCATTGTGCGTTATCTGACTGGCCAACTAGGGAGAGGAGGTGATGCATCCTCGAGATTCAAATGACAATCGACGAGGCTCTATCTAGACTTGCTCGTTTTGTATGTGGCAATCGAGCACGACACAAGTGCGAGAACAGCGATCGGGTGCTTACGCTCCCAACTGAAAGTCCGCATCGATGCACTCGGCGGCGCCTCATTGAGACGGGGATGTCGCCCACAGCTCATTCAAAGGGTCCAGGCTGGAACGGAACTAGAAGAGCCTGGCCAACCATCGTGGCGGACGGACTCCCGCATTCCGGAAGTCGAGCTCTTCGCAACCATGAGATACTGGAATCTCCGAGCAGCGAGGAAACTCCCGAATGATGCGTAGACTGTGGCTCATTCATTTGCAGAAGACCGGAACATTGAAATGCCCCTCAACGCCAGATACGCTTCAGACGTATACAAGTTTAACACGCGGATCGTATCCAAGGCGATCAGCCTAACATGACGGAGGCCACCATCTCAGGGTGCGAACCGCAATGTCTTCCAAGTCCAGACTTGTCTAGGCGTTACGTAGGGAGCAGTGATGAAGCGAGCCACTGGGGATTTCACTTGTAGCAGCCTTCCGTTCGCCGATGCGGTACCGGCCAAAGGCATCAATGGCATTCCAATCGACCAGTCAGTCCACCTATTTACCTTGCACCACATGGCGGGGCAGAGCCAGTTAAATGACGGGCCCTTGAATCAGGAATCAGGATTAGACTTTTGAGGCAGCCGGCATGATCTATTTTTGACAATCGACCGCAGGTCCGCATCTGCCAGCAGCGCGGTTGGGACTGGGAATTGAGGGGAGTACGTGTGCATGTAAAGAGTAAAGATCGACGACTTTGACGACTGAACCAATCGCCATTCCATTGCGGGAGCACTGCCACCTCCCGATCCCAAGCAGATAGTCAGCACGTGACTTTGGAAATGAAACAGACCTGGATTGGAGGCAGTGCATCACCGTACGTATAGAGGCAGTGTGGAAAGGGGGCATCAAATCTCGCTCTCTGCAGGCAAAGCAGAAACAAGATAACAATTCGGATACGGTGCCCTGGCTGCGTAGGAGGATTCGCGGCCTCTCCTTATGAGTGACGAGTCGTCAGCAATGGCAAAACAAGGAGGGGAGGGAAGCCTTCGCAGACAGACGCTGGAATTCGCGTGGACTTGCTAGTCCCCGACGTCCAGTCGTCATCCGTGCACGGTGTTAAACGGCACTGACGGCACGAATGTAGCCAATGAGATACCAGCCTGCCAAGCCATAGCAGCCTGCGCTCGGGGCTGTTTAGCACCAAAAACGCTGAAACAGGCCGTGCGGACGGTGCGTGATTGGCTCAGGCTCACAAAGTCCCCTAAAACGGTCTCACCCCAGTGCATGGCGTCGCCGAAGCAGGTTGGAGCTAGGCGCCGCCGCAGCGTAACGAAAAGCTTACGCGTCCTCTTCACCATGGGCCTGCTCATCCCTGCTCGCTCCCGCAAAAGACCTCCGGATCGCCAAGGCTGCCGTCCAAGTTGTGACCGCGCTTGCACAATTGCACAACAGCACTGCCCTCTCACTGTGGCCGCCGACATCGTGTGTCCCGTCCTTCTGCTCTCATTCCCCTATTCCTCCATTCTCCATCATCAACAGCATCATCAACAAACCGAGTAAGTATCTGACACTGTTATACGGCAGAGCGCTTCGGAACGAACAAAAACAAACATTCTCCGATCCCTGCCGACGCTCTTCACCCACCTCGTCGTCCTGGAGCAAGACCTAGCACACAATGGCGGCTCCCAACCCGAATAACGTCGACATCGACGCGCTACTCGACCTCACCGAGTACGACCGTCTACCCACCAACTCGTCCCTATCGTCCTCGCCTGCGTCAACATCGAAAAACAACTTTGCTAGCCCCGTTTCGGCAACCGTCACCACACCCAGCGTTCCCTCGACGAGTACACAGACCCTGAGTGGGCCGAGCCATAACTATGACATGTATCGCCAGCAGACCGGTTTCGTGCCAGGTGCGCTCGCCAACACCATGGCTGTGAACCAGACCAACAACACTGGCTACCAAGACTTCGGCAGCCTCGACTACTTGTCGAACATGACCCCCGAGGACGACATCTTCGACTTCAACACAGCGCCTTCGCAAGGGACAATGGCCGGGGCGTCGGACATGGACATGGAGTTTGACTCGCCTGCCGAGACCCAGAACTTCTTCAACACGATCAACCCCAGCAGCATCGAGCAAGAGTTGTCGCCTACTTCTGTAGCCACACAGTCCAGCAACGTCGGGCGTCTTTGGCCTGGTGCTCACTCGCAAGCGGCTATGGCCAAGATTCAGGCTCAGCAGCGCCAGCAGCAGCAACAACAACATCAGCAACAACATATGATGCAGCGTCAACATCAACAGCAGCAGCAGCACATGCCGCAGCAACCCAAGGCGCGGAACAAGAGCTCCCAACCCACAGACCCTCTCGTCGAGCAGAAGATCACCCAGCTGCTCAACTCCATGCGAGCCAAGCCTCCGTCTGCTGAGGATGATAAGAATTTTCCCATGGCCAATCTGTCCAGGACGAAGAAGGAGGAGGATGACATGGATGAGGACGAACGACTGCTGGCCAGTGAAGAGGGCAAAAAGCTGAGCAGCAAGGAGCGTCGCCAGCTCCGCAACAAGGTATCTGCTCGTGCATTCCGCTCGAGACGCAAGGGTAAGTTACGATGTGAACCTTCGATCAACGAGACCTGCTAACAAGGCTAGAATACATCACCCAGCTCGAGGCTGAGATTGCTGGCAAGGTCAATGAGAACGGCGACCTCCGCGCACAGAACCGCGCTCTGGTCGAGGAGAACAAGCGTCTCACTGACCTGACACGCATGCTCCTTGCCTCGCCCTCTTTTTCCAACTTTCTCGACCACCTGAGTGCGAACCCGGCGCAGGCACCAGCACCCCAAGTCAAGGTTGAGCCCCAGCAGGAACAGCAGCGCCAGTCGCTGCCGAAAGACACCAATCCCTATGGGTCCGTGGAGTCGCAGCAGCAGATTGGTATGGCCATGATCCCTGAGCAGACCATGGACTTTTCCATGCTGAGCCTCGACAACTCGTACAACTTCCAGCCGCAAGTGTTCGTGGTTGACGCTCTCGAAATTCCGGCGCCCATTGACGCCTCTGCCCTCTCCGGCAAGAGCACCAACTTTGCTGAGCCCTTGACCGATCTCGATGAGGAGAAGATGGAGGTGCCCGCCCTGGAGCGGCCTGCTGAGCGTCCTGAGCCCACCGAGGGGAAGACCGCTCCTCGCGATGAGGACTTTGAGTCTGACCCTGAATATGCCCTGTACCACTCTGAACCCACCACCGCTACCGAAACACGATCTGAGCTCGACACCGAAGGCCTATCAAACGTTGACCTCTTTGGAGGCATCGAAGCTGAGAAGATCCTTGCACGCTATGAGTTGCTAGATGCCAGTGAGGAGGAGACGTCGGCGGCCATTTCGATGGCCCGGGTCCAACGTATCAGTGACAGCATTGAGAGCGTGGTCTCGAGATTAGAGCTGCTGACCATGGACCTGTAGACGGTCTACCTTTCTTTTCCTGCATAAGCATTCTCTCTTTTGTCTTGGTGGTGAGCATCCAAGGCTCTAAGGCGTGCGGCGTTCTGGCACGATCTCAGCGGCTGCGATGGGATGATTTTTGTTTTCTATTGTTCTTTTCGCTGTTTTTTGGCTTGCCACCGTCTGCAGCGGTGATTTTACTGGACATGATGTGTCTGTACAGATAGATGGGATAGCCTGTGGTTATGACCAGAAATTCATTGCCGATTCCCACAAAGACTTTGGGTTTCTGTGGTATCAGTTCCCCGTGACAAGTTACGATGATCTTGACATGGAAAGGCCGCGAACAGCTCCCATGCATCCAACGTTTAGACAATCGAGAAGATCACCTTGTCAGCTCCCGTCCCCTCACCGTTCATCAGGCCATGGACATAGCACTCGCCGCCAAGCTCGTACGTCGCGTCCTGTCCGGGTCGCAACACAAAGGGCGTCTTGCCCCCGTCCAAGATGACAATTTCGTCCCCTTGTCTCAATGTGTCCGGGGCTAACAGGTAGTACCCCTTTTCGGTGAGTCCAACCCGTCGATACCGTGTCACCAGCGTTGCTTCGTGGCTCCATCGGTAAGGGTCGCCGCCTGCTGCCATTTCCACCAGTTGTTGGCTCATCTTCGCTCCAAGACCAGCTTTGATCAGATATGCTGCCACATGAGCGAGATTCTCCTCGAGCGTGACAATGCCCTTGGTACGGTTGATGCCCACGCATCCGTTGGCCAGTGTCTGCATCAGTGCGAACAGCTTGCTCTCGCCCGTAAGATACTGCTCCTCCGTGTCGAGCATGTCTTTCCCAGTCAGGTCTTTCCAGAGAATCTCGAACGGGTCTTTTCTGTCTTTCAACGCTTCGGCATCGTCGCGGATCTGAAAAGCCTGTCCAAAGAACGTCCACCACGCTCTGGCCACGACATCGACCGTTCTGCCCTTGATCTTCAACACACGACCGTCGATCTCCAGGGATGGCAGGGTGTTGCCCGCAGCAAGGTGGGGACACTCTGGTGAACCGATGAGATGCAACGGCAGCACTCTCCAGTCCGGTACCCATGAGGGCACATTGAGCGGTTTCCTGCGGGAGCGGTTCGTCCGATTCCTCGCCAGGACCCCATGCACTGCCGAAAGGACGATCAGTGTCTTTGCGCCCTCCAGTCCACGCCGCGCAACATCTGTGAAGACATGATCAATGGTCCTGCTGTAGTCCACCTCGATGGCCCTCAGCCCTTCGGTGCCGACCTTGCGCGAGAAATGGCCAAGGAATGCATATACGTGGTCTCTTGGGTCCTTTGTGCGCAGGTGGCGTGCACGATGTAGTTCATAGATGAAGCTCCCGCGGTTGTAGTCCTCGCCATAGGGGGTGTCGGGCTCGACGAAGCGAGCGTCCAGGTAGCGAATGTTGGGCGTGAAGATGGAGAAGCGTGTGCGCAGGAGATGGTAGGATGTGTTGAGCACGTCGGCCACGCGGGAGAGGAGGGCCCAGGATATGGTCACATGAGGGCCCCAATGGAGGGTGGAAGGAGTGGACGTGCCAATCTCCTGGACGATCCATATTCGAGTAAACTTGCAGGACATCAGTATCAACAACAACAAACAGAACGCGCACAAGATACGAGTCATACCCATGGCTGCTGTGTTAGTTTCGAGAGGGGTACCCAGCGTGCGGCATCTCGATGTCCCAGCTCAAGTGAATGCTTTCTCTTGAAAGCTGCATGGCGTGTTTCGTCACGGAAGACTTGGTCGAGGTGGATGATCATATCCTTTGCCTCCTGGGCGTTGCCATGTTCGTCACTCCCAAGCCACACGAGGACATGGCTCGCCGACTGATATATGACATCCATCAGTTTGACCTGTTGGCCCCTCTCCGTGATGTCATCTTGGTCGATGCAGACCTGATCTGCCCAGAGTCTCCGAGACTCGTCGTGAGGACGCATGCGCATGAGAGCGTCGTGGATGCTCTGCGTCAGGGGAAGAGTACCCGACTTCCCGGTCTGCGCGTCTGTCAGGTGGAGTGCTGAGCATCTCGTGTCGCTGCCCCAGACATATGAGATGGCCTCGTATGGTTGCGAGGTGGGAAGAATCTCGTGTGTGAGAGTGCCGACAAGTGGTTCAGATGGTGCCCCTGGATGCAAGGTCAAGATGCGGATAGTCGATGTGGCGGGCAGACTGGCGTAGGGAAATGCATTCTCGGGGGACGTCAGGGGCGTTTGAGACCCCTTGAATTCCATCTAACGGTTTGCGAGGCAACTCTGAGCTGTTGCATACCTTAGAACGGTAAGTGAGCCTCGCAGTAGCTCTAATCCTGATACAATTGCGCGTCTGTACCCTCGGGTAGGTCAAATAAGCTTCTCGCACTCGCTGCTGGAGCAAACGTCAAATTAGACCCCGCTATCCACCAACCATCTGTGACTCCGAATCCCGATCTTGAATGAGGGGCAAGCGTCAACAATAACCAGAAGTTTGATAAATTAAGGTGTCTCATCAGGTTGGTAGTAGATCATAAGGTAACAATCAGACTACCATATCTCCACTCCGACTCATGTTGGTCTCACCGAAGCACTTAGTAGATAATGGGTAAGTAGGTACTGATCGGGGTCTGGCACAAAAGGTCTTCAACTTCATCGATCAGCAATCGACCCCGCCCTTCATCTGCAGCACATGTGCGCGACTTCTGTGGCCAGAAGCAAGCGAGGCCCAGTAATAAATCGTGGAGCCAAGAACGACCAAGAATCGTTAGCAGCGTGCGGTTCCGCGTATCTTGGCGATGGGGAGTCTTTCCTCGAGCCTGCGCTCCTCCTCTCTACCTCCATTCTTCGTCAGCTCGATCAACCATGGTCCTCGTCAAGGCGATCATCGCAACAGCGGCTTTGTCCACCTTGGGCGCTGCGCAGGCGAACGATGAGGGCATCACAGTCTACGCTGCAGCGGCATACGTTGTGCACGGCGACAAGACGCCTAGTCTCGGCTCCCTGCACGAGACACTGACGCCAGTTGGGGCACAGCAGCTCTATCGTCAGGGCAGCGCCTTTCGCAATCGCTACACGAACGGCTCATCTGCCATCGATGGGCTAGAGGAGTCTTATATCGACAATCGGCAGGTTGACGCGCTGGTAGCTGATGACGAGTGGGTTGCTGCAGGTGCCCTCGCCTTCTTCCAGGGATTATATCCACCCAACAAGGAAGGGTTTATCGGTGGCCGGGATTTGGGGAACGATCTAGCCAGCAGTGGCAGTGACAGCGTAGGGTGGCCCTTGGACGGGTATCAATACCCTCTTTTGCAGACACTGTCCTGGAACGATAGCGCGTCTCCCGCGTAAGTACTACTCTGCCGATGCGACTCCGCCAGAAGACTGACTTTGAAGTGTCCGGGGATCGAGCGACTGCTACACCTGGCAGGAGAAGACAGACAAGCTAAATGCCAGCTCAAATATCAAGCAGCTCACCACGAAATCGGCCTCCTTCTACAAAGACCTTTTCTCCTCGGGCCCGCTCAAAGGCACAATCAAGGACGGCTATGCCACCTTATGGAATGCCGTGGAACTTTACGAGCTCGTGTCTTACATGTACGCGCATAATCAGACCGTCCACGACAAGCTCGACAACGCGAACGAGACCATCTCCCAACTCGAGGACTATGCCTTCTCCCTAGCTCAGGCGAAGAACCAAGACCCCGATGACGAGGATGACGAGGCCAAGGCTCTGATCAACATTGCTGGACGCACGCTTGCGACTAAGGTTGCCAGTCAGCTACAGCGTAATCTCGGTTCGCAGGGAGATCTCGCTAAACTCAGTGTTCTTTTCGGTTCCTACGAGCCACTCATGGCTTTTCTTTCGGTAGCCAACGTGTTGACCAGGGAGAACACCCTCTCTGGTCCTTTCACGACCCTACCCAAGCCAGGCGCTGCCATGATCTTTGAGCTCATCGGCGACACCCCTGACGATACCTCCAAAACACCAGACGCAACTGACTTACGTATCCGTTTCTTGTATCGCGCGACCGCGGATGAGGACGAGGAAGTCCAGGGGTTTTCGCTCTTTGGGTCAGGATATGGGGGCAAGAGCATTCCTTACACTGCGTTTCAACGCGAAATGAACGACAAAGGCGCCACGACGGAGGAGTGGTGCAATATTTGCAACAGTAGCACTCCTTTCTGCCCCAGCAAGTCATCGGACGGTGATGCAGGCGAACACGACGAAGCGGCATCGGATCTCCTGGGCTCCAACTCGAGAATCCATCCCGCTCTCGCTGGTCTCATCGGCGCCGTGGTCATGGGCGCCACCCTCGGGATTGCTGGGTTTCTGCTCATCGCCATCGGAGGCTTCCGGGTTCGTCGCGTCAGCGAGAATGAGAGAAGCAGCAGCGGCTTTCGAGGTGAGCCCGACAAGGACGTTGCTGTCGGAGCGCGGGGCGTAAGCCAGGAACGCATCGGCAGCTGGGAGATGAGGGGCGGTCGGAAGGAAGGAGGCGCGGAGAGCGTGAGGGATGTTGACGATGGGAGTAGCGTCTTTGGGGCAACTGTGACTAGGCCGAAGGACGTGGTCTGATAGATCTTGCTTGCAGCAGTGCAGAATAAACAGAGTGTGATGCTATCGCAGAATACCGAGACACAGTGCTCGATACCGGGTGGTTAGAGCATACCAACGCCTTGACTGTTACAAAGCAACGGTCGTTGCGTGCATGCGACGTTGTGGAAAAAGCCGCATGCCCAGGCCTGTGGATGACGCGCTACCGCTCGTGGGAAGATCGTTGGGTTGTTGAACAGGGTGTCAAATAACTTCCACATGGTCAAGACAGGCATGTTGAAGAGGTTTACGCTAATCCGGGACACGGCGGCGTGCGATGACTAGGGGGGCAGCGCTCAGCTACTGAAGTCAGTTTGTACGGTACATCAAGGTGAGTGGATTCAAGAGTACGAGGGGCCATCTATTATACACTGTAGGCTATACAATATCAGACATGGGCAAAATATTGAACAGCGAATCTCTTCTTCATAGCCGAGGCAAGCCTCAGCAATAATGAAAAGAAAAAAACACCTGTCAGACGTCCATCGATGCCCGCCCAGTCCGCGCGCCCAAGGGCAAGACCGCAGACCGGGTTGAGATCATCAAGTGCGGTCGCAAGAGCAACCATTCCATCTCTATACAGCAGACCGTCCCGAAGGCCAGTCGTGCCGCCATCCTTGCGGACAGTGCGAGAGGACCAGAGTTCTTCACTCTAGGGCATCGAGGATATGTCTCATCAACCAGGGTGGGTTCTGTAGCTTCTTTGGGAAACACAGAAGGAGTCGTATACTATAGAAATGATTCTCCTGAGGAAGTCGTTAGCAGGTTGTCATGGACAAATGGCGCTGGCAGCTTGCGCGAGGCAGAGCTGAGCAGGTAGGGGGAGGCATACTGAAGTATTGTCGACATGAAAAGAAAAGAAAAAGGAGAGGAAAGGTTGCGACCAAGCAATGCTTTTATACATCGCCCTGCGACCCCTGTGGGGCTCACAATCAGCGCGCTGACCGCCCGAAATTTTAGTGGCAGAATGCCTCACCGCCAAAATTTTCTACGGCAGAATGAGCGCAAGGTCCGTGCTACGAGGGTGGGCTTGTATGAATCCCTGGGAATTCAGGCAGGAATTTACGCTGAATTTTCTGACGATAGCATCTACAGGCACAGATTGCAGAGTGAAACAGGTTCGACATTTTGAGACGGGCGCGAGTGCGGGCAAGGCGCACCGTGCTGGGAAGGCTCTTGGAGCATTACCGGGAGCGTTCACGGGAGCAGCGCACAGATTTGGGGAAGCGTGGTTGAACCTCACCAACCGTTTCATGTGTGTCTTCATTGGATGTGTCTGCACGGGGCAGCTCGTAGTCAGGTAGCTTGTATTTGATGTGTGCAATTTGCCTTTTGGCTATCTTTAGAGGCTGGACGATCCAAAATGACCGGCGCGCAAAGTTTGACCTGCTTTTGGCGTTCACGTAGGAAAGTTTGCATCTTACAAAACGAACTGGCACTTCACAACATGACCACAACGCGCCTCATGACGCGCATATCATTTTCATGTGCAGAAGAGCACCAGAAGCTACCGATTAATTACACAGCATCTCTAACATCTAGTACGTTCCACGCCATCTGTCGACTTCAATCAACGAACAAAGCCAGCATGTTCAGAACTACAGGGTAGTTTAGTATTTGACTCCAGAAGGCTACCTACCTACTGTCACCCTCGACATAGAGATTGGCTTCTTTGATCCACCACTGAACACCCGCCCCAACCAGCTCTCCAACGTCTTCCCCCAGACGGACCTTCTCTCTGACCCTCGAACTGCTCACCGCACCTCCGATGCCTTCAACGAGCTCAACCTCCTTTCTCTGCCACGCTTCCAGTCCCTTCCAAAATGCCTGCTGCTCCTCCTTCCCGCCCCATTTCCCGTCCGTCCGTAGCGTGACCCGCAAGCTCGCCTTGGCCAAAAATGGCTTGATGACCGAATCCATGCTTCCCTCGGGATAATACTTGGCGTCAAAGACGCGAATGAGCGTGTCGTATCCCACCAGAAAAACCTGCTTCATGCCGGCATAGGTTTCCTCAATGGCCGACGCCTTGTCCGGGAAATACGGCTCTGTCGTGACGCCAATGTCCACGCCATCCACGTCGGCTTTGTCCAGGATCCCGTGACCGAAGCTCTCCATCATGGCCAGGCGTGCCGGGAACGACGCCGGCGCGGGCGCTTTGTCTGCGTTCTGCACGGCGAGGAGCAGCAGGACCCTTGGCGTCGCCACGCTCGACGAACGCACGGCAGTGTGAATCATCTCGGCGTGCGCTACCGTGGGTGGGTTGAAGCTCGAGTCCAGCACGATGAGCTGTCGCGGGGCTGAGCTGGTAACGCCGCCATGAGGCAAGCTTCGCAGCACGCGAAATCCGCTGGAAGATGCCTTGAAAGCTGCCAGGCCCTTTGCGAAGAAGTCAATGACGGACCGCACATCAATCGCTGCGGGAGGCATGATGCTCGATGGCTGGTGTTTCAAGGATGAATGATCGAGACACATTGCAAATGTGGGGCTTCCAGTCTTTGCTACCTTACGTATTGATGGCTCGCACATTAATAACATTGAGGTATTCTCAATCAGCTCTAGACCCGACATCCATCACGCCTCTAGAAAACCACTCGGCCACAGTAGCAAATCGATCATCACTCCCATCAAGATCGCCCTTGAAAAGCTCGTGTCTTTCTGCCCGGGCCCGCTGCCCCTCGCGCATCTTGCGGATCACGTCGTTCTCGCCCGCACACTTGGGACACTCGGCGCGGTCATCCTCGCCGCCGCGCAGACAGCGCTGGTGGAAGCTGTGTTTGCAAAGGAAATGCACCGCCGGCAAGTCCAAGCCTTGCCCACAGTCGGAGCAGCGGGTCGCTTGGAAGACGGCTGGTTTGGCACCGAGGTCGCTGAGCTCCGCTCGTCGTTTCTCAGTGTCCGTGCGCAGGTTGTTGATCCGCTGCTTGTTGGAGGAAATTTCCTTCCGCTCGCGGGTGATGGTCTCGTTGAGGTAGGGCTTGATCATGCCCATTGTAGCCACGCCACCTCCAGAGGACTGTCCCACCAAGGTCTGGATCACCTGCAAAGGTGCCATCAGCCCATCCTTGTCGATCTTGGACAGTACGGCGGCGAGCTCCTCTCGACCAGCCTCTTCCAGTATGCTCGGATCCGACGTCAGATACGCCAGCGCTGCCGGGTACAGTTGCGGCTCTTCGGGACCGTACTTCTTGAGCGCCTTCAGCGCTCCTGCTGTATCCTTGGCAGAGGTGTATGATCGGAAAATGTCCGAAAGAAGCCCTGCCTGCTCCTTGACGAGCACTGTGCCGTCTCGGAAGTTCGATAAGTGTGACAGCAAGAGGACGTTGGAGCTCTCCATTGGCACGTGGTCGCCCTCGATGAGCTTTTTCGCTTTCGCCTCCCAATCCTCGCGGTGACTCTGTCCCTTCTTCTGACTTGATTTGTAGAGATACATCTCGAACAACGTGGTATATAGATCGGTGCGATCGGCCGCCTTTAGGTCCTTCTCTTCCAGGCATGCCTCCAGAAAGACAATAAACTCATCTGGGTGATCGATAAACGACGAAAAGGCGGTTCGAGGTGCAGGCGGCGTGTACTTGGGCGCTGGGAAGTTATCCTCATCCAGAACGATCGTGCCATCACTGAGCGTCGGCCTGCCGTTGGTCGGTGTGCCGTTGCCCGAAGACACTGTGTTTGCATTCATATAAGGCAGCGGCAGCAGGTGCGACAAATTGGATACCGCGTTTGCAGCACCCGCCGCGAAACCGCTGCCTTGCTGGGAATCATCGTCGACCGTCGGCAACGCGGTGCGCTTCGGTCTGTACTTGCCGGTGTAGTAATCCACAAACAGCTTCGTCGCCTCTTGCGGACAGTTCTCGATGAAGACGCGCGCATATTTCTGCATCGACGGATATGCCACCTCTGGATCCTGATGCCAGATAAAGTCGACGGCTTCAGCGTATTTCTTGGAGTCCTCAACCAGAATGTCCACCACCAGGTCAATCTCCCCGTGCTTCCGCGCAAGGTACGCCGCCTGATCGTAGTAACCGCCCTGCCGACACATGGCAATCGCCGTGTCCAGATCGAATTTGAGATCGCCTGGCGATTTGATGAATTTCTCCAACTTGTCGATATCCTTGAGCTTGGCATAGCAATTTAATAATAATGTTGTATGATCGGCCGTCGCTTTCCGATGCTCATGAAGTTGCTCCAGATACATGATGAGATTGTGAATTCGCTGACTGTCGAGGAACTGCCCACTGTTAGCATAAGTCAGCCTTGGTCTGTTTTACATCTACCTTTCTGATCACCTGCGACGGCTCTGTAGCGTCAATAGCGCGAATGTACTGCACCATTGAGCCATCGTAGTCACCCTTTTGGTATAAGTGATCGCCAAACTTCCGGAAAATAAGGCTTTGTTGGTCGACGTCCAGACCCGAGTTGCTGGCGAGTTCGATAGCGAGAGGGAACATATTGCGCTGGTAAAGCATCTCCAAGCGTTGTTGGAGTGTCTTCTCATGGTAACGATAGACCTGGAAGCGTTAGCCCTGGCTACTTATTTCCCTTGGTCCACATACTTTGCCATCTTCGCTCATGGTATACAAATCGCCCCAGACCTCAAAGATATAGCGCACCGGCGAGATGAGGGTCTCTGTGTGTGCAATGATTCTCAAATCCGGCTCCAAAAGCACAAAGGTGGACGCGTGGAGGAATGCATCGCCGGCTCCTCCCCCAAACCTCATCCGCATCGACTCCGGGTCTCGTCCACTGTTATTAGGAGGACACGCCAGCGCGGCGTACTCCTTGAACATGGTAATGGACCTTTTCGGCGACTCGTACGCTTTCGGCGGACCCCGCCCTTCGAGGTTATATGTGTATATCGCGTCGTCCCTCGCTACCACCACGTCGCCCGTCCGTCTGTCCACCGTCATGCAACCCCAGCCACACCCACTGTCCTCGACTGTCTTGGGGGGCAGGCCTTGACCCCTCCTTGTGATGCCAACCTTGAGAATCCTCGAAGTCGTCGAGACGAAGAGTGTCGTCGCTAGCTGGTCGTCCATCGAAAGCTGCACTCCCGTCACAGGCTCCTCTGACTCAAAGACGACCCGCTGCTTCGTTCCAAGGTCGTGTATTAAGTCGCCGCGGATCAAAGTGACCGCCCCATTGGCGAAACCGACCGCAATCTGCTTCAAGTCGTCCATCGCCACGAATGCCGAGATGGGAAACTGCCGCCTCGCGTTACTGACGCTCACCGTACTCAGACATGTCGGCATCTCCGTCTTCTTTACGAGCTTGTCGAGCGCCCAGACCTTGAGCACGGGATCAGCGCTCGTCTCTTCCGCCACCGTCACCAGCAGGCTCGTCCCGTCCACCTGACGCATGTGGGTGATACGCCCCGCATCGTGCGCCTGAAATCGACGGATCACCTTCCAGCTCTTGCCGATAATGTTCACAAGGCCATCTTGCGTGCCGAGAAAGAGGCTGTCGGATCCGGCGCAGAGGCTGGAGATGTCGCTGCTTTCGAGGAGGGACTGGGTGTCGCGGTCGGCGAGGGCGATCTGGGCGACGTCGAAGAAGTCAAAGGACTTCCACTGGGAGGTGTCAGTAAGCCAGAGAGTCTTGCGCATTCGATCCGCCTACCGAAATGGCCATGTTGGCGGAACATGGATAGCAGGGGCTGTGTTCGACGCGTGGTTGGCGAGGTCGAGGTGCTTGAGCTGGAGCTGGACGGTTTGGGAGGTTCACGCCAGTGATGACGCTGGTGAAGTGGGTCCTCCCACAGCTATCACGACCAAAGAGAATAACGCCTGCAACAGCCAATGCACGTCAAGTCGGTTGTCGAAATATATATTAGAGTGCCACCTAATACTAGCAGGTAAGAGGGTATCTATCGTGAGGCTTGAACCCCCATGGTTCTCTGTCATTGCACCAAGGAGCCCCAATAAACCAAATCCGTATCGCCATGCCTTGAACCCAAAATCATACAATGCGCGCTCATTCCTCCTTTTCCTCCTTCATAGTGGACGCGATGTCATCATTCTCTGCGGGTACCCCCGCCAGAGGGCTGTTGGGCCCTGCGCTGATTGCGCCCATGCTCTCCGTCCTCGTGTGTCCAGGGCGCACACTCCGGACACTCGCGCCGTCGGCCTGCTTGGCGTAGTAGCTGTTGCGATCGCCCGACACGGCGGGCGGCACACCTGTGAAGGAGTAGATGCTGTTGCGCTCCGCATTGATGCGCGGCGTGTTGCCATACAAGGCGCTCGCATTCCCGTGGCCGGACGATTCCACATTGCCGCTCAGAACGCTCAATGGTAGACTCTCGCGGCTTCCACCCCACACAGAGGATGGCGCAAGGGCACGAACTGACGCGTCTGTGTCCATTGAACGTCGGCGACGACGTTTGCTCGAAGACGCAAGTGTCAATATGGACGCATTGTCCGTCAGCAAGCCATGCGCCGTAGCGGCTGAGTACGTGTTCGGTTGACCGGTCGGCGCGAGATGCGGTGGGATGGCGGATGGAGGCGGGTTTGTTGGGAATGGCTGACTGAACTGAATAGCCTGGGTATTACTTTGCTGCGGCACTGTCCCGCTAGTACCACCATTGGGCGCCACAGATTGGATGGTCGTGAGTGTTGTCGCTATGGACCGTACTGATGGTGCTGGACTGGAAAACGTGCTGTCGCCGCCTCGTCTGGACTCCAAGCCACCACCTGCCGTGTGATTTGTGCCTGTCACAGAGCTCGCGCCATGACTCTGAGTACCGGAGTGGGGTGCCTCTTGTTCGGTCGAGGCTGTTCCCGTATGGCGTACTTCGATTTCCGGTGTGTCGGTGGTTTCCGCGGGTGCACCACTAGGTCGCTCGACAGATGTGCGACTGCATGTTCGAGGGCTGGCAAAGGAGGGAGCGCTCTCCTCGTTGGATTGCTGGTTGCTCACGAAACCTGACTCAGGGTAAGGGTTGTTGGCCTTTGTCTCCTTCTTCTTCTTGCCATGTCGCTTCTCGGGATCAGATGATTTGAAATTGGTGAGCCTCTTCACCCAGGTCGAGAATGGTTTTCGTCGATGACCATTACGATCTAGGATGGTTAGAGTCGAGGCCAATGCGAACGATTTTAGGCAGGAAAAAGCCTACCGGAAGTCTGGGCTAACGTCTCTGCGGTAGCCATGGTCTCTAGCAGTGAGTGAGGGCGCGCCAGGAGAGGGGGCGATCGCAGTCAAAGGATGGACGTAATAAACAGATCGCGAGGCGGGGAAGGTTGGAGGGGGCCCTGAAGAACGTCGCCCTTGATCGCACTGCAAGGCAATGCCTGGGACAAGATAACTTTACAAGTAGAAGGCAGTCTGAAATGAGATGCAAGATGGTAGACAGCGTGATGCATGGAAAGGCTGTAGATCCTGGCTGATGCCGCTGGCGCTTCTACGGTGGTCTGGACCTGGGGGAGAGATCACGTGACTCACATCAGCCACATGCAGCGTTTGATGCTTCCCAGGTCAAGCAGCACCAGCAGATCGACTTCAGTCAAAGGAACACATTGTGCGAATGAAAGTCCAGAGCGGTGCAAGTGTTCAGGTATAACCTCTTGTTGTAAGCATTCTACGTGTGATTTGATTGCACAGGTGCTAAATAACCGGCAGCTGCCAAGACTTGGTGTCCTGGACCCTTCTCTCGGGACGTCATTCCGCAACACACTTGCGCCATCTCACCCGCCGTACCCTCGATTCACCATGACGGCTCGGCCATGTCCATCAGGCAGCTCCCGGACGAAGTAGTGAAAAAGCTACAGTCGTCTGTCAGCATCATATCCTTGCGTCATGTCACAATAGAATTGCTAAAGAATTCTTTGGATGCCGGGGCAACTAAAGTCAACATCACTGTTGATTACGCTAGGGGCAATTGCACAGTTGAGGACAACGGTCAAGGCATCCCACCGGAAGACTTCGAAGAGAGTGGAGGTTTAGGACGGTCGCATTGTAGGGCGCCTCAACCGACACTCGAACAGCACTAACTTATGCAGGCACGTCCAAATATCCGCCTGGTGAGACCGTGTATGGCAGACATGGGAATTTCCTGTCCTCGTTGGCCACGCTGTCCCTCTTGTTGGTGTCCTCTAAACATCAGAAGCATGACTCATGCAACTCCATACTTCTGCACCAGTCAAGGTTGATCTCGCGATACCTTCCAGCCCCGACACAGCACCATGTCCACGCCTTTGATTGGGGCACCCGTGTTGTTGTGCGGGATCTGTTCGGCTCGATGCCAGTGAGAGTGAAACAAAGGGGTTCCATGTCGAATGACCCTACTTTCGCAAGCAAGGAGTGGAGTCAACTGACCGATGATGTCGTCGCCGTGCTGCTCTCGTGGCATAGTACAATTTCACTGCTCTTGAAGGACGCTGCCTCAGGAAGTGAGATCCGCTTGAAGCAAGCAAAGACCACTGACCTTTCGCTGCGCGCTTCCAGGCTTCTCTCACAAGCATGTATCGTTGACCAGGCACTTTCCGGCACATGGGTCCCTTTGTCAGCGTCCAGTGGCAACATGTCGGTCGAAGGTTGCATATCGACTGAGCCAGTCGCGTCACGGAATGCGCAATTTCTCAGCATCGGGATATGGCCTGTCTCGAATACGCACGGGACCAATATTCTATACGAGGAAATCAACAAGATATTCTCAAAATCTAATTTTGGCGTGGTGGAGGACTCATCCAACAAGATTCGAAAAGGAATTGAACGTTGGCCAGCGTTCTATTTCCAGGTGCAGATCCGTCATAGTGCAGACACAGTGAGTATACAGCAGATTCTCGACAACCGAACCGATAAGCTTAAGCACATACTGGATTCGATCAAGGCTGTTTGCTATGGGTTCTTGAAGAAACACCACCATCAGCCAAGGAAGATTCAACTACGGGATAGAGAGACTCCAGCTAGGAAGCGACCTCGCTTGACCGCGGAGAGTCGGTGGCGATCCCCATCCCTAAGTCAGAGACAAAGCCCTTTCGACGGGTGGCAACGTATTAAGGTCGGTCATGCTACGGCCCTGCGCTCAAAGACAGTGTCACCTCACGTCTTTGCAGAGGCTCCAAGACTGAGGAAAGAACGGTGGGTTGACGCAGATGGCCAGCTGTTGCGCCAGCCATTTGATGACCTAGACGTTGATCATAGGCCCGCACCTGAGCCATCATCAGCGTCTGCCAGCGTTCAGGCAAGGGACTCTCCATCCAGCACTGCCATTGATCACGCCACAAACTGCTCAGCCTCTTTAGCCAAGAGGCCAAAACCCGAACCTACCCCTTGGCTGAAGGGATTGCTCTCTACATGGACTAACCCGGTCTTTGCGACTGTCCCTTCTGCAATCCCTCGCACCTACAATGACGATGCCATTGGAGACCGTACCGGCACGGGCTTCACCAAATTTGCCCATGGTCCCGATGACTGTGGAATCATGTTTGAGTCAGGGTCTTTGAGTTTATCCGGCTCCATCTCTAAGGCGGCGCTGGAACAAGCTGAAGTAATATCACAGGTGGACCGCAAGTTCATTTTCGTCAAGTTGACGCTGGAAACAAAGTCCCGAGACTCGTCCTCCTCATTGGTCATGATCGATCAGCACGCCGCGGATGAGCGTTGCAAGCTCGAAGAACTACTGGCTACGTACTTTCACCGCGATGCCCATGGCGATCTCACTGCAACGACCGAGCCTCTAGACCCATCTATTCACTTCGAGGTTGGCCATCTCGAAGGCGAGCTACTTGAGAGATTCCGCCACCACTTCCGCACGTGGGGCATTGATCTAGATGTCCGCAACGATGGAGGGAAGAAGTATGAAAGGGTGACCCAGGTCACGAGCCTCCCTCCCAGCATTCTTGAGCGCTGTCGTCTTGAACCACGCCTGCTGATCAACTTGATCCGTACCGAAGCATGGAACTTGGCCGAGACACGGCAAGCCCCTCTGCCGCCCTCTCGTGCTCCGGAGGGATCTACACATCCCTGGGCGGTCTACATGAGTCGTTGCCCCCGAGGGATCTTGGAAATGCTCCACTCCCGCGCGTGCCGCAGTGCCATCATGTTCAATGACGCTCTCACCATTGATGAATGCAGAGATCTCGTGAGGCGGGTAGCGCGGTGTGCCTACCCATTTCAATGCGCTCATGGGAGACCAAGTATGGCGCCTCTGCTTGACATGGGAACCGGGCAGAGCGCGGCGGGTGGAATTCTGGCAGCCGAGCAAGTTGGCATGGATTTGAAGGAGTGGACGCAAGACTAGTCAGTTGATCATGATACCCGGCATGTGGCCCAAAATAGAAGAACAAAATTTGCACTGGTGTCTATACAAATATCTGTGGAGGATTAATGATCGACACTCCCTTCCCGCACATTATAAGCGGCCCTGGGCTTCGAGGTCTTGCTTTTTCCGCTCTTGTGCGATGCGGCGTCGTGCAGCTTCCTCCTCCTCGCTCATTTTGACCCATTCCTTGATGTCGCGATCCCAGCGATGCCTAAGAAGACAGGTTAGTTTGGCTGTTCGCATGTGGGCGTTCCTAAGAGTATAGATGGACGTACCCTTCCCATTCTTCGGCAACGAGACTCTTATCTCCATATTCATCCGAGAGGATTTTCTGGAAGCTGTAGGGGATCTTGGCCTTGACGCCCTCAAACGTCGAGACATACATAGGCCAGAGATCCTGGGTCCTATAGCGATGCTTGTTCTTGCAGCTCCATTCGCCGGGCCTGTCCTGCTCACGCTCACGCAGTCCGGTGATGTCGATGAACATGCCGTTCTCCATGTCGATCCAGCGTGCATCGATAATATTCATACCGTCGCCGCGTGTGATCTCGGCGTGGTGGGGGTTGACGTCCAGCAAGTACCGCTTCTCCCTCACTTCGCCGGTGCTGTCGTCCGTCGCGTTGTATGCGTGCTCTGTCCGGTTGAGGTTGTCGCCGAGCCACTGCATCGTCGTGTAGGAGATCTGCATATCGAGGTCGTAGTCCCACGGCATGATCTGGCCGTTCCACCACCATCCGAGCAAGGTACCGTGGGAAAGCCACGTCTCCGCGCCGCGCTCGGCAAAGACGGTCAGGTACGAGCGTGCCAGGTCCCTGAGCACGACCCGGTGCTCGTCATAGGGTACCTCGTCCTTGAAGTAGCGAGCATCGTAGTGGGCGCGCGCCAGGGAGCCGCCCGGTTCGTGAAAGTATTTTGGTGTCTTTGGCTTCTTCTTCTTTTTCTCCTCTTCTCTGGTTTGCAGAGTCGCCAGCGAAGCGTGGTCGTCTGCGACTGACCTGGCCGCCGTATGCGATGTGAGGCCTTGCACAGGTCGAGGGGAAGCGACGGCGCCTAGGGCAAGAAGCGATGCGAGGAGGACATGACGTAACGTCGCCATCGTCGGAAGGTGGGAGAGGCTGGAGAGTGCGCGCGCAATGTGTTCTAGGCCGGATCGATCGTTTATATAAGGTATCGAGGAGAATGCGTCCGAGGTTGAAGCTGCAATGGGCGAGGTGCTGCTTTCCGAGACACGCGCGTCCTTCAGGGGGTCATGGGAAACTGCAAATGCTCGACAGTACGGATACAAAGAAAGCAAAGGTGATGAGGATGCTGGCGCTAATGCTGATGCGATAGGATGAGATGGACCGAGCACAGTATTAGGGCAGTGATGGCGAAGAGAAACTGGGATCCCAGAGGACGGGAGGCTGAAAGGTGATTGATGTTGGCACCGGAGAGCAGGATCTCGCTGGTCAGCTTGTGAGCCATGGAATGCCACTGACCGTCGCAGGGTCCCAGGCGTGACAGAGATTGAAGTGGGTAAGTGATAGGGGGCCCACGGTAAGCACGGCATCCTATTGTCCCTGTTTGCTCGCCGGACCACAACCACGAAATACCATTGAATCCCTTGCATTCATTACGATGCCTTGCCAAAAGATGAGGCTCTGATGATCATGTTAAGCTGACGCACTATCGAGATGAGGCGGCCGGTCCGCAGCGGCCCAGTGGTACACAACGCCACGCGGCGATCACGCCGCCCGCCATTCTCGTCAGGGAAGGGTGTCGCGTGCCTCTGTACGAAACGGGGCACGCAGCGCACCACTAACAAATGTGTATGCTCATGACACTGGACTCTGTTAGCGGGACAAGTGACGTGATCAATCGCCAGACTACGGTGTATCCCCCACATTCTTCACACGTCTCAGGCCCACGCGAGCCTTCAGGCTTCAATGGACCAAACCTAATTGCGGACAATTTGCAGTAGGCTCTCGCAACGAGCGTTACTGGACCTTTTTTATTTTTATTTTTTATTGCATTTTTAGAAAACTATCACATGAGTATCAATCTTCAATAAATCTCTCTTGTGCTTGCTGATTCACAAATGCGCAGCTCACTTCGCGCCCAACTGCCTCGACCCAATTGCTGGGCATCACGCGTGTGCGACATCGATGCTGCGATGACACGACATCACGTCTGCTCACGACCAATCATCCAAATCCCCATTGATCTACGTATTCTTCATTCATGGACGAGCCTGGATGGTAGGGTTTCTATTCATCATTAAGAGCCTTAGGTTCGTTCCTCCAACCGCCTCAACCTGTGGCTCCAAATGCAGACATCTCAGACCCACGCGACGTTTGTCTCGGAGTATTTGCCGCGCTCCTGTTGATGAATCCTTTTGACATCACAGGTCGAACTGAGGGAACATTTTGAAATCTCCTTCCCCTCGTTCTTCGGTCGCGTCCGTTGACGGCCTCTGTCATGACGACGCATGGCTCCGGGCACCACTACGATCCTTGACTACACAACAACCCCAGGCTGCGCAGAGTCCAATGCCACTATCATGGCTTCTGTCTACGATCTGCGAATTATCCGATTTTTATGTGGTGTAGGCCACAGACGGACCCGTGCTCCTGGGGTAGACTGCGCAAGGCAGCCACCTTGGCAAGCCGTGCAAAGCCATCGAGACGACAGGTCAAAAGGCGCAGTGGTGTGCGGCAGCGACTTCTGAGGCTGAAGACGGAGAGGCCAGAAGCTTCTCCAAGGATCGAGACAAGAAGACAATGCATGTAAACTCAGTTGATCGCCTGCGGTGCAGAAGGACAATCCGAGGTAGAAAGCGCACGCCTCGGGCCAGGGTTTTGGGAGATTCATCCAACTAAAGCGGAGGCATGCCCTCGGCGACTCTCGGCCAATGTTGATATCGAGTTGGGGTTCTGCCAGGAAGGGCAGGAGTTGCGTGGGACAGGCAGCCCCTTGATCATGCCAGCGCATGATGCGTGAGTGTTCGGCCTCGCATGAATGCAATTAAAAAAGCGAGGGCCGCAACATTCAAAATTAATACCGTTAGGTAAATCAGATGCTGATTACCTACCTTAGTATTGATTTCGGCCAAAAAAAAAAAAAAACCAATTAAACCGCTGGGCGGCTGGCGGTAATCTCTCCCGCCGGGAATTGAACCCGGGTCTCAAGCGTGACAAGCTTGCATACTGACCACTATACTACGGAAGATGGACAGCTGTTAACAGCTGGCGTAGTGAGATCACGTGGTAGGAACTACGTTATTATTATATATATTGTAATTTTCAAATCATGTCTTCGAGTTCCGTGGATTAGGCCCATGCTCATATGAGACTGCTGTTGTGGAGCATTTCGGACTTCACACGCATTGTCAAGGGACAGTTTCATATTATGTTAAAAGGGGGAGATTCTATGCACACGAATTAATGATCAAACAGCCTACCTTAAGTCACATTTTCCGCGCACAATTGCAGAGGAGCCCCTACGTCAGCATTTCGAGCTGATCCAACCAATCTATGACTCCTCGTTTAAATGGTGCTAATTATTGCCCCTCGTCTAATACTGCCCACCATTCCTTCAGCCATTCCACCCCTGACTTAGACGCATGGCGCACGTCGGTGTTGCCCCCTACTATATTTGCCACACAGCAGCCACATCATCAGCTTCAGATAAATTTGTGCAAGCCCAGGTGTGAGGGGATGAAGTCGAGCTGATCTTTGTTTGGAAGTAACTATCCGAAGTACACTAGAAAATCTTTCCTCGCTTCTCCTTCGGTAACGTAGCCGACTTTGACTTCGGGATCCAAAGCCCAGCATCGCGGCCCGCCGTCCGATGGGTCTCGTGAAAAGCTTGACCGCAGACAAGCCATAACTACACGTACATACTCGGATGACAAGTTCTAATACTCAACTCGCGAAGCGTGCTATGTTTTCAATGTAGTAGAGCAGTGACTTGATGCGGGTCCAGCTCACACTTCGCAGTCTAATACGTATGTCACGGGATAGTCGACGATTGTAGGCCGGGTCTTGCGGTTATAAGTCATCCGCACTGGTAGGTCCGTGTAGATGTTCACTTTTGGCTCAGTGGTACATGGCACCCCTTGGTCCGCAACATCGTAGATATGGCCACGGGGTACCATGTCCGGGAACGGAACACAGAGTGCGAGGCTCACGTACGCCAGGCCTTTGCGACAAGGGCCGTGTCGCGGGCTCGCGCGGCTTCCCAACGCATGAAGCATGAGGTCGACAAGTCACAAATGTGACGTTTCTCCGCTCTCTGAAATCTCCCGATGCTGTAGTCTGTGCGCCGGTGCTTTCGAGCGCGCAAGGGATCTTTTGTGGGTGGTTTGCTGTCATTTGTTGTTACCGAACTGCGAGCGGCGGACGAACCGATCTCTCTCGGCACCTGGTCATCCCCCGAACGGAGTACTCCGTCCTGAATGATTACTTGCGCAGGCATCATATGGCCCAGTATGGAGTCTCAGATGCACACACCGCATACAAGGGTCGTAAATGGACCGGCATGCTTGGCGAGATGAATTGATATGTGACAGGTGGTGCTGTGAGAGTGAGACAGTAAAATAATAATTGCCAGGGTGTCTCAAATCTTGACGCGGATTCATCAACTTGTGGCGGTGTGGCATCTCGATAGAGACTCTTACGGCCGGGTTCCCCGCAATTTGTGACAACCTGCGAAGTTCAAACTGCGCACTGTTGTTATTTGTCAGTATCAATGTCCGTTCCAAAATGTATTGTTTCGGAAAGGTATACGATGTCGAGTGGGCTCAGAGCGGGTAAAATAGGTCGGGTCACCAGGCCTCGACTACATGGGGAACGGAGGCTGAAAGACCCTACGTAGTAGATAACCACGATGCCTTTGCCTTGCATGCATACATGTACACTGAAATGTACGTATGCGTTGGCGATGACTGACGCGCAATCGCTGTTTGAGAAGCTGAGAAAAGGAACGTCTGGTGGATCCCATACGTTTGCGGGCACAGTCTGATTCAAGAGTGCTGCTAGTAACTCTCGTAGAGACGGACCACAGCAATCGTTCCTGGCGGACCCGTCAATGGCAGCACTTGTCCGCTCGGACCAAAAACGCTCAACAAAATGGGGATCTTACTCACCATGCTAATCAATCCTCTCGGGTTGCTGCAAGAAGTTTTGCGTCCGCATTGGTGACCGAAAGAATTCTGCCGCACGGGTCACGGGCGGAGAAAGCCGACTCGGGGACCACAGCTGCAGGGATGTAGGGTCTTGTTGCAGTTGTCCGTACGGCTGGGTTCGGACCCGAACTGGCAATGTGGTGGATGATCGCTATGAAGCTCTGTGTGGGCCACGGGAGGGACACGGGAAGGCAAATGCACACTGATTTCTCAGAAGGAATGAGGAACTCTCGTCGGCAGTTGTCTGAGCACTGTCGTGTCGTGCGACCATCTTCTTCCTGGACAGCAGCCACGGCCGCTTGCTGTTGTGACCTGGAAGATGGACAGGACAGCCTCTTGTAGAGTTATTCCCGAAGCAGCAGCAGTGGTCTTGGCTACGTAGGTGCACGGACGCCAAGGTGAAACAGGCTGCTGGCAAGTTACAGCAGATGCTCGGAAGTCCTGGCGACGGCGCATTCTTGCGCCCTCTCCCGCATGGCGCTTAGCATGGGTATCAATCTGATGACCATGTGCTCAAGTGACCGCCACGGCAAGCCCCACCTCAGCCGCAGGGACGGTATGCTCGCCGGCTGGCCGCCGGGCAAGCACAGTGCAGGCAGATGTCGCGAGGGGACGGACGGCTGTAGTAGCCTGTAGCTGTGTTGTTGGCTGGGTCGATGTGAATGGGGTGCATGACGGCGTGGGAAGATGGTGTGTTGGCCCGCGTACATGTACGGCATGCGGGAAGCGGCAGACTCGATGAGGCATTCATGCTCCCTACCTTACCTATATTAGAGCATGGTACGGAAACGTGCCCATCAGCGGTGTGATGCAGCGGGTAACCGGGTGGAGGGGCGAGAGGCTGGCTACGTACGTTGGAGGCGGACTTGTTGTTATTGCTTTGACATTAGCAGCACCAGAGGTGAAGCATGGTAAGGTAAGGTACCGTACCTACTACGTAGATGCTTCCCCAGGGTGATTGATCGGAGTTGAGGGAAGGTGCAAGCAACAACATGCTCATGCCGGGTTGATGTGCCTTCCATTGAGCGAGTTCCTGCCCTTGACTGATGGATACACCACCGCAACGCACGTGACGGGCAACTGCTGCCTGCCTCTGCCTACCCTACCTCAGAGAGAGACTGAAGCATCCCCAAGACATAAGGTTTACTAGCAAGATCTATCACAACACACCGACGGACAGGTTGACCGCGCGTTTATTAGCGAATTGCTCACACTGTGCCCATCGCTCGGGCACACAACCTTACATGTACCGCGGCTGTCTCGGCTGCCGGCCGAATCCCCACCCATAGCACGAGTCCCTGGTCTTGCTCTTATTGTTCGAAATACGTACGGCCGCAACACTTGGTGTGCCATCCAGGGGGCAGCACAACCGGTCGGGGAACTGTTTTCAGATCCAGGCGGAGGGAATGTTCAGATGGGCGGCGACAATGCAGCCAGTCAGATTGCCATCTGGACGCCGGGCAGGTGACTGACTTGCAGTGTGGGCTTGCTCCGCCAGCCAAGTGGATTGCCTGCCAGCCGACATCGTGGCCGGAGCATCCACACGTTCAGGGAAAATCTATAACCTTCCTTCCTCAACGGGAGGCAGACCATCCGTAATTACTACCGAGACACCAAACCGACTGGAGTGGGCATGCAGTCTCTCCGCTCTCTGAGTCTCTGGTGCTGACGGCTGGAAGTGCACTTGCGCAGTGACGCGCGAACAGTGTCGATCCCAGTGGAGATATGGCAGGTCTTCATTCGCGAGGGGTGTGGCGGACGACAACGTGTGCGCGCCTGAGTCGATCAACGGACCCCCCAGAGAAAGGAAATTTTCAAAAGACAAGTCACACCGACGGTCGTGGGTGTTGTCGGCCTCGCTCGTCGCCCTTCCGCAAACCTCCTGGGGTATATGGATATTGACAAAAGTCAATAAACCCGATGGCCGCTCCGTTGCTGCGGGACCCCGGTATGGACTATCTGCCGAGCAAAAAGCTTGATGAAGGTGGCAAGGAGAAGATGCTCGGCGAAATCGCTTGGCGCGCGGTCTCTGGCCTCTGCTATCGTCTGCATGCGAGCTAGCGCACATCAGGGAGGGATTGGCAAACGTCAGACTCCGGAGCCCACCCTTCCTTCTCCTGTAGGCTGTAGGACTGGCCAACTTGGCTAGCCCAACTGGGTCCGCGACTTTCCCATCCGCGTGTGTCGAGTTTCCCACCCTCTTTGCCTGGTTGCAGTGTGCCTATTTGGGTTGGACATGTCACACGATGCTGCCGTGGCCAAAGGCTTCACGTTAGAGCGGCACCAATGCAGACGCCCTAGCTCACAAAGCGCAGGTTTTGCCGCACTCCACGTACGCATCTACGTACGGTGGTTGCCACGCGAAACGACTGTGGACGGCCGTCCGAAGAAATGGATGAAGTGCGCCCCCGGCTAATATTAAGAGTGGTAGGGATTCGCCCCTGGTGGCATGCTCATAGGAGCCAGCTCCGCCCGAATCATCTTAGTGGCCAGCTCTCGTTGTATCGGATCTCGAGACTGGAGTCGTCGCTCTGCGCTCGCTGAACCGCGTGCAGGGTTCTGTCTGCCCCCATGTCAGGCGCAGTTGCTTCCGATTGCGCTTTAAGGCGTGGAGGGCCCCGGAACACGGGTGACCAGGCGCTACCACCTACTCGGAACGCGACGACTCGAGCGACTGACCTCGATGACTCTGGCGGCGCTCATGGGGATTGCTTGACGCGCTCGCTAGCATCGCACGACAACGGCCACTCTGACTTCCAATCGCCGCCGCCACCGCCGCTCGCCTCGAGCCGTCGCCCACGTTGGCACGTTGGGACCTCTCGGCGATTCCGTGGTCGCAGTCGGAAAGCCGACTTCGCATCGCAAGCTCATCGCTTAGGCGCCGCCTGTGCTGCATCAGGTAGTCGAGCCTGCATCGCGCCGGTGCGCTCGCGGGTCGATCTCAGTCGCCCTGTCTCGAAGGAGCATCGCTTGTGGGACAGACTTGGACGCGGACGCCTTTGGATTTCTATCACTTACCACAAGGACCCGGGCCAGCCTCCGTGTTACACCAGACTTGCAGCGAGAAAGGCGACCGCGGACATCGACTGGCGAGCATCTCGGCCCAGGCGTACTGCCTGTCTCGTCTACCGAGTCCGGCCGGCCAGTTTGTTCCTGTACAGCCATTTGATTCCGTGCTATGAGCCGGTCTGACGAGTACCCTATGGCTGCCCCGTCGCATTACCCGTATCCGCGCTCCCCAAACCCTTCCACCAGGTCCTTCGATTCTTCCTCGGTCTCGTCTGCAACATCACCAAGGCCCAGCTCGCAGTACCACGGAGGAATCATGGGCTCCAGCGCCAGACCAGGGGCTGGCATGCCATCACTGGGCGGTCAATCTCTGCCACCCGTCCACGCCAACCCTGGGTATCCTCCGTACAATACCTTCGGCCGTGAGCCGTTGCCGTCCGCCGAATCCGTCAGCAGCACCCCCGGACCCTCCCACACGCATCTGGGAGGGCCTTCCGGGGTAGGGTCACAGAAAAGGGCATACCGTCAACGTCGAAAGGATCCCAGTTGCGATGCTTGCCGTGAGCGCAAGGTCAAGTGCGACGCAACGGAGACAACTAGCTGTTCCGAATGCTCAAGCCGGAACGTGAAATGCCAGTTCACCAAGGAGACCAACCGGCGAATGTCTTCCATCAAGCAGGTGCAAGACCTCGAAAAACAGATGAGCCAGGTGAAGCAAGAGAACAGTACCCTGCGCCGGAAGCTGGAGCTTGAGGGCCGGGATGGGTCAGTCGACATGGAGATGGAGGTAGACGAGGGCCCACTGCAGCTACCGCTCACTGGGGCCGAACCCAAGAAGATTGACCGGCCTCATCCGATGCCTGAACTTGCCCGGGCAAGGGGCAACATGCGCAACGTCTCCAAGGGTGTGTACAAGCTTCCAGCTTTGTACAGGCCGATGGGCGGCAGCAGCTTTGATCCCTCAAGACCTGAACTACCCAACCGCCACACTGCCGAGCAGCTACTGCACTCATACTACCGCCTGGCGCATCCCATGTATCCTATACTGCACTGGCCGACTTTCCAGCTCGCAGTCGACGAACTCTACAGCGGGCAATTTGCACAGGCACCGCCCAGCGTCCTGTCTCTCTTCTTTGCTGTGCTGGCAGTCGGCAGCCTCTTCACCACCGAAGCTCCGAGCAGCAGCGCCTTCTATCGACCGGCCGACCTGCTCGAAACCTCTCGACGCCTCATTGATCCGTGGAACAACGATTTCGACCTCGATACCGCACGAACCATGGCTCTCACCACCATTTGCCTGAACGAGATGAACCTCAAGTCAGCGGCATGGGTGGCTCTGGGACAGGCCGTGCGCATCGGCCAGGATCTTGGCCTTTACGCTGAGGCAGGGTCGTGGCCGGTGATGGAGGGCGAGATGAGGCGGCGTGTGTGGTGGGTTATCTACATCCTCGATCGAATACTGGCTTCTGAGCTAGGGCACCCGACACTGATCCGCGATGAGGACTGCGACGTTGCGCTGCCCGCTGGTGTTGACGACCAGTTCATCCAGGCCAATGGGATGCAGGTGCCCCCTGGATCTCAGCCCCTCACCCATTCTTTACTGGCAGTGATACACGTGGTGAGGTGCTACTCCCCATTGCTCCAGGCCTTGGCGGCGCGGATGATCTCGCACCAGCGAACTCAGTTGTTTGAGAGCCACTTCCGGCAGTGTCTGGAATACTCTTTCCCGCAGCAATGCCATCCAAGAAGTCCTTTGCCCCTGGCCCCCCATTTCCTAGGACCTCTGGCGCACTTGTTACACGCGAGGATGCTCTTGAACCGGCACAACCTTAGCCCCCGCTGTCGCATGGACACTCGGCTCAACGCCGTCGAAGGCTGCACCATGGTGGCGTTGGACACGGTCGCCCTGATCCAACGTTCCAGCGCCGCGCTCGACGAGGGCGCCACGGCCCTGCTGGCTACTCACATCTTCAGGTGCACGCTCTTCTTGCTGCTGACGGGATACTTTGAGCAAGCCATGACGAGTATACGCGCCCTCGCGAGCATCAGCACTCGGCGCGACGTCGCTGTGCCTTGCGGACGCTACCTCTCTTTTTTCGTGTCCGTGCTTGGCTCGAAGCGAGTGGAACACGCCGATTACATTCGCAACATGCGACCCCCGCCGAGTGCGAGGTCTATCCAAGACCAGCAAGCTGTCCTTTTGCAATCGCTGGCCTCGGATGAGGAGTTGTTGTCCTATGTCTCGGCGGATTTGCAGGCCTGCATCGATCGCGCGTGGCTGTGGGCGGGCCTCGAGCATGAAGTTGCGCCCGAGCAACGTCAGCCACCCCCGAACCCTTCGACCCCGATTCCGAACAGCCTGTACAGCTCAGAAGCTCGGTCCGGCCTGACCGTGGATGAAACACGAGAATGGGGCGGCTGGGCCCGCCTCGAAAGCGCCGTGCGAACCCTCGCGACGGAAGGCACACTGGTCGTTGGACCGGCCATGCCAGGCTCGACACCACCCACCGGTGCCTGGTCGAAACTGCCTCCGCCTCAGATCAAGAGCGAGCCTCCGCAAGCAACGTCGGGCATTGATATACCCCGTCTGTCCGACGCACCACGGTACGCCACCGACGCGGCACGCACGGCGAGGGAAGGCAGTGGTACGGGCAGCCCAGCGGGCGGCGACGGGCGGCGGAGCACGAACCGCCTGAGCATTGCGAACATAATTTGAATTCCACCTGCACAGGAATTTTAGAAAATGAAGAAGCAGGGACCCTGGGGTGCCACAGTGTATCCGTGTGTGCCTGTCTCAGTCGTGGTGGTCCAGATATGGTACAGCTTCAGGCACCCATTCTTGCGCACACATGCAATGTTATCACGGGATGGTTTATTTGCTTGCTTGGCGTCTTTCTTCAACACGGGTTGGTTACGCAATGTACGAGCCACCCACAGCATATGGAGAGGGCGTCTTCTATCCATTGCATTGGGAAAAAACGCATATCATAAGCGCGGAGTTCAGGGCTTTGCCAGGAAAATGCGAAGCGAGAAGCGAGGGGAGGGGGGTTCCGGTTTAGCTTGTGTGTCCCCGCGTACATAGATTACAGCATAGCATGGGCGCACTGTTTTTGTTCGGCAGGGGCGTCTCGTTTCGGCAGAGGGGTGGTCATATGGTAATAGCAATTGCCATGCTGATTTAGAGCACGTTGCTGTACTGGTGATGTGATGCTTGATTTCGAACCGGCCCTGAGCGGCATTTGATCAAGCATTTCTCGGGGTGACCATCGAGATGGGCCTGTCCAGTGTGGCCCCGTCTCTCGGGCCAGGGGGGTCACCCTTTCTTTGCCTGCGGCTGGAGTGAGCAAGATCACAATTCAGCGTTGAACGCGGCACGCTGGTGGGGTTTTTCGTGCTGCGTATGAAGCTGTAGCTGTCGCCAATGACTCTTCGTCGCTGTGAAGTGTTGACCTGGAGAAAGCTGCTGGATCTCGAAGCGTTTGTCAATAGTCTTCACTCGTCTTGTGGACTACCAGATGGTCCTATCTTCAGAAGACGAGGCTTCATCTCAGGCGAGAACTACTGTTGGTCTGACATTGTTTACCTCGACCCCCTCTTTCTTGCAGACTCGTCAAATCGCAACTTTGCGAATCTCTCCTCCAGCATAGTCCGTAAAACCCCTCCATCGCTCATCGCGCCCGCCAGAGCCATGCCCTTCCTCGCCCAAATGCGGCAGTCCTCTTCCTCACCCCTGGCGTAATAGTCAATGGCATGGTTGAATGTCCTGGCGACCAGCCATTCCAACTCCGTCTTGGGTAATGTTTTCACCTCGGCGGCAATCTCGACGGCTTGATCTATGAGTGTGAGGGCCAACGTGTCATCTAGTGGCAGCATAGCGTGAAATAGCGTGCGGATGTACTTTGTGAGAAGACTTGCATTCATGGGCGACAGGGTGTGCAAGGAATTGATGAGAAGGCGTAACGTTGTGTACAGAACTATGGTTGTTAGCAAGTCGGTACTTGTCTGGTCTATTCAATGAAATACCTCGTGCTGGTGCTTCACTTCGGAGCAGACAGTCGCCCATCGCTTTGAGGCACGACTCATCCCGACACGACTCGGATCTGCGCAGTATGATTGGCAGTTCGTCCCAAGCTCCGAGGGCCGTTGCAGCTTCAAATTCAAAAACATACAGTGTTGAGGCTTTGGCTCGCAGGTCTGCCATGATTACGTGCTGCTGATCAGAGGCATTCTCTAGTAAACCATCAAAAGCCGCTACGTGCTTCCGAGTTTCAAGATACCGCTGTAGGCTCTCTTCGATACTGTCCTTTGTCCTTGCCAGCGAAACCAGAGCCGAAGCAAGGACAAAGTGACTCCGTAGACTCATCACATGCACGTCGTCCCTGTCTTGCTGGGGGATGTCCTCTGGGTAAGAACCACAAAACACCAGGCAGGCGGCGAAAATTCGAACCACATCGCTCAATGTCCAGGATGCACTCGTGCATGCGGCCACACCCATGTTGTAGGAATTCTTGCGGAACCAGTGTAACTCCGGCACCGTGAGGATCTTGTCTCCATGGCGATTCTTCAGTGTCAGCCGCGCTCGTTCGGCGGCTTTCATGAGGGTTAGCACAACTTTGAAGGGCGACATGACAGGCTTACCCAGTTCAAACAGAACGCAGGCATCCTCAACGAATAGATCCGGCGTCTCCTGCCCCTCCAGCTCGTCCCGGCTTCTTTTTCTCAAAGGGCTCCGTTCCGCCTTCAGCATGGTGATGAGGCGCAGACTGCATCTCACAACGGAGGTTAGACAGGACGCCGATGACTTGATAGGATCCTAGCCCTGAGCCACTGCTTTGAGTGCCGTCAGTGTGCACATCTTGTCCCCGACCTGTTGGGACTCTCTTATGCATGCGTACAGCAAATCCTGTCCGGATTGGTGCGTGGTGCCCTCGGCGAGATTCACGATACTTTGGCACGCTGCCTCGGTATCCCACGAGCGCAAGGCAGTCTTGAAGAACAAATACTGACTTAAAGGCTCGCTCTGGACTGCGGGTTCCATAGCAGAGAATGAACTCCGAGCGGCGTCCAAGTCATTCAGCTCCAAGGCGCAGAGCATGCGCTTGCGGCCAAACTTAGCCTTGTTCGAGCTGCCACAATTGGCAAAGAGGCCATGAAGAGCCACGCGACACCATGAGTTGGTAGCAGCGTATTGTTTTCGGACAAAGGCTGCCTCGATTTTTTTCCATATAAGTGATTGTGCAGCGCCGGCCACGTCCATGCTCAGGGGCTCTGCCGAGCTCGCGAGCACCACATCCAACATTGTGGCCAGCTTCTCCATGTCGCTCTCAGCGCCGTCCGTGGCCATCGTGCTCATCCACACCCTCCTGACAACCGTCTTGTCTATCCAAGCCGACTGTTTTGTCTGGAGTACTATTTGTGTAATCAACTCGTCCATCACGCCGCAAGCCAGGCTCACGCTGTTCTCACTCAATTTCTTGACATGGTGGAGTAGGAATTCGAGTGTCTGCTGCGTGAAGTCGAACGCCCGGACCATTCTTCTCAGTATGCTTGCGTACGGTGCTGGTTGAAAACCCTCCGATGGCGATTTTTGCAGAATCTCGAGTCGCCAGTGCAAGACAATGGGCTTGTCCCCGATTTCCGACTCCACGTACGCCACGAGATCGTTCGCCTCGGCTGTTGCTTCCGGGGTGTTCATGCCGAGAAGGCTTTGCACGAGGCTCTGACAGATAGCGAGCCGGCTGTCCAATCCATCCGTGCTTAAATGATCAAGTGGAGGTGTGTTGATCACGTTGTATGCTCGCCATAGCCATTTCGTTCCCATGGCGTAGTCTTTCTTGTCGGAGATATCTGCACCAATATGCCGTAGCGTGTCTGCCATGTCTTCGGCCGACGTGGCTTCCAGGTTGCCGATGAGGTCTTTGGCTTTGCCGAACATGTGCTCCGCCACGTCCAACTTCCCTTCTCGCCAGGAGAGCGCCATGTGCAAGGTGATATGACCAGCTTCCAGGCTCCTTCTCCCCGCCGTGTTGCCGCCTTGCAGGGACTTGAGCTTGTCGACGTAAAGTGCGCCTTTTTGCAAGGCGATCCTGCCACTTTCTAGATCATTTTCGGCGAGACAAATCCGTCCAAGTGTCAGAAGGAGTCCCAGCAAATATACAACTCCATCGACAGCTCCCGCCCGTCCTCGATTGGGTTCAACGCCTAGACGACCTAGCTCCAGCACATGAAAGGCAAGCAGCCGTGCCTTTGGCAATATCTTGATCGCTTTTCGCTCGCGCTTGAGCTTGATGCAGAGATTCCACAGGTCCCTGCCTTCTATCTCGAGTGATCGGGCAATGTGATGCTGCAGCGGCTTTTGGGAGAGCGATGCGATGACGTGGAGCTGGTGGCTGATGTCGGCTGTGAGGATGTCTTCGTTCCCCGCTACGCGGGGAAGCTGGGCTATGGCGTCTTTCGTGAAGTCTGGGTCCGGTCAGCGTGTGTCTACAGGAGCAAGGGCATCCGTACCGATGATAGTCTGCGCTTTGCGTTCACGGCCAAGAGCGGCGGGATCTTGAATTTGTCGGGGCATGGCTTTTTCTGCATGGGCGGTCGATGTATCGAGAAGTGCATGTGCTGTGCTACGTCGTAAATCAGGTCGGGGTGCGTCAGGCTCCTTCCAATGTCAACATCAGGGGCTCCTTCCGTCACTCCACTCAGGCTGGCACCAGCCACCGAACGCTACATCACGCGTCACAAGCCTCATAATCAAGGCATCCTATAGTGAAATAATTGAGGAAGTATCCCAAGACTTGAAAATGCAAATTGACCACCAGGAGGTCTGAGATACACACGCGCCCTCGCTATGTGGGCAAAAAAGTCTAGGACTGCCCCCTTATACCTGCGCAGGCGGATCGTGCGGTAGGAAATTCCCAACAATGAGCGCCGGTCTGCTTCGTTAGCCGTCTGTCTGTCTTTTGAGGCGCGCTTCAGATACTCACAACTTGTGCTCATCCCTCTTGATCGTGAAAGAGAAGCAGCATTTCACCACGGGGTGATTCGAGCCGTCATCCGGACTCTTCAACGAGCACGCCGTAAGCAGCGTCTCGTGCGCGGGGTCAAATGCAATTGTGCCAAACTCCTCCCAATAACGCACCATGCTCTCTTCCGTCAAAATCTCATGCAACGCAATTTTGCCCTGTCCACGGTCAGTCAGATGCCAGTATCCGGGAGCTCCACCCACGCACATCTCGTAATTTATCCACCGGCACGTGGATCAGCTCGGCCATCTCCTTGTTCCCGCGAAAGATCTCGCCCGTGCGTCGCCAGCAACACGCGGGCACGGCCATGCTCGCAAACACACGGTCATAGTCCATCAGCTGCCGCTCGAACCACATCTCGACATAGACCAGCTGCATGTCCGTCAATCCCTGCGCCTTCTCGCGGAACTTTGGTCGGAACTGTGTCATGGTGCGCAGAATCTTTTGTTTGGAGGAGGGCGCAATGTGCCCGTCGAGGTATTTGCCCAGCCGCGCGTACCCATTGATGTAGTTGAACGGCTTCAACAGGCCAGCGTCGTACTTGGCGCGGAGCACGCGGCCCATGCGTTCCTCGGGGTTGTCGTTTCCTGACGGATCGGCGGCCTGCAGATAATACTCGCGCGTCTTGTCCTTATCGCCCAGCAGCGCGCTCGCTGGCTTATTGGCCGTGTTCCCATCCACCGTCGGGGGCGGCAGCATGGCGCCCGTGGGGGTCTTGCCTGCGGCCTGCATCGCGCTGTCTGTCAGGAACTGAGGCAGCATGTCCTGGTTGGGCACTTGTCGAAACGCCTGCTGTGCCTCGTCAGGCGGTATGCCATTGTCGTCGAGCAGACTCGTGTGTAGGAAATCATTGAGGAGGTTGAATTCGTGCGTGACCTCGGGCGTGATCATGTAATTCGGATTGAAGCTGTTCATGCCCTCAAAGTTCTGGGCCGTCATCCATGCATCGGAGAAACCTGCAACTATCTCAGCTGTCAGCCCAGGACCTCAAGTTGGTGGTTCGGTTCCTGGGTTGGATCGTCCTGGACGCTGTTCTCGGATCTCGGAGTAGGAGTCAAAGAGACCAAAAAGTCAAGCAAGGATGGGGATGTTTCTTGGCGGGGAGGCTGGGGCATTTCTGTCCATGGGTTCGTCAACGTACATTGATTGGAGTTGCTTCCGCTGCCCTCGTCCCTTCCCTGTAATCCAGTAGCCTGTTGCTGTTGCACAATAGGGAGCGATGCCGGCAACGCCCCTCCCGCGAATCCACCGCTCGACGTCCTTGGCCGGCCAGTGTCGTACGTCGTGGGTGGCGGGCCCATGTTGCTCGAGATACTGCTCCTCCCCATCTCGGACGGCGTATCCATCACGTTGTCATCGGGGTGTGGAGGCGGCGGCGGCAGAGGGTGGCGCGACTGGGACGTCGAGGCGGCCTTTGGCTTCTTGGTCTCGCTTTCTCGGGGCTCGTCATGGCAGAGGTGGCCAATGTTTCGTTTGATGCAACGTGTGCACGGGCGTTCCTTAAAGTGAATGTTAGACTGAATCGCGCTCGCAAAAGCTTGCTGGGTCGGAGCGCTTGACGTACAAGATCACAGGTCATGTGCTGTATCCTCAGTCAACGCAGTCCAATTCAGTTAGCTGGCGCCACTTACGGATCTGCGACAATACACGCAGGCTTTTGGGAGACTCTGGTCAGTGTTTTGTTCCTTCCCTTGCGCAACTTTCGCTCTGTAAGCGTGACCGGCCACGTACCATGGTTCACTTTGCGCCTCTTCTTAGGAGACTTGCCATCCTCCCGTCCATTCTCCCTCTTGGAATCCACACCGGGCTTGGGCACGCCATTCTTCGGTCCTGGTTTGCGATCGGCCATTGCGTCCGCATGGATTGTTCGTTGCGGTGGGTGGGGTGGGCGTAAGTAGGCAAGCAACAGCGCCAATGGATTCGTAGGGGATCCCTGGTCCTCGGGTTACGCGAGCGCAGGGTGGCCGCTGCGTTCGGGGACACGAGTGACCGGTGCACTCGATTGCCTGGTCTCGACGCGAAATGAAGAGCAATAATTCGACAATACCGATGCAGGTGTAGGATGGAAATGGCGGCGGGGGATCCCGTTTGGCGCGGACGACAGCCGTGGATGTTTAGAGTGGAGACGGTCGTTCCTACCTTTCCATGCGCCGAGGACCGGATCCGGTTCGTCCGTGTCGCGTCGCGCGCTGCCTACCCGGGAGCAAATGAGTACGTCCTCGGGATCAAGTTCATGCAATCACAAGCCGAACACTCCAGTCGTGAAGCGGTTCATCTCCGTCACTGCATATCTGCCTCTTCCTGCTGCTGGCAGCCAATGTATGTCTCAGCTGCCATTGTCGCTGTGCCTCGGCTACCTGCGGGATGATCACGCGCGCAATCACGAACCAAGCAGCCATTGGTTATCTTCCATTCCACAAACGACAGGAAATATCTGCATGATGTTAAATCACCCTGTACCCTGTTCGATGAACGCCTAGCAAAGTCTTTGAGAGTTGTACGTCATCTGCATAAGATATCTCAACATCGCTATATCGCCACGAAGAAGCTCTTCTCCCCCTCCTTGGCCTGTACCCTCGCCTTCCGCATAATCTTGTCCTCACACGCAAGCCGGATCCTCTCGTTCGTCGCCGGACTCTCCAACTTCAGCAGTCCCTCATCGTTCGAGCCCCCTTCGACTGCAGGTTTGCAAAACACGCCTTCATCTCGTCGCGCGCTACGGATCGCATCTCGGATGGCAAAGAATACCACGCTCCCCATGAACAAGGGCGGCTCGCCCACACCGCGGCTGCGCTGGATAGTCCGCAGGTTTTCCCATGTCACGTCCTTGAGGAGACTGACGTTCCACTGCTGCGGAATGTCCCTGAACCCGGGGATCTTGTAGTTGCCAGGTCCCCTTGTCGCCAGCTGCCCCGTGGCCCGGAGCCAGAGACTCTCCTCCATCGTGAAGAGTCCCAAACCCTGGATAAAAGCGCCCTGAATCTGCCCGTAGTCAATGCTCGGGTTGATCGACTGGCCCACGTCCATCTTGACATCGGCGCGGAGACACGTCCAGCTACCCGTCAGGAGATCGACCTCGACCTCGGCAGCCGACACGCCCTGCGTGAAGTAGAAGAACATCTTGCCCTTGTTCTCGCCCCAGGTGTACCCAATCTCGGGGGTCTTGTAGAAGCCCTGCGCGCTGAGGTTGACGCGGTCAAAGTACGCCGCGTGCGCGAGCTCTTTCATCGTGGCCTCGGGACCCAGTTTCTCGCGGTAGGGCGCCAGGCGTTTGTTGAGCTGCTCGCACGCATTGTAGATGGCGAATCCGTTCAGGTCCGACGACGCGCTCGCGGCCGTGGACGAGGCGTTGGCGACGGTGTTGGTGGCTGTCTCGGAGATGTAGACGTTGTCCAGCGGCACTCCAAGTGCTTGCGCGGCGATCTGGGTCATCTTCGTGTGTAGACCTTGGCCCATTTCGACACCGCCGTGGGCGACGAGGATCGACCCGTCATGGTAGATGTGCACCAGAGCGCCGGCTTGGTTCAGGAAGAGCGCTGTAAAGGAGATACCGAACTTTGTAGGAATAATGGCCAATCCCCGCCTGCGCCACTTGTTTCCCCTGTTGAACGCTTCAATCTCCTTCTGGCGTTTCTCGTACTCGGACTCCGTCTTCACCTGCTCGTACATGAGCGGCACATGCCAATCCTCCAGCGCCTGGTTGAAATGAGTCTTCTCGCCCGGTTGGTAGAAGTTGACCTCTCGGAGATTCTCGACGGGCATCCCCAGGCGATCAGCAGTTTCCTCCATGTACGTCTCGGCGATGAACATGCCTTGCGGGCCGCCGAAGCCTCGGAACGCCGTGTTGGACATGGTGTTTGTCTTGCAGATCCGCCCCCTGACGAAAACATTCGGAATATTGTAGCAGCCATCGACGTGGGTCATGGATCTCTCCACCACCGCGGGCGACAGGTCGTAGCTCCAGCCTGCGTTGTTGAATATATCCACATCAAGCGCCTGGATCTTACCGTCCTTGTTGACACCAATCTTGTACCGGCCCAGGAAGGGATGACGCTGTCCGGACATGATCATGTCCTCCTCGCGCGTGAGCATGCAGCGCACAGGGCGTCCCGTCTTCTTGGCTGCCAGCGCCAACGCAGAGCTCAGCGGCACACTCCTCGTCTCCTTGCCACCAAAGCCACCACCCAGTCGCTTGACACGCACGTTGATCTTGTTCGCCTGCACGTCGCAGACACGCGAAGCAAAGGCCTGCGTCTCGTTGGCGTTCTGCGTGCTGCAGAAGATCTCCATCTCGCCATCTTCCGGCTTGGGCACCACGACACAGGCATTTGTCTCGAGGTAGAAATGCTCTTGACCGCCCATTCGCGCCGTGCCAGTAAACACGTAGTCGCAGTCCTTGAACGCCTGCTCCACATCGCCCTTTTTGATCTCCCTGTAAAGATCATGGTATGAGTCCTGCTGAATGGCCTCTTCAATGGTCATGACGGCAGGTCGATCCTCATACACCACCTTGACAGCCCTAGCCGCCAATTGTGCAACCACAGAGGACGTGGCCAGAATCATCGCAATCGCCTGGCCATGCGAAAACACCTCGCCCTCGGCAAAAAAGAGTTCATCGAAATACGGTGCACCGAACCGGTTGGCTGCTGCATTCGGCATGTCACTGGCGTCCACGTAGTCGACGACGCCGGGGATATCCAGGGCAGGGGAGTAGTCGATGCTCACAATCTTGGCATGCGGCTTTTGCGAAAAGACATAGGCGGCGTGGAGTTCGTTCTTGAGAGAGGGAATGTCGTCCGTATACTGCGCCTCGCCCGTGGTCTGCTTGAGCGCGGCGACGTGCGGATTGCCCTTGCCGGTGACCTCTTGCTCGTACTGAACGGCAGCATGCTCATCGATAGTGCCCCTGGAGAGCTCACGCTCCACTTCAGAGATGACTTGCGTGTCGACGCCCTTGCCTTCCGCATCAATCTTGGAAAGCACATCGTGGTAGAAGCGGTAGAAGAAGCCCATGGCCAACGCCTTGCGGTACGAAGCCATGCCACCAGGTACGCCAAAGGGCATGTCAAAGTCCTTGCCCATCTCCGTCATGGCGCCTTCGAGAGTCTCCAACTCGGCAAACCTCTTGCCGACGAGGTACTCCATTGTTTTCTTGGCCGAAGTCGTCAAGGCCGCCATGCCACCGTAGATCAAGTTGGTCTCGGTGACGATGCCCTCGTCGTCCATCTTGACCCTGAGCGCGGCCGTCACAATGGCGATATCGTCATCCTTCCTCTTTGCCTGCTTGTACGCCCTGAAGTACTCGCCCTTTTCCGCCGTCACGGGGATCCGGATCGAGGCAATGATAGCGTCCGCGGCAAGCGCTGTCTTGCGATAGCCTGTGAAGAAGCTCGCCATGCGGATCTCTGTCTCTTGCTCGAGGGATTTGGCCACCAGTACCGCGTTGGCGCCCCAGAAGACGGGGTTCAGATCCGAGATGGGTGAGGCCGTGGCCAGGTTGCCCGCCGGCGTGCCGACATTGCGAATTTGTCGCCCAGCGAAGAACTTGAGTTGCTTCAGCATACCTTCAAACACTTGTCCTCTTTGCTTCCCGTAGTGCTCAATCGCCTTTTCGCACAGATGCTCCAGATCTGTCAAGACGACGTTACCGCCGATCTCAATGTGGTCCTCGTGGAAGGCATACTGCCTGAGCTCAGGAATGTCCCCGACAAAGACAGAGACGGGATACTGCAGCGCCTTGAACTTGATCTCAATCTGGGTCTCTGTGCTCCCGCCAATAATCTTCGCGTTTGGATGGACACTCTTGATCTGGAGGAGCTGCTCCAGCGTGACCGGTCGATACCACCTTCTCCGCTTGTTGCCGAAAGCGAGCGGCTGCATCTTGTGCTTCTTCAAGGCAGGGGGGAAGATGAGTTCCGTGTCGGGCTTGTACTCGATGAAGCCGGGTGGCGTGAACCGCTTGATCTTGTCTGCCCCCTTTTCGCCATCGCCATTCTTCTGATCCATGCAGCAACCACCGCCAGCAGCGCCATTCTTGCCGTCCATGCAGCAGCCTCCTCCATTGGCCTTCACCTTGGCGCACCCCCTATCCACGGAGAATGTCTGCGCCGCGTCAAGAATGGGTCGGTACCCTGTACACCGACAAAGATTGCCGTCAAAGGCCTCCTCAATCTCCTGATCATCCGGTGCGTCGTTGTTCCTGAGCAGTGCATACAGGCTCATGACGATGCCCGGGGTGCAGAATCCACACTGACTCCCATGGCTCTTGGCCACGCGTTCCTGCGCAGCGTGGGGCCGTTTCGTGCTGCCGATGCCCTCGATGGTGATGACATGCTTCCCGTCGAGGGAGATGAGTGGCGCGAGGCATGCATTCACGCTGGCATGGTAGATCTTCTTGGTGGTGGGGTTGTACTGCGAGACGACAATAGTACAGGCGCCGCAACCACCCTCTCCACAGCCAAGCTTGGTTCCTGTTAGGCCGATGCCACGGAGATACTCGAGGACTGTGGCCTCGGGATCGATGTTCCCAAGGACGGTGCGGGTGCCGTTGAGGTAGAAGGTGATTGTGTCGTCAAAGGAGGCTGTGAGGGCAGCGAGGGCAGCTGTCGAGCCATCCCGCTCGGGAGAGACTGCTATGGGTGCCATGCTGGCTGGAGGAGTTGCAGTATACCAAGCGCACGATGATGGTTGTGACTGGTGTCACCAAGCAAACGCCCAGCTGTTGCTCTGTACCAGTCTGACTCACCACATGTGACTTGCGTAGGGTTTGAAAGACACTTTCTCGTACGCTACGCGGCTTGACTTGATGGCAAAAGTTGCCTGCTCTCAGCAGGATGAAAGAACGTGATGGGATTAGAGAGTTCATAAGTCGTGGCGAAATGGTGATGGTCAAAGGTTCGTCGAGATAAGGGTGTGCGTGTCAATCCTGACGAGTGCGGGTGCGAATCAGCCCCTCCATCCCGGCGCTGTGTGAGATAAGGACCCCCCACTAACCCTGGCACCCCGCATCCACGGCCGGCTCCGCCATCACATCTCAGATCCCCCATCGGAGCTCACCACCTCCACTCTGATGCGCTCCGGTGACTGTTCTTTCTTCACGAGGGATTGCAAGTAGACCTTGTAGTATTCAGGGCATTATCCCATTGATGCGCAGCCTCACAACACACCCAATTTATCTCTCATCTTCTACCACCCCCACCCCCACCTCCACACCTAACTTAGTCTACTGCATGTACTTCTTTAGGCCCCTCAGCCTCTCCTTCGCATCCTCGAGCACCTGGTCTTCCTTGCACACAGCGAACCGGATATAATCCTCAGCCAGGTGCTGATTCTCCTCCGTGTAAAATTCGGTCGGCGGGATGGCCGCCACGCCCACCTCCTGGATGAGGAACCACGCCAACTTGAAGTCACGCGGTCGACTCGCCACATGCTCAGGGAACGGGTAGTCGGCCGGAATCTTCACCTTGGCCATGTTCACCAGCACAAAGTAGCCGCCCTCCGGCTCCGAGTACGGTAGCCCGAGCTCAGGCCAGACCTGGTTGAACCGGTCCATCTTGTTCTTCATCTCGGTGATCGTGTCACGCCAGAACCCTTGCTCCTCCGCCTGCTCGAACCCCGCGGCGCACGCCTCCTGGAGCGGCGACACCGACGTGAAGCAGATGCGCGTGTGCGCGGCTGAGACGTGTTGCAGAAGATGCGGCTGCCCGATCAGCCACCCCACCCGCCATCCGGTAGCGTAAAAGTTCTTGCCCGCTGACCCGACTGTAAGCGTCAACCGCTCAATCTCAGGGCTGAGTGTCGCCATGCGCGTAAAAGGCACGTAGAAGAGGCGGTCGTAGACCTCGTCCGAGAGTATGATGATCTGGTGCTTGACGCACAGGTCACCAATCCTCTGCAGCTCGTCCTTGGAGAAGACCTTGCCGACGGGGTTGTGGGGTGTGTTGAGGACAATCATCTTGGTCTTGGGCGTGATTGTCCTTTCCAGCTGGTCAAAGTCCACGGTCCACTCGGCGGCCGACGTCGTCTCCGTGGCGCCCGTCTCAGGTGGCTGCAAGGGCACGTAGCGCACCTTGCCGCCGGGCATCTCAATGTTGGAGATGTACTGGTCGAAGAAGGGCTCGAACACAATGACCTCGTCCCCCTGCTCGATAAAGGCCATAAAGGCCGAGAGCATGCCCTCGTTGGCACCCGTGGTGATGGTGACCTCTGTGTCTGGGTTCAGCTCACGGCCCCAGAACGGCGAGTAGGCATCCGCCAGGGCCTTCTTGAGACGCGGACGACCCTTGGTGGGCGAGTACTGGTTGCATTCGACCCTGTCGAGAGCCTCCTTGGCCGCGTTGAGGATGAACTTGGGCGGGTTGTAGCCGAAGAAGCCCTGACCGAGGTTGATGATGGGCTGGTTGGGCGAGTTGGCCGCTGCCTCGTTGATGATGGACCATACATCTTGTCGCTGGCCCGAGACGCGACCCGCAGGCTTCAGTTTGCTGCTCGCCATTCTGGCAGAGGTACAGAAGCCACGCAGGAGAGAAGGTTGAGTCGTGAGGTTGGCGGAGCGGAACAGAAACGACGTGGCGAGCCGCGACATGAAAACGCGCTTGTGTGACGGCACGGCTGTTCAAGTTATCGTCCGCGTGAGAACAAAGGAGATGCAGGTAGTCCCTCTGCTAGCCGAAGGCAAGGTACATACAATCCCACTCAACAGATCACTCCAGCCTCCAGACTGCGATGTCGCTCCGATTCTTGCGGGAAGGAGGTTGATCTGGATTAGTCATGATCTTCCTTGTGGGCTTCGCAGCAACGCCAAGCCTGTTCTGGCGATGGCGTCACTTGTACCATTTTGTGCGAATCCCGTGATCTTCCACACAGAGCAAGCCGAAGCCTGCATGTGTCCAGTCTGTCAGAACGTACAGTCTGATCGGAGACGGCGTACGCAATGCATTGAGGCCCGTGGAAAGCAATGCTCCGGCACGAGGTGCAGAGCTTCGAGGGCCGAGGCCGCTCACCAGAATGCGACCTGCTGGAACCCCTCAGGAGGGGTGATGTTCAGGGTCTTCCCCTCCCATTTGTCAAGCTGCCCCTCCATGGTCTGCCTCACATCAATCGCTCTGAAGCGCTCCGTCGTCTCCAGCTCCAGCATCTTCTGGATGACCTTGACCAGTGGATTCCCTTTGTTAAGCTCCCGCAGGCTGAGGGCATGCGTGCCACATTGTGCTGGGTAATCGTCGTAGTCCACCTTCACGTCTTTCCGCCTAGGGCCATGAACGTTGTACATGACCTTGGGTGACATGTCGATCATGGCGAGCGCCGAGATCCCCAGAGCCCAGACGTCGTCGCTTGGACCGCACTGCGCTCTCCTTTGAACAATTTGCGGAGAGTGGAACAGCTTCGTTCCGAGGAGCTTTCCCTTGTACGAGCTGGGCTGAATGTCCGCACAGTCGCCGAGCACCACGTTGAAGGGCTTGACACAGCGGATGAAGATGTTCTTGGGCTTGACGTCCGTGTGGAAGAGCGATTTAAGATGTAGGTATTCGAGGGACGAGCTCACCTGGTGCAGCGAGCGAACAGTGTCCTCGGGCTTCATACCCCCAACAGTGTGGTGATGAATGAACTCGTCCAAGTTTCCACCATTGCAGAACTCCGTCAGCAACATCGCCTTGTCAGGGCCGCTCTCGTCTTCGAAAAATCCCCTGTATTGTAACAGATGGTCCTGATCTATCGTCAGCTCCAAAACGATCGCTAGCGATACGGTTTCCGATGTTCATCAAACTCACATGGGATTGCCTCCCAAGGACCTGGCCCTCGTGTTTCAACTTCTGGAGCATCTCGGCCGCGACTTTAGGGTCGCGCGTCTGTTGCACCGTCTTGCCACAAAGGATGATCCCGTCCCGCATCCTGTACACTTTGTACGCGACAGCCCAACCGCCGGCGCCAATTTCTCGGCCGCGGAGAAAAACCACCCTGCCAGAGCTCTCGTATCTGGTCAGCCGCGCGGGCCCTTCGTCCGCTAGGGGACACCACGTCTGCGGAAAGCGCTGTTTGGGATTCACCTGGCGCTCAGCATACGCCCATGCATCCTTAACGCCTTCCACAGTGCTTCCATCAGATCGTATTATCTGTTGTCGAGAAGTGTCGTTGGTGGATGAACTGCCGTCCTTGTCCTCTCCTGGACCGCCCGCGCCAGCCTTGTGCACAGACGTCCTCCACCTCTCAATCTCGGCGCGCTTATCGCCAGAGATCGAGGATGGGTTCATTATGCACGGGCCCCAGGGGGCCATGGGATCCTGTCGGCGATTTGCGTCTTGCTGTTTCTTTTCGATTTCAAATGGTAGCTGTTCATTCCATGGAACCCACTCGTCGAGGTTTTGCCAAGCATCGGGCTGGGCTGTTGGCCGGCCACGAGAGCCCCTGGGTCTCATGGCAGCCGAGGGCCAGCGTGGGATCCAAAGAGAAGTAAAAGGCTTCACTTGCTAATTGTTCCGGTTGAGTAGTCCAGAGCATCGGCCTGGATGCTTTCGTGATTGTGAATCGGCAATTTCGGGTAGAATATTTCTGGATGAGTTTGTTTTTGGAGGAAGGTGCGTAAGATGGGTCGAGACGAATGTCAAAATGCTGAGCCACACCCTGATGGTTCACACGCAGCTTGGTGAAGCTCACCTCTTCTTATCTGGCAAAGTGAAGTCAGGATGAAAGTTGCCGCGAACGAGGTTAAACTTTAGCCCATACACATTACCAACTACCGCGAACGACAGGAACACCGCCAGCTAGTCATAGTAGGTATACGGACACTCGTATCGTAGAAAAACTTCTACCTTGTGGGCAAGCAAGAACATTGCAAACGCCCATATCGAATCCCAACAACTATGTGTGTTGTGGGTGACGGACTGGTGGACACATAATATTATGAGTACACGATTAAAAAGAAATCATCCACCTTTAGTAAAATACATCGCTCCCAACGCCTTTCAAACCATGGATGCCCTCTTGATCCATACAATGCCTGGTATCTTTCGCCCCGTGTCCATGCATGCCCCTCTCCCAGGTTCGTAACGCCATCGACATTGCCATAGTGCAGTTACAGCTTTGCTGCCAGGCAACGCAAGTTTGCCATCATTCGTTCCATGAATTCCATAGATTCACTCCCCGGGACGTCAGCAAACTGTTGCGTCTCTCCATTGTGAAATTCGGACTGCGATCCCGTTGACGCGGTCGATGCACGAACCGCTGCTTGATGAGGTGTCATGCTCGGGAATTTGGGGAACGGCACTGGCGTGGTGGAGATTCTATTCCCACCAGCAGCAGGTGATTGAGAGGGCGCGGTCGTCTGCGTTGGGGGAATGGCCGCTATCGACTGAGCAGACGTTGCCGACGTTGCCGACGTGGGCGACCCAGGCTGAGATGAGCTTATGGCAGCCAGGAATTTCGCAGGCAGTGGCACGTGCGATTGCTTGGGCGCCGTTCCGTGCGTAGTCGTCCGAGTTGCAAGCGTCGGCGTCGGTGCCTCCACGGGTGTTGTTGAGCCAGATCCCCATTGCGACTTGTGTTTTGTAGGCGCTAAGGGCTTGGCAGCGGCAGCGGGCGCCGCCGACGGTTCTGACTTGGATTCAGGCACAATAACAGCCTGGCGGTGCGGCACCTCAGTGTCGGCCATCAGAGGCATGGGCGGCGGAGACGCGATATTGGGCGTGGGGGGCGGCAGCTTCTTCGTATACGAGGGCTTCCTCGCCACTTTGGCTGCCACAGGTCGTTTCGAAGTTGTTACGCCGGCAGGAGGTTGTGAAGGACCAGCTACATTCGTCGGCTGTGTAGGCCTGGCTGCCATAGTCGGCGGCGATGCAGATGTCATGCTGGAGCGTCTCAATAGCTCCTGAGGATTAGCCATGAGATGGGCTCTCAGGTCACCCTCGAAACCGTTCGTAAATCCGCCCCAGGGTGCATATGGAGTACGGTACTTAGACAAGTCCCTAGCACGTTAGTTGACGATCAGACGTGTGCACGATCAGCGTACCTGTTGTAGTGAGTCTGGAAGAATGGCCACTTTTCATATGTCATGGGATGCAAAGACCACTGTCTCTTCCTTTGGGAAGACTGCGGTCTCTGCTGGATTGGTTTAGCGGCAACAGGAGGGGATGTCGGAGTGGCGGCAGGGGCCTGCGCTGTTTTGGGCACAGCGGACGTGGATGAAGGTGTCGACATGGTCCTTTGCGGCGGTAGTGCCGCGGGACTATGTGATGGAGCCGGTGGTGAAAAGGCGGCTGGTTGGTGTGCAGCAGGAGACCCTGACATTGAAGGCGGCGAGACCGAGCTTGTTGGGCGCGGCACAGAGCTCTGTGAGTAGTCTTGAGGAGGATGCTGGGGGTATTGCGGCGTCTGCTGGTAGCTGTTCTGTTGCGACGGCTGCCCCCAAGATGGCGATGAGTGTTGTTGGGCGGCAGGTGCTTGATACGGCTGCTTGGGATTATGATAGTTCATGGGTGTCCTGTGCGGCTTGACCTCGAGCTGCTGCTGGGAATACGCAGGTGTTTGAGTGTAAGCCTGATTCCCCTGCTGTCCCGACTGAGAACCCGGTGGCAAGTAATAGTTGTACGAGTTGTTGATCGGACGAGAAGCATGGGGCTGAGTGCTGGGCGCGAACTGCTGCGCAGTGTAAGTAGGAGCTTGCGGCGCTGGATAGCCGTACGACATTTGCGTTTTAGGCTTGTATTGGTAAGGCTTTGGCTCCTTCTTCGCTGCAGCTTGTGGTGTGTTGTGTGTCGTTGACATGCCTGGCGCGTAGATGAAGCCCGGGTTGGTATTGTATGATTGCCTCCGCACGGTTGGATTTGGCACTGCCTTGACAGGCTTGGGCGGCTTAGGCAGAGTGTCCAAGAAGTTGGCCTTGGCGTTGTGGCACTGTCTCCTAGGATCCTCAGTGTACTGCGCTTTGGTATCCGTCGAGCCTTTGCCGATAAAGTACCAGAGCTGGTTGTCCTTGGAGAGGTCAACCTTGACCTGCTCGGGATTGCGATCAAGCACGTGGTGATTGAACTCGGCCCAGGCATAACCTGGTGCGAAAACGTCATCCTTCCTTGGCCTCTCGTCCTCGGAGCGTTTGGCGTTCAGCTTATCCTTGGCCTTTTGCGACGGTGGCAAGGGGAGGGCGTTGGGTGAGGCCTTGGGCAAGTGGTAGTCAGCTGGATCGGCGACTGCGAGCCACTTCCATTCGATTTCAAGACGGTCGCCGGAGGGCAAAATGTCCACGAGAAGCATCTGTTCATCAGCACGGTTCTCCACAACGATGCCAGCAAACACCTCGCCCCGGAAGTATTGGAGCTGGCAGACGTCGCCCTTATTGAGCTTCGCTGCATGCTCCCGAATACGTTCATCGTTCTCAAGTGCCTCGCCATCGCGCTTCTTGTCGCGCTTCGTGCGATGGAAACGGCAGCTGAATTCGAATGCCTGCTCCTTGTACTCGACGCCATCGTCGCCGAACACTGGAACATCCTCTTCCTCGATGAAGACACCGGCCGCGGCAGCACATGTCGGGTGATACGCTCTCGCACATTTCTTCTGTGAGCATTGAAAGCACGCGCCTCTCTTGGAGCGACAATACAGACACTTGAGCTCAGTCCTGTCCTTGTGGATGCCACTCACGTTAGACACAATCTCATGGTCGTCCACTGTGTCAATGTACGTCTCAGGCAGATACAGCGCACAGACGCGATGCGCTTTGCGACCGTCGTCAGTCGGTAAGAGTTCCATGGCAGAGATGTCATTCGGACACAAACAGCAAGGAGGCTCAGCCTGCCTCTTCAGCCGCAGTTTGATCTTCTTGACCTTCGGCTCACCAGCCTTCTCACCGGCCTGTCGCTTTCGCTTCCTGGTCGCGACCTTGATCTTAACTTGGCCGTGCGGCGAGTGAATCCCTGTATCGTCTTCCTCTTCGTCCTCTTCGTCGTCCTCGTCTTCGTCGGTCTCTTCGTAGTCTGTCTCTTCGCCACGAAGCTTGCGCTCAATCTCGTAAACATTGATCCAGACACTGTCTTGTGCTTGCGCGCATTCACATCGCTTCGCAATCTTGCCCATCTCCAGCCAAGGTTCAAGCGCAAAGTTGACAGCCTCGGCGCAGTTATATCCTAGATTGTATCCCGAGTGGTATCCGTAGGGGAAAGTGACCACGAATTCTCCTGGATACGATACAACTTTGTTGACCTTGATGTTGTAGTTTTGGAGCAAGTGTTGAGGCGAGATGAGGAAGCCCTTGTGGCGCAAGAACTGGTTGCAGGCCTTCGCATCGGCGGGCCAAATGCTCTTCATGGCATTCTCAAAGCGGCGAGCGTCCGCCTGGGAAATGCTGTACCATTGCTTTGGCGCACCAAAGTGTACGTAATTGATGCTGTACAGATCCACGTCCTCCAAATGCCACGCGAACGTCGCCTTCCACATGCCGAAGTAAAGATACGCTGTGTTGACACCAGGAATCTTCGTGCCTAGGACATCCAGCAAGTTGGGCAATTTGTTGAGGTTCCATGCTTCCGTGCGGTCGTCAAAGAGGGTGCCCATCATGTCGGCACCATACAGAGGAGGCGCGTATGTCAAGGTTTTCCAATATGCTCGCTCCAGTTCTTCGCAGCGCTCGGGCGTGTAATCGGAAATGTCCATCTTGTAGTCAAAGTCCTTAAACGCTGCCTCATCAATCATGGCCGACCCTTCGCGCTTCTGGTATTTGCGACGAGCTGACACGGATTGCGTCTTGGCCTTTCCTCCCCGCGTTGCAAATCCCATTTCTGGCTGGTCATGTTCGATCGTCTCCATAGATTCGTCCTCTTCAGCTTTGGGAGATACCGGCGTCATAGGTCGATCCTCTTGAGCCCTGGCGCTTCTCCCACCCCTGCCTCCTGCTCTGCCGCCTCGCTTCGGTTTTCGACCGCGCTTTTTGGGTCGGGGCGGCTCTTGCGGTTTCGGCACAGGAGCAGCGGCTGCTGACCTTCGGGGCTTCGGCTTGTCGGCGTTGGCTCGTCGCTCGCCACGGCGGGCTGGCGGCTGGTGTTCGCTCTGTTCGCATAGCTTCTTCCATCCGGGTACATTATACGAACGGCCGTGAAGTATGTTGACTTGGCGATATGTGCCGTTGGAGCCCATGATGTCTTGCTTGATGGGTTCGCGAACTCGAAGCGTCTTGACCATTTCGTCGAGGGGTGGTTGTTCGTCGAGCCATTCCTTGGGCGGGACGATTTTTATGATACCAGACTTCATACCGTAGCTATTCACCTTGGCCATGAACTTGTCAAAGTCTTTGAACTGGTGCATCGTCGGCTTGAAGATGGCAACGTTGCCCGACCAGTCGGCCGGCAAGACCTCGCCAATGTCGTCTTCCACGGGCGCATCGCTTTCGGCTGGAGGCTCGTGAACGGGAGGAAACTCGGTCGTCGAGAATTGCGGTGCTTGACTCGGCGCAGTCAGTGGCGGCCCAGGGAGGACGGGCTCCTCGTCTAAGTCGCTGAGTTCCGAGTCGCTGCCCTCCGATTTGGCCGCATTGTTGCTATCAGGCGGCGAGTGCAAAAAGGCCGGCGAGGCGCCCTGCTCTGCTTTTCCTGCGCTTTGAGCGGCGGCGGCAGCAGCAGACAGAACGCCGAGGGCTTCGGTCGACATGGCGGGATCGGTTTCGTCGCTACATGCGACCGACGGGAGGGGTGGGTGCGTGCCAGATGGCAGCAGCGTCGATAATTGTCGGTGTTGCTACTTTGGATCGCGGTGTGGTGCTTCAACTGGATAGAAAAATCAATCGGTCGACAATGAAATTAGCACCGTGACTGCGGATCGCTCGACTTGGTCGTGGAGTTTGGGGGAGCCAGCAGGTTGAGTGAGAGATCAGACTGCAGCGAGCGGGAGTCACCTCCATCAGTCAGTCAGTGCATGCTGGGAATGTGCAGGTGCAGGCAGCGAGGGCGCCTTACCTCGGCTCCGCTTGATGTGATTGGTCGCTGAAGGGGGCTACCCCTTTGGGCAAGCGTAATGGAGCAAAAGCTTGCGCAGGGGAAAGACAGCGTGACGGTCATGATCGATGACGACCGCTCGCCGAAGCAGGGCTGATGCTGAGATATTCTCTGCAGTTCACGCATAAGTCGTAATCTACGTACTTGCCCACAGAAGGCACTCTTATCCACGCAATCGTTTTCGTGCGCCGTTGCCCCAAAATCATTGCGGGGGCAAGTGCAGATATTTCAGGGTCACAGATAAAATGCTCGTAGCTAAAAGTATGCCTCAGGCTGCAGGCCGGCCTCTGCTGCTTGCGGCTGATGATTGATAAGATCTGATAACGCCCCCTGGAGGATCTCCAAGCGCAAAGCCCCTGCTTTCAAGTTCTCAAGAAAATGGACCGGGTAAACTTGAGACTGGTAGATAAGCTTGAGCAAAAACTGCACTCGGCCTATGTACATTTGATAACGCTTCTTTGGATCGCTCAGGCTCGAATGAACCAGGCAATGCCCAGACAGACCTTATTCTAACCAAATGTCTCGCACCTCTCGTCCTGGAAAAAAGACTATCTCGCTTGCCCTTGGCGTCTGGAAGGACGCTGCGGCCGGCCATCGTACCACTCATCCTCATCCGACATGTCTCCACCTGCATGTCGAGACTGCGTCCTCAGTTTGAAGCGCCCAATCTGCTCGCGCTCCCCTTCGGCGTCTTTGTGTTTCGATGTTCGTGTCACACCCGCTCTGAGGTCTTCCGTGGGACGAGGAATGCCTCCAAAGACCGAGAAACCTCGCCCGGCTTTAGCAGTTCGAACCTTGGTGGTCCATCGCAACGACAGCTGCAGTTCACCACCATCCGGTTGGGACGCAACATCGCAGACGCTCAGGCTCTTCATTGTCGTCCCGAAAAGGGGCATTGGTCTCTTCTGGACATCTGGGCGCTGTTTGCTCTCGATTTGCTGCGCCGTCAACCTTGGACGCCCAGTCTGGTGATAATCAGAAGCGCCAAAAGTGAAGACATGTCCATCCTTGTCGATGGCGATGGTATGGTAGGTTCCGGTTGCAATGTGGACAATGTCGTGCAGGCCTGGAACCGGACCAGGCTTCGTGACGACGATTCCATTGTTTGTTTCTGCAACATTATGTGGTCCAAGGTCTGCTGGCGGTATTCCCAGAGCGTAGTCGTCGTATGAGCCCCATGCCCTAAGCTCACCTCCGACATTACCCTTCGTCGGCTTCAACAGTGCCATAGTGTGAAGCTCGCCCGCGGCCATTCTTTCTACCTCTCGGGGCTCGTCTAGCTTTCTCGCGCTTGGGAAAATTTGTCCTTGGCTACCCACACTGAATGCCTTCCGCTCTTTCTCAGTAACGGCCAGCTGACCGTGATCATTGCTGCCAAAGCCATAGACTCGGCCAGATTTGTCGACCAAGTAGCTGTGACGCGCACCACACGCAGCCCAGTATATGGGAGTGCGACCAGACTTGTCACCGTCGACAGCAATGACTGTCGGTTTCAGCCATTCACTCGCTCCTTGGCGGATAAATTCCTCCACTTCAGCATCTGCAAGGTATCCTGCAGTGTCTTTCGAGTTGACCAAATCGCCCTTCAAATATTCCTCGTCAAGGAAGCGTATGTCTCTGTGAGAGCGAGTGTGCCCTCGGTGATCACGTACAGAGGCGTCCTGGTCCACGTTGCCAGGCATGTCACGGTTGCCCTTTTTCTGATCAACGCCTCGCCCCAATTGTCCGCAGGAGTTCACTCCCCACGAATAGACTCTGTTGTCCATGCCCACAGCGAGCACGTGCTGAGCACCGGCAGCAATAGAAAAGATATTTTTCAGCTCCCCGATCCGCTTTGGCTTGTAGGCGATCTCGCCAGGCTCGGTGAGTCCGACTGGAAATTTCCTAAGCCTGTCCCTTGGATAGCCCAGCGCTTGGAATGAAGCCTCGTCACGACAGCTGAGGTATCGTTCGTAACAAAATGTACCCCACCCATACACATGACCCTTGTCTGTGAAAGCAAACGATGCATTGTTCGTCGCCGCGACAGCCGTCCAGGTCAGATCTCCTAGGTGCGCGAAATCGACCTCCTTGGGCTCACAAGTCTCCAAGGCCATCTTGTTAACACCGTTCGTCAGCTGTGGGGTCGCCATGGCGGCTCTAAATGGCCATCCCAGAGCACCAAACTCGGGATTGCCCCAGGTCATAATCTTATTGTCCTTCGTCAGAGCAATGCAATGATCCGATCCACAGTCGAAATCAACGACGTCCTTTGGCAGTTCTTCGTTGAGCTTTGGCTCGGGGAGCTGTGTCGGATTCAAGGTCCGGGTTCTCCCTCTACGACCGAGGCCGAGCTGGCCAAGCTGACCGTCGCCACAAACGAAGAGGGACCATGGCTCGTTGATTATTTCCCTATCTTCAGCGAGCTTCACCCTTTCCGGAGATCCATGCTGGGCTTCCGACGGCGATTGTGGAGAGGACCGTGGATTTGCCGTGTTCGCAGCGTTCACTTGGCTTTTGTAAGGCTGCGGTCCTTTGCCGAAGTGCTTTCTTTTCTGGCGCTTTCTAGGTCGAACGGCGTCAGTTGAACCGTTGTGGTCGAGATGCTCAGGAGACATTGCCCTTTTCGGCAAGCCTCGAAGCTGTAAATTGTCTTTTCGAGATACGACCTGGATTCTGTTGGAGACAGGCGTTGAGACCGGAGGGCCTACATCGCCAAGCACCGTTGCATTTCGAGTCCGTCCGTCCTCAACGGAAAGGATCTGAACTGCTGTAGAAACGACTGATTGAGGCACATCGTTGGCCTCCTCTCTAGGGCTTGGTGGCGCCCCAGCATCAGGCATGCTTGTTGCCATTGGCATCGGGTATTCGTCAAGCAATGTCGCTATGCCACTCGGATATGGTGACTTTTGGTCTTGAGATGTAGTAGTAGCTCCTCCAGTCTTTCCTTTGCCGCGGCGCCTTGCCGTTGGTTGGCTAGGGGTGCCATTGGAGTCCTCGTCGTCTTCCATTCGGGAACTCTTTGGGTTGTGAGGGTTTGCGACAGGGTATATTTTCATCCGCGCCATGTTCCATCGAGTGTCCCGTAAGGGATTACCTTCTACTTGGGTTGCAGTGTAGATACCAGTTTTTTGAGCAAGACTTTTCGCAAGGATCGAGATATATCTTTAGACATCGAAAACCGGCGCAAAATGAAAAGGTCCAAGCTGTGAGTCGATTGACAGTCTTTCTTGCGAGGCACGTTTGCCACTCAGCGCGAGTATAGCCATCTTCATGGCAATGTAGGTGAGCTGATGCGATTGCCCACGATGAGAAGATGGGTTTGCGAGCTTGAGCGATTGGGCTGTCCCGTTTGTGGCAGCGCCAAGCTAATCCGAGTGGCGTTGAAACAGCGGCTTTTGCTAGCAAGCGTCGAATTGCACGTTGGAGTAAGAAAAACTGAACATTATTTGAGCTTGAATGTAATTACAACGGGCGCAGATATGATTGCGCTCAACACCTGGGCTCGTCCAGAATTGAACGTGAAATACCAAACCCTGCATAGGTGAGCTGCAACGTGTGAATCACTGTGTGTGTCCCTTTTACGCACTGACCAACCGCGTCCTCCCCTGACTCGACCTGAGCATCAAATTGCATCCTGAAGCCTCCTTGCGCCGTTGATCCTATCCATGACCAACTCTGCACGCCATTGTCGTGTCCCGTATCACGCCGTGGAAGACAACAGCTAGCACACGGCAGGCCTTCCGGTCATTGCTCCTCCAGGCAGCTTGCTCGCGGTCGTCAACGGCGTCTAGTCGCCTGCACCTGGCGTGCCTGAGGATTGCACTCTCGCAAAAGGACTTTTGAAGTCCCAACGCGCGCCATGAGTGGCTTCCTGATGCGGCAATACGGCCTGAGGCCCCTCCAGTCACTGTGGAGCTCCGCTGCGCAGGACGGCGCCGCACTTCTGACCCAAGGCAGAGCGAGCATGGCTTATGTACATTCTTTTACCACTATTTCACGGTCTCAGCCCTCTTTTGGAAACTCTACCGACCTCTCACAGTCAAGGCAATCTGCTCGAAGGCCCTCTCATAGCCCCAGTATCTCCAGGTATGTTAGCCAGTCATCACCACCTTACCTCCACTTGACATGTGGCGGTGCCTCCAGTGGTCACGGATGTGGCGGCAGCTGCCCCGCGATGGGGAGCTCCTGCAGGGCAAGATCATAAGACCCCCGCCAAACGCCGTCTCGTCCCCTCTTCGATCCTATTCTATATCCTCCTCTCCTTCACCTGGACCAATTGAACTTGGACCAACGTGATTGACACCTTTGTTCAGTCTTCTTCCCTCCCGACGCTGCTCGGCACACGCACGTGCTCGCAGACCCGAAAAGATGACGGACCGCGATGTGCTCCCCGGGCACATCAAGCCCTCCCACTACATTGTCTCGCTGAAGGACCTCGACTTCAAGAAATGGACATACAAGGGCACCGTCACCATCGACGCCGAGATCACCGCCCCTACCAAAGACATTATCCTCAACACCCTTGAGATCAAGCTCCTCGATGCCAAGGTCTCAACTGATCAGAAGAACTACGAGACCAAGAAGTTTTCCTACGACGAAAAGGCCCAGCGTGCCACCATCTCTTTTGACGATGAGCTGCCTGTCTCCAAGAAGTCTCGCGTTGTGCTCGACTTTGAGGGTATCATGAACAACGAGATGGCCGGCTTCTACCGTTCCAAGTACAAGCCAACCGTTGAGCCTTCCAAGTCTGTTCCTCGCGACGATGAGTGGCACTACATGCTCAGCACCCAGTTTGAGTCCTGTGATGCGCGCCGCGCATTCCCCTGCTTCGACGAGCCCAACCTCAAGGCGACTTTCGACTTTGAGATTGAGGTCCCCACGGATCAGGTCGCGCTGAGCAACATGCCCGTCAAGTCCACCACCCCCACCAAGGACGGCTGGAACATGGTGTCTTTCGAGACCTCCCCGATCATGAGCACATACCTGCTTGCCTGGGCTGTCGGCGACTTTGAGTATGTCGAAAAGTACACTGACCGCAAGTACAACGGAAACCCCATCCCTGTCCGCGTTTACACCACGCGCGGGCTGAAGGAGCAAGGCCGCTGGGCTCTCGAGCACGCCCCCAAGATCATTGACTACTTCTCTGAAATCTTCGACATTGACTATCCTCTGCCCAAGTCGGACCTCCTGGCGGTCCACGAGTTCACTCATGGTGCCATGGAGAATTGGGGTCTCGTAACCTACCGCACCACACAGGTACTCTACGACGAGAAGACTTCTGACCCTCGCTTCAAGAACTCGGTTGCCTACGTTGTGGCCCACGAGCTTGCTCATCAGTGGTTTGGTAACCTCGTCACGATGGACTGGTGGGATGAGCTGTGGCTGAACGAAGGCTTTGCTACCTGGGTCGGCTGGCTCGCTGTTGACCACCTGCACCCTGACTGGCAGGTCTGGTCTCAGTTCGTCAACGAGGGTATGGAGGCCGCTTTCCGCCTGGATGGTATTCGCTCTAGCCACCCTATTCACGTTCCTGTTCGTGATGCTCTCGACGTCAACCAGATCTTTGATTCGATCAGCTACCTTAAGGGCTGCTCCGCTATTCGCATGTTGGCCAATCATCTTGGTGTCGAGATCTTCCTCAAGGGCGTTTCCAACTATCTCAAGGCCAATGCCTACAGCAACGCCAAGACCAAGGCTCTGTGGGATGCATTGAGCGAGGCTTCCGGCAAGAATGTCGACGAGATCATGCATCCCTGGATCTCCAAAATCGGACATCCCGTAGTCACGATTGCTGAAGAGCCTGGTCAAATCTCCATCAAGCAGTCTCGTTTCCTATCCAGTGGCGACGTCAAGCCTGAGGAGGACACAACAACCTGGTGGATCCCTCTTGGTCTTGAGGGCAAGAAGGGAGAGGCCGGTATTGCCGCCCTGTCTCTCGAGAAGAAGGAGGATACCATCCGCGGTATCGACGATGATTTCTACAAGCTCAACAGCGGTGCCACGGGCTTCTACCGTGTCAACTACCCGCCAGCGCGTCTGGCCAAGCTGAGCCAGCAACTCGACAGGCTGAGCACCGAGGACAAGATTGCCATCATCGGGTCGACCGCCGACCTTGCCTTTTCCGGCAACGGTACTACAGCCGCCCTTTTGACCTTCCTTCGCGGTTTCAACAAGGAGACGCACTCTCTGGTTTGGAGCCAGATCCTCGACACCATCGGCTCCATCAAGTCTGTATTTGGCGAGGATGAGCAGCTTAAGAAGGGTCTCGACAACTTTGCCCTCAAGCTCGTTGACCAGAAGGTCAAGGAGATTGGATGGGACTTCCCCGAGGGCGAGGACTATCTGGTCGGAATCCTGCGCAAGTCTCTGATTGGCACCGCCGTCGCTTCCGGTCACCCCGAGATCACCGAGGAGGCTCTCCGGCGCTTCGATGCCTGGGCAGAGAACCAGGAGGCCAACCCGATTCAGCCCTCGCTCCGTGCCTCTGTCTGGCGTGCCGGTGTGCAAAAGGACCCCGCCCGCGCCGTTGACATTCTAAAGAGGGAGTGGTTCAACACCAAGTCCATTGACGGCAAGCTCTTCTGCTTGAGCGTCCTGGGCCTCACCAAAGATGCCGACGTCCTGCAAAAGTCCATCATCCCCTTCAACTTCAACACCTCACCCCCCTCGGATGCTGTTCCCAGCGCCGACATGCACGTTCTCGCCGGGTCGCTCTCCAACAATGTGATTGCCCGCCCCATGCAGTGGGAGTACACCAAGAAGAACTGGGATGCCATTGTCACCAAGATTGGCAACCCGATTGTCGTGGACCGCTTCGTGAACGTCAGCTTGAGCCGCTTCACCAGTGAGGCAGCTGTCGCCGACATTGACTCCTTCTTCGCGGACAAGGACACGAGCAGCTTCAACAGGACGTTGAGCACGGTCAAGGACAAGATCCGCGGTCGTGCTGCGTACAAGCAGCGTGACGCCGCTAACCTCAAGGAGTGGCTCGGCAGCAACGGCTACATGTGACTGAATGGCAGCAAACTGTAGCGTATGTAAAAAATTAATAATGAAGAGTAATCGTGCTTCAAACACGGTTTTCGCCAGTCAGTGACAGAACTCCACTCCACATGTAGGACGTACTCGTGTGCCATCCCCGCTCCTCTCACGTTGTAGTTTTGAAACTGCCCATCTTCCCACCTCCTGTCCTCCTCTGTTCGTCAAGAATCAAGATGGAGCCTCAACTCGCGTCCAAAGACGACGTGCCGTCCATCCTCGCCATTTTCCGCACGTGTTTTAGTGATGAATACTTCCACTCCGTGTTCCCGCCCACGGCCACGGGCGACGCCTATCTAACCCAAGCGTTCACCCGCTTTATCGATCCATCCCAGCCTGGGCAGATCCACGTCCTGAAAAATGAAAGCGGTTCGTCTACCATAACGTTGCTTCACTCTCCTTCTCCCGCTGATAGAAAAAAACCACAAGGCCTCAAGTCGATGCTCCTCTGGTTCACAGAGACCGGGCCCGAGAAGACGCAGGGCTGGCGCGGACGCGGATGGCCCTCTCCGTATGAAGGGATGAGTTTGGACAAGATACAAGAGTTCTACGGGGCGATGGACGCGCAGCATGACGCCGCCATGGGTGGGAGGAAACATGTTTGTGAGTGACGCTCGCCGCGCACACGTTGCTGCTATTGACGCGGGTGTAGATATTGAGTTGATCATGACCCATCCGTCTGCTCGTGGGCAGGGCCATGCTAGCAAGTTGGTGAGACATGTGGCTTCTCTAGCTGACGGGAGGGATTTATATCTGGACGCCCAGGGTCATGCTATCGGTCTGTACGAAAGGCTGGGGTTCAAAGTTGTCGAGGGCATCAAGATGAGTGAGCTCATGACACCCATGATGCGGTCGGCATCTTCTTGACCGGTCACGCCATGAGTGACTGTGGTAGTGTAAAATGACAATTCAATTTCGCTGGTGTGTGTGTGTCCGCGTTCAGTACGCTAATCCCAGAAACCAGCCCCATGTAAAAACAAACGACGCCGACTACTGCTACCCAACGCCATGCCCGAGACCCGTCCACAAGATTAACTCGTATCCTCCTGCTCTAACTTTGTGGCGATGGCATCCCACCATGCCCCGTGGGCACCACGGTCTACAGCCCCAATCCTCTCGAGAAGCATGCTCACCCCACGCACGCGGTCGACAAACTCACTCAAACCGAGGCTCGCGAGCCTCTCGCCCGCCGTGTTTGCCGCCTTGACCCGCTCACTGGCCGAGCCAGGCGCCAAACGGGCCAAGATGTTACCCCTCAGCCGAGTAAGGAGCAAACGCAGAACGGGCTCGCGTGGTTCCGTGCCGCGGATGGCCATGTCCTGGCTGGCAGTGATCACCTTGCTCACGAGCGCGCGAAGATGTTGTTTGGTGGCAGCAGGCATGCTTCGGCCCTCCACAGCCGCCATAGTGCCGTCGACAATCGTTTCCGTGTTGGGGTGATTAGCCTCCAACACGCTCATGATTCTACTTGCCTCCACCTTCCAAGGCGAGCGAACGTCTCGCTTAAGAAGATTCTTGCATTGCAAGAGCACCGCGCCAACAGTGATCACATGCTGAACAGTCTTGGAGACTTCGGACACTCTTTGACTGTCCAGTCGTAGCATCTCTGGGACAGTGCCTTCTTCCAGCGGCAGTGGCTGTGTGAAGACGTCCACCAAGATTTGCGCGTATATGCGCGTGCCTGTTGGGCGAGACTTTGGGTGATTGATCCCCTCGGGGTCTCGCCTCTGGACCTCAGCGAGAACCTTGGTCCTCGCCGCTCTCCAGGCCGCTTCCGCAGCGCTGAGGTCAATCTCCCCTGACTCGATCTCCTGCGTGAAGCGTTTCGCCTCGTACTGTGGTGCAGACTCGATCAACTGGGGAGCAGCAACCCGGAGCATGTAGTTAATGTAATCGCACAGCATGACATCGATGAAGCCGCTCAAGGCCTCGACCCTGTCGATCAAGTTGCCATCGCCCAATTTGTTATCCACCAGATCCTTGACCTCGGCATCTCGGAACGGCGCGCAAAGCTTGGGCAGTAGGCCTGCCATGGCGGAAAAGAACTTTTCATACGAGAAGCTTCCGCGCTCAAACTGTTTCTGCGCGAGCTCGGGATCAAACATCTCCTGGATCAGGTTGTACATGCTGTTGCCAGGCTTGAGCATACGCTGCAGCTTGTCTTTGATCTCGCCAGCCATGAGCATGAAGAAATGGAAATTGACGGCGTTGTCGATTGGCGCATCGCTCTGCATACTGCCACGCATTTGCTCAAACATGGAACGTGAAGCATCGGATACCTGCGCTTTGTATTCGTTGATAGGAATCTGGTATTCCTTGTTGATAGCCAGTTCGTGAACAATGCCGCGGTTGTCGGGAAGCAGGCCGCCGAGACCACCTGGCGACTTGATGGCAATGGCCTTTGTCTGAGTCTGTGCCTGTGTGTTCGACGGTGTGGCTGGAGGGGTGAGTGGTCGCTGAGAGGCGTCGCTCTCGCTTGGCGTTGGCTCTGCAACACGGGGTTTTGTATCGCCCGTCTTCTTCTTGGCTCTCCTTGCCTTTCTTGCTTCGGCGACAGCGTCAAAGATCATCTTCTTGCCCGCCTCTTGGCCAGCGAGTTTCTTGATGCGCACGATGAGCATCAGTTGACTGTCGCGGATGCTTTGCTGGTACAGCTGCGAGGCTGCGTCGTCCGTAGTGTCCTTGACCGTCTGGAAGATGGCGTCAAGTTCGACGAATTGCATCAACATGACTTCAATAAGGGCATTCGAGTCTCGTGACTTCCAAGCGATGAAGGCGTTGTGAAAGACGGCATATGCTTCTGGCAGCTTGCTGACCAGAGCTGGCGGCACGGTATATCGGTTGGTCGAGGAGAGCCGCATAAGGATATTCTCGAACACGATCAACAGGTCCTTGGCCTTGCTGACGAGGTCCTGTAGCTGGGGGTTATCTAGGTCGGCACTGGGTAGCCGATGAGAGGACATGTCGCCTTCGTTGTCCCCATCTGTTTTGGTGGCCAGGACTTGATTGGGGTGTCCCAGGATCAAGAAGGCGCTCAAAAACGTACGAACAGCAGCCATTTCGCCAACAGATCCGGGGTCCGCTTCTTGCAGTCCGCAGGTGCGCAGTAGCCTTGCTGTCGTAGTGAGCACCTTTTCCTCAGCCAGCAACTCCGTGACTGTGTCGAAGGACGTGCTTCTGATGCCATCCACAGAAAGGCCTAGCGAGTTGAAGTCGATCATTGCCCTGCGCCGGATACAGCACCTCCACCAACTCAGGATCTTTGAGGCGGCCTCTTCGGGGCTCATCCGACGTCGCGGGTTCACAGGGCTTGACTTCCGCACAAGGACGCTTTGGCCTCTCCCGCGGTTCCTTGCATTCTGCCTCCGCAGCTCTTCCCGTCTTCGATCAGCCTCGGCGAGCCTTTCCTCCATTTGCGCCTTCATTTTGGCCTGGTCTGTTTCGCGCTTCTCCTTCATGAGTGTAGCAACTTGCTTGGCCCGCTTCACCTCCTCGGCGCAGTTGGCCACGATCTCTGCCAGGTTGCGTTCACGCGCCTGCTGGGCTGCCAGAGCGCGCTCTTCGGAGGGCTTGGTGTCTTTGGATGCGGCCTTTGCCGTGGCAGCGCGCAAGCGGACTTTTTCCGCGTGTGCGGCTCGGTCGGCCAGGCGTGCCTTGCGATCTTCGAGGAACGACGCGCGCCTCAAGTGTTGCGCAATGTGTTTGCTTTGATCCCCTTCGGTCGGCAAACTCGAAGAGCATTTCGAATGTGCGGAGGAGAAGCTGTTGCGTCGCGAGGAAGCAGCGGATTCCCGTCGACGAGCGTGCGAGGGGCGATAGAATCGGGCAGCAATGTGTGGTGGAGGGGTGAATACCCTGTCTTCGTGGAGGATGGGGTCATCGTCGTCTTCATCATCATGCTCTGGTGGCATGGAGAGATCGTAGGTGTCAGTCATCAAGCGAAGGTCTGCATCATCATCGTCGACGACCAGGGTGTTTGGTTCATTGCTGGGCGAGAGGTCCATGTGGACGTCGAGCGAGTCACGACGCATGGTAGGTGGGCGACCTTTGTCTCGCAACGACTGCGAGGTCGATGTGTCGCCTCGTCGTCGGAGCGATAGGGAAGGCGATGGTATTTATTGCTACACGGGGTGCAGCAGTCTGACGCTTTCGTAATCGTCGCTGTTCCCACACGGGATCGGGAGGCTGGGTACGGAGTAATAATAGTCTGTTTCGCATGCGGTGATCGAGCCAGGCGCAGGTCAGCCTCGACTCAATCCGGCCGAGATGACCGTCCGTCTCTGGCGCTTGAAATCTAGTTGCATAAACGAGTGGCAAGAGAGACGGTATGATACAGCATTGTAGGTTACCAGGTAGCGGCTATGAGGATGGAGAAGGGTGAATTGATCGTGGATTGCAGGACTGTTGATGCAGGCAGGATCACCTGGTTACTGTGAGTGGGTGGGTGCGGGGCGGGATGGACCTCCCTTACTGTAGGTACTAACACCCTCCGGGCGCAAGGCACATTAGTGTTGTTAATGCACATCGCGGGTGGAATCTTCGAGTTGCATCACGTCTCGCTTTCCCCAGATCATGTCAGATGGACGGGAAGTGCTAGGCTAGGCGTATTAAGGTAAGGGATATAGTAGTCTACATTCGCACTTCATCCGTCACGTGTGTAGTAGGGTCGGTAAGTAAGTCCACTTATTACTGTAGCGTTCCTCGTTGTTTTTGTCGTCGCTGATCATCGTGATACTACGTCTTTCCAGCACGACTCGCGTCCTTTGTCCCCTGTCATCATCACGCTGTCTTGTTGCATCGTCAAGTCACCATCACTGAAGAGGCACTATAGTGATATATATCGATGTATCATGTCTTCATGTTCGTTTCGCACAATGTTAAAAGGTGTCTGCGACAGAGGTTGTTTGGTCCGTGATCATACAGTAGTACTCTCCATCAACTGCCCGCGCCACCCTCGTTCGTATGCTGCATTGCCAATGCGTCCACCTGGGGACCTTTTCAGTTCAAACCGTAACGCCTTATCCATGCCCATGTTGCTGTTGTCATACATCGAATAAAGGTGACTCGTGCACGTCATATTATTTTGAACAGCCAGTGACGATTCTTCTGCCTCGTAGCCTATCGGCGAGGCTGGGCAATGGCCATGCTGCCCGATCGCGCTCGTCCAACAGATGGGGTGGCTATTCCCTTGTCATTCATCCTATGCGTCCACTCCAAGACTGTCTCGTAGCACAGGACGTACTGTCGTAAGCTCTGCACCATACTCAGTCTTTGCTGTCGGAAACCCTCGACTGCCTTTTGGATGAGGTCGACCGACTCATCTCTCAGCCAGGACGTCTCAATCGTGGATGCGCCCATCGACGGCTTCCGCTGGCTAGACGATGGAGTGCGAGAGTGGGCAAGCGTCATTTGTTTGTTGGTGCGCGGAGACACATCGTCGCCTTCAGCCATAGCAACGTCGCCGTCTGCATCCTGCGCGGATGTCAAGGAGCCCTTCACAAGGCGCTGGCGTTTGAGCATGTCAATGACACTGTCCACAGTGCAGAACGTGCCTGTCCGACCACAGCCAGCCGAGCAGTGCACCAACATGGGACGCGAGTTATCATCGGCCTCTGGCTGGTCGTGCCAGGACACGGGCAGATGATCCGACGACCTGTGGTTGCCCACGACATAGGGCGTCTCCACGGGCAGAGCCGCTCGTTGCATGACATTCGCAAGCTCCACCAGAGCCAGCAGATGCGACGGTTGCGCCGGTGTCCCAAAGTCGGGCCACGACGAAAAGTGCAGCTGCGTGATCTCGCGGATAGGCGCAAACGGATGGGCCGTGTGGGAGAGGGCAAACTTTCGAATCACCACGTGGGGCGCCTCTGGCTGCGATGCCTGGGAGGTGCTAGGCGATGTTGCTGGAGCGTGCACAGACGTCACCGTGTTGGCTCGCCTGCGGCTAATGTCGCCCATGGTAACCGAAGCTGGCGACGCGGAAGACTCGGAGCGATACTTGTCCATGTCAAGCGACGCTTTCTTCTCAGACAGTGGCTTGAGCCGGATGGAACCATAAGCACGCTCTTGCCAGTATGAGTGGCACTTGAGCTGGCCGCCTTCCGACTCAGCGGTGAGCATCACAATGACGCGCACATCCTGATCCCAAACGACGGACCAAAAATCCTACACTTGTTAGTTTCATGAGTACTTGGGCAGAAGCGAGCTGCTCACCTCAAAAGTTGCCGGCAACGGGCCCTGTGACGCGATGTACCGCTTGTTGCTCATCGATGATTTGACGTGACTTGCATTGACGTAATCGCAAGATTGCGATTCCTTTTGCAGCCTGACACGCGCGTGCTCGAATGGTAGAATGTCCTTGTAGCGGTTCTTGCCACCCTTTTCCACGCCACAAAGCTGGACAGTCTTCTTCTGCTGAGCTGTGTGCGGGTCGAACGCGGCGTACGCCGTCTGCATGCGTGACTTTTCCGCCTTCTCAATATTCAAAAACTTCTCTGACACCATCTTACCTTTGTCGGATTGTGCCGAGGCTCGACGAAGCCAGAGAGGTACCTGGGATGAATCGAGACCCTCGGGACGTGACACCTGAAATTGGCCAACACCATCCGCCAAATCCATGTTCTGTCGGATATTGGAGAAGAATGGATTGGTACTGCCGGTACCCATTGGCAGAGAGACGCCTCCAATGACAGGTGCTATACCGCCGCCGGCGCGGCTTGACTGTGTTGCGTCTCCCTTTTGTGATTCCGAGTCCACCAACTTCGGGTGAGTCTCCTTGAACCGCATAAAGCCACCTTTCAGGATGACAGTTATGCCCGTGTAGCCCTCGCTAGTAAACTTCTTGATCATGTTTTGCGCGGTAACAGCATCCTTTTGGTCTGATGAGTGCGAATCGTACACCACGATGGCGCTCATCTTCCGCCAGTTGGCAAACTTTGACGAGCCATGTCCACTCTGGAAGGTCTGCTGCAGTTTCTGAATGTTGAATGTGGCGCGCTTCAGCAGAGTCGTGGGGATGCAAAGGTTCAGAGCACCCTTGATACGCGATGCAGCGTAGTTCTGTGCTGATCGGATATCAAGGATAAGAAGGTCGTCTTCGGGCATGCTCTTCATCATGTCTTTGAGCTCGTCCCCCGCAATCATAGCGGGACCAGATCCCTCTACCCCGTTGTGCGGCAGAGTCGCAGCTCTTGCCTTACCTCCCATACTCGGTGAGGGAGGCCCCATCTTATGTTCCATCAATGAGAGACGCGGGTCCCGGTCTTCAGCCCTTGTCAGTTCAGTGCGGTTCTGCAAACCGCTCATTGGCCCGGGCGACTCAAGACGTGGTTGACTAGTTATTGTCGGAGGCAAGAAGAGTGATGATGAATCCGAAGTGCGCTTCGAGTCAGCCGAGACGTAGGCGGAATCGTGCGAGGCGGTATCGTGGTCGACATCCATCTTCTGAGGTTGGGGTGCGTAGCTCGTCGACCGCGTAACAGACATCTCGGAGCCAATATCGCTAGCGTGTGTGTGCCATCTTGACGGGCGCGGCCTTTTGAAAATTGGATTCGGCGTCAATGGACCGTTTCCTTGGCTGTCTCCGAGCGCAAAGGTGTTCGCTTTATTTGAATCAATCTGCTTCCTGAAAGCCTCAAACTCGGGGTTGGCCTCGAGCGGGACCTGGGTCTGTATGGCAGCGCCGAACGATTTCACCGATGATGTTGATGGGCTCCATGCATTTCGTCCTGGGCCCGAGGATTCTTGGGGGCTGTTCGTAGAGTCTACAGCGAGGCCAAAGTAGTTGGGACTTGACGGCCGATTATCAGCACCTCGATTCGGTGATGATTTGGGCGGATGGTGCTGTCCGACCGAGTAGGGCCCGCGGGGCGATGCCATGGGAGTCGTCGAGTTGCCGCCTTTGTTGGATCGGTGGCAGTTTGAGGATTGAGAGTGTGGGTGTGCATGTGAAGATGCGGCGAAATTAGAATAGGCTTGTGTGTAGCCATGCGAGCTGCCCGTCGGGGCAGCCCTACTTGCGGCCTTCATGGTGTAATGAAGATCTGGCGCGGCGTCGTGCATTGCTTTGTGACGAGCTCGAATTGCTGTATCGGTAGTCACGGGGCGACTAAGGTTGTGAAAGTCGAATCGAAATTTCTCGACGACTTCATCAAGCCATGGTGGCGTCTCGGATCAAGATTGACGATGTTTGCTGTCAAGTTGAGAAAAAGGGCACAGCCCAGGCCCCGGCAAATGCCAAGAAAGAAGTGAAGTAATAAGATGGCGATCCAGCGGGGGGGGGTAAGGTTTGGTATCTCAAGACGGTTAAGGACAAGGCGCCCTGACGTGACCAGCTGTATGTGGCAAAGATTACCAATACAAGCAAGGCTGAGATTCTGAGGCGAGGAGTATCAACCTGTGGACTGTGTGGCAAGAATCGGCTCGCCGCGGTTGTTGCCTCGAGCTAACTGACGACTGGTCGCAGCGGCGTGAAAAAACGGGAATAATAGGCGTGAGAGGATGACGCGAGCTCCAAAGGTTAATAAAAACAATGGAACAGCTCAACAAGCTTTCTGACACAAGGCAGTCGGGAGCTGCGAAGAATGATGAAAGAACAAGTTGAGAAGAGGTGGATGAGGACCGATAAGGGTCCCTGCGTACTAAGTAACTACCTTACTACAGCAACAAGCAGTAGGTGGGAGGAGCACGCGGAGCAGAGCCGTTGCGTCAGAGGCAAGAAGAATAATGAGGACGCTCCTGGCGGCTTGAGAATGGTTTCAAAATCGATCGATGGCCGTAGATGAAGTTGGTGCGAGGCGCTTGCCTCTGCGCTGGTCGAAATTGAACAGAGTCGCCGTGGCTCACGACTCAGCTCCTGGGACAAAGACTTGAAAGAAACTTGATGGAAACTGTGATATGGTTGTCCATTCAGGTATGAGTAGTTTCCTGTGATTTTAGGGGTCTCCTCCACGTCGTCTCATGAGACGAGGGCCTGTAATGGAGGGGCCGAGGGGGTACCTGCTGTGGTTGCGTGGTGAGAACGGTGGGCAAATAAGCGTCGAGCTCAGGAGTCAGGAGCGATCCTCTTTCCACGACGGGGTGCAGTCCTTTCAGACTGCTTAGTCGCAGGGCAAATGCTGTGATAACGAGGCGGTTGTAGATCGGCAACGTGGTCTGCAGGCTTGTTATGCTAATTAATCAAAAGAACCCTCCCTAAGGCGAGGAATAACGAGAAGAAGCTGTTCCAGCGCTCACGAGGGTAGGCAGCTTCCGGGCCAAAGTTGTTGATATTCTGATCGGGTGGTGTGGTGGGGGCCACAACAGATACGTAGCGGGTACGTCGTCACACTGAAGGATGATCTTTACTCTGACCAGCTACGTACTTAAGCTGTATTTAGTGTCCTGCTGCTGTGGGTGCTGCGTGTTCGACCAAGATTGGACTGTATATTTCGTCCTCAGGCTGGAACACTCGTGAACGTTTATGCTCCTTCTGCTCAATATCGATAGTTTACCATGACTTGACTCGCATTCCTACTCAAACAAGGCACGATGTTAACCGCCTTTTGGCAACTGGCAGTCTGCTGGAGACTCCAGGCCAGCCACCTCCAGTCTACCGTGTTCTTCGAACTGGAACAATCAGCAGCCCCCGTCGTCATGTAGAGCCCCACTAGGAAGTTCCATTTCAAATCTGGCCAATCAGAGCAGAGGTGGCGCTGCGTCCCGACGTCACTGAGCCTAGCAAGCGCCATTTATAGACTAGCGCCCACATGACGCCGTGGGCGTTCCGAGTCGAGACCGTTAAGAGACCGATTGATCATCCCCCCCATTTGATCAGCGTTGAAGGTGTCGGCCCTTAACTCCCGATGCGTGGGATTGGAAACAATCTTGAGCTCGTCTCGTTCTAGATAGCAGACACGAGATTGATTAATGGTCACGAATTGCACCTGTTCACCTCGCGTGTTGACGCGCAACATCCGGCGTAAAGTGTAGCAGACGCGCAATGACGTAGTTAGTCTGAATCACCCGTTCCAAGATTGAGAGTGAGAGCCGCACCTGGCTCGAGCTAGGATCACCCGCGTAGGCTGCCAGCCGGCGCCGCCCTTCACCGCCAGTATCACGTTTCACCCGCATATGCTGCTGCCCCTGCCCACATTGCAGCTGTCCACCTCCCTCAAAGCCGAATCAGCACATGTCTCCGCGCGCGTTGGCTGCAATTCACGAGAAATTGGTCGAGTCCCGACCGTTGCATTCCAAGTTAGTCTCGTTTCACCCCACTACCTATGCGACGGGCAGTGCTCCAGCGGCCCACCCTAAGACCTCTTGCCTCTACGTATGTACGTGTATTAAGCCTCAACTCATCATGCACGCCTCGAGGCCTGAACAGCTTTCCACATGGTCCATCGCTATTTCTGACTAGCACACGAAAGTACATGTACCGATTTGGGTCAAGACGCTTGTCATATGAAGTCTACAAATCCTTGTACGTACAGAACAGACCGGTCTATCCCATCGCCCCGCCGCCTCGAGAGCACGTGTCGCATTGCGAGATAGTGATGGAGAACCGAGAAGGGATCGATTCGTCATGCGATTGCGCCCTTCGACTCGGTGAGGGCCATGGCTAAGAAAAGCGGCAAACCGCAACAATCTTCTCGCCCGGCTATTCGTAATCGTAAAGGGGCTGGTCAGCGGTCGAGATGCGTGCCCGGCAAAGGGCGGGCGTGGGATGGGACTGGAATTGTTGGGGGTCGTGGAATTCTGGAATTACCCAGGACCCTGACGTCTCGCGTGCCGCTCACTCGTGCCTCCTCGTGGCTTTGTCCTCGTGCCTGTCCTCGTTCCTCCCCTCCCGCCCCTGAGCGCGCTACGCTGCGCCTCCCGCTGCCACTCTAACACGGACTATCCCAGAAAGCGCTTTTGGCTTGAACAGCAAGGTGTGTCATCTTCCTACGGTGTGGTCTACGTTCTAATAGAGTCCTGGTGGACACCGCTAAGGATCACATAGTCGTAAGTGCTGTGACAGAAAATTCCAGGCCGTCTTGCCTAAGCAAAAGGAACGTCCAAAGATGAGAAGGTAAAGCTGCCCATCAGGTATAGCGACATGTTGAAGACTGTCCTAACCAGAAAGCGACAATAAGGTACCTGGTAGTCTAGTTCTCAACAATAGTCAAGTCCCGGTCCAGGTCAACGTTCCATGGACCGAGTTGCACCCCGAATCACGACGATGTGACAAATGGGATGGAGCTTAGCAACTAGCTGTACAGTTTCTCTTCCACTGTGGCTCTGGAAATGATATCGATGAGCATGTGCATTAATGCACGCGCTTAACCAAACAGCGTTGGCAACTTAACTTAGATACCCCAATATCCATCAGGGAGCGCACCTCGTCTGCGGGCTAGCCTAGAACTTGGTAAATGTCATTTTCTAACACAAGACTACGCTGGATTTTACGAACATTCCTATTTGCGTTATACATATCGACGGCTGTCTGCGATTATGCATGTCCCTGTGACATCGTGCTTGACTGGAACACAGATGACTTATAAGCTCACTCGCGCTTTTGATACGCCACGCAACAGAAGGCATCCAAAGCTATTCAACGGCATCAAATCTACCTACTATAAATTTATTCGGTAAAGGAACATCGTTGATCAACGAGTTTTCTTTTATCTCGATCACAGCCCGCCTAACCTCGTGATGCTCGCTTAGCACAGGGTAGGCGCCTACCCACAACAGACCTCCACTTGGACCTCCGATATCGCGACCGGACACATAATAATATTGATCATTGCTCAAAAAAGGAAGGACAGCATCGCTGAAACCGAACAAAAGAAGAAGAGCAAAAGTCAAACACCATCATGTCGGACGAACAGACCAGGCCTGATCGCTTCAAGCATCGCAAGGTGCCGGCCCCAGTGCCAGCTTACCTCCCCTCAGCTGGCTCCCCCCTTGCCGTCAACAAAGACGTCTACAGTTCCATCCAGCAAGCCCCGCGCGTACTGGTGCATGAATTTACTCTTCCCATTCGATCAGGTCGTGCGTGGGAGGCGCCAGCAGGGTCAATCGTGAGGATCACCACCCCTGAAGGTCCCCAGGTTGGTGAGTGTAAAGCACTCTCAGAAGGCATGAGGAGAGACTAACGGCACAACCCAGGTGATCTCAATGTCTGGAACCTGCACAACCCTTCGGAGCGTTTCTGGGCTTCACGGACTCGCCAATTACACGCCTCGCATCTGTCCACATATGATCGTCTGTGGTCCACGCTGCCTTACCTGCGCCCTCTCGTCACCATTCTCTCGGACTCCCTTTCCTCCTATGGAAAGGACATTAATGGCGGTCGCGTGCACGATCTCCTCGGCACGCGATGCGACCCCTATGTCAACTCGGTTCTGAGCTCCGGAGCTCAGTACAACTTCCACTGCCACAGTAACCTCGTCCGGGCTGTCATGCCATGGGGCCTGCAGGAGAGGGATGTCCACGATGTATTGAACATCTTCCAGGTGACTGGGTTGGACAAGGAGGGTCGGTACTTTATGAGCCCCTGCCCCGCGGAAAAGGGCGACTCGCTCGAGTTCCTGGCCGAGACTGATGTTCTTATGGCTCTGAGCACTTGCCCCGGCGGTGACCTGTCGCTATGGGGCTTTGGCGCCGACAGCGAGGCTGAGATGATCAAGGTGTGCCGGCCTTTACATGTGCAGGTGTATCAGCTGGAGGACAAGGACTTCCTCGCTAAACAGGGCTGGAAGCCATCCGAGCCAGCACCATACAGGGGCATGCACGGCATGACAATTCCCGAGGGCGAAAACAACCCGAGGACCGTATCTCGATAGTCACAGGCTTACGTGCGGTGAGACACAAACATTGTGGAATAGGCATGCAGCCTCATTTGTACAATTGATGAAGCCCGTAACACCTCCACTCCAAACCCGCGCCAAAATCCATCTATGGTGTTTTGCCCACTTCTTACTTCCACAATTTGCCGAGCGACACCTCCTTGTCGTCGTGCTTGTTGAGGATCTTGGCGGTTGCCAGCTCAAAGTCCTCCTGTGTGACGTGCACTCTGCGCTCACGCAGCGCGTACATGCCAGCTTCCGTGCAGACACCCTTCAGTTCGGCTCCCGAGCAACCGTTCATCTTCTCTGCAATCTTGTTCAGGTTGATACCACGGGTGAGGTTCATCTTCCTGCTGTGAATGCGTAGAATGTCTGCACGCGCCTCGACGCTAGGTGGGGGGAACTCGATCTTGCGGTCGATACGTCCGGGTCGTAGCAACGCAGGGTCGAGGATGTCGAGACGATTGGTGGCCATGATGATTTTGATGTTCTTTGTCGGCTCGAAACCGTCCAGCTGATTGAGCAGCTCCAACATTGTTCTCTGGACCTCTGAATCACCACCCGAGGAGCCTTCGACACGCGAGGAACCGATGCTGTCAATCTCATCCATAAAGATGATTGAAGGCGCATGTTCACGCGCCATGATGAACAGCTCTCGGACCATGCGGCTACCCTCACCAATGTACTTTTGCACAAGCTCCGATCCCGAGACCCTGATAAATTTGCAAGCCGTGTGATGCGCGACCGCTCGCGCCAGCAGAGTCTTTCCTGTACCGGGGGGCCCGTAGAGCAGGACGCCCTTGGGCTGTGCGATGCCGAGTGATTCGAAGAGCTCGGGGTGCTTGAGACCGAGTTCGATGACTTCCTTGATCTCCTTGATCTGTTGGTCCAGACCACCAATCATGTCGTATGTGCTGTCAGGCACCTTCTCGACCATCATCAGCGAGACGAGGGGATCGACAGAGGAAGGGAGGAGCTTCTCGAGTTTGTAGCTGTCGGAGAGGAGCGTCACGCGCTTGCCAGGCGTGAGCTTGCCGACGTCCACGCTGTCTGACACGTCGACCACTGTTCCGCGTTAGATCTCGTTAACCCCCTGTAGCGACCGTTGCACCTACCGTATTTGCCCTCTGGGTGCACCTTGACGAGGATCTTCTTGGTGCTCATCACCTTGACCACCTCGCCGACATAGGACCCCGGCTGCTGCAGCAGACCGAGCTCCTCTCTCAGTAACCGCACGCGCGAGTTGTAGTCATTCCGTTGAGCTTCGAGACGTCGGAGAGCAGCTTGACCCTTGAGGATCTCGAGCTTCATGCTCTCGATCTTGTTGCGGTAGTACTCGTCGAGCGCCATGGTGGCGGTTCTGACGGGTCTCTGATGTCGAGCAGGGAAGGGGTCGACGTCTCCTCCTTGTGAGAGTCTCGATGTGTTGGGTTTGTCGTCGGTTGGCAGCTGTACCTGTGGTGATGATGTCGTCGTCGTCGTCGTCGTCGTCGTTGTGGTGGGAGTTGACGTCGGCGATGGAGCTGGTGCTGGAGGCTGCAGCTCGAATCTCGTAAGCTGCTGCAGGCAAAAGCGCCAACGCAAGCAGTTGGGCAGCGCCGGAAGACACATTTTTCCGCCCCGCTACGTCTCAAACATGAGCAAAGCATTTTGGACCCTGCCACTATCGAATCATTATTCCACGGGGTTCAGAGTCTGTTATGTGTTGAATTGTTTCTGTTCATGCCCCGTGATATCGCCGTGGCAGCTCCCAGTTTTGTTGACCCCCATGTCTGGTCAGCGATCATCTGCTACGGCCAGCATCACCAGACTCAACGTGCAGCTCATTCTGTCCGCGCGCCTCGAGGCTCATGACGCTGGAACGTGGGGCCTTTGATGCCAAGACCACTCGTGGGCAAGATGATAAGATCACAAGTGCAAGAGGCCCGCATTTGTCGCTGTTTGTGTGCAGGATGGACGGCCTTATTTTTTGGGGGCTGGCTCGAAGCCTCTGGTGAACAGCTGCTTTGCATTGCCATTGCATGTTGACCACACGAGAAGCACTCATTATCCTAGCATATCTAACAAGCGTGGGTGTTATGCGTGGCTTCCAATGAATCGTACGGCAGCAGCATTATCGTCCGGTACGTCCGTGCCGACGCCAAGTCGACATGTTACGTGGACACCCCCGACGGAACTCCAAGAGCTCCAACCACCTTCAAGCCCAACCTTTTGTACGGATACCTTGCCTTAAGGTACCTTAAGTCTTAGCTTCATCGATTGCTGATTTGCAACCGACTCTGCCGTGTCTGGCCCAATCACGAACTTACCTACTTGTACCTCATCGTCCCGAATTATTGTGTTTCTTGAACCTTGTCTTGTCTCACCTTTGTCATCTGCCAGCCCGCCCTTCTCCATCTCCCCAATTCCAACAAGTTTGCGGCCTTCAGCTCTCCGCGCCAGTTCCCGTCCACTCGTCAATCTCGCACTGTCATGAAGTCAAACGTCTGATCGTTGCCAACCACCATATTCAGGTGCCATGGATTCGTCATATCATGCCGATGACCAGCCTGCGCAGCAGCGGCAGCAGCAGCAGCAACATGCGGACTCGGAGAACCCGTCGCAAACCGACAGCCGGAATCCAAACAGAGCCCAGGGACAGGACCTATCTGAAAGCTTCCATTCGACTGACACGATCCGGCTCAGGCCAGAAGGCTATGGCACCGTAGCCAACCCTGCCGCGTCGGGCAGCCGACCGCCAAACCCAGCTACTCCCCAAGACCGATCACGGTCACGTCAAGAGCAGCCAGCTCAATCGCCACAGCCACACAGAGCCAAGTCCTACAGCCGCCTGCGAAAACCTCCGATGCCTAGAAGAATCTCGTCCACCACGCCCCATCGTGGCGCTGTCTTCTCCGCCGACGACGGTCCGACCGAAGTCGAGGCCGACGCTGTGCAGCGCGGCGCTCGCGAGCGCGATGCTTCAAACTACGGGACGCGCCGTCGTGCTCAAGCCCCACCGAGCCTGTCACGCGTGCACTCGCGACAAGAGGAGACCGAGCTGGACCCTGAGCCGACGACCTCGGAGCCTGCAGAAGCCGAGGACGAATCTCCAGAGACCTTTGACGAGCACCCTGACGAGGAGCCCTCCGACGAGCGCGTGGACACAGACGACGACGACGACGACGATAGCAGCGATGTGAGTGACGCCGAGAGCTTCACGCTCAAGGACAGGCAGCAGGCCATCAACCAGACCCATCCGTTTGGTATCCGTGTGTGGAAGCCCGCCTTGTACAAAAAGGACCGTTCGATCCAAAAGTCAGCCCAGGCAGATATCCATTCGACGCCCGGAGGACGCGTTAATAGCTGGCTACTCCTGTTCAATCTGATCTGGACATTGGCCTTTGGCTGGTGGATGGCTTTCTTCGCTGCTCTCGGTGCCATTGTGTGCCTGCTATTCGCTGCTGCTCCGAGTGGCAGAGAGTATGGCAGGGTGCTGTGGGGCGTCGCTGGTTATCTCTTCTACCCCTTTGGCAAGTTTGTCCGCCTGGAGAAGGACGAGGCATACTTGCACGAGGACCAAGATGAAGGCCGCAGCATCTCCGAGTACGAGCAGTGGCAGCAGGGCGATCTGGAATACGGTCGTTTGTTCTTCGGCCCCGAGAGCGAGAACAACCGATCGATTGTTGGGCGTTCGCGAAGAAGCCTTGACTCCGAAGCCAGCGAGACGGAAAGTTTGCTTGGACGTCGGCGACGCGGCGAAGGCGCTGAGATGCCCCCCCCTATGAAGCGACGCCTGTTTGGTCGCGGTGAGTGGAACATTGGCCGCGTCATCTTCTTTGTCTTCTTCTACGGACTGATCTCCCCATCACTGCTGATTGTGTCGGCCATATGCTGGTTCCTTGTCTTCTGGATACCCATGGGCAAGGTCACCATCTTGCTCTTCTCGCACCTACGACGACACCCTCTGGCGCTGTCTTTCGAGCCCGATATTAGTTATTCGCGGTCGAGCGAGGCTCCGGACTCGTCCATCTTGCTGTGCACATACCGCGCCGTCGGGTCCAAGTATTGGAAGTACACGATTGACGGCACCAACATTTTTTTGATCAACCTGATGGCTGTAGTCGTCTTTGTTATCTTCGACTGGGCGGTCATTGATAGGGCCCTCCATGTAGAGAGTTTCATCACTTCGCCGGCGTTCCTCTTCACCATGGGATTGCTATCAATCATCCCTCTGGCTTACTTCATCGGCCAAGCTGTTGCCTCCATCTCAGCACAGTCCTCCATGGGCCTGGGCGCAGCTGTCAATGCCTTCTTTGCCACCGTTGTCGAGGTCTTCTTGTACTGCGTGGCCCTGTCCCAGGGCAAGGGGCAGCTCGTCGAGGGGAGCATTGTCGGTAGCATCTTTGCCGGTATCCTCTTCCTGCCGGGCTTGTCCATGTGCTTCGGCGCGCTGAAGCGCAAGACCCAGCGATTCAATGCAAAGTCGGCCGGTGTCACCTCCACCATGCTGCTCTTTGCCGTCGTGGGAGCCTTTGGCCCGACACTTTTCTACCAGATCTACGGAACGCACGAACTCCAGTGTCTCGACTGCGATGAGAACTTCCTCAACAATCCATTGCTCGGTGGCTCCCGAGACTGCCGCAAATGCTACTTCTCGCAAGTGCCAGCGCTGAATGACCGCTTTTATCTCGAAGCTGTCCGGCCATATTGCTACATGGCCGCCTCGCTGTTGTTCTTGTCCTACCTCATCGGCTTGTGGTTTACTCTCCGCACGCACGCGGCTGTCATTTGGAATGTCGAGGCAGAAGAGAAGCGCCACGAGGACATGCAGTCGTCCGTCGTCCGCACATCCCAGCCGACCACTATTGGCGGCGAGAGCACCGGTACGGATATAAGGGACACGCAGATCTACAAGCGTATCCTTGGGCAATCGCTGAAGCAGGCTGGTATGTCCTCTCGCTCGGGAAGCCTGACTCGACAAGGTTCTAGTGCCACGCAAGAAGCACTGAATCCAA